TAGCAACTGGTGTTACATTAGGTAAGGGTCTTTCGCAACCTTGGCGATTTGGCGCAAGGCTTCCAGGTAATGCCTATGGTCGCCGGCAAAAGTGGCATGAAAGAGCACTGAGTGCACGAATGCGAATGTGCCGACAAGAACAACTAGCAGGTCCCCTGCCATACCACCCTACATATGCTATTCGAGAACCGGCAGGAGTGGGTGTTGTCTGGCTATGCAAGGATTGTCCGAACCAGAGTCACATGGATCCACTGCGATGCAGGACGCCGTCTGTTATGGACACTGATTCATTGTGGTTCGAAAAGGTTGAAGATGGGTAGGTGCAAGCCCTACAATGATTCGTTTGCCCAGCCCTCAATTGAGGCTGAAGCATGTTATCAACAAACCTCTTGCCGCCTCTGGCTGAGCATGGTTACACAACATCAATCTGATGCTCAGGGCTGATCTTGGAATCCATTTATGACTATTGTCTCACCCGGCGATAATCATGACTTGCAGCGTGTATCATAGCCTGTGGGCGTGGACAACTGACTATTCCTGATCTGTGCCTCAATCCTTGCGCATTGGTATTGTCCGGGCACCTTTCTCTCGCGAGATGGAGCAGGCGAGCACCGGAGCAAGTGATGACATCCTCCAAGCATCGGTAGGTGGGCAATGGACGACGAGCGCCGATTTTTATATGACTTGTGACGGCTTTCTTCTCGAACCTTTCCGTACCATTCTTATTATCGATACTCCAAAACCACCTGCAACTCCCGACAATATATCTCGACCACCTACACACAAAAGACGAGTCTCAAAGGCGCAGAGTTCGTGCATTATATTGCCAGCATGTGCAGATGGCAGGCCACAGACTACCCAGACTGTAAAAATGGTAAAAAAGGTTCCTGTACAAAATGGATGAGACTGCACACTTGTCAAAATCCAAATGCGCCGGGTCATCAAGACGAGAAAATACAGCCAACGATAATAAGGCGAGGCAGAGACTGCCCCGACCACCAATAAATCACACGCAACTCCTTACGCAGAGACTCGCCAGCAAGGAGAGCTGGGCCTCGGGAGCTTCCTATACTTGAGGTCACCTTGAGTGAAGAATCATACTCATGAGATGCGTGCTGGCTTGTTAGGTCTCGGGCTCGAAGGAAGACGAATACGGTGGTCCCATTACAAAGGGTGACAAGAAAGTGATGACATGACTATGTTATCTGTTGTCTAGACATCTATGAAGCTTTTTTTAATACCTGATCACTGGAAGAGTTCCATTCACTCTTTCTCTCATGCATTGACTTTTGAAAATAATGTTATCATGTTGCCAAGCCACCCAAGCATCAGTTCGCGTCTCGCTGAACCTGACTACCTTACTTACTGCACCACATCAATGCCCCAACTCACCAACTTGACGACGATCGCAATCTACTCGTCCTTTTCGTAACCTTGGACCTGCTCGCGATCGAGATGACCCGTCATGTCTATAGACATCAGATGGGAAACCATCACTTCAGGATCTGACGGGGCGGCTTTGGCTGAACAGATTCGTGCGTTCGTCCATGAGAAATTCCAGCAGATACATCTACCTCGCTTCATCAATGCTGTACACGTTCACTCGTTCGAATTTGGTACGAACTGTCCAGAAATCGAGATCAAAGACATTTGTGACCCATTGCCCGATTTCTATGAAGACGACGACGAAAGCGAAGGTGGAGATGTTGCAGCTGAACCTCACGCCCAATCCGACAAGAACAATCTTCACGAGTCGAGCAATCACGATACACAGCTGCAAGCACAACCCTTCCACCCAAAGCCCGTGTTAGCCAACATCCTTACCAATGCAAATCACCCTGGGCTACACTCTTCCGCGTTCGCTCGAGACTTTCATGGGCTAAGCGCCGACCACTTAAATGGCCCATTTCCGCGAAGCACGACCCCTGGTATCCCAGGCGGCACCTCCAACCTCAGCTACTTTCATTTTCCAGGTAGTGGTCTGTCCGGCACTCAAACTCCGCTAGCGGCCGTTGCAAGTGGCACACCTTTCAGCTCCCGGCCATGGGGGTATGATTTACCACAGCACCCTGCGTCAACCCAACAAGGGCTCGCGCAGAAATCGCCGCAGGAGCAACATCTACATGTGCATGATGATCCGTCCACCAGACCTTCCACCGCAAACAGCATCTCCTCTCTACACGAGTCAGGATCCGCACTTTCGTCGCCACAACTCCAGCACACCACCTATACGACGGGACAGAACGCCGCAGACGAATCTGCCTTGGACGAGGTAGCTCCACTGTCTCCTTCAAGAATGCAGAGCAGGCAACCGTCCGATGTGCAGATTGTTGCAAGGGTCAAATACTCCGGTGACGTGCGGATGACTCTGACCGCCGAGATCCTACTGGATTATCCTATGCCGAGTTTTGTTGGGATCCCCCTGAAGCTTGCCATTACAGGCATGAGCTTCGATGGTGTGGCCATAACAGCATGGGTCCAGAAAAAGATGCACTTCTGCTTTCTCGATGCTGAAGACGCCTCCACCTTGGTCGGAGAAGATACTGTGCCCAGCAAACCCAGCAAAGACGGCACTCGGTCCACCCTACCTGGTCCATTGCAGGAGATCCATGTCGAAAGCGAGATTGGCAGACAGGAAGACGGGAAGCAGGTCCTGAAGAACGTCGGCAAAGTGGAAAAGTTTGTTCTCGGAGAGGTGAGAAAGATCTTCGAGGAAGAATTCGTCTTTCCAAGCTACTGGACAATCCTGGTCTGATAACGAAGCGATTGCCCCTTCCAGTAGAGCCAGCGAGGATGTTAATGCAGCTGCATATGCTTCACACTGCCAAAGACGCATTGCAGCCACCGGCCCCGTGATGCCAGCTCTGTCGGTGGTGCTCTATGGGGACATCACGGTATCGTATTCGGGCGAGCAGGGTCACCAATCCCTTTGATCGCTATGTAGTACGAGCCCTCAATGATCGGGTACCCAATTCGAATCAGCACACGCGCAGTATCAGACGAGGCCTTCACCGGGCTTTGTATGGACGGACCGGACCGTTCTTATAACGGCCAAACTAGACAGCATGCACCGTTCTGTGACGAAACAGTGAGCAAATCAGCAAGCAGCAACATCACTCTTTGGCACAGCTCGGGAAGTTCCACGACTCTGAGGGACCGAAACCATCAATTCAGCGCCGTCCTTGTTCTTTTCTGCGCCAATATCGTCGGTGATGGGTCTTCTCATGCAATTTGACAGGTCAATATCACTTTGGTGGCCTCGTCAGCGATTATGTGTTGTCCCAATCGTGTCTAGCACCAACGACGTGTTGTAGACGATTTTGGAGCGCAATCAGGGTCAGGCGACAAACCAAGTCATCTGCCCCAGTCCCAATCAGCCTGACATGAATGTGCTTCCGACCGAAGCCACGACGCTGCAAATCTTACGCCCTGGTACTTATGATACAACAACAACAATGGCAACAGTTCTCACAGTGTCTTTTACAAACCAGCATGCACATATATAGTACGATCAGGTTCAATTTAAGTCGGCGGTATCCTCGACTAACGCGTGCATTAATGTAAGCACTATGGATAGCACCATTGGGCATACGGTATACGCGAAGCTTGGCCCTCAAACATAGGGTCGGCGCGCTATGTGCCACGGTTCCTGCATTGTGATCGTGGTTTCGTGCGACAGAAGAGGGGATGGAAAAGACCCTGGAAAACGACTGCCCACAATATCGACGATGAACAGTATCGATTTGCAAGTTTGGATCAGACGACGCGACAGCATGATGAGACTTCTTCTCTGCCAACACATTAGACATGAAACAGGCACGAACAGGGAAGTCAACAGGGCAGTCGACAAACCCAACGCAATCCAATTACTCCATGTATATGACGTCGACCGATTTAGCGGGGGACCTGATAAAGCCCGCATATCTCACTACTGTAAGAAAGCAGGACTACTCGTGTCGAACTCCAACTTCGTCCCGCGATTTAAGGCCCGGCTGCTCTGCTACGGTAAAGCCTAATATTATTTTTGGTCTAGGCTGGTGCGGACCTGATATCACTCACAAGAAGCAACTTCGATATTGCCCATCATGAAACGACTTCGCTCGTTCTTACAACAAGCATCAGGCAAGACGGCGACCAACTCCCAGCCGCAACAACAGCCTCCGGAGCAACAGCAGCAACAGCCGCAGACGCAACACGTCAGTCCAGCAGCCCTTCAGGAACCCATGAACCAGATGTATAGCACTCCTCAAGCTACCGCGGGTGGCTCTACACTCAGTGTAGCCCTCCAGAACCAAACCACATCGTCCACAGTGTATGCATACATCACTGGTCAAGCCATGGACAACAACAACGCGCTATTCCTACTCGCAGCAGATGCAAAGACACCCTACTATCCCACCTCGCCCAGCGCAACTGGATCACAATTAGCACAAAACTGTGCCATCGAACTCGGTGCACCAGGCAACACTGTCACCGCAACCATCCCACATATCGCTGGCGGTCGGATCTGGTTTTCCATCGGCTCGCCCATTACCTTCCTGCTCAACCCAGGTCCAGCCCTAGTAGAACCATCGGTCACCAATCCGTCTGATCCCAATGCTAAGATCAATTGGAGTTTCGCCGAGTTCACATTCAACACAGACCAACTCTACGCTAATATAAGCTACGTCGACTTTGTCGGCATTCCCATCGCACTCACCCTGACAACGACAAGCAGCGGCACCCAACACGTGTCGGGCATGCCAGCCAACGGTCTCAACACCATCTGCAGCGGCCTCCAAGCACAGAACGCCTCCGACGGCCAAGGCTGGGATCAATTGATCGTGCAGAACAACGGACAGAACTTGCGCGCCCTCTCGCCGAATCAAGGCATGGTCATGAACCCGAACCTCCTCTCCACCTACTACGACAGCTACGTAAGCCAGGTATGGACCAGATTCTCGTCCCAGCAAATGTCCATCGACACGCAAGCCGCGGCCGGTACTGTCTCCGGCGAGGTATCAGGCAGCACATTGTCATTCGGTGGTTCGACGTTCGCGAAACCATCCACACACGACATCTTCACGTGCTCGACGGGGCCTTTCGCCACGGGTTCGAATGCAGAGACCAATGCTATCATCCCGAGACTCGCGGCGGCGTTCAATCGCTCGACATTGCTTGTAAGTGACGCCTTCCCTGCCGCGGAGAACTTGTATTACCAGAACCCGATCACGAACCATTATTCGCGGATCGTCCATGCGGCGAACCTGGATGGAAAGGGCTATGCGTTTCCTTATGACGATGTGCAGCCGACGAATGGGCCGGATCAGAGTGGTGAGGTACATGCTGGGGATCCGGTGTTGTTTACAGTCACCGTTGGTGGTGCGAATGCTAGTGCCACGACTCCGGCGAAGGATGAGTTGTGAGTTGTGACGATTCCTTCGTGGGCATGGTTTCCCAGGATTTATCATTGGGTTGGATTGAAAATGCTTGGGATATCTATGCCGTGTCGGACTGGTTGATAGATTTTACAAAGACCACGAAAAGACACATTCATCAAGCATTTTGGCGCAGCTTTTCTAACTCGTATCGCAAAGCACTGATGCTCGCGTTCAAATGCAGATATACCTATATTTTTAGGCACTGACGAAGGTCAATGGTACTACAGGCTTGTTCTCGCAGGTCTTCCGGCATCTCGTCAGGAGAAACTTCGACTCTCGAGTCTAAGGCGGTCATCTGTAAGCTGTGGCATGATCATTGTCGAAGAAGTTGAAACCTCGGTGACCCAGAGTCTCAAAACCCCCTGTTTATATCACCTGGCTTGCTGGGATGGTCATATCGCGTGTCGCTCACGTGAAAGAGTAGATCGTGACGTGTTTGTCGTCCGAGGACTTTTTGGTGGTGAAAGATCTTTCTCCGGTGCCTCACGTCAGCACATGTCATGTCGTGAGTGGTGAGCTGCCCTCTTATCGACGGCGACGACATTTCTAGCCTGGAGGTAAGTCGCTATATCCCGCGTGACGGTAATCGAGAGCATCTCTGTCTCCCAAACAACAAAAAAGCAAAAGAAGAACACGACTTGGTCAAAACATTCAATTCTCATTGACAATGCTTCTGGAGAAGGTCTTAAGAATATCTATCATGTAATGTGTCCATACAAAACGCTGAGCTGTCGCTTGAACAGAGTGGTATTGTATTCTTCGCACCGCCACGTTCAAGAAAGAGCTTCGTAAGTTCGAAGAAGTCAAATCGACTTCTTAGTTCTTGGCACCGTGGATGAAGACACGCTCCTCAAGAGGCTTGAAGGACTTCTCGCCGGCCTTGCCAGCAGGCTTGCCGAAGACCAATTGACCTTTGAGACTCCAGACTTGTGGGATGTTCCAGGTTGCTGCGATCTTCTCGTCGATCAAGGGGTTGTAATGTTGCAAGTTGGCGCCGAAACCTTCTACCTCAAGAGCTGTCCAGACTGTGACAATGTTAGTTGGAGAAAATCAAATCATGTAGAGGTTAGTACGTACCAGCATATTGGTGCATGGCGTTAGTGTGCTCGCTCCATTGGGGGAACTTGTCTGCGTAGAGGGCGAATTTCTGCTGGAGGGCGTGCACGTCCGCAGGGTCTTCGTAGAAAAGAACGGTGCCGTAACCAGCAGCAAAGCCGCTGAGTCTCTGTTCGCTGGATGGCCATGCTTCGGCAGGCGCAACAGCTTTGACCGCAGGCTTGACGATTTCATTCCACAGCTTCTTGTGCTCATCGCCTAGCACGACGAGCACGCGAGTGGACTGGGAGTTGAAGGAGCTGGGGACGTGGAGGACGGCTTGCTCGACGATCTCCTTGATCTTGGAGTCGGGGATGACGGATTCATCGCTGAGTTGGTAGATGGTGCGTCGAGACTTGACGGCGTCGAAGAATGTTCCGGACATTTTGGCGGTGGTGGATGTAAAGTGTCGGTGGGATGGAAGTTGTGTTGTAGTACGAGTAGCTGAGACGGAAAGGTGGAATGGTATACGTGAAGATGGGCGAGTGTGGTGGATGTGGGTGGTGAGGTGACTTAAGTAGGAACGAAGAGCTGGACTTGCCGGTTGGAATCGCATCACTGGCAACTTCTTTTTTCGAGAACAATCGATAGGGTCTGCAAGAGGATGACGGGATCTGGCTGCAAGCTGCCGTTAACTGCTAATTTATGGGCCTTGAGACCAGAGCTTCTGGTAAGGGGACGGTGTTTCGTACGTTATCCGATTGCCGGGTTGCCACCGATAAGTTGGCTGAACCGGCAGATCGATCTTTGTCAATGGTGGCCAGTGACCACAGTGGAGAGAGTGACCGTCAAAATGCTTTGATAATTCTGACGCGATTGGTGACAAGGCTTGCGCAAGATAGTGCAATGAAAAGTTTGGTGCAGGATGAATTGATATGGTAAGCAACCTGACACTAATTCCGCCGTGGGGTGAGGCCGAGCTCCAAGTGATTTGATAAGCCAGGTACAGCACAGATACAGTCAGCTTTTTCGATCCACGTATTGAAAAGTATGCACCTAGGCTGTAGGCAGTCTGAGGTTGACAAGGTCTCAGCAAAGCGGGCATTTCGATACTCCTCCTCGTACATATATATATACACGCCTGATACCTCGCTGCACAAGCCGGAAGGACAATCTTGCTTATTCATTGGCTCCGCTGTCGACGACCTTGACTGCGGGTACGGCGTACTCTTGGACTATTTCGGACAGCTTCGGTCTGGTTCCCCAATGCCATCTTCGCGTGGGTGTGGTTCGATTATGCTGCGTCCTCAATGGCAGCTCATCCGGAGTGTGAAAAGTCATGCTGCCCGACAACGTCAAGAAAAATGGTGATCGGGAGGAAACCAGAGTGCACCAAAATCGATCTAGGGAGTCACCCGAGGAGCTGTCATGATCCAGTGTTGAAGGATATCGCCTTGCGGGGCATGAAAACTATAATATATATCTATAACATTATTCATTGATCATTGATCATCTGGGGTCCAAAAGCCATCTAATGGTCTATCCAATCCGCCCATTGGGGTTTTGTTGCCCAAGAACTCCGCGCTCGATCTCAATCATAGCGACATCGTCCGTATTTGTCATAAAGGTAAATAGTAACATCAATAGTGGAAGGTGATTTTGTACATGTAAAAGGCGGAATTTGGTCCCAGGGAATAGTACCAGGACTGATCACTGCCCGCGACAGGCTGGAACATAGGGTGCATCATAGTCCCGTAGCTGCCCTCCATCTGGCCGCCGGCCTGGAGCTGGTAGCCGTCGCTGAAAGGGCCATAGGGCGTGTCGGCCACGTACATGGTGACGAAACTCAGAAACTTGCCGCACAGCAAGATGTATTTGTTGAGGTAGTGGTTGAATGTGACAGAGCCATAGTGCTCGCAAAAGAACGTACCGTCGCTGGATCCGGCCATCATCGCGATGTTGGTGGGATTGTACTGAGGAATGCCCGATACCCAGGTATCGTTCGTGTCCTTCTTCAAAAACTCGTATTTGGAGGGTGTGAACACGGCGTCCGACGCCTCGACACGGCCAACCATGATGTTCGTAGGTCCACCCATGGAGTAGATATAGATATAATTGCCGTCGCGGAGAATGGAGTGTATGCCTAGATGAATAGTGGTGTTATCTGTGAGTAATGGCCCGATGCGCGTGGCGATGGGCTTGGTGTCGCCCAATGTCACGACGGCGACTGCGTTGCCTCGGTCTTCGGCGGCGCCATCCGGTCCGTTGCGCCAGATCTCGTAGGCGTATGCGACGCCGTGGGTCGAATTGATGGCGGCCACGTTTGACGTGTCCATGCCCCAGCTCTGGTAGGGCTCTTGGATATCTTCGTCTCCAGACCATGGTTTGACAAAGTCGTTTTCCGTAACGTACGTTAAACCCGTTGTGTTCACAGTCATGACAGTGTCGGTGCCGTAGAATGCTGGACCCATCGAGAGGCCGCACGTCATCACGTCGCCGCCGCACTCCATATCGCCGCAGCTCCAGATCACTTTGCCCCCTAACTTGCTCGTCCGGCATTTGTCGCCGCCCAGATTTTCCTTCTGAAGCTGGCCTGTGAAAGAGAGGTTGCCGATGTATTCGACGTTCCATTTGGTGCCATTATCCTTTTGGAACTGGGATACTGATGGAAGGCCGGATGTTGCCGTTGGACTTGTGGCTAGAACCGTGGTTTTGCTTGATGTCTTGGTTGTGCTGGTGGTCTTATGAGTGGTTGTTTTTTTCGTGCTCGACTTGTGGCTTGTGGTGGTCTCCTTGGTGGTGGTATGAGGTTTGGTGGTAGTCGTCTTCTTCGTGGTGGTATGCTTAGTGGTGGTGGTCTTCTTGGTAGTAGTCGGTTTGGTGGTAGTCGTCTTCTTCGTGGTGGTATGCTTAGTGGTGGTGGTCTTCTTGGTGGTAGTTGGTTTGGTGGTGGTGGTCTTCTTGGTAGTAGTTGGTTTGGTCGTTGTGGTCTTCTTCGTTGTAGTAGTTTTCTTCTTGGTGGTGGTTGTTTTGAGAGTGGTAGATTTCTTGGTTGAAGTGCTTTTCGTCGTACTGGTTGGTTTTGTTGTACTGGATGTCTGGCTAGCCTCTTTCTTAACAGCAGATACTGCAGCGGTCGCAGAACCTGATGATGATGATGTCGATTGTGCAGCTGTACCAGTCGCTGTTATTGAATGTGATGAGGTGGTGGTTGATATTGATGTACTAGTTGTATGAAGTACAATATTTCTAGCTACAGTCGTCCAAGATCCATCGGCCAGCAGACATGTGAGCGGCTTCTCACAAATCTCATAGCATGTATCCGCAACACCATCTCCATCGACGTCGATTGACCTTTTCTGTACAGCAGATGCCCAAGTACTCACGCTGAGCGTTATGAGCAGCAACCCATACACAGTACGGATATACATATTGAGGATATGGTTAAAGGAGTGGACGGCGAGGGCTTGCCTTCACCCATAAAAGAAGCGAATACAGATCCAAAGAGGAACAAGGAGTTGTTGCGATGATCACATCTTGGAAGCATACCTTTCTGCCTTATTACTGCGCCGCGTTCAAGGCACGAATAAGCCCAGGGGTTTACGTGGCGTGCATCAGCGTGCATAGCTGGGCTTAGCGAATACGTCAGAGGATGCCATTGCTGGGCGTGATGACAATGGCCAATAGGGGTTCCGAGACTGACGCATGCCAATTGTTTTGACGTAGGAGAATAATTATAGCATACGGTACCTGGCCAGATTCTGCCCATGGTTTCGGACAAGTTCATGCATGAGAAAGTGGTTTGTTGAACGGATCGGCATTCATTCGACACATACCATACCTCGAGGAACAGCCTGAGTATTGGGAATGATCAAAAAGACAATCAACGCACCGACCTCATTCTGAAACCTAAGTTTGTCTGCCCCCATAGCCGGGTCGATCAATCCGTTGGGCGTAGATAAACTCCCCCCACAGGCGAGTTGGACCCCTAATACCTCTCCCAAACGGGTCGTCATTCACATGCGTGGGCGACCTTTTTGGGCAAGATTCATGACTCTGTGGCTGAAAGCGAGGCGCCTCCCGAGTTCTGAAACCCGCCAGGAATTCAATTGCAACAGCCTGGGCAACTCTTTAGAAGTCGACCGCATACTGCGTTTGTTGGTCGATCTTGGAAGTGAAGTGACTGAACAGATGCTCATGCTGAGTCTTCTGAACAATTTCACCCAGGAGTAAGTGTGGAAAGTGTGCGGACCACGTGGCGTCCGTACTGAAGGCTGTCATATTTCGGTTCCCAAGAATCTGAAGGGTTGAAGCACGGGTGCCTTGAAATTGTCCGATTGCAGCGCAGGCACATGCTGTTCATTCAAAGTCTTTTTAACTCCGCAGCCTTACTCGCTTCTCCCAGGCACCAGAATTCCTCTGTGATATCATCAGCAAGTACTCCGCACAGTCTTGGTACGCAGCCGATCCTTGTCAATTCCCAGAAATCCGGTATCACCACTTCGTTGTGGTTCTTGGTTCTGGACAACAGCTAAGAACCAGCCGTGTCGCGATCGTCGTTTTGCCATGTGTGAATCTACACAGGAGGAATTCATGTTCACATGTCTGTTCGTGCTGGCAAGAGTCCTCATGCTCTCTGGAATCATGCTTGAGATTGCTGGCGGAAAATTTTGCGCTTGTGTCTGTGCCCCTGGATGCCCCCCTCAAGTTCGCTGTCATAGCACTGTCAGCATATCTCAAAATTCACGACGGTCTTGCTCCATGACAGGTTGATAGGAACTGAATGACTTGGCAGCAGTATGCCGAGGTGTGTCCGAACAGGAAACTGCAATGGTGTTCAGTTGCCAGCTAAACATCAACCGAGAGCTCGTATTCATGGCAGTCATGAACTGCGCAAATTTCATCTGACACAAATCCCTTTCTATGCACAAGGAATGTGGATAATAGTGGAAGTATCCTTCACGACATGTTGGTGTTGGCTTGAACATCGAACGGAAGTTTGCCAAAATCCAGGCAAGTTGCCAACTTGGTCGTAGCTAATGGTCTCGAATATGCTGGGTATGACCACATGCTGCAGAAATGCCATCTGTGTACTCCGTAAACAATAATGCACCAACTACTGATGAGGGGCATTGTCCCAGGCCCTCAAAGCCCGCGAGTCCAGCATGGCTATCACAGGGTAAAGCGGTCGGCTTACCTAACACTAGAGGCCTTTTCACGTGACGTAGTACGTTTCTCCGCAAATAAATCCTTTTTTGCGGAGCATTGGCGATAAGATAAGGGCGGCCTTGGCGGACTATTGAGTCATTCATGCAAGGGACGCAGCTAGACTGATGCAGATAAGAGAAACTTTTTTTGTTTTCTTCATGGTCACTGCTGCGATTGAACTTTTCAGCACATCTTTAACGAAACTATTTAGTGGTGAGCATCCTGCAGGCCTCCTAGTACTTCTCTCCCAGCCAACTCTACTGACACTTTTATCAGCCCACCACTACTCTTACTACTACCAACGCACCTACCACCACAATGCCTGAGAAACAGAAAGTCTGCTTGGCCTACAGCGGAGGTTTAGACACCAGCGTTATTGCCTTATGGCTCATTGAACAAGGATATGAGGTGGTGTGCTTCGCCGCGGACGTCGGCCAGGACGAGGACTTCGATGCCGTCCGGGCAAAGGCGGAAAAGCTGGGAGCAAAGATCTATATCGAAGACTGCCGAGACGAGTTCGTCAAGGAGCTCTGCTTCCCAGCTATTCAATGCAACGCGGTATACGAGAACGTCTATCTATTAGGAACCTCGCTTGCTCGACCGGCCATCGCCCGAGCCCAAATTGCTGTGGCTGAGAAGGAAGGCTGTCAATTTGTGGCACACGGCGCGACGGGAAAGGGCAACGATCAGATCCGGCTGGAAGAGGCATACTATGCCTTGAAGCCCAAGATTCGCGTCCTAGCCCCTTGGAGGATGCCAGAGTTTTACGAGGTCTTTAAGGGTCGCAGCGATCTTCTTGACTATGCTGAGAAGAAGGGTATTCCCGTCACATCAACAAAGTCCAAGCCCTGGTCAATGGACGAGAACCTTGCCCACTGCAGGTTTGTTCTCCCACTTGTTCTCTTCTTCCTGCGGTCCCATTCACTGACTTTGTTATAGCTATGAGGCTGGCATCCTCGAAGACCCAGACACAACCCCACCCGCCGATATGTGGAAGCTGACAGCCGACCCGCTCTCTTCTGCAGCCGACGAGCCCGAAGATGTCACGATCGAATTCGAGAAGGGCATCCCAGTGAAAATCTCCGCAAAGTCGATTGGGTCAGAGACAGAGCCAACTAAGCTCTTCCTTGCTGCAAATGCTCTCGCCCGCAAACATGGTGTTGGACGTGTTGATATCGTCGAGAACCGCCACATCGGCCTCAAGTCTCGAGGTTGCTACGAGACTCCAGGTCTTACTATCCTCCGCAATGCTCATATCGACATCGAAGGCTTGACGCTAGACCGAGAAGTTCGCGCACTCCGGGATCAATTCGTGACCTTCAACTGGAGCAAAATCTTATATAACGGCAACTACTTTTCTCCGGAGCGAGAGTTTCTCCAAGCAAGCATCATCGAGTCTCAAAAGAGTGTCAACGGCCAAGTTCGTCTACGACTCTACAAGGGTAACTGCATGGTCCTTGGACGAAGCAGCCAGACTGAGAAGCTATATGATGCCTCAATGGCAAGCATGGACGAGATTGGTGACTTTGAGCCAACTGATGCGACTGGCTTCATCAAGGTGCAGGCCATCCGTCTGAAGAAGTATGGCCAGATGAAAGCAGAAAAGGGCGAGCGTTTGTAATGGTTTCACGATGGCGGACGAGCGGCCGTGAACGGTGATAGAGCCTGACGAAGCTATTCAGATTATAAAAATCCCACTACGACATATTTAGCGAATGCCGGGTTTGATATCGGAAGAAGGGTCATAGGATGCTGCTCAGCACCTCAATGTGGACTAGCTCGATAGACTTGGAGCTGGCAAGGCTGACCTCAAAGCCATCTGCCACATACATTTTGCCTTTCCCGAAGAATGCGCCCAAACTCCAGCGAGGGTTCCACTGTTCGGATGTAGAAAGTACACCTCTGCAGACAGTTTCTCTTTGGGCAAAACAGGGAGTATATACTGGGTGGTTAAGAATGTATGGCAATACCGCGGGAATCACATAGCTCCCACTTCAGCACCACACCAGACGTGCTCATGGAGAAGTACATAGCAGATCAGCCCCAACTTAGACGACTTTCAATTCCTCAAGATGAGGACCTCAGCATTGTTAGTTCCCACGACTGAGACACCGAAGAACAATAGCACCTTCCTCCCTGGAAGGATTGACAATGAACCGCTATCTTTCCCGCCCGAACGTGATTGCTGTGGCAGCGTGACACGAGCACTGTTTTGACTCAAGTATCTCCGGTCCAACAACGAGGACAAGGTCTGTTTGAGTCTGAAAAGCTGACGAAGACACGAGCCATGATGACGTTCAGAAGGTCAAGGAGCTCAAAATAATGCACCTGAATTGGCAGCAGAATCAAAATTTGGTCATACTATCTCTATGTATCAAAGATTGCAAGATATGCAGACAAAGAAACCAACAACGCTGAACTTCGTGCGCAAGAACCAAAGATTGCAAAGTGCCAGTCTGCGACTGGGCAACCTGTTGTCGATGAGGCATGGGCGGTGTTTGCTCATCGGACTTGGGCACGTCTTTCCCGACACACCTCAGTATGCTAAACTGTGCCAAGGGAACATGTCATTCCCTTAGCCCCAGCCACCTTTGGCCTTGAACTAGGCCAAGAAAAGCCACTATCTCGAATGTCATGTAAGCATGTCACCCATGGAACGCGATATCGATGCGTGGCTTTGTCCTGGCTCGGTCCAAGGTCCAATCGAGTGGACGCCAGAAGCCAACATCATTGAAACGAAGCCGCAACGGCGCCAGTGTCTCAGGACCCCAACTGGTTCAGCCGAACCTGACAGCTTATGAGTCAACGTCTAGCGCGGACTAGTGAGGTCCGCAAATCAGTGTCTTCTCCCCCTTAAGCAGATGTGTACAGGGTGGGCCAGGCTGAGCTCGTGGTAGGAATAGTGGTCGTCGTAGTATTCTTCCAGTCAGCCCACTTCTCGGAGGTCGTGGTAGCCGAGGGGGTAGTGGTGGTAGTGGTAGTCGTGGTAGTCCAATCGTTCCAGTTGTAAGGATCAGTGCTGAACGTGACTGTTGCAATCAAGGCTGTGACAGTAGTCGTGGCCGAAACAGTGGCCGTGACGGTCTCGGTCGTCGTAGGTCCGGTCGCTGTCACGGTGCTAGTTTTGTAGACGTATCGAGTCACCGTGGTCTTCGAAGTGGCCGTGGCAGTGGCCGTGACTGTCTGGGGTTTACATGTGGTGGTTGTGCTGGTGGTAGTCCAGTCGCCCCACACCTCGGTCGTGGTAGTGGTGGTGGTGGTAGTAGTCGAGGTGCTGGTTGTCCAGTCGTTCCACATCTCAGAAGGTGTGGTTGTTGTTGAAGGAGTTGTGGTCGTAGTGGTAGTGGTTGTGCTGCTGGTCCAGTCACCCCAAACCTCAGACGTGGTGGTTGTTGGGGCAGGAGTCGTGGTTGTGGTACTCGTCCACTCCGCCCAGACTTCAGGAGTAGTAGTGGTTGATGTAGTGGTCGATGTAGTAGTCGTCGAGGTGGTTGAGGTGGTTGAGGTGGTGGTGGTCCATTCAACCCAGACTTCAGGAGTAGTAGTAGTAGTGCTTGTGGTGGTGGTTGAGGTGGTGGTCCATTCAGCCCAAACCTCAGGAGTGGTAGTAGTGGTCGTCGTCGTGGTTGACGTGGTGGTCCATTCCGCCCAGACTTCAGGGGTGGTAGTAGTAGTTGTCGTCGTCGTTGGAGTAGTGGTGGTCCATTCTGCCCAGACTTCAGGGGTGGTAGTAGTGGTTGTCGTCGTCGTCGGAGTAGTGGTGGTCCATTCTGCCCAGACTTCAGGAGTGGTAGTGGTTGATGTAGTGGACGTGGTTGTGGTACTGGTCCAATCACCCCAAATTTCAGGTGTTGTAGTGGTAGTAGGGACGACCGACGTAGTGGTCGACCAGTCCGCCCAGACTTCAGTTGTGGTAGTGGTGACAGGGATTACCGACGTAGTCGTCGACCAGTCGCCCCAGACTTCAGATGTGCTAGTAGTGGTAGTAGTGGTCGAAGTAGTGCTCCAGTCTCCCCACACTTCGGTGGTGCTGGTTGGCAACACTGTGGTCGTTGGTACAGTTGTTGTGGTGGTGGTACTCCACTCAGCCCACGCAGAATCGGCAGCATAACCCTGGGCCATGGGAACCGCCGAAGTGACAGCAGCATATGCCGCGATGATCAAAGGGATAGAGGTATACATCTTGAACGTATGGTGTATTTGGTGTCGAGTTGAATAACGAGAACAGCTTGCAGGAACGAATGACCCTCTGTCTTATGCTAGAGGTTGCGATGAAGGACAATATGCTGAGGGACTTACTGATGCTGAGGCCATCACTTCGACCTTATTTATATACCTCATTGCTTTGTGCAACGAATTCTCCATTCGTAGTTGAGATCATAATCAGGGTCAATATGTTGAACCCGAAGAGTTCAATGTAGTGAACCCAAATCCTTTCGGACTGCGCGGCCATGTTGACGTACTTCACCAGAAATGAAAGTTGTCTTCGAGATAGTTCCGAATTTGGGATCAATAACAGCAACAGATAGCAGTAGTCCATTACCAGCCATGCGAAGAGATGTAGGAGATAGTAGTTAAGACAGTGTACTCGATAGGCACACGATGTACGACTATTGCCGTGTCAGCATCTTGGAGTTTTTGATAGCCAAACTCCAGCCTCCCAATCATTGGGAAATATTGGGAAAGGCTCAGAACATATCTGAGTTGATGCGTAGCTCAGCTTCATGAGACCCTGGTCTTCATTGTCTCGCAGCTGACGACGATTGACTTGAAGGAAAAGAACAATGGATGTCAATGAAATGGCTGAGACGAAGTTTGGCATTTCGGATTATTTTCCCAGCCTTGCCATTAGCGAGCCAATCGGAGTATTGATGAAGTGCCTCGGCCCGGACAGAGGCCCGTGAGCCGGCATTATCGGATCGGGCCCTGACCATCTGTTCAGGTCTGTGCACAATATATTCCCGGCTATTTACTGTTATTGCAAAAGAACCTCTACCTATACTTCTTCAAACCAGCCTTCTAGAATGTCGAGAAGACTCCGATTCATCATAGCAACGTGGATGACGTCGAGGTCTAACATTATGATGTGCGGGTAACGTGCTCATCCCCTTTTCCCCAATGTCTACGAACGACATTGAGTTTGCACATAAGGCTTGACCAAGGATCATGCCAGGATCAAGCGTTGAGACCTATGTGCAAGGTCGTCGCAACGACATCCCTCTTCAAGTGTCTCCGAAGATGCATCAGGTGAAATTTCTGTTGATGGCTGCACCCAATTAATCAGTGCTTTGAGCAGGATGGGGAAGTCGTACGGATATTTGATGCTGTAACGAAGCACGCAACGACCACCTAAGCGCCTAGAAGGTGAACTGTGTAGTCCATTGTTAATTGAGGCATCTTCCACAACAACAAATCGGATACCCAGCGCAGACAAGAGGGGCTGTTCAGGTACAGACTTATCATTGAGGTCCTTCTCATCCCGCTTAAATCTCGGGCTTTATTTGCAGCCTCGAATTTTCATAACCTCCCCGTTTCGTTCTCAGCCTTGTCTCCCTCTGCATTGATACAGCCATATGGCTCATCCACCCTCTCCTCCACACAAAGCCAGCTCGGTCCTCCTCGATCTGATAGAAGACTACCACTCATTCAACACAGCAGCTGTCCCTACACTTCCGTACCCAACATATCTCGAGTACACTAAACAAGTAAGTCGCGGCAGACCCTGTGTCTACAATCTCGACCCGCAATCCAGCAGACCTGAGTCCCATATCAACGGACGGTCCAGTACAGCCAAGGTCCATGCGGAGATAGAGTCGTTGCTCTCTCTTCCTGCGTTCTCGTGGTCTCGAGACAGCCTATGCAAGAATGTCCCGCGCGACGTGGAAGTCGCTATCACACCAGACGGACGAGCCGACGCTTTATATCCACTCGCAACCCTGCCAAACGGTCCTGTCGACGACAATGACGGTAATGATGACCATACCAAAGCCCACCCAAGGACTGAGTCAGAGACAGAGATGGAGCAAGTCTTCGTCCAGCCTGCAACGGTGACAATGTCTCTATCCTCGCTCTTCGATAAACTCTGCCCTGACTCTAAACCCGGCTCAAAGAACGATGAGCACTCGCCAGTATACTACCTCCAATCCCAAAACAGCAATCTCACCAGCACGACCCTCTCACCATTACTCTCCGATCTGCCCGCCAACCTCCCTTTCGCGGAACCTGTGCTCGGTAACCCAGAAGCCATAAACATCTGGATGGGCACTGGGGCGAGCGTGACCAGTACACACCGTGACCCATACGAGAATCTGTATCTCGTACTAAGAGGGTCGAAGACGTTCACTTTGTGGCCGCCGGTTGAGGAACTGTGTTTGCATGCCCAGAAAGTCCGCACAGCGCACCACACAGTCGACTTCATTGATGCACAACATCCGGTGTTCAAGATCACGTTGGATGAAGCCCATCCCGATCTAGGTTCGTCCGGCACAGATGCAGAAACAGACACCGATACAGACACAGATACTGGCATCCCCTGGATCCCGATCGACCCCCTGAATCTACCACCAGCCGACGTCCTGTCTTCCAAATACCCGTACTACCACCACTCTCATCCTCTCACTGTGACGGTCCGGGAACGAGAGATTCTCTACTTACCGGCAGGTTGGTTCCACCATGTCACTCAAGAATGTGGAACGTGGGACAACGGCGACACAGCACCTTGTATAGCGGTCAACTACTGGTACGACATGGATTACGAGGGCGAGAAATACGCCATGCGCGAAATGCTGGGGCGCTTGGTCGAAGCCGCAAGAAAGGAAGAGGAGGAGGCAGAGTAGAGGACAAGGTCTGTCTATTCGTTTTCTTCAGTCTGTATTCTCTCAAGAAAGAAAATGTCTAGTTCATTTGGCGTGGGGATAGTGTGCCACAACCAAGAACAAATGATCGTTGCTGCACCCAATTGCTTTGGTGGGTCAGCATCTTTTTCGCCGTTGCATCGTTCCGTCTTCAATCATGAAAAGGTCTTGGCTAATCATCATTCCATCGCCAATGACTGCAAGTGATTTCACGCCAAGCGCTCAAGAAGCCTCAATCTTCTTGAGAATTTCTGGGAATTCCTTCCAGTCATACATGACCGCAGCTGCATTGCATGTCTCGGTGAGAAGCTTGGCCATCTGCTCCATCTTCTCTTTGCCATCTTCGATACCGTAGACCCCAACGTAAGCGATGCATGGGATACCAGCTCGCATGGCGGCAGTGGCACCACTCTTGCTGTCCTCCACGGTGATCGTCTCTTCAGGCTTGACACCCAATTGCTCGCAGGCGTACAGATAGATCTTGGGATCAGGTTTGCTGGACGGTGGGTTGAGGGAGGTGGCAGCGCTGTAGACGTGCTTGTTGGGGAAGTAGTGGTCGATGCCGACCTTCTCGAGAGAAGCCACGACACGAGGTTTGGCAGAGGTGCTGACCACAGACATGGGGTATCCAGCTTTCTTCAACTTCTCCAGCTGTTCAGGAACACCAGGGCATGGAGTAGCCTTTGCGGACAGCTTCTTGACGACTTCGCCGAGTTCACGGTTGACGTAGTCTTCCACCTCGTCTGGAGTCATCTGGAAGTTGTGCTTCTTCTGGAGACCCATCAACATGCCGCGGAAGTTCTGACCGACGAAGTCTTCGAGGAGGGAGTCGACACTGTAGCGTTCCTTGATGCCATGTTTCTCGAGGAGTTCGTTAGTGAGATCGGCGCAAGCTTCGAAGGCGAGACGCTCGGAGAGGACGAGGGTGTTGTCGCAGTCGAGAAGGATATATTTGACCTGTGAAAGGATCTGAGTCAGTGTGCGAACATGAAAATGAGGTTGAAAAGAGGAGCGGTGAGGGCACGCCTCTGTGCATCAGCCAGCGGTTATGGTACTTACTTTAGGCATCTTGACGGTATGTCTGTTGAGCTGTGGAAAAGATGGAGGAGGGAAAGATCCGGGAAGAGTTGAAGATTTATAGGTATCGGAGATTGAGAGGTAGTGAATGTTTGTTTTGTCAACACAAAGTAAGAGTGAAGGGAATAAGGTGACAACTTGCAGGGCGGTGATACAAAAGAGTAACGGGTTGGTGGGCTGTTGTTGGCAATACAATGCAAAGCTGGGGTAAGTCAGTTAAGTTAAACGATCCACTAAAATGCAGGTGTCTTTATCGATTAGCTGACCTGTGAGCTCCGACGTCACCACCTGTAGTGCCCGAGGTTAGCCTAAGGAGCCGTGTATTACTCCGGCTATAGCCCGCTATTGACGGGCATACCTAGATAGTGAGGGAACAGTGAGAAGTACCTGCAGCATTCTTCTTTCATTTGTCTTTCACTAGTCATTCACTGTATATACACAATCACATGACTGGATGTCTCTGCAATCATCCTGCCATAGATGAGACATCCCCCATGAGGTCCTTTGCGTGCATGGCGTATTTCCCTTTCAAGATCAGTGCGAGCTGACTGAGACAGGTCAATTCCTGCAGCAACCAGAGTCAAGCCAACTCAGCACTGCACTTGCCAGGCGAACCAGGGCACGTTGACTGATAGCAGTGTGTTGATAACGAGGTGTTGTCCCCCTGATCAACACAACTTGAGTCTACTGTTCAGCGTGTCTTGTTCAGCCCTTGACCTTGTAGCTGGTTCTGAGAGGCATTTCGTGCTTTATTTCTCATAGAGCAGAATGACCAACCTCAATCACGAGGTATTCGACGGCACTGGAGTGACAACTGGTAGGAGCCACATTCAAGCCCAGACCACCACCTCGTGTCTTCAGTGCCCTCTCCTACCACCTCTGCCTCCTCGAAACCCACCATCGGGTAACCTCTCTCCTCTCCGCCATTCACCACTGGGTATAGTTGCAGGTCCACCAAATTCGCCTCTTGGGCCATTCCCATTGTAGCTCCCTCTGCTTCCAAAACCATAACTACCCCCTCTGCCGCGCCCAAAGCCGTTCTCTCTGGGACCACCTCTTCCGCTAACGCTTGTTCGGCTTACCACGGTCCCGTCGCTCAATGGAGCAAACACTGCACAATCGATAAAGTCGCCAATAACAAACCGCGCATCTTCCAGCGTCTTTTCCGCATCCTCTCCTTCTAAGCTGAAAGTGCCGTCTTTTTCGCCATTAGAGCTCTCCGGTGCCGACACAACCACACTGCCAATCTCTTTGCTCAAGTATCGACCCCGGCCTTCACTTTCCAGCCTCCCTCCCATCCCTCGACTTGCGTGGACATCAGGATAAACTAGCCTAAAGCTCAATCTGGTGCCAATGCTGGGATCAGGTAAGACATGAGGAAGTGCTTGCGTCAACAAATGTGCCAGTTCGCGGAGTGTACATGACATCCATGTATAGATTTGTAGATGCGCAGGAAGATGAGGATGAGGATTCGATGGAGTGGGTACGGGAAAATCTGCCAGGTTGTGAAATGCGGAGGTTCTGTAGCAGAAGTTCAGGAGAAAGGGTGCCGTAGTTTGGCGATCAATGACCGATTTGCGGGGAGGCGACGGCGATCGAGACATGGTGGTAGTCGACACGTAGTAGGGGAGAATAGGCCGGTGTATAGTCAACACTTGCTGCGCGCAACGGGTCGAGGCGTTCACTAAGGCAACATGGCTTCAGGTTGACATGGACATGATCCTACTCGTAATGAACCGGAGCTTCGAGACACCGTGATGCGACAGGTTTGCTCGGTCGACAGGGAGCAAGAGTGGTTACAGGCGTGCGCGTTTACACGTCTAAGACGTCGGTATGGGTATGCTCGTGCTTGTTTCGCCAATATTTCCTTTTTGAGCCGATTCAGCCTTGCGAAGACAGCCTTGTTGTCAATGTCGTCGACCTTAATCAACCCGCGAGCGTGACTTGATTTGACCTGTAAATCCTGGAGCGCCCATTCGCTTTGGATACAACAATTTCGCATCTATGATCGCGGAGAGATAGGTCACCACCGTACTTCCGTCTCAGCCTCATTTCGGTGATGTCAAGCTTTTCAACCCCAGTCCCCACATTAGCACGCCTTAGGATAGATCGACATTCTCCAACTCACTTGAGAAGCTATATATCCCTGCAATTCACTATGAATGGATTGATGATTGCGTGATCCGCCCCAAAAAGATTCCTAGATACCTGCGTGGACCAGGTCTCCCACAATGTCCCCGGCACGGGAGTTTGCTCTATATAAAGAGCTAGAGTCGCCAGTCGTGTATTCACCTCAATCTCCCATAGACTACCACGAGAATGAAGCTCCTCAACCTCACCTCGTTGACCCTGGTTCCACTCACATTGGCAGCAACCCTTCCTAAGATCCGTCAAGCATCAGAGCCGCTCTTATGCTCAGCCGCCTCCAGTCAGATAGCTACGAACGGCACCAACAGCACCCTCTGGCCATGGCAGACATACAAGTCCTCCGATGCTGTGCCTCCGGTGCTCGCAATCAACAAGACCGGTGACGCCTTGTTCGATGGTCTCATCTTCTTCGACGCTTCACTCGGCAGCTCCGTCGTTGCAACAAAGGAAGTAGCACCACTAATTATGACCGACACCGGAGATCTAGTGTGGAATGGACCCGTTGCGACGACTCAAGCAGCCAATGTACGCGTCCAGACCTTCAACGGATCTCAGGTTCTTACATATTGGTCTGGACAAGGCACAGCATGAACTTCGCAGATCGTCGGCCATGGCTTTGGCGAGATCGTCGTCCTCGACACAAATTACACAGAGCTATACACAGTCTGCCCCAAACTCAGCTTCAACTTGCCGCCAAACGTCACAGCAAACTGTGTCGCGGACATTCACTAGTCTTTCATCACATCCAGGAACACAATGCTCATCACGGCGTACAATACCACGCCGGCCGACCTGACGAGTGTAGGCGGACCAAAGAACGGCTGGGTTCTTGACTCAATTGCCGCAGAGGTCAACATAACCACAGGAGAAGTGCTATTCACTTGGAGCCCGCTTGCTCATCTCAAAGTGAATCAAAGCCACTATCCACTCAGTGGTGCCGGTCTGAACCAAAGCAACCCGTACGACTTCTTCCACATCAACGCCATAGAACTCGTCGGAGAGAACTACTTAATCAACAGCCGTCATTTCTGGAGCACCTTCCTCGTCAACCCCAAGGGCGAAATCCTGTGGGAGATCAATGGCGAGACTGGTGGAGATTTCGGCACATTACCCGAAGGCGGTACATTCGTAAGTCCAACCACCCCTTCTAGCATGCTTCAGACACTGACGTTCGTACAGTCCTGGCAACACTTTGCACGTGTGCAACAGCTCAATTCAACCAAGGCTCTGGTGTCTTGGTTCGCCAACAACAACGATTTGACTGGTCAAGCCAATGCCAAACCCAGCACAGGCTTATCTCTCCTTCTCACACTTCCACCCAACGCCACCTCTCCACCAGTACTAGTCACCAACTTTACCAACCCTCATTCTCCCGTCGATGCCTGGTCCCAAGGGTCCTTCCAGTACTTGCCCAATAATAACAAATTCATCGGCTACGGCTCCAACGCAGTCATAGCCGAGTACGGACCGTTCACGAACGGCACAAACGGCACTGAAGGCCAAGTACGCTGGGCCGCGAGTTTTGGATCAGGCGATCTTGTATCGAGTTATCGCGCCTACAAGCAGGTCTGGCATGCGACACCCGCCACTAAGCCCAGCCTCGTCGTCTTGCAGGCAGCTTCAAATGACACGTTGACGCACTGTGCAGGGTCTTCGACATGGAGAGGTTACGTGAGTTGGAATGGCGCCACCGATGTGACGAAGTATATCGTGTACACTGGGTCGACGAATACTACGTTGACGGCAACGGGTCAGGCTAGCAAGACTGGATTTGAGACCGAGTTTGTGGTACCATCAGGTGCCGCTTACGTGCAGGTTGGAGCTGTCGAGAACAATGGGACAGCTGTGACTAGGAAGTCTAGCGTCGTAGCTGTGGGAGACAGTTGATCTAGTTAGCATAACCATCGGTATCCGTGGGATTCATAGAGTTGCAAAAGTCACGCTATAATTATGCATGTGGTAGTATCCAACACATTCTTTTTGTTATCGTAGCAACATGCTTTTGGTCCTGGCCCTTGATATTCATGCTACTCATTATCAGCCTCCTCCACATCTTCAGTCAATCTTGATCCCAACCCTGCCTTCAAGCGCGTTATACCCGACGCCCCTAAGATTCCATGTCCCCTTCACTTCACTCATAGTATTCCCTCCTCGATCCGTAGCCTTGCTCCAGATATCCACGCCCTCGGCCGGTTCAGCAGGAACATATACCTCCCACAGCACCCAACTGAACTTCCCTCTCGGTTTCCCTCTGTTCGCCGGATGCGTAGTATGCTCATCCCCACCATCCATGATCGTCGCATCATACCAACTCCCTCCACGATCAATACTAACCTGTACTCTGACCACAGGTCCATCTTTGCCCTTCGGGATGGCGTAACCCGCGATCCTCACTTTCCCATCATCCCGGCGGACAAGTGTCTCACCATCCTCCCCAGGCACCGCAACCACAGAGTTAATCGGGTTATCCTGCATCGCTGGGGTCTTGTCCCAGAGGCCTAATTCCTCTGCCTTTTCAGGGGACGTCGCTTCTGGAGGCAAGACCTTGTAGTCGTGTTGTTGGTAGTGATTTTGCGATTCACGGCTGGACAAGACGATTGTGTCTAGCCATTTGACTGATCTGGCGCCTATTATGCCGGGGATGACTGACCTGACGGGGCCGCCGTGGCGGTCGGGGAGAGGGGTGTCGTTCATCTTTCGTAGCATAGCAAGTCAGCTAGGACAGTGCTGCTGAACAATTCAACGCAAACACCCACGCAGAGTAGGAAGATACTGGGCAGGCCGGGAGGATCTTGGGAACATTAGACACTCACCTCCAGCGCAAGTACAACTTCCCTCTCCTCATCCATAACCACATCAAGCGGCACGCTGGACCCGTACCACTCATCATCCTGGACCTCGGTAGCATTACACTCCATCTGGACATGCAGACCCTCGTGCATCGTTTTAGGGCTTAATCCAGCATGGATCAGCACATCCCGCAACAAAGGCCCCGTCCACTCTGCATTCATGACCGCCCCATCTCCCCAGTCTATACCACTGACTTCCTTGACGCGACTACGCATCTCATGCCGACGGTTTCCCGCGCACTGGAGCGCGCATTGGACTGTATGTTGCCGGAATTTCGTCTTTAGGTCATCCACGGATAATACAAGGTCCACAGAGATAGTGGTTGCCTCGGACTTGATTGTCAGCTTGTGTGCTAGTGGGTCAATGTGTTGTATTGGTCCGTGATTTCGGTCGTACGCCACCTGCGTGTCGTCTGCTGTTTTGCTGGGTTGAGATTCAGACGGCGTTAAAAAGCTGGGTATGATACTTCGTCAGCCTGTCACACGGTATTTGCAGGGCATGTCAACGAAGGCCAGGTGAAGGTGGACATAGTTGACATGATGTCCAGTGCTCAGTCTACAGTACCTTTGTACCAGATGGCTCATGTCTGGTTCTCTGTTGATGGGCTCCTTGACGGTGCCATCGTCGCTGCTAGGCATCTCCAAAGTCGGCACCAACAAGGATAGAACCGAGTGGCACGATCAGTCTTCAACTCGGCTTGAATGAACGAGAAGCGACAAGACTTTGACAACAGTGCTGATGTCGTGGCTCGTGAATGAATGTGAACGATGCATCCGCCTCGAGACATTCTTACTTGCCATACTCCGCACTCCGCGTCATCACTTACAACATACTGTATGCAGGGAGTGGCACTCGAGGTGTTGGCCCTAGGCCTCTTTTTAAGGACTTTCGTCTAAAGTTTCCGCTAGATTTAGGTTCGTGCTTAACTAGACTTTAGACGTTCTACCACCTCCTCGCCTAATTCCTCGGTCCCAATTCCTTCAGATGCCTAATCTTGGTCCAGAAAGAAACTAGACGTCGTTAATTTAACTCATCACAAAATTGCTGAAAATCTTCCGCGAGTGTCAACACTCGCTCAAAATTAGCCTCTATGGCGCAGTGGTAACGCGGTATGACAAACTCTTATGATGATGCTTTGCAGCATTCACTAAACGATTATCAGTCGCACTTGTACCACTGGAAGTTGTACTTCCTGATGCCATAAAATGCGAAGATCACAAGTTCAATTCTTGTTGGAGGCATTGTTTTTTTTGCCTCCTTTCTTCAATCCAAGGAATTTGCTATTTCATGTACGACTAGTGACAGGCATAACCTGTATGAAGATGAGATCGATTGTTTCGGACATCGATAACAAGGGAGGTCACTCTTTTGACAAAGCACTTTCTGACACGTTGAAGTCGTGTAAGTCATCTCATGAACTGTCTGCCCCTTTATCAGCCTGTGTCACGATGAAGTGCAATAAACACCAGGTCTTTGAAAGCGACTGGGTTCAGCTTTAAAGCCCTTGGCCCGACCATGTCAAGCTTCATTACCGAGCCTGATGTGTGCCTGCTACAATGACAATCCTCGCTATGCAGAAAATCCAACATTACACGTAGACCGTGTTTACTTTTTGCCCCTCTTTCCTTTCGCCTTCGGATCTTCGCTACCACCCAAAATTGAGTCGAAGGTGAGGTTGGGATTGTAGTTCGGATTTGCTTTGGGCCGTGACTGCACCTGAGGAGGTGGTGCCTCCATTGCATCCAATCCAAGATTTACCGAACTTCGACTGCTGACATTTCTTAGCTCGTTCGAACTGGCCGACGAGAGTGGCTTCATGAGTGGTGAGGTGCCAGGATCCAGATATGGCGCTTGCTGAGGGTTGAGGAATGGCGAGCTGCCAGTTTGAAGCTTCTGTGGCTGTAAAGCAGCTGTCGGTCTTTGGAGGGTTTCTGCCCACCTGGTCGCTACTGTCCAGCAATGGCTTCGTCGGTAAATACCTTCGACACTATGGTCAATCAAGTCGGCTGGCAAACTGACCACACCGCCGCCACTAGCAACGTTGTACCATGCCCTAGACGTCGATTGGTCTTCCTTCACCCATGGTCTTCCTCCTCTTGGAGCAACACATAAGAAATACTCCACCCCATCTGTGTGCTTGAGGTCTCTGGCATCCACAACAGTCATAGGCAGGGATTGCAACACCGCATACAAAAACAGCCAGTGGCCGCATCGGTAATCAACAATTTGGTCCAAGGTTTTGCCGCCACCAGAGCGACGCTCATAATTGAAAAAGTCTTGGATCCACGTGCTTGCATTGATCGACTCGCGATTGTATGAGCCCAACAACACCTCATTGACTTCATTTTCTCTCAGTTTCTTTCCTTGCAACGTCGCTGCATCCGGACCAAGTACGTGGTCCCTGTTGAAACTGTTTGAAAACTGTGGAAGTAGTGGCGCGTCAAATGGAATCGGTGGCATCACGGGAGGCGCCGCTCGGTCGTACTCGCTTTCGATACGACGAACCGCATGTTGTATGAATTCCATGTCACTCGTTTCGGAATTGTCAGTCATCGCAGCCATCTCCACAGTTCTTGTTGTGAGAGATGATCGATCAACAAGAACATCATACAGGTCGGTAAAGTCTTTGTAGACTTCTCGAAGCAAAAGTCTGTTTAGACCGCTTTCCTCGAAGTTGTTCTTCTTCGATGATGCCTTGGGTGGCCAGGACCCGTACTTGCGCCGATAATGAGCAATGGTGAATTTTCGAACGTCTAGGAAAGCAGCTTTCCACTCTTTGAACCGCGAAGCTCGGCTCGAACTCTGAGAGTCTGCAATACCTGCAAACATGGAGGGAAACTCATAGTCTTCGAGCTTGCCTCTAACCGTCATTAGTCTCTGTTCCAGATCAAGTTGTGCCCGTTCCAATCGATTCATGGTGATTGGTGACATCTTCTCATACTTCGGACTCCTCATAGCCTTGATATCTGCCAATCTACCGACGGCATGAGTAAAGCCTTCGTTGTAAAGCGCCCACGACTTGACTTGCTCGCCCAGAACGATAGCTTCAATCGTCTTTTCTCGACTCGAACGGACGTCTGACAACCTCAGCTCGTCGCAATATCGTGCAAAACTCGTGGTCGGCACATCCCCGAATGTCGAGCCGTCTGCGTTGGTAAATGAAAATCTTCTGAGAATCGTGCTGATTCCCATGAAGATGGAAAACAACGTGACCTGTCTCGGTGTTGCAACCAATGCGCCACCCGCAAGGAATGCAAAAAAGTTGCGATACAACAAGATCAACTCGAAATCATTGCCTTGAGGTTCGGATTCCGGATAAGAAAGATCTTCGTCGAAGCCAAGAGGCAGATACACATGCTTTTGCTGGCCTGCGGCAGAGACAACTCCTGCTGCTGAAAAATTGATGGATGGCTGAGAAATGGAGCTCGCCTGTGAAGGAGGCCGCAGCTGGCCTGAGGGCAAGGTGATCTCGGAAAGGGCATGCTGTAGCACCTGCATATCACCATCTTTATCGACTGCAGTAGATGGCGACTGCATTCGCAGGTTGACGAGCGCTCTGGAGTCTGCCAAGAGAACCGAATCGAGTCGAAAGCATGGACCTTTCCCTGATGAAGGAGGGTAGAGGTAGACGATGGTATCACCTTGATCATTCCAAAGCTCGGGTACCTAAAAGTCATTCTTTAGCATGATTCTTCTTCTTGCCGAACCATGTCTTTACCTTCTCGCCATACAAAAGCGTTGTCACATCATAACCAACAAACTCTCGAAGCCCAGCGATCCAAGCCTGCTGCCCGTATCCCTGCGCCTGACTGTCGTAACTCTTCCGGTCTGATCTTGTAGATATCCAACTCTTCTTTTTGCTCTTTGTGGATGTTGGTGTGACTGGTCGAGCAGGGGGCATGGCATCTGGTGGTACCGAGATGCTCGGCGTCTGAGGACGACTTCGACTATTATCTCGACTTCGAACCAGATTCAGGCTAGGGGGGCTGCTGGCTCGACTTCCCGCTCGACTGCCTGCTCGACTGTCCGCCTGACTGCCGGGGCGGCTATCCGACCGTTGACTGCTCGGCGGTCGATACAGCCCATTGTGTGAAAAAGGAGGTGGTGCTAGAGGAGGATTTCCATCGTTGTAGCCTTCGAAGGGGCTTGGGATATTGTGTTTGTGCAGTTTACGAGGCGCGGGTGCTGTAGTGGACGATTGAGCGTATTCGAGAGAACCTGCATCTGAAGAGCCTGATCTTTCAGAGTGCTGGTCCTTCTCATCGCGTGAAAGCGATAACAAGGCGGACAGTCTCCTTGCCATTGTGTCTATCACGCTACCCGGGAGACGAATGTCTTTCTCTTCAGCCTCACAAAGCTATGTGGTTTGTTTTCCGTTGACCACAGTATCCGAGGTCTGCGTTATAGGAGGGAAAGGGGGTGACCGTTACTGTCTTCCGTCCCGAGCGCTGGCACCGTCTCTGCAGTGTCACCATTCTGTTTCACAGTCAGTTGTACGGGCGAGACGCATGCAGGATCGCCAAATAGATCATGAAATCAATGAAATTCAGGCCAGAAATAACAGCACGCCTGGTGAGGCTCGGCAAAGTGAAGTGACGACGAGGGGGCCAAAGATGACACTGGGGGTTGCTGGATCGAGTCTTGTTGTGAACTCGCGTGATTCGCAGTGCAGTGCAGTGCAGCGGGTCAGGCTGCCCCCCGTACATGACGCTTCTTGCAGGGAGGGCATGTTAGCATAAGCGAGGTGAACGGTCGCCTATAAGCGTCACTATTCACTGACAAAGGTATGCGACGCATGGACGGCGACTGACATTAAGTGTAGGTAATGCAGTAGATGAGGGATGCAGGCCAGTATTCTTTGTAGTGAGTTAAAGTTCCAAGACAAGCCACGATTTTGCCCATGCTCTCTACCGTCGAAAAAGGACTTGTTTTCCTGTTCATCCGCTCTGACGTCTTTGGCTTGCGACGAGCAGGTGTCACCTAACTTAATCAAGTCAGGCACAGGCCTCGGCGGCTTCGGCTCCCCACGATGCTTAAATGCCGCTAATGCGATGTCTGGGTTTTAGCTTCCGAAAAACTCAAGATCCCAAGAAAGATGGCGACATCACAACTGTTCTAAGGAAAGGATTTTACCGGGAATGCCTCGTGAGGTGTAAATGTGCATACGACAGCCATCTATCGCAGTTGCATCACTTCAACGTTTTTCAAGGCTTCGATCACTTTCAGCAGTAGGGGCATCATACGGCAGGTTACCTCTAAATAAAATGACCAGGAAAACTTCTCAGAATCGTCCCCCGATTGAAAGGTCGATTGATCTTTTGACAGGATGGCCAAATCCGACATTGTTACCTCCAAGAGATCTTGACAAGGCGTCTAATCAGATCCTCTCCAACGCTAATAACACGGATGTCTTGGGCTACGGCCCCGATGAAGGTTACCAGCCCTTGAGAGAAGAAATTGCCAAGTGGCTGAACGAATTCTACCAACCCAAAAATGCAATCTTGAGTGCGAGTATATGTATCAGTGGAGGGGCCTCCCAGAACCTGGCATGCGTACTGCAAACCTTTACCGACCCTGTTTATACCCGCAACGTCTGGATGGTGGCTCCGTCCTATTACTTGGCGTGCAGAATCTTTACGGACTCTGGTTTTGATGCTCGGCTGAGGGCCGTCCCAGAAGACGAGGAAGGTATCGACCTTGGATACCTTGAACGTGGACTGCAGGAAAGCGAAAAACGAGCACAGGCCGAGAACAATCATGAACCAAAGATAAAGGCACCAAAGCCATGGAGAAAAATATACAAACACGTCATATATGCCGTGCCAACGTTCTCGAATCCAAGTGGCCGTATCATGAGCCTACACCACCGGCATGCCCTGGTCAGACTTGCGAGGAAATATGATGCTTTGATAGTCACTGACGATGTGTATGATATGCTCCAGTGGCCGTCTGACCCTAGCCTCGGTCCTAGAAGAATGGATCGAGCAGTCCTGCCTCGCTTAGTCGACATCGATAAAGAGCTCGACGGAGGGCCGGTGGACGCTTTTGGGAACGCAGTGAGCAACGGAAGTTTCAGTAAAATTGTTGCACCAGGATGTCGAACCGGATGGGCTGAAGGTACCGAAGCGATGGCTTATGGTATCTCACAAACCGGATCAAGTCGATCGGGCGGTGCTCCCTCTCAACTTGTGGCTTCCTTCATCTACCAGCTTCTTGCGAGTGGGACATTACAGAACCACATCTACGAAGAATTGCAGCCTGCATATGGGAGACGATATCACCTCATGATGAGGGCGATAGAGACCCACCTCCTACCACTTGGTCTCACATTACCACAGGCGAACAAGGATGTCGCAGGAGGATATTTCATCTGGTTGACGCTTCCTGGAACCTTGGATGCCATAAAACTAACAAAACGAGCCCTCGCGGAGGAGAATCTGACCATCATTGATGGAGCCAGGTTTGAGGTGGATGGTGATAAGAATGAAGCAACTCGCTTCACGAAAGAAATCCGGCTTTGCTTTGCCTGGGAAGATGTGGATGTTCTGCAAGAAGGAGTGATGCGGTTGGCGCGTGTGATAAAAAGCGAAATGACCGGGTCAGATGAGGAGTGATGAAAAGTAATTCGGGTTCAATGAATGACCTGCTTCAATCAATAGGCACCACCAATTTTATGTAACAGAAAGCCCAAGCGATCTCTTTCGATGAGCGCCGGTTGGTGTGCACTGATCAGCTCCATCTCTCTAGAGCAGTTCAACTCTACCAGCATTGTCAGGTTGCAAAAGCCGGCAAATTTGATGTCCATGCTGTCAAACAGCGCCCCGGTCTGTGCCGTTTTCGGAGTGTTTCATGGTGTGCCACGCGTGCCAATCAGATGTGTGACAGGCGTCAATCTGGACAACATCCGAACCTCGTCTTCCCCTTTCGAATTCTCATCTCCTCTTACTCTTCGGCCAGATGACTGGATAGGAAAGAAAGTGCATATTAAGGAGTTACCGCAGATGGTGTCCTCATCAAATCAGCTGTCCTAGCCCAGATTCGTAGGCACTCTACTGAATTCTCGCCACGCGACCGTCTCTCGACGGAGCGGCGCGAAGCTCAAGAAGATGGAGAACCAGGAGACATGGCCGAGAGTGGTGAAGGAGAAACTCAACGACTGACCTTCCTTTGTGCAAGTTTTCACTTCAAATGAATAGCTGGAAGTGGATGAGAAAGATGGAGACCGCTGTTAGGGGGATGGAGAGAAATGCAGTGTAAGTCGTTGGCATTGTAAGACTCTTCACTGACAACACCACCACTCACTCTTGTGCACATCGACATTCTTCTTCTCCTTGAGTCTCCTGACAGACCTTTCTCTTTCCATTGTCTGGATCTTCTGACTTGACGTCTTTGTTGTTCATTCATTCGCTTCTCAGAGAAGGGCTCACTAAGCACCTTCACTTGATTCATTCGTTTGAGACAAAGAAAGACAGGAAGAAACAATCACCCTCCTTTGTACCGGCCGCCTTGACTTCGAGGCCTCACTGCTTTCCTTTGCAAGCCGGCGGTAACCACTCTCGGACCGCCTTCCCTCGTCGTCTGACTACGGCTGATCACTGGTCCTCTGGGGAAGTTGTTGGGTGTGCCTGCCTTTGTCTGTTTAATACCTTTATTGTTTTGATCCGATTGTTGCCTCCGTCACGGCAGTTGCGACCTGCTTACGAGGAAAGTCCTTTCTCGACCAGTCTTCGATCTCTCAAACGGTCTTCGAATTCATATCTCTCCACATCAACCACTTGCACAGATCACTGTCGAACCTTTTTGTTTGGTGCCGGACACCGATACTATTTTACGAACTCCTCATAAGGTGCCTTTGCAAGAATAACAACAATCAACAAGCATCACATTGTCCACAATGTTGCTCTACTACCTCTTCCTCATCCTGCCATGGCTGGCCATGGCTATACCAAGACCTCACGAATTAGCATCACTGAAACCACGACAAGAATCATCGTCCAGCTATTGGGTTGCCCAAATTCAGCGACAGGGGACAGTTGCGTTCGGATCAAACTCAAGCTACACAATCTTTCGCAACGTCAAAGACTATGGCGCAGTTGGTATGTAAAAGACCCTTGTACGTGAGAATATTTTGCTAACAGCTTTTTAGGTGACGGCGTGACCGACGACACAAATGCCATCAACACTGCGGTCTCCGACGGCAACAGATGTGGCCAAGGCTGCGACAGCTCTACCACCACTCCTGCGATCGTCTACTTTCCTCCTGGCAAATATGCTGTTTCGGCTCCAATCATCCAATACTATTACACACAATTTATTGGTGACGCTGTCAATGTCCCAACGATTGTGGCCATGCCCAGCTTTCAAGGAATTGCAGTCATGGACACCGATCCTTACATTCCTGGAGGAAATGGCGCTCAGTGGTATACCAATCAGAACAACTTCTACCGTCAGATTCGGAACTTCATCATTGACCTCACGCAATTACCCGAAACACTTGGTGCTGGCATCCACTGGCAGGTTGCACAAGCCACCAGCCTGCAAAACATCGTCTTCAACATGGTAGCGAAAAGTCCTACAAACAAACAGCAGGGCATCTTCATGGACAATGGCTCTGGCGGTTTCATGGGCGACTTGGTCTTCAACGGCGGTAACTATGGTGTCTTCCTCGGCAATCAACAATTTACCTCCAGGAATATGACATTCAATGGTTGCAACACTGCGGTTTTCATGAACTGGAACTGGTTGTGGACATTCAAATCACTAAACATCAACAACTGTGACGTTGGAATTGACATGTCCACCCTCGATGGAGGCGTCAATCAGACTGTTGGCTCTATTGTCGTCTTGGACAGTGTCATGGCCAATACCAAAATCGGCATTTGGACCTCGTACAACCAGACGAGTCAACCAACCACCGGAGGCACTCTGGCTTTGCAAAACGTCGATTTCACCACGACCAACATTGCCATTGCTGGTGCCAATGGCGTTGACCAGATCCTCGCTGGGTCCAGTGTTGTGGACTCATGGGCTCAAGGTGATGCGTATCGACCTGCGAGCGGAGTTCAACGCGCCAAACGACAACCTCAACTCCAGACCTCCTCGGCAACGTCAGCCTGTTCAATGTCAACCACAACTACCACCGTGACGCTCTCTACGGTACCCGCCACACCAAACTACTCTGCGTTGACCTCTACGGTGACTGTCTTGCCAATATCATCATCCACTGGAAGCACGCTACCGAGTGCTCCTGTCCCTTATGGTAACTCCACATCCTCTGATTTGCCGGCTGGTAATGCCAGCGCTTGCTCGGCCTCACCCATTGCCTTGCAATCTGCCCGCGTGCAGCAACAATTGACTGCTCCTACTCTGCCTGCATCTCTTATGAACGGCAACGCGGTGTTTGAACGGTCGAAGCCTCAATACGAAAATATACCCGTTTCGTCGTTCGTCAGCGTCAAGTCTGCTGGTGCAAAAGGTGATGGTGTCACGGATGACACCGCTGCCCTCCAAGCCATCATGAACAATGCCACAGCAGACCAGATTGTCTACTTTGATCACGGCGCGTACATTCTGACTGATACCTTGAAGGTACCCAAGAATATCAAGATCACGGGCGAGATCTGGCCTTTGATCATGGCCAAAGGCGATGCATTCACCGATATCAACAATCCGAAGCCTGTGTTCCAGGTTGGCTTACCTGGTGATACTGGTTCGGTGGAGATCTCAGATCTGGTCTTTGAAACCATGGGTCCTCTTCCCGGAGCCATTATGATGGAATGGAACGTGGCCGAGACAAGTCAAGGATCTTGCGGCATGTGGGACACCCACTTCAGAATCGGAGGTACTGCAGGCACTCAACTGCAGGAGAATACTTGTCAAGCCAATGTTACGGGATCTTTCGAGTTCAAACCCGAGTGCGCGGGCTCATTCCTGATGATGCACATCACGCAGCAAGCATCTGCTTACATTGAGAATGTTTGGCTTTGGGTTGCCGACCACGAGCTTGACATCACTACCCACGATCAAACGGACATCTACAATGGCCGCGGGTTGCTTGTTGAAAGCCAAGGCCCGGTTTGGCTATGGGGTACCTCATCTGAGCACAGTCAACTCTACAACTACCAGATCTCTAACGCACAGGACATCTTCATGGGAGCCATTCAAACCGAGACTCCTTACATGCAATCCAGCCCTGACGCATTGAGTGGAGGATTTCCACCAAGTTCAACCTTCACGGATCCTACCTTTGCGAATTGCACCACCGAGTCATGCAAGAAGTCATGGGGTTTGCGTATCGTGGATTCGAGTGACGTGTACATGTATGGAGCGGGACTTTACAGCTTCTTTGACAACTACATCCAAACGTGTCTGGAAACCGAGTCTTGTCAAGAGAACATGGTGGACATCGAATGCTCGACCAATATCAATCTCTATGGTCTCACTACCAAAGCCTCAACAAACATGGTCAATGTTGATGGCGTTCCGGAGGCCTTCGAGCAAGACCATACCAACTTGTTTGGACAGACCCTGGTTCTCTTCGAAACATGATTGTAGTTGGCAAGGTCAGACTTTGCAAAAATCATTGAAAGACATCTTGGTCATCTACTGTTGGGAGGAATGGAGCGCTGGAAAGCTCAGGGGGGATGAGCTGAGACATCAATTGACAACATGAATAGTATGTTATGAAGGATCCAAGTCGACATTGGTTGGTTGAGGGCTGATGTGCATAAGGATACCCAGTGATACAGTTGATCAGCGACTGCTTATTCGAGGTATTTTAGTCTGTAATATTCAGATAAACGATGAACAGCAAGCAAATGAAACATGATGGCTTTGTGCATCGTTGACTTTACACACTCGTAAAAGATGACTCGACTATCACAGTACTAAGACTGGTGAAGCTGTAAATGATCCGCGTGCCTTAAAGAGCGTATCCTATTCGTACTCCTTGATAGCTGCTATTCCAGGGTTCATGATTGGCCATCAAAGTCCTATAGGCGCGAGCTAGCCTGGAAGCTGATCACAATAAGCGGGGTCTTATTTGGCAGATCCAAGGTGCGGGGTGCGCTTAAAGTATCTAAATGGCTGATCTGCGTTATTCTTGATATTGTTGTCGTTCTCCAACCTTTTTTCCAAAGCGCCTGCCTTCAGTGAAGTGAAGTGGCAGTGAATTTCAAAATGGTCTGAGATCCGTATCACATCGAGACCTCCGTAACTCAGCCCACTTACAAAGAGGTAACAAATCAATTGCAACTTGCATCTCATTGTTATTTACACCCATCACCATATATCTTCCCTCATCTCTACATTTTGACCAATGTCCGCTACAAGAACCACTCCTCGTACCAATGGCACTCAGGCACCCTCCGCGGTTTCCCATTGATGGTGATGCCCTGAACGACAGATCTGCCTTAGAGAACCACGGTCTCGACCTGCCCGGTCGTCCGCTTCCAGATCATCCTTCGATCCACCCGTCGGAAGTCACTTCACGCAAGCGACCTTCCTCCTCTGAAGATCCACTGGTTGTCCACCCCTTCGCGACGGACTTTGGACCGAAGACTCTCACACGCTTCCTGCGCGAAGAAATTCTGAAGTTGCAATCTTCCATACGCTCTGCAAAAGGCAAGGGCAAAGAGAAGGAATTACGACAGAATGTACACCCTGCGACACGCCATTGGGAGCACTCGAGAGACATGAGTGATGAGGCTCGCGATTCCACATCGTCGAGTGAAGATTACTCCATGGACTTTCAAGTTAAAGGCCCGGGACGATCTCTCTTGTCCACTGCATTGAACCCAGCCAGGCGCCGCTCGGAGCGATTGGCTAAAAAGGAACAAACACAACTGTCCGACCGGGTTGACCCTGCATCTGGCGATGTTCCCTGGACACTTCAGTTCGCCACGAGACAGTCACGAGATGAGGACATTCCTGGCAGCTGCAGCAGCCGTCGGGTGTCTACAAGCCGACGTGGTCTTAGACCAGCGAGGCCAAACCAATCCAGCATTAGCAGTAGCACCAGCGCAATGCCTGCCACAAGGAGCCAGACGTTCGATGCAGGATCACCCAGGAGAGTCAACTTCGAAGAGCATACCATGAACAGAAGAAGGGCAGTTAGGAACATAGCCATCGTGGAGGCCAATGAGGGTCTGGAAAACCATCGAGATTCGTTGCGACCACCACCTCGGTCTAGAACTGTCGATGAGTTTCCCAGTTCTTCTACCTCTTTGCCAGAGACATCAGCAGATCGATCTTATCTTGGTTTCACGAGGTCGCGCCGACCTTCCCTGCCGTCCCCTCCTAAGGCCCGAACATCTAGCAGATCGCGTCGGCGTGACGATCAACGCAACCCCACCGTGCCCAATCACTCTAATCCCCCAGGAAAGAAGAGAACATCTCGCGCGAAAAAGCAATTGAAGAGTGGCGGTCTGCCAGCCTCAGATCCAGAAATCTTTCCATTGCTTGCTAGTATGTTCTCCGACATACATGCACGGAGAAAGATATCCCCAATCCCGGCACAACTTGGCTCTGTCATGCCCGACGACGATACACAACTCTCTCAGCCACTCTTCCATTTCGATTACGCAGACACTGTTCCTGAGAATGTTTCCGCCGGATTGAAGAGCGACTTCCTGCGCGATCTACAACGAGTGACTGGGACAGGGGTTCTGGAGATCAACACAGTGGAAAGGGAAGCCTCATCAGAGGTACCGAAAGAGTCTCTTGCGATTCCGTTCACAGTGAATGGGCCGGGTTATTCTAGCCCTTCAAGCACAGGCAGTCTCGGTCAGGAGGGCTCAGACAGTACGACGGACAGCAGCCACGATGGGACTGCGAATAAGGGTGTGGGTCTGGCGAGCTTTGATGCTGACATTTGGATGAATATTGCACACTTTCTTTCCACTGAGGATATCAAGAACGTTCGTTTCGTCTCCCGAACTCTTGCGAATGTATTGGCCCCGATCCAGTTTCGCAACATTGTGATCAACTTCGACAGATCATTTTTCGATGTCAATGAGGCTGCTTGGAACACCAAAAGTGGCTCTTTACCATCGAATGCCATGCTGAGGAAGTACGGAGGCGCCATCAACCAGTTCGGAATAGCGTTCGAATATGATTTGAACGGACTCGCTCATGCGAAGGAAAAGGTCATCGAAAAGGAACAAGTTGCTTGGTTTGGGAGGTTTTTATGGCCTACCGAGCAGTACCCGCGCTATCCCAGCTTGCAGGGAATCGAAGATTTGGTCGATCACAACCGACCATTGCTCAAAGAAGCATTCAAGCATGTTACCAAAGCTTCGGAACTTGGATTGTGCATTGACAGTGGACATGGATGGCTTGAAGGCCCTGATATATCAGACCTCGCTGTTTTTAATCGACGTATGGCCAAAGGAAGCAAAGTCTTTGGAAAGACCTTCAATAGCGAAGAGGCATGGACGGCTTTGGCTCGCAACCAGTACTTCAACTGGGCGCAACAAAATACGATCAATGAAGCCCTCAAGCTGCTGAGGGAGCGAGCACTTTCTGAAGAATGGGCGGCCAAGGAAGTTGATTTCTTGGAGACGCTTCATATTCGCGATTTTGGTAGTTTCCGGCAGCAAAAGGAGCAGGTTGACTTTTGCTCTGGAGCACACGTTGGTGTGTTCGGTCGTGATCAAGGCCCATTGGAAGAGGCTTACTTCGACACCCTTGTAGGCCAGTCGACCTACGCCCGAACACAATGGCCGATGATCTTCAATGGTTATAACCTGGCTGCTCACTTGGGTGGCCATGCCACACCTATCCAGAATAAGACGGCAAATCCTCTGCTGGGTCCACTTCTACCTGGAAGCCTCACCGAAGCACAGGCTCAATGGCTGATGGAAACCGCGTGGGCACAGCGCGCCTTTCTGTCCGCATACACCACAGCCGTCATAACCAACAAACAGAATTTTCGGGACATTCATACCTTGAGGATTAGCAAGTTGTCGTCTGGCCTTCTTCCGTCGCTCGAACAGCATGAATTTTGGAAGTCTTTGCCCCGGTTGAAGACCCTGCAAATGTTCATCAGTCCAGATTGGCGGCAAGAATATGTCATTGGTGATCGATCCTACACCACCAACATGCTCATCTCACCTGTGAAAGCGGCCCAGAAATTCACTCAATTCTTACGGACGCATATCGCCAAGATTGAGAGCCTCCATAGCCTGACAATCGGCTATGCTGGCGGAGGGGAACACGCCGTCGGAATGTTTGCGCGAAACCAGCATGTTCTTCCTGCTCCGATCATTGATGACCCCCGTGACTGGCTCCGCGGCGTTAGAGGCGTCATGACCAAGTTCGACCATATCCGTCATCTCAAGTTTGAGAACTGTTGGTTTACTCCATGGATGTTGCAAGGGTTCATGGATCAAAGCAAGGACACTAGCCTGCATTCTCTAGCGCTTGAGTCAGTAAGCATGGTGCCATATCACGAGTTTGGTTTGGACCGGCGTTTGACTACCATTTCCAGCAATCTGCAATGCCTGCACGGTCCGGACTCATGGTTGCTTGAGACCATCCCCAACAGCGCAGCTTGGTGTCGAGTTTTGGACGCCATCACACCAGGCAAAACCTTTCTGGATCGACAATACGAGACGGGCATTTTGAAAGAAGATGAACAGCCAAAACCCCAAAGATCATTCCGCGGCCATGTCCGACAAATAACACTCAAGAGCTGTGGCTATGTTAGAATCACGCAGCCAAAGAGCACGCAGACAGGTTACAACCAGAATGGAGCTGTTTCACACGTGGTCAGCCCCATGGACAAAGGCATTCAACAACGCAAGGCACGATTTGATAAGTCGTTTCCCCCAGCCTATGCCGAAGAGAACGACATGGTCGCGATGAATGCGAGACGACGTCCTCCGCGGGATCGGTATGATGACCCTGCACATAACCGCGTCATGTTGAGTACAAATGCCCCTGGAGGGGAAGCTTATCCATGGCTAGGAACACTGACGCAATGTGTGCATCCTATTGAGAAGAGAGTTTTGGAAGGTGCTTGGGGTATGACCTTTGGTTGGGGCGATGATATGGCACGTTGGGGTGCGGTGGAAGATGGCTTCTTTGAAGGTGGCACAGGCCGGTTCAGCGGTGTGATTGACAAGGATGGCGATGGCCTTGGGGATGACGATTGAGTCTGAAACGACCAGACCTTCCGATGATTGGGAAGTGGTCAGGTCAGGACACATGCTAGAGTATGCGAGGCCATCTATTCAGGACTTCAACAGGGCATTCCTGATCTCTGGTTGCAACGGGCTCGAACTCGAAGGGTACTCCTGCCGGTGGTGAGGGATTGTGTAATCTACTCATGAGCTACGTGCGAGATCAACAGTGGTATCCTGCGAAACTGGATGCTCGAGCTTGCGATTTCGACTACGAGAATAAACGTTATTCCAGTCACGCTTTCTCATTCTCTTGCAATTCACTTCTCCAAATGATATTGTACTGATTCCAAAACAGCCATTTTCTGCGCCACGACCGAGCAAAACATCATACCAAAGCCAACCGTGTCACCGTTTCTGTTCAGCACAAGGCAGTCCAGTCACCACATATATCAATCTGATATGTGTCACCACCTGCGCAAGACATCATAAAAAGATGCAGCACAACGCACGCTCACCAGCACATACACCAATGACATATGTGTGACCTTCGACGTCGACTGTTGACTTCGACGTCGAGTCTCAAAGAGAAGCATATCGTCTCAATCTACGCTGGTAGTCCTCCCACTGTCTCGCCTGCTGGTACTCATTCCGCTCCGCCTGCTCGAGGGCTTGGGCCAGGGGCATACCGCACAATGACAGGGCAATAGCGCTGTGGACAACGGCTTTGGCTTGTTCGGGCGAAAGCTGGACTTGGCGTGGCACGGAGGAAATACCTCTTTGAATCGTCAGCGTGGCAATCTCCATCACCCTGGCGTTGTACGTTGCCATGCGGGATTTCAGACATGACATGGTCAGACCGGTATGGTTGCTTATCGTATGGAGGTTGCGGCCCCGCTCAGTGCCGACTTCGCGGATGATGGATTCGATTTGAATGACGTTGTTGAGGGTGGCTTCGAAGCTGACCTGAGGGACGATGATGGATGGCGTGCCATACTGGTATTGTTGGTATGGCTGGCGGCTTGATCCGGGTGTGGAGTGTCGGGTATATGGTGTGGAAGCTCGGCTGGTGTTCGGATTCCTGGGACTGTTGCGAAGGATACTCCGCGGTGTTCTTGGGTTTGGTGTGGAGTGTCTGGAGTAGGGTGTGGAATCTCGGTTCATGGTGATGGTGGTGCTAGCAGGAGTAGTCTGGAGAGCCTGGATGATGTGTTGAGAGGGTCTTGGTGATGCTGGAACAGGCCACTAGGCTGAGAGCTCGTACGATACTGGACAAGATTGATTGCTCTTGATGGAAATGGCCGATGATGAACAGCTCTTCCTGATACTGGATAGCATTGAGAGCTCTTGGTAGCGTTGAAGGACAAGGTGAGGAGCAAGATGTTCAAGCATGTTTACGGTGAGCGTGTTTGTTGACCTCTTGTGAGTCCGTCGTGTCATGGTCTCTTAGCAACATGTCCTTACCTTTCACTTGGTTGTTGTTCTTGTGAGTTACTGTGCTGTTGCTGCTGTTGTCTGCACAAGGCAGTGAATGGTAGACACGTTGTCTAGGGTGAACATACTGCCTCGGGATGCACAATTGGTGAAGATGAATTCATATCTCGAACGAGACATCGTCGGAGTAGCTTGTCCGACTCCAGACAGTTGGGGCAGTGTGGCACTTACAAGTGCAGGGCGCCTACCTGTCAGCGTCTGCTCCATGTAGCATCTCACAGTGGCCATATTTCGAGGAGACTGGCTGTTGAGTATCCTACCATCAGTCGAGCCTGGAAGACGATACAGCGAGCCTTTTCGACGCACGTCTGGTATGAGAAGTAAACACTCGCCATTCCCTACTCATGCGGTATAAGGGTTGGAGGCATCTCGAGGACGATACGATGGGATTGGTCGGTAGACAAAGGATATCAAAATACACTTGTCAGTATCTCATTCATGTTCACATCAGCTCAAAGGCCGGCATAGGTACATCACAAAAGCATCAACCCCAGCGTGACCCACATGGCTCGCCAACCTATAGGGTGGAGTCGGTTCATGGTATCTTTATAAAGCATGATGAACAAGGCCAGGTGTTGCAATCCTGGCAAGGAGATCTTCTTGTTGCCCACAGCGCCATTCCCTGACTCCTCGAGTCAAGCTTGACATGTAAACTGCCGCAACGCGTGGAGATAGACATGTGATACACAGAGTTCGTGACTGTTTGGCGCCGTCAGTGGTGGAGATATGAGTTCATGTCCACGTAGGATCCACTTGTTTGCCCGAGAAGAGCACGGCCTTTGCTTCGTCTCCCTGGCTGGAATCGATTTTTCGAACCCTGACACCAGGGAACCTAGCCTCAAGGAGATGACTGGTGTAACCAGTGAGCCCCATGACATTGTTCATGGGAACACCAAGCACGTTCAACACCTTTGCGAATTCGAAGATGAATTCCTTCTCCATCTCGTTCGCACTGGGCATTCAAATCTCGATCAAATTTTCTGGCTTCCACAAAGGCCAGTTCCATGGGCATTAGACAGGTCATCTTCTGAATATCGAGGTGGTAGATGCGGTGAGGATTTCGGCAGTCATTTCGACTGTGAGGCGAATCCAACAGTGCCTTGAGATCGTCGACAGTCTTGGACACAGCTCTGGTATGGTCGATGATCTGTGGGATGGTCTTTTCGGCCATCATTGCGGTTACTGAGGTGACCTTGATTGTGGTAGGTTTGTTGTTTGCAGGCGTGGGAGTTCGGCCCTGGAGCGTACTGGAGCAGGAGGTGCATGTCTTCTTTCTGGTTCCATTGTTGGAAGAGGTCTTTCGAATGTCTCTGATCAGCGTAGCTTTTCAACTCTTCGAAATTCCCCTTCTTTATCTGCTCTGCGCGGCTGTGAGTTCATTGAACTCTCTGACATCCTTGACGGGGGATGCAATTGGAGTTCTGAAGACGGTAACCAATAGTCAGCCGTGCAGCTGGAGATGAATCTGGCATCCAGTGTGTTCGCCTTCCGTTGACAATGTGTAGCGTATGGGGTTTTGCAAGGTCGCTATCATTCCCAGATTTTTCCCAATTTGATATTGTGTCTTTGATGTCACGTTGGACGTTCGTGGCCTGAAAGTCTGTTGAGCGCTGGAGCGGGTCCGAGGGCATATAAAGATGAAGTCGCAAGCTGGTGGTCTTTGGCCTCTTGGCCCGGTCTAAGAGCAGCCCAAGAATTTTCATCGAAAGTCGCGCGAGATCGGCATGGACTCTTTCATGTCGGTGAAGGTCAAGCTAGGACAGTCTTGATACATTCCGTTGCCCCCGGGTTGTCCATGGTCTGGAGATGGTGCGCAGTGTCCGTGTTGCACTGCTGCTGTGGTTCCAGAACAGTTTGTTTGACCTGAACAGGAGGTACGCCACTTCTGTACCAGTGCTGAGCAGCCCCCAGTGAACTGCTATATCTGCGGCTGTTTTCGTCCTTGTCTGAATTGGACAGGTCGCCCTCAGCCTGCTGCAAGCTGGGAGATAAATACACGATCCAAGCAGCGCTGCTGTGCAAAGCGGTGGCTGGTTTCGGTCGACTCGCAACGCGGAGGTAAAAGCCACACCATGGAACCACTGACGGTAAGTGGCGTCGTCGTTGATGTCGTGTGTAAGTTGAAGATGAAGACCTACCGGGTACCAGGTTACCCAGCAGTCGGCGCGGCGCGGCAAAACAATATGCCTCGCTGCTGGTCCTGGCACAATGAGCGGACCAGGAAGGCGAACTGTGTACCTGGAAACTCCCTAGTTATTGAAACAGATATGGATCGAGTATGGATACCTAGTCAGCGCAAAGGACAAAATGATGACCCGATCAGCATATCACTTGCCACATTCGTACTCTTGAAGATAGGAATTTGCGATGCTCATGATGTTGACCGTCTTCTCATTGGGCCTTCTCCTTCTTAATGTTTGCTTGAGCGGATATACTGAATTTTGTACCTGGCATGCCGACAATATCAAATTGAGACGATCATGCCAGACCGGCAGATTACTCGCCATATTTGCTCTCTCGATCTCGGGAACTCGCAACACTCATGACACATGTCGTCCTCGCATTGGCTCACTTTCTCTGAAATGTTTGCTTGATCCAATATATCGATGCTCTGTGGACTCGTAACCAGTATCGCTGTGTGTTTGCTACCTATGGAGACAGCTGATGATGCAAGGCTACGGTGATCAGGACTACCTTGTGTCAAGTTGTTATTGGTGGAATAAGAAGAATATTGAAATTCAGAGACACGTAGCAAACAATATGGTCTTGCTGAGAAGCTTGCAAATTGCCGGACTCAGCTCCCGTCCACCATGACTGCACATATGTGCGTTAGAGCAAACAGTCAGAAGTCACGATTGGTCGCAGCATCGAAATTGAGTGTTGGCAATGATGAATGTGCTGTCATTGCAAGGTGAAATTGAAACGGGATCGTACCGGATTGCAGGTATTTGTCACACAGCAATTTCCAGCGAGCAGTACCTGACACACCAGCGTGATCACTTCGCGGGAACGACATCACGATTCTGTGATTGCACATCTGTGTGATCCTGTTTTGGCTTGTTTGGCTCCCCACACCGATCTTACTGTCTCCAATGTTGCTGTTCTTTCGTCTTCGCAAGGCAAGGCTGAAGCCCCTGGATTCTTGGCATCGATCATGCTGGTGGTACATGCGAGAGGCAAAAGTGTTTGGCTGACGAGCCATAATTGATTTGATGCATGATGCAGACTAGTCAATATCTTCTCATCTCAATCTAGTGTATGGAATGTCTGTTTCTGTCTCATGGTAGCTCTTGCATCATATGTGTTGCACTTTGAGTCTCGCCGTGCTTCGCCCAAATATTAACCTTGTCCTCGGAAGACATCAGCAGCAAATATCGCAATTGTCGTGCCTCAAAGTCGCCATCATCGTCAACCTCATGAACGTCCTGCTCGACCTTTATCCCAATCAAGCTTTGTTCATCTTCATTCAGTGACAGCGAACGTTTCATCACACTTTCGTTCAACCTTTCATATTATCGTCCTCAGAAGGCATCTCCCAATCTCCATCCTCAGCAAGTCTACAGGCTTCCTTGTCGCGCTCAGCCGCAAACTTTGCAAGTCCTCGCACCAGATCCTGCACGTTCGTCCATGAAGATCCATAGTATTTGGCTGCCACGACATGGGGATCGCCGCCTTTGTTGATGTCATGAACCATGTTCCGCAAGCCAGGATAGATAGCCTGACTCTTTTCACGAACAGATTTGTTGGTGTTGTGAGCAATCCAAACCAGTGTATCTTCATCGCGCGGTCCTTCGATGATGTTTCCTGTAGAGATTCCCATGTCTTCCACCTGTACCCAGTCGGGATGGTTTTTCACCACTGTCCAACTCTCTTGCTCTTCTCCTGCTGTGGGCTTGTTCTCTTCTTGTTTAGAGTCTCGGTCATTTCCACGACGGGTCTTCGAGCGGGTGAATTCGATCATGGATTTGGGATCATACGGCTTGGGTGCGACAGGTTTGGCGTCGTTGGTGCTATCGTCCGGTCCGGCTGCAACTCTGGCTGGTGGGTTCTGTTTTCTCATCTCTTGGAAGTTCGCGTACAACAATGATTCATTGAACGATTTACCAGCTGATCTTCCGGCGTCTTCTGGATTTCCGCTCAATTTTAGGGTCACGTATGGTTCAGCTCCAGTCGGGGCGGCGCTTGTCATCTTTGCCTTTGCTGCGGCTCGGCGTTCTCCTGTGGCTGATGCGTCAGCCTTTCCTTCGACTTCCAAAGCAGACAATGCTGGGTCGCGCAGACAGGATGGTGGGTTACGCTTACGGTAGATCTCGAAGTGACTCATCGTGGCTCGGGGCGTGTCCATTTGCGAAGCAAGGTTCGCGAGGGACCTGGAGTGAGCGGTGAGAAAGACAAAGGTTGTGTGAAAGTCTGCGACAGAATCAAACTTAGGTCAAAGTGAAAGTTGAACATTGTCACTGACTGCCTGAGTTCCACTTCATAGTGATCACGCAGTCAGACAGCAAAAGGCAGTTATGCTCTTCACTAGGAGCACTTCACGCTCCACGCGCTTCACTGTCCCAGGAGGACGCCGCTCCCAATATGCTAAAGTAAGGAAAAGGAACCATGAAGACCATCGATACCAACGATCAAAACGCTACCTAGTGAGTCTCAAAAGGTCTCCAGCCTCAACAGAGCGTGTGACCTGATGTTAATGTCAAAAGCACGCCGGAGTCATGCGGATCATATCCTGTCTCTGCATTGATGAAGCCCACCTGCCCAAATCACCTACTCAGCCAACACCAATCCCCACTGTGCAATCGTCATGGTCATGTCTCTCACGCTCAAAGAGTATCTCGCAGCGACGACCTCAGGAAAAACACCCTCGCATATCTCCCAGACCATACTGCCCAGTATCCAGTTGCATATATCTACCAACGTATCCTGACGATCGACCACGACTTGTTTCTTAGCGATTCCGATGTCAACGAACTGCGCGATTCGGACAACGACATCTAGTGGCGTGAGACGATGCTGACGTGCGACAAGGGCAAGAGAGATATTAGCTGCCATCTTTTTGACTAGTTGATCCGTGATTGCGTCCCAGTATCCACGCTGGTAATCGTTCATGGTGAGGTATGCATTGTAAGACTGACGAATGGGATCTTGGAGCGCGATGTCGGAGCGTGTGTATGATCTTGGCTTGAGGTATTTTGGTGGAATCAAGAGACGGCCCCCGTTGAAGCGGCAGGTTTGAAAGGTCAGAGGAACTGCGGCGATGGTCAGAAAGATCGGATGAAGTGACCGCGAAGGTGAATACGTACGGACTTCAGACATGTCGACAGGACGTGCGTAGATGAATTGCTGAGCAGGTTGCGGTGGATGAGTAGGGTCCATAATGGGCAGCAAATGGTCGCGATGCTGGTGAGGAAAGCAACTGGTCTGTAGAATGATAGAGGCGCGCTGAGCAGGCCGCGAAGTGGTAGTGATATATCTCAAGTGATACAGGTGAATGGTTGACGTGAGATGCGACTGAGGCAGTTGACGCGCTTTGTCCCTTGCACAAGTCAACAGGTAATGTGACGGCAGTGTAAACATAGTGAATTGTTTGCGACTCAACATGGGAACAACAAAGAGTGCCATTATGAACCAGCGGCGGACGACCTGGTCAACGTGAGAATAATACCCTCGGTATGGATGGCGGCGACCGCATGTCCAAGCAACATTCTCAAGCGATGATCCAGATCAAACAATCCGGAACCAAATCCTCTCGATCAGGTTTCTCGGTTCGATCTCTGGCCAAGTTTCCCTCAAAGGATCAACCTCAACATTCTCACTCCATAGGTCCCTAACCTTCAGCTTGACAAACCTCGTGTGCTGAACATTCTTGTAGCCCAAGAAGAACGATGCGAAGATGGGAATGTCGATGTAGGGAGGAATGAAGCTCTTCGCTGAAGTGACCAGCAAAGAAAGCATCACACCTACCGAGAAAAGCGACGACGATGCAGAAGGTTACTGCAAGGCCGCCCCAAACGATTCATGAGGCGACTTGTATGGCAGCGCGGACGTCGAAGAGCAGTCCTGCTAGAGACCATAGTGAAGTCAAATGCATGTGATGCAACAGCTCGCTCCGGACAATCAGGATGTTGATAGCAGAGAGGTTTGAGATTCGTTGAAAGACATCAGCGGAGCATGGGCTGACTTTGAGGCAGGCAAGAGTCTCTGCAAGTCCGGTCCAGTGTCGGGGCATGAGAAGCACGAGTCGACCCGAAGATGAATGAGTGTCCTGCTGAGCATGTGGATGCGGGTGTAACTGGGTTACTGATCGAGGGCAGGGGTGTGATTTCAATCCATTGACGACAACGTTGACGAAAAGGGCTCGCTGACGCCTATTCGACCATGATCTGGTGCACCGCCGACCGTGAAAGTCAGCATGAGTAAAATCAGACCGGCAATCGCGGTGTGCCATAGCGCGAAACACGAATTCTGACCCCCCACAGACTCGGACAGGAAAGCATTTGTTGATCATCATTGACACAAACATAAAGGTCGATCCACGCCGTCCTGGGTACAGAATTCGGCCAGGACGCGATCAAAACCGCGGCAGCTGAGATCTCGACCGTCTCACTCATCGCACGTGTATGTTTCAAATCCAGCCTCGTCGAAAGCAAAGGCCATGCAAACTGTGCCGAAGAAGTGCACGAGGTTCAACACACCGAAAGTCGACCCCAGAGCAGGTTGAGCGAGTCTCCCTAGAAAGACCATCACTGCCCAAGCAGATGCGTCGCACATTTGGTCGACGTACTTACGCAAGCAGTCAATGAACGAATTTGTCACGAAGGATGTTGAATTCGAATATGGCAGACGCGTACTTAAGTTTGAGCGGTTCGTCGAAGAAATGTCCGTGCTCGCTGCGGGAACCGGTGCACGAATCTATATTCCCATATTCTAGAAGCACGCACGTTCCCTTCCTCACAGTCTAGAACACACATTTAGCAGTTACATCTTCATTAAATCGATGAACCTAACTTTACAGATCGATGTAACGGTCACAAAGTTCTTTATTTGGACTTTCCAGAGTATTGAAGTTTGAATATGCCATCTACTAGGCGGCAAACTCAGAAGTACAAATGGATATATCAGTATCAGTATCAGTCGCTGTCCACGACACTCAAGCAAGTGTTCAGCAAATCCTTCGACAATTTTCTATCACTACTAGCAGCCAATTCCAGTGGTTGTTGCAGATTCCAAATCACCCGAAACGCCTCTCCGCCATGCATAAATTCATCGTTTCACTTCTGGCCATGGCTGCCTGCACACCTCTTCTTGTGTCTGCAAGCTGTGGTGTCGAAGGGTTCAAACGTTCAGAATACGGTACCTTTTGTCTCGACGGAACTGCTGCGACATCATGCTGTGGGTACGGATCCTGCAACATCTTTTGCGATAACTGCGATGGCGGTGAGTTCCTCAAACACTTAGAAGCAGGTCAAGATCTATGCTGAACATACTTGAAGGTTGTCGTGAAGAGAACTATGACGGTTGTGTGATGCTTGCCAACTACAACAGGGAGCAATGCCTCCACTTCTCCGTGGCAGAATGTAACAGTGACCTAACAGCTGCTCTGGCGGCTTGTGAAGTCAATTATCCGCAATAAATCTGATGAAAGGCAGCTGAGAGACCAACTTCTCCGACAGTCGCCGTGCAGGATGAGGCACATGTTGGTCGAGTGAGGAAACTGATAATGTTGACTTTGCCTTCTCTGGGCCGGAGTTGACACTGAGGTTCGAGGACTGTAAAGTTACCGAACCATGTCTGGAGGGTGAGGCTCAAGGAGACTTTGGTGGAGGATGGTAATGATTCTGAACTGTAGGGTAGGAACGGAAAGCTGGCCGGATCATTCGGAGAGGCTTCTGACAGCAATAAGAATCAGTGAACAAGATCCTACCCTTGTGCAAGGCTGCCCTTCCCACAGACGTGGCCGCGAAAGCGATTCTCACACTCGTGCTATTCTCCCAGCAGCAACGAATTGTGGTTTCCGAGGGCTTGAAAGTCATCCGATCGCCATCAAAGTCTGTGATCTGCATCCATAGATGGCTGTGACCTGTGTCTCAGCTTCTCAAAGCCTGGCTGTCCTTTCGTGGGAGCAGTGTGGAGTTGACAGATCTTGGGGGGAGTCAGCACTGCAGGTGGTCCCTCGGATGATCTGCCCCGACATCCTTCCCGCTTTTGCGACAGCTGGGATTTTCGAGCGCATATCTGGTTGGAGCGGCTAGAATGCCTAATGAATCCACCATCAGCAGCAGCTCATGATACAAGAGCATTTGATGTTGAATTCGGCTCGTCCACAATATTCTCCCAGTCACCAACTTCTTCTTCGTCTTGTGGCTGACTGCTGTTGAGTTCAGCATATCCAGTCCTCCTATCCACGCACGTCTGGCATCTTCCAACCTTGGAACAATCCGGGCTCAAATGAAGCCAAACCTCCTCACGCGACTTCTCCAACCGCTCCCAGTATTTTCTTCTTGTTCCAGGGACCAACCGTTTCCTTGCCTCATGCTTGACTTTCAGCTTGACCGCCATGTATTTGGGGTCCGGTTGATGCTCTTCCGGAATGCTATGCGTGACTTCGAGGTCCAGCAATCTCTTATCGCCTACACTCCTCATAAATGGCTGCTCGTTTCGTATCTGCTCGGGCATGATTCGTGAGAGAAAGTCCAAGGATGCGTCGATATTGAGATCAATGGCTCGGACTGGATCGATGGTCATTTTCATGACGAGACTGGCCACATGCGGATACAGGATGCAGAAATCCGATTGCGAGATATGGACCGTTCCGCGCACGGTCATGAGCCAGGCAGGCTGACCTTCATCCAGTGCTTCTTGGATTGTGTCAGTCGCCACTTTGAGGTTCTCACGCCAGTACATAAATGCTTCCGAGTTGATTCCCAGCAGAGGCACATGTAGACGGTATTTCGGATCGTCAGGCGGAGGTAAAACCGCCATGCCCCATATGTCGTATACGATGCCTTGCGTGATGTACTTGAATTTCTCCCTCTGTCGGAGAAGGCTGACGGTGGTGGTCGCACCGAATGAATGTCCGACCATTGTGACGCCTTGGGTATGGAATCGGTCTGTCCACGTTGACCAGTCAATACCTTCGAGCCCTCGCTTGGACGCGCCAATGGCACCTTTCAGCCGAAGATTTCGAGCTGCAACCTTGTCGCCGTTGCCAGCACATATCTCCTGCATGACTTGATATGCTTCGTGGATTTCCGCCAAACGAAGATCTATTTGTGCTCGGCGTAGCTCTTTGTCCACCGTGTGACCGGGTGTCGTATCATTTCTGTCGTGCTTGGGAAAGATGAAGTCAACCACATCATAGGGTTTCTCTTTGCTGGACTTGAAGTGTTCAACGTTTCCTCGCTTCTCCACACACTCTCGGCTTGCGGGGCTGTTGTCAGGATGATTGATCAATGTCCGCGGTCCGCTGCCATCTCTGTGCTCCAGCGCGACAACCACAAATCCGTGACTTGCGAATTCGCCACACACAGAGGAGTAAGCTGTTCTCGTACCTCCAAGCCCATGACTGAACAGTATGAGCGGAAATTTAGGCTTCTCTGGCCCTCCTGGTGGTGGATTACCCACATGTCTCTCATGGCTGCGATGATTTTCTCGAGCTGCGCCATGTTGCGGCCAATGTTCTGCAATGTGGGCATTTTTAAAGGCGGGTAGTTTCGTGAACCAGGTCGTGCAAAGAAACCATGCCAGTGCAACGTTCTCCGGGAGTGAGGCAAATTTAGCATATCCGCGACTCGTCTGTTCTCTGGGCCGACTCAGCCAAGTTGGTCGAAAGGTCTGCAGTACGGTAGACTTGTCAACATGGGCCATTGAGTCGACATGGGCTGGATAGTAGATGGTCATCAAGACTGTTTCGAGTGCAATGATGTGGACCTTTTGGCGAGTGATGTCGGAAAAGGTGCGTGGTTGTTTGGCGGGGACTTCAAGGTCAATGGTGCCAACTTGATAAGGGCCGGTATATCTTGGGAGCTTGCCATAGAGCGGGATTCTATCTCTCATGCCCCTCGGCGGTCTCGCTTTCGGTTTGTGTTTAGGCACTTCATGTGGTTTGGTCTTTTCGTTCTTGGGATGACCATGGACCCAGTCCGGAAAGATGGCGGAGGAGGGCATGGTGGAGTACCAAAGTACCTCTTCCTGCGCAGATCGGGATCCTGGGGAGAACGTGCACTTCACAGCCACGACGTTTGCTTCTTAACATGACAAAGAGGTCGCCGATGTTTTATCTAGGACCATGTGTGTATTGACGACGGCACCGCCGGAAAGATAAATCATACATGGTGGTCAATTCAAAACGAAGAAGGTTTTAACGGGCCGTAGCTGCAGGTGCAATACCTCATAATCGTCACTCTCTAAAAGTCAGCAGAAAGCAAGAATGTCCCGCCAAGAAACTGAGTTGCGCTCCTTCCAATTTGATTCATTAACCATCGCTATTTTAGTTGAACCTCCTACCAAAGTACTTCATGAAACCGGATCGAATAGCCGGAGACAATAAGTGCCGGATCTACTCATGTTTGCTTCATCACCACCTGCATGCGTGCGCTAGTTGTTTGCAGGCTGCCGATCCTTACTAGTATATTCGGAGAAAAATCACCTCTCAGTTTGGGTGTCGCCGGCTTGAAAATATACATAGCATTCACACTGCTTCTGAACGGCATCGCTGACAAGTCTTCTTTGCGTGGTCGAGTCCGCATTCTTCAGCCATGAGATTGCGACCTCACGAGACCTGGTGGGACAACGCTCGCCGCCCTGCATCTACTAACCTAGCATTCGAAGCCAGATGCGAGAAGCTGAGCCCTGTCAATATCGGTGTGTCCTCAGTGAATCTGACGGCCTTTGTTTTCGGTACTCCGCAAGTGGAGTGAACGTGAAACAGGAGTCTGCGTTCGTACCCAAAACTACCAGGCTGGGACATGCGGGGACGACTCCAGCCAGACAACGTTTCGTGTTCGAGCACTATGCAGAAGGTGATAAGTGTGAGAGATTGGGTAGCAGAGTCGCAATATAAAGCCGTGTTCAGGTGCTGTGCCGCGGCCATTGTACAGCGCTCGAGCTGACACGCCTTTCTGAAAGAGGCTCAAACTCTGCCAGGGAAGCATGCAAATTCTGCCGAGCCTCTTGAACAGATTTTGACGTCTGGGGTAGCTGCTCCAGAGCTCTGAGTAATGTCAATTGAAGGTGCTTGTACGCTTCAATTTTGATTTTACCCTGGCGATATTGCCTGGTGATGGCCTTGTTCATAAGCTGGACTCCAGCCACCATGTGGTGAGGGTATGGGTCGATCTGAACGAAAGAGACGGTGATTGACTGCTCATGTGAGTCTGCGGCCAATCCGTTTTTGGAAGAGATGGTCAGAGTGTTTTCGAGGCCGAACTTTACCGCGTTAACAGCCTCCCCTTCAGCATCGAGTCTCTTCTCGGTAAGTTGAGACAAGAGGTCGACCCGTTCCGCGGCTTCCACGGCATCCACCAGAATCAAAATCCCGAGGTGATAATGGAGCGTGATCTCGTACCAATTCAATCGTTCCACTTGACTGAGGAAATGGAGCCTCCGCAGACAAGCCGTCAAAAGTGGGCGGAACGTGACTTGGAAGATGTCAACAGATTCGAGAAACGACTTCCAAGCTTGGATGACCTTCTCTTCTTCGTCGCCTTCTCGAAGCGCCTCCTTCAGTACAGCAATCATCTTCCAAACATACACCGAGCAAGCTGCTGCAGCGGCAACGATTTGTGAGGTAGTCTCGTCAGAAACCTCGAATGTTGATGTCCGCCACTCTTCGGTCCTCGTATGGAACGAATTTGCGCCCATGCGAAGCACGCGCCATGATGATTCCGAACCTACACCGTGAAGACCAGAAGATAGCGACGATCGGAAGTTGAGTGTAAAAGATGCTGAAGTGTCAACCATCAAGGCGGCCCAATAAGCCCGACTTTCGCTCGTCAGGAAAGCCTGGCTAAGATCTGTGGTGGGTTGCCGGCCTATGACGGGATCAATACCTGGTGATACCTTCGACCCACTGAATTGACAATTTCGTTGCCTCTCACGCAGTCTCTGCACTTGTTGGAGAGCTGCTTGAACACAGACGTGGCCAGTCAGACCGTCCATCTCTTCTTCTGTAGAGATACCGACTGGAATTGGGGTGAGACCGAAGATGAATAGCGCAAGGACAGAACGGTAGGAGACGCGATTGATGACTTTGAGCATGTCCCGGCGCGCCGCTCGCCACAGATCTCGAACCAAATCCTCGTGAACGATTCCAATTCGTTCGTGTTTGGGAATGATGTGTAGCCATTGCGACGCAAACGAGTGTATTGCCCTTTTCACTGATTGCTCCATCAGGCCATCTCTGTCCTGTCTCTGGCTCACTGGCGTTTCTGCATCATGTAAACTGCGTGCTTCCCAGTCTTGATCGATATAGGTGTCCAGTTCGGCGAAAAGTCGAGACGGAGGAAGCACAACCTGAACATTGGCATCCCAGCTGGCAATGTCAATTCGAGTTTCACATGAGAGAAGCGATTCATTGAGAGTACATACACGAACGGACAGCAATCCCTTCCCAACCAAAACCCAAAGATTTGCTCGAATGAGCTTTCGTAGATTCGCTCAAGCCAGGATTTGACAGCTGGTGAGACGCTTTCGATGGGGCCTTGCATTGATGGCATCGGGCTGATGTGGGATATGGCGAGAACGGAATCCGACGATCGGCTAGTAAAGGTAGTCAGTTGTGGTCAACAATTGACCTTAGATGACACTTACGGAGTCCATCCAGCTGCTGGCTGTGAGGTCGATTGACCGGTGTTGGCAGGGTCGTTCTCAGCACGAATGGACTCTGGGGATGAGGACGAGGCTGCAGGCGGAGTAGCGACTGATTTCGTCCGGCGCGGTTGCTTCACAGGCCTTTTCACTTCTTTCATCCACTGCACAGTGTGGTACATCAGTCTCCGAAACAAGATGTCGTAATGAAGCCGAAACCTACCTCAAACGTACAAGGTCGCTTTCGCCGTGTACATCGTGAACACGATCCGGCCCATTCTGTCAAATTGGGGTCATAACCCACACGGGCTGCATCGCATGCCAACCGTGAGTTGCGACAGGCATCGCAGCTGGAGAATTGCGTTCTTCGTGGGCCAGTGTGTTCGCGCATCCTGATGATGGTGGTGGTTATGACTGATCACGAGTGCCGACCTCGCCGTTCTCCGACAGTCATGATGAAAACGATTTGTGGTGGACGCGACCAGCCAAAGTTGTCTCCAAGTTACCAGATACAGAGACGTTCTTCCAAGGTGGCTATCAATGCAATGCGCATTGTGGTTAATGCAAAAGCAAGAATGCGCTCTTTTGGTGTGGTTCGTATGTGAGTACAGTAAGTGGAAGTTGAGATAAGACTCTGGGAGTCTAGATGTTGAAGCCTTGGGTCGTATGCGGGACAGGCTTTGTGGGAAATGTGGGCAAGGCTACCTAAGCTTAGCTTACATAAGGGCGCTCAGATCATCTTCCGGGGGCTAAGGAGGCTTATGCCGGCTTCCCCCAGCTGCCACTGCCCTGCCCTGCCCGCCTTGTCCTCCATACGAATCATCTTCCACAGCGAGTCCTATCAGATTTCGACGGCATGTGAGTGCGGAACAAAACCTGAAGGATACCAAGAGGGTTTGTACATAATGTCTGCTGCTACACACTGTCAAATTGAGGTGAGCGAAACGATGATGTGCTCACCTCTTTCAAGCTCCTTTTCAGGGTTGCAACCGCCGGCGCTGAATGGGATGGCCGGCCCACTGACCTCAAGTCGAGCGCATCTTCTTGAGATGATTGGCGACATGGCACCTCGTAATGTTCGCAGCCCTCCGAGCTCCCAGACGCCCTTTGCCTTCCGAGGCACGCTCATTCTCGCCGTCGCGGCCAGCGCTCAGCCTCCCTATGACCAGCAACGCAGCCTGATCATGGATATAATCAATGCTTCGTCCTGGAAGAGGACTGCTGTGCCGGAGCACTCGCGCCGTGGGAAAGGAGCCAACCGAGGATTAAGAAAGTGCTCTATATACATATAAAGGAATGTCCAATACAGTGAGAAACCAGCTGCCGGACGCATCAAACCAGCTGCGACCTGGAGATCGCCCAGAGAACGGAGATAATTCACAAAGGACATCGGCAACGCAAGCAGAACCTCCACCCCGTCATGTCCCCGAGATTCAAGACGACGGCATCACCGCCTTGTGGACTCCTCCAGATCCCACCCAGATCCTCGCCGATATATACTTTGTACACGGTCTAACGGGACACCCTTTCAAGACGTGGCATCACTCGTCAAGGAAGTTCAAGATATCAAAATTCCTCAAGCGAGGCTCCAGTGCAGACATAGACCGATTTGACAGCGCCATACCCTTGTGTTCACGGACCCGGGGATGCTACTGGCCTCTAGATCTACTCCCCAATGACTTCGACAATGTACGAATATTCACCTGCGGCTACAATGCGTGGCCCACGAACTTCATATTCGGAGGAAATCGAATGAACATATCGCAACACTCTCAAAATCTTCTTCAACGCATTCATAGCACACGCACAGCTTGTCGAGGCAGACCCATCATATTCGTAGGCCATGGCCTAGGAGGAATTCTCATCAAGGATGCAGTGCTGGAATCTGGCAAATACAGGGAACAGCCTGCACTCAAGGATATCAGTGATTCCTGTACTGCCATGTTCTTCTTCGGCACGCCACACCGTGGTACCGACGCAGCAAGGTACGGGGTGAAGCTGGGCATGGCATCAGAGGTGCTTGGCCTGTACATCAACAAAAGCATTTTGAGAGCTCTACAACGCAACGGTGAATACCTGAGTGCCATTGAACGCGATTTCAACGATCTGCTCAATGACCCGATACCACCGAGCGAAAAGATCCAGATCTGTAGCTTCCAGGAGGGGAGGGCACTGACTGGCCTCAGGTTCTTCCCGGTAAAAAAGGTCGTGGATGATTCGTCCGCCTTCTTCAATCGTAGGGACATCGAGCAGACTTTCTTCATCGACCAGCACCACAGAAACATGACGCGGTTCAAATCAGCCAGCGTGGCCAGCTACGTCGATTTCAAGACAGCTGTGGGAGAGTTCTTGCGCAAGATCGACGCTGACAGACATAAGAACGCCGATGGCCAACTAGGCAACTGAAGGTGTGCCTTCATAATCAGGTCAATAGAAGTATATGCCTTGTAGGGGTCCCGTTCAATGTGAATTCTCATTTATATATCTCAAGGCCAGCGTCCAAGCATTGTACCAACTCTCAATACATCTCGGAGTGAAGAAGAACTTTTTCAGCACCGTCAAGACCTCATCCCAACTCAAATGTCGATACTGCTGCACCACAGCCAATAACAACTCAAATCTCGCGTCGGCCTCGTAGTTCTCCGGCAAAGCAGGTCTCCTCGGCGGAACCATAGTCCCAACAGTATCCAATGCAACCCACAGATACAAATCAGATTGATCGGCGTCCTGAAACATCTCCTGACTCACCCGAATCTCCTCCGCATGCATTTGCAGCTGTTGATCGTAGTAGCCGCTCAACCGTTCCGTTCGCGACGAGTCCATGATGACGACCAGCAAGCCAATACAGGAGGCACGGTCGATGAATGTCACATCGGAGTCCGTGAGAAGTCGGGCGCAGTGCTCTGCCTCCTGCATGTTCGTAGCGTTGATGGCGGAAGAACCGTAGGACGGGCTGATTTGTAGAATATGTTCGCCTTGTGTCACGACTCGATGGATCAACATCAGGACGGGCTCGCTGAGGCGATTGTTCATTGCCATGGTGCGGAAACCTGGAGGCAGGATTGAGGCGATCTCTTCGAGGTTGGCGATGGGAGGGCGATCGGACGGCATCGGCGGGCTAGCGTTGTGCCTTTGAGCGGTCAAGGTATCTCGTTGTTGGCTGTGCTTAGACATGTATGCCCAGAACCTTTCCAACCTGGTGAACCCTAGGTATCAGTCTCTGTCTCCATGCATTTTTCAAGTTGTGCAAGGACTTACCCGAGTAGATAGGGCTTGAGGACTAGAGGCCACCCCAATTGATCGAGGCCACCTCTTAATTCCACTATCTTGCGCAGTCCACCAAGGTGCGTTTCGAAAGCAGCCAGGTCGTTGTTCAGGTACTGAAAGAGTAAGCCTTTGAACATCACAATACGGTTGATGCCCACTTACATCAACGCCCATCAGTGCGACTATTGCGAAGAGAACGGCATCTTGGGTGTATTCCTGTTCTCGGTCCAGAAGATCTCTCAACCGACGAAGGGTCTGATTGTAGTGGTATAACGCATCTGGGTCTGAACCATTGTTCCACTGATGGACGGTAAGGTTCGCTTGTGACAGCGCGATCAGGGCTTCGAACATCAACGCGTTCTGAAGGGCGTATTGGAAGTATTGGTTGAGTAAGACTGCGCCTGCCTCTGCTGATAGAAGCTCTGGTCGGATAATGTGAGCTGGGCCGTAGAATGTGAGGACTATGAACTTGTCAGTCTACCTTTCTCAAATGTCGGATCTCGCTCACAGTAATCGACAGCCGCAGGTATGCATTGTCGGAACTCGATTGGGTAGGAGTAGAAAGGGTCGGATCGTAGACCGTGCCTGTCATGTGGAACAGTGAACGTAGGTAGTTGTGCTGATGTACTTGAGGGTCCTTGGTTGGGGGGCTCGAAATATGCCGCTTGGGTTCTTGGTGGATCGCCGACCTGACCTTCAGGGCTGCTTGCTTTCCCGACTGATGAGACTCTTCTTGTAGCTGGTCTCGATCTGTTCCTGAAATGAGTGCCAATATATGATGCGACGAGCTGTCGATTGCGGCGATCGTTCTGATCTTGTGGGTGAGAGTAGTTCACAAACGTAGGGTCGGGCATGTCGACAGGCACTCAAGCTGCGGTCAGTCAGTATTTTGTGAGGTCGTCTGGGTTGCAAATGGTGATGCAGGGAACAGTGAATGTTAGTCTTGTATGGTAGACTTTGGGGGGAACAGATATTCTGCTAGCTCGATGTCTTGTTCACGCAGGTCAAGGTCAAGGGACCTCTGGATCGAGCATCCTTTGGCCACATCTGCGGAATTAAGGCAACCCATTGTAGATAAACGAACAACGCGACAGTATCAAGCCTTGCAGTAACGTGGAGTATAGCAAGTGATATCATGGCCAAAGCCTCGCCTATCGAGCCTCAGGAGATACTTGGTTCTGTCACTTCGGCTGGCTGGTGGCGGGCTAAGGTCGGTGCCGCCATCGTGAGGGCGACCCTTTGACACGGCCGTAGTCCAATACATCGTCAGCATCGTTGTTGCTTGCCTAATATCAACCTCATGGTGAGCAAAGGATGCAGCTAGGAAGGACGAAGTGACTGCGATGGTTTGGGCTGGAAGATGCTCGGTTATACTTGGCATGCACAGCATGCATCGAACTAGGTTAGATAGGGCTGATGGAGCTCCTGTTTGTCAGCACGGCATTCCCGCGTGCCCTGTGTGATCAACCAGCTGAACGTTCTCTCCACGTTCCTTGCGTGTATTACCTCAGTACTGGACAAGGCATTGCCCTCTAGCAGAATCGTTTGCGGAAAAAAGGTCCTTCCAACGGCCCTGGACTATGGATCGACGAATGCTTTGGTAAGCTAGAAAGGAGCCATATACAGCATTTGTCAGTATCTACGCGCCTGCCAGACTTGGACTGGCCAGGCAGGGGGAAACAACGGCGACGCACTGTCGGTACTTTTGTTTCAAGCGTTTTCATTCCGCAGTGCGTATATATAGGTGCATATATCGAGTCATTGTGGCGTCCTTACCGTTACGTAGAAGTCCGTCTGGAGTATACCTGCCAGTTCCATCTGGCTCGAAGGACCGCTAGTCCTCCACTCTGGGTCTCGACCGTTCTGCCACGACCTCGATCGTTCCAATCATACGGCTCAGCCTCATGGTCGGACCAATTCTGAGGTTCAGGATTCAGATGATCGTCCGCACCGACTGGTAGGTTGGTGCTCTTTTGAATTTGAGCCATCGTATTGTGACGGGGGCCCCTGAACATCCACCACATTCCAAAGTGGCCATCAGAATTCCGTGTGGCAAGGGCAGCTTCAGAATTGTGAACCACCCATTTGTCATATGCAGCACAGCGGGCAAGATGATAATCATAGACGTCCCGGTCGAAGTCGGCCGTCTGACTCGTTGAGGCCAGGAAGGCCTCTTCTTGTGGCCACAATGGCCGACAGAAATCCGACAAATGGTGGAAGAAGATGCCTTTGAAAGTCTGGCCATCCTGACTACAATATCCTCGGTGGTCACAGAACTCCTCCATGACGCCTCCTCTGCCTAAACCGGCCCATCTCCAATCAGTGTTCGGCCATCCAGTGGCGCGTACAACACTCTCGATCTGGGCATGGCCGTCCTCCAAATAGCTTCTCGCCCCAGTGGCAAGCCAAAGACCACGACTGGCAGATAGAATGACACCTTGATTGTAAGTATAGACCATAGAGTTGAGGTCGTCGCAGTTTCCAGTTCCAGGATTGATTGTTCCATTTGGGTAACGGCGCCAGCCTGTCACATGAAAGCCGTCCTCATAGAGACCTTCAGGATTGCGCATCTTGCTTTCCATGATCCACTTGTAACTTTTGATTGCGTTTTCGAGATACGTCGGATCGTGAGGCTTCATTGAGCCCTGTGGACTTGATGTCATATATGGTGATGTGTTATTGTCGCCTGGGAAGTACAGGTACATGCCGATGCTTGCTGCCGCAAACAACTCGTTGGTGATGGCGTTCTTATAAGGCGTGAGATATGGGTTCCAGGTCATGCCACCACCACATAACGATTCGTCCCAGCCAGCTGAGGCTAGATCGTAGAAAACACGTGCGCGATGGGCAGCCATAGGAACGAATTGCAGACCGTGCCATCCATCGCTTGATGCAGTCTGGCCACCTGACTGTACGTAATCCCAATGTTTTAGGGAGTACATCTCTGCAAATTTCAGGTTCTCGAGCCAGCCGAGAACCACCCACAGCATATCGTCATAAGCCTGGTTTCGCAGAGCAAATGCGTTCTCGCCGAAATAGAAAGCCGATGTCTGAGCATAGTAACGATCGATGAGATTCTGCCATGACAACATCTCAGAGCAAGCAGCGGTGGAGGCGGTGTCCAAGGATGACACGATGCTGGACAAAGTGGCAGAGACATGAGTTCCCATGACGGCAGATGTCCAATCTATGGCACCCAGCCAAGTCCCAGAGAACATGTCAAAGTAACTATCTTGCATGACTTCCAATGCGTCTAGCATGTCCCGGAGGGCAGACGATATATCGGAGTTCCGTGACGTAGAACCATTCCCTTCTCTTGCATCCGCTGTGATCACTAGTTGATCGGCCTGGGAGCCCATAGAGGTCTCATGTTGTGATTTTATGACCGTTCCGGCCCGCGCAAGCCAGGCGCCTTGGGTTATGAGGACGAAGAGGGTGAAGAATCGCATTTTGGGCGGAGGATGTCGACCAGCATGATCCTCTAACGGAGACTGCTCCGGATGGGATTGGGCATGGGCGAAGGGCCGAGAAAGATGATTCAAACAAATCTCATCAGTGGGAGACAGTATCCCCGAGGAAAAGCCTTGTGATCATCTTGTACACGCTGAAGCACAATAACCTCAAGGATTGTGCGAAAGGGAAAAGGAGTTGCAGATGGGAACTCGATGGGTGCGCGCATAAGCGCAGTCTGGGGATCGCGTGCAGACGGAACACTTTAACCCAACCAATTAAGCTTACCCTATGTTTAGGAACCTAGGTAAGGTTCATAGCCTAGGGCGCCCCGAGAGCTTGGTTATCGATACGAATCTTGGCGGCTGGATTTAATGCGGCAAACAGTCATGAATCTCTTCTCTTTTCTCTGTCCAAGGTACTTAGGTACTTATCATGCGATAAACATGTCATGAACCGATGCTGGACCCTATCGCGAGAAGTTGTCCAGCGGCGCCTCATGCTTGATCTCCTCCCAAATCTCATCAATGCTCTTGGCCGCCTTGTCGCTCAATTTCCCCTTCTTGATCCCCTCAAGCGTCTGCTCAAGCTGCTCCTTCCGACTGGCTCCAATGATGATGCCATCTCCATGCTCGTTGCTCAATGGCGAATTATAAGCCACCCAGCGGTACGCGAGTTCGGCGCGAGAAACACCCTCCTCGTTCGCAATACTCTCCCACTTCTCCAAAGCGTTGAGGTAAGAGTCCTTCATGTACATCTGACGATACATGCCGCCGAGTGCTTGCTCCGAGAAGCGTCCTGCGCCGTCTTTGATTTGCTGAGCTGTCTTGGTCAAGAATCCACCGGCCAAAGGACTGTAGGCGTAGAATGACATTTTGAGTTTGCGGAGAGTAGGGAACAGAAGGGTGTCTTGAAGACGAGCGACGGGGCTGTAGTTGCCCTGGTAGACGCTGGGGAGAACGTAGTCATTCTTCTTGGCGATGTCGTAGGCTTTCTCAACATCCTCAACCTTGTAGTTAGAGAGACCAAAGCGTTTGAACAGGCCGAGCTTGTAGACTTCGTTGACGCCTTCAAGAGTTTCTTGGAGGGGAGTCTCTTTGTCTGGAGCGTGGATATAAAAGATGTCGACCTACATGACAAGTCTTAGTAACCATGGACAAGTCTTGGGGGATGATGTGAGTGAATAGGCAATGCATTGGTGAATGATCCTTGGTGACGATGACGAGCAACCCACGTGCCTTTCTTGTTGTCTGATTGAAGAGATTATGAAGTGCGACATACCTGCTTGACCCCCAATTTCTTGATACTCTCTTTAGCAGTGTTGACGATATTCTCTTTAGATGCCCATTTCCCAGTAAAGCCACCAAGCCATTTCGTGTCAACAATGAACTTGTCGCCTGCCTTGAGCTCGCCTAGCTTTTCTTCCGACTTGCCATAGAGCTGGGCTGAGTCGAGGTTCTTGACACCATGCTTTTTGAGGATTTCGAAAGCCTCGTTGACATACTCATCAGATGTCCATGGCTCACTGTTTCCTATGCTGGCAGTTCCGAAGACTACAGTGAGGGATTTTGAAGACATATTGTTAAGTGATTTGGGTCAAGCTTGCTTGGTACTAGGGTGAGAGGATGCGAGAATGATTGCTCACAGAAGTAATGCGGAAGTGAGGATCGTGACTGTCTTCGTGTACGAGGAAGGTGGGATCTTAGGTAGACACCACTTGTGGGGAAGCAGTGTATTACTAATTCATAGAAATCGAGAAAGGCGTCAATTTGTCGAGGTTGCTCGTACGAGTGACGTGCTCGAGTTGACGATCATGGACCTCAATGCTCGTACCTAAAGATGCTGAGATATGAAGAATGTCATTCATTCAATTTTGGTTGTATCTAATTACTCATGTGCTGCCTCTTGTGCATATAAATTGTCCATGTCCAGAATTGTGCACTATTCAGCAATGTTCGATGTAAACATCCACCTCCATCACGATGCGTGCCCGCGCCGCAGTCTTTAGTAATGCTGTCACTGGAGTCTGTCACCCGGATAAAGGCATTGGATTATTACTCGTACTGGAGTGCCGAGGCGGCAGTGCTGTTATGTTCGAGCCACGGAGGTTCGTCCGGCATTCATCCGGGCGGCTGTTGCTGGCAAATGGACTGCCGATGCAAATGGGTCAAAGTGGAAAGCGAATCCTCGTTGGCGTATGAACTGCGAAGCGAGGTGCTATATGCTTTATGGTCCTATATGAAACAGCTGTATAGACGGACTGAAGTTTTGTGAGAGTTATTGATGATTGCTTATTCGAACTCTGGGATATGCACTCAACAGATTCACGCATAGGCGTGCCCCGAGCTAGGTGGTACTACGGGTAAAGAACGGCGAGACCGTTGTACGTGAGGAATGCATGTCGTAGCCCCTTGAATAGAACTTTCCATAATCTTGAGGGTTGAGAAGTATATGAATATGTATATCAAGAAGTCATAATAAGCTTGCGAACAAGCGCCAAATACGGCGACCATCATCATTCCAATAGTCCTCATGTCATGTCATTCATCTCCTACCAGACTTTCGCGGTCAGGGAAACGATTGCTGGCCGCCTTATAGACCAGCAGCCTTGCTTCTGTCGTGGCAAGCATTGTTCAACGTGCCTTGGACGCGCAAGGCAGAAGTGATAGTGTTGGCCTGTTGAAATACTTCCAGCCGCAGCATCTCATGCCGATCTGATGAGAGCAATGTCGTTGCAGGGAATGTGGCCGTTGTTCTTGTGTGCAGGTAAGGTCATCCGCTTCCCATGTCAACCACAATGCAACAGCATCATGCTGGGAACAAATGCCACGGGTGATTGACACAGATTATCGGGAGAGCATGGTCGCTCTTGATGAGACAACCACGCCCAAGTCGGTTGGGTTATAGTCGTTAACGTATAAGAAATTCCATGATCACCAGCAAGTCTCCTAGACCAGTGCCTCGTAAGACTGCTGTCTCTTTAGTTGTGACGTCCATGTCGTGGCCAGGTCGCCAAGCGCAAGGCCTGGGAGGCCATGTCAGTGATTCCTTTTGGTACTCCTGCTCTTTTCTTCTTTTGAGATAAAATGCTGATGATAAGGCTCGGATCTGCGGTCTCGATAGTCCAGGGTGCCATATTCGCGGCTTGGTGGATATGACGCATGCAAGGTTGGTGCTATATACGGGTCTGGTAGTGCTGTGAAGCGCACACTGTCTCCTGTCCAAGCACCTGGCGATGTGGTGATTGCGAATCTGGGACCAGCTGCCCTTCCCGACTGGAAGTCCCACAAATCATTGGCCTGGTCGTTAAAAGGATAACTGTTGGTCTGTGATGGTGGCAGTGGCAGGTGAACTGTCGCCCTTTGCGGAGCATGCGTCGCACGAGCAGTCTTATTCTCTTTGACAAAAGTGCCTGACAATGTTCTCGCGCCGCGGCTGAGATCTGGCACCTTTCCACCGTGCGGGTCTGGAGAGCTAAGGACCATATTCGTAGTCAGATCTGGTGACGAAATACTTCGATGGTGGAAAGTATCCCGTATAAAGCTTTGGAAGTTTGGCAGTGTGCAGGATTGCCCTGCATTTCGCACCGGCAAACTGCGTCTTTCACCGACGCCGGGGCGAGGCGATCCTTGCGTTGACGGACCTGCTTCGAACTGCGTCGGGGGTGTTGACGGACTCCTGCTGATAACGTCCGAGTCGTCCTCATCCTCGTCAAGGTCTTCGACTCGATGTCCTTTCCGACCCACTGTCATGTGGTGGTGATGGAGACGGCATGCAAGCTCCGACTTTTCCAACCGATTCGCGATCTCTTTGTAGGGTAGCTTGTGGTTCCGACTTCGAATCAGGAACAACTCCTATGAACACATCAGTGACTGGTACTTCGAAAGTGGTTGTTAACCCGAGACCTCTGCATCAGTCCAACAACGTATCAACCTTCCCTGTCGCACTTTGTCTTTCTTTGACGGATTCGGTGACTTCTGGACCCTGCGAGATTGGGAGTTCGATCTTCCAGACGGTACCTGGCTACTTGGAGAGGCCATTTGTACGTGCCCTTTGAAGGTAGCTTGCAATCCTGACTCTGAAGGTAAGTCCTGAAGGTGAAATGGATATTGAAGTAACAGACTTGTCTGCGATGGGAATGCAACAACTCAAGAGTGTAACGGAATGAGTAGGGAAACAATGCGGCTGTAGCGGCAGACTAGCACCCGCATCACCCTCATGAATGGGAGGATATACGAATTTTGTACAACGATCTCTTGTAGCTAGTCTGCCTCATCTCAATGCGAAGGCAGACTCCATGTCGGCTTTGTCAGTATGCGACCAGCTGGAGGCCTCTGCAATGGAGAAAGTATCAATGTGATCCAGAGTCAAGTTGATAATCTGATCATTGTGAGGGGATGAATAGCCGCTGTTATCGCTGCAGATGGCGTATGCTAGAGGTTAAGCTTACCTTGTTTCCTCCAGGGGTCGGCTGGCGGACCGTTGCAAGCACTGGGGTATGGATTATGCGATTCGTGCAGCCGAACTATTGACGGACTGCTACCAGTCTTTGCTGACCTCCTCAGGCTCTGGGCGGAGACCTTGGACGTTTGAAGAGAAGGACGGTTAACTTCACTGCTGGGCATACACCAAAGCATACTCGATCAGTGATAAAATATCAAGCCCTCGATGTTTGCCCGTGGCCTTTGTGTCGTTGAAAATGCTGTTTGGACAATTGATACCTTCACCTCGCTGAGCCATACCCCAAACTCAAACTTGCATGCTGTAGGAGCTACGATGGCGTTGACAGGCATGTGAAAAATGCTCCGAGATCGAGGGTGACCGTGGTTCAGACACAGCCATGAGTCTGCCTTAGCGGTTTCGTGGGCGAATCGAAAACTTCGTGGTGGTCCAACAAGCGCCTGAGATTCCGGCGGCTAAATCTCCATCGTAAATGCCCAAGATTCTAGCCAGGTGGACAAGGGATTGTCAAGGTAGAGCCTCTGAAACTCCCCAGTCCAAGTTGAGGAGGAGAGCGCTGCCACCATCGTTGATAGCTAGGGTGTCGTGCGGGCCATACCGCAGCCATGATTGATCGGGAGTGTATTACGGCACAGGAATGTTCTTTCAGGACAGGGAACGCCACAGACTACTCCGTATTGAGGTCCGATTCTCGACAGCTGTGACTGGCCAGATCTAGAGTCTAGAGTCATCGGCGTGTAGAGACATTAGTGAACACAGCAGTCCCCTACTATTGCGTGATGCCCAGACTGAAAGATCGCAGAGTCGTATTGAATGGCATCACCTCATTCGATCGTTTTTGATAAGAACTTGTAGCAGAGTGTCTGGGCAAAAGTGAGTAAAAGTCCGAAGGTAAGCGTCTTGTTCCATGTAGCCGATGGTCGTAGTTACCTTAGTCTGGAGAGAGGTCAAAAAGACAATGAAGACGCGTCGAGATGTGACGCGATGGCAGACCGAATCGGGGTTTGGTAAACCTGGAGATATTGGGGCCAAAATGATCGTCCACTCCTGTCAAACCGTGAGAGGCGCCCAGGTGTGACAGGTGACAAGAAACTGTCCGACCTGCATCGGCAGTGCTTCCGCCGTGGGGGCCAACAACATCGTACATCTTCGCGTAGAGAAGATACTGCTTGGAAATGCATGTTGGGAGCAGCTTCCGTTAGTTTGGCGTTTGTGTTCGTGCTATTTAGGCGACGTGAGGTCGACATCAACTATCCCGTACTGCAAGAGCCCTTCATACCATTTGTGGCAGGCACTGGTCAAAGGGTGCATTCGCTACTCGGGTGAGTGACCGCCGACCTGCCCGGCCCGGCCATCTGCCAGGGACCTCAGCTTGGTGTATGGGCTATGCAAGCCTCACAGCGGCTCGCGCAGGCTATGCTTGCATGGTATCGCCCATACGTAGCAATGAGATGGTTGCGAAGGTCGGTCCATAGCAGCTTGCCAAACTACTCCCTTGCTGGATTACGTACATAGTGGTTCTTCGCATTTCGATATTGTTGGCATAGCTAGTCCTGCATTAATCACGGATCATACTGGTATCAGCATAGTCGGCTCCGATGTCCACTTTACAGAGATGGACTGCATGTACAACTCACTTTTACTTCCGGATGCGTTTCCTTCCGGGTGTATATACGTCCGCCAGGCTCAAGGTTACTTCGGCAAAAAGGAAGCGTGTCCCTAGTCAACCACAAGCTACAGGTAAAAAGCAAGGGTAGTTACAACATATCTGTCTTCCACATGCTGAAAGAGGTACAAGTCCTCGGTGCCGGCTGGGCACATTGCCCGGACGAGTGTAGTTTACGGGACGGCTCGCAGGCTTATGCGCATCAGCTCAACGCCCCGCGCTAACTCAGGCCAATAGGTGAGTAGAGGGGCTGAGGTCAAATCCAGCAGCTGGATCCATTGGCACTCGAACATGAGAAGGAATGCCGGCATGAAGCCTAGCCAGCAAGCTACACATTGTCCACATGCCCGTTGGCAAGCGAGGGTCTTCATGGAGATGGGCAAACCCATCGCCGTTGACTCAGTCCACCAGCAGGTAGAAGATAAGAGGATAAGCCCGGCGAAGAAAATCATTATGTTCGGCATCAACGTAACACTGCCCAAGCCTAGCTACCCAAGCGTCTTCCTCGATGGCCTCTTCCGCTTCCACTCAACCCGGAGCAGCAGCCGCCAACGCGCCCGCTGAAGCCGAGGTCACTGAACAAGGCATCGTCGTTGTATGCACATCGAGTATGAAGCCGGTGTTCTTGTTGTAATGACGGTGCCAGGACGAAGACGACAGCGTCTCTGCTTTTGAAAGCGGCAATGATGCGTCGTAGGTCGATACGTTGGCTCGAAGAATAGTGCAATAGCTAAATGCGAAAGGGAAACGACCTCGATTGCGTCCTCCATTGCAAGGGGACGAATAGTCAATGGCAGGAAGTCTGAAGCCTCTTAGTTTTTGTGGTGTGCAAATCGACTGACGCTCGAAGATACTCGTCACTGAGAGAGGATTACTGGCATGTCTGTCATCCGAAGATGATGTGCCTAATGTTGATGTGGACAATAGGGGGCCTTCCGACCAGCAGCAATATGAAACCATGGACGCTGGGTGAGTACTTCGAAAATGACTTTTTAGTATAGGGTTAACGACACGTACCAGCCACACGCTCTATCTTGTCTTGGACAGTGACCGGTCGAATCCACTGTTCAGATCCCCGATCACTGAACCGAAAGTGCGTGAGATGCCTGGTTGTTCGATGAATGCTCTGCTAATGCAGGCATGTAGAACATTCTCGACCTGGGAACAGGACCCGGCACATGGGCTGTGTAAGTGCCCCTCCGTGCTGGAGTCACATGTGTTAACCGTGGTGAGAACAGTGACGTTGCCGACCAGTTTCCTACAGGTAAGTCAACCAAAGAAGACGGGCTTTCTCGATCCTGAGACCGTGTCAGCAAACGTGTATGGTGTTGATCTTGCTCCGCCTGTCAATACATGGCTTCCACCCAATTGTAACCTCCAGGTCGACGATGCTTTGTCGGAGTGGACATGGCGGGTAAAGTTCGACCTCATTCATATGCGCCTAATGCTAGGCGCTTTTACTGATACCGAGTGGGACGACATCTACCAAAAGTGCTTCGACAACCTTGAACCTGGTGGTTATGTCGAGCAACTCGAACCAGACGTACAAGTCATGTCGGATGACGGTTCCCTTAAGCCAAGCTCGCTCCTTGCGGGCTGGGGTGATAACTTTGTAGGCTCTTCGGAACGAGCGGGGCGCTCTCTTGATACGCACAAGACGATGAAAGCCAAAATCGAGGCAGCGGGCTTTGTCGATGTTCAGGAACATCTATACAAAAGCCCGATCGGTATCTGGCCCAAGGACAAGCTTCTCAAGGATGCTGGAAGGATTAACCATGTTCATTGGAGTTCTGGCTTGGAGGGATTTGCCATGTTCTTGTTGACAAGGTTCGGTGCACCCAAGCCATGGACTGCAGATGAAGTCCGCGCATATACCAGCAAAGTGAGAGAAGAATTGAAAGCACCAAATCTGCATATATGGCACTACACGTGAGTTGATATCAACACTTAGAGTCCTGAAACTTGCTGACACATGGAACAGACGACGAGTCTGGGGAAGGAAGCCTTGATGGAGCAGACTGTTGTTCTTCGAGCCGTTGAAGCATACGTACTGTCTTGCCGAAATGGAAGTCTGAGCTGTTCATGTCTTTAGCGGTCTGTTCGTAGCGTCCAATTCCATCAAGATAACATGAAGGACGGAGATGAGAAGATGGTGCTGAGTCCTGAAATAAATGGCGCTGGCCAAGCCACCGAAGCTCGCGTGCCTCTCCGTTAATTAATTCTCCTGAGTTCGCGACTTCAGGCTGCGCCCATTTCGGCCTTAGCAAACAATAGGCCACGTACTGTCTTACGACCTCGGCATCCCAAGTCTCACTCATCGATCTTCTCTTCCTATTTTGGATGCGGCTGCCTGGTGTCCATCACTGACATTACAGGCATATGTACGAGACTGTTGCTGCCTTGCTCATCACAGCTTGCGCATCGTAAGCATCTGGTCATGTCTGCTCAGCGACAATGAATCTCAACATCTTTCGCATCCTGGGCGACGTATCCCATACTGCGTCAAAATGCATACTGATATGGGCCATTCATTCTAACAAGAGCGCAGAAGGTGAGAATCATTTCAGAGAACATGGCAAGCTTCTTAACCTGACTGTTTCCTTAGGCGTCTCTCTTCTTACTCAGATCCTCTACATTGCTGTCTTTTGCACTCGTTACCTCGACCTCTTTTGGGTCCCACCAACATCATCATGGTGGAATTTCATACTCAAGAACTTTTACATCTGGTCCTCAATTTACATCATTGTGTTGATGACACGAGTGTATGCGAGAACTCGTGAGCAAGAGAAGGCCTGGAAATGGGGCGGATATGCCGCGGGAGCCTCGTTCATCGCAGCACCCCTGGTATCCCTCATAATCAACGGCTGGACACGTTCCACGTTCGTCGAGGTGCTCTGGACGTTTTCCATCATACTCGAATCGGTCTGTGTCGTCCCACAGCTTTTGCTGCTTCGGCAAACGACCGTGCCAACAGTGATTGACTCCTTCTATCTGGTTACTCTCGGGTCTTACCGAGCATTTTACCTCCTGAACTGGATCTACCGCGCATTCACTCCGTCGAAGCCCGATCCTATCTCTGTCATATTCGGCATCATCCAAACCGCCTTCTATGTCGACTTCGCATGGGTGTACTGGACAAGACAAAGAGTGAAGCTCAGAGGAGGTGGAATCGTGGACGCAGAAGACTTGAACAAAGGATGGCTCGTCAATAAGGTATTCAAGCATACTCAACAACCGCTTGACGAAGAAGACCCAGAGGCCGGTACCGGCCATTCGAACGGCCACGCGCAGCCAAAAGCTAGTCGGTGGGGTCCGCGAGGTGTGTCAGTATCAGCGGACGATACGCTCCATGAACACGATAGGGGGAAGAGAGCCACCAGAAATCAGAGCCCAGAGGCTGATCCAATGCTGGCTGAAGAGAGCTACCAGCCTGACCCTGAAGCTTTTGAGTTCGCGGATGAGGAGGATGATGTTCCTCAGCTGGATGAGCCTGGCAACAAGGTTTTGAACAGTGGTGAGGAATGGGGTAACAAGTCACCTTCGGTCAAGTGATTGCTTTTGTACTAGATATCTGGCAGTTGCCGACATCTGCTTCCATATGCTTGGCTTGGCAACGTCGACATGCCTGGTACTCAGCTGTCGCGATATCAACCTTGTATATTGTCGCGGAGACTGGGAGAGTTTTCGTGCATGACAAACACAATCAATATCGCATCTTGCGTGAGGAGACGCTATTCGCTATTTCTTGGTACATTCTGTCTGCATGTAGCGGCTTGCTGAATTTCCTCAATGGGACGAATGCGATGATCATATATTTCTCGGCTACAGTTTTGCGGCTCAAGAGAGAATATCAACAATTTGACAGATGCGACAATACCATAAATCCGAGAATACCATGATCGGGAGCACGAACACAACATATCGTCATAGGGAAGACACAAGGTGCATATGCGACTTTGCACGTAAATACGAGGCACGAAAATATCACTGCATCATGCTGGTACGACGCCATATGTGTCTCGGTGAAAAGAAACATTCGATGCCGACCGGATCGACGGCTTCACCGAGAGAGACTCTTCGCGGAAAGAAGCCTTGCGGTATTTACCATCAACAGAGTGCCGGAATGGAAACGAAGAGTCGTGAATTTTCAATAATGGAAAGCCGCGGCAAAACCACAGGGAAACGTGCACAGCCTCTTCATATCGACGAGATTTTCCTTTATGTTGCATTTGTGCACAGAGGAGAATTCTTCCATCACCAAAATTGATCGAATCAGCCGGGACAGCGATAGCCGGATGATGTAAGGATCGCGATGGAATTGGGCGAAAGGTGACCCTACAGCCAATTAAAGGGCCATATTGGGTGAGTAACAGCCATCTTGAGATCGCCGCTAATGCGCAATGATGGAGGCAATCCTCCCATGGACCCTCCGACCGGGTGCACGGCCTTTGAAGGTTCAATGGGTTTCGATCATGATATATATGATGGAATGACACTGGCCGGGTTCGCCTGGTGGTGTTGTCATTTCTCTATACTACCTGGGCTGTCGCATAACCCCAGCTTTCTCTATCCCTCAGCGACTCATCATGTCGACGCCAGAGCTTCGCGAAGAGCCCATCGAGGTGAATGTTCCCATCTCCAGGCCAACTACTCGAACTTCGAGTACCTCTACGGCCCAGGACAATTACCGCCAACCCAACGAAAAAGTCAACACCGACCCCGAGAAACAAGTCCAAGGTCAACAACATCACTCACAAAAAGAGCACGTTCCTCATTGGAGACTCGTCGCCAGCCAGAGTCTCATCACCGATGCTGTAGCCAACCATCCATACAATGGCGCCGGTACTGAGGATGATCCCTACATCGTCGAGTTCATCCCCAATGATCCCCGCAACCCGATGGAGTTCTCACAGGCCAAGAAATGGTTCATCACCCTCACTGTCGCCATCGCAACGCTCGCCGTAGCCTTTGTCTCTTCAGCCTACACGGGCGGAGCAGATCAGGTCATTGCCACTTTCGGCGTCAGTGAAGAGGTCTACACCTTGGGCGTTTCCTTATTTGTTCTGGGTTTCGCTGTGGGACCCCTACTATGGGCCCCATTAAGTGAACTGTACGGTCGACAGGTACTCTTCTTTGGAACTTATGCAGTCCTTACTGCCTTCAATGCGGGCGCCGCTGGGGCCAATTCTATGGCTACTCTGATCGTGCTGAGATTCTTTGCCGGCACATTTGGATCTTCGCCTCTCACCAATGCTGGTGGTGTTATTGCCGACATGTTCCCTGCTACTCAAAGAGGATTGGGTATGTCTATCTTCGCCGCTGCGCCGTTCTTAGGTCCTGTCATTGGTCCGATTGTAGGAGGATTCGTCGGCGAAACGATTGGTTGGAGGTGGAATGAAGGAGTCATGGCTTGCTTTACAGGACTTGTCTGGATCTTTGGTGCCTTGACCATCCCCGAGACCTATTCACCTGTCATTCTGTCAAGACGAGCGAAGATCCTGTCCAAGAAAACCGGAAAGGTTTACATTTCAGTGCTTGAGAGACGGCAGGGCAAGACGACGCCCAAGGCTGCGTTCCAGAAGTCATTGGCTCGACCGTGGGCTTTACTGTTCCTGGAACCCATTGTCCTGCTCATCAGTATCTACATGGCCATCATCTACGGAACACTTTATCTATGTTTTGGAGCTTTTCCTATTGTCTATCAACAAGGTCGTGGCTGGTCACCGGGCATCGGAGGTCTCGCTTTCCTCGGAGTTGCGGTCGGAATGCTCATTGGTGTTGGGTACAGTATCTGGGACAACAAACGCTATGCAAGAATCGAAGATGAGCACGATGGAGATGCTCCTCCCGAAGCGCGACTTCCTCCGGCAATGATTGGTGCCATTGCTTTGCCCATCGGCTTGTTTTGGTTTGCCTGGACAAATTCACCTTCAATACACTGGATCGTTAGTATTATTGCGACCGCACCTTTCGGTTTCGGCATGGTGCTGGTCTTTTTGGGTTGCATGAACTATCTCATCGACGCGTACACCATCTATGCTGCTTCGGTCCTCGCAGCAAACTCGGTTCTGCGATCCATTTTCGGCGCAGTCTTTCCTCTTTTCACAACATATATGTGAGTTTCACGACCTCCTACTAGCTTGAGCTTTGCAATGCTAACCACGAAATAGGTTCAACAGCTTGGGCATACATTGGGCATCTTCGATACCAGCCTTTCTCGCTTTAGCCTGCACGCCGTTCCCTTTCGTTTTCTACAAGTACGGCGAGACCATCCGACTGAAGTGCAAGTATGCAGCTCAGGCTCACGAAATCATGGTGCAAATGCGCGCTCAACAGAAGCAGCTTCAAGAAGAGGAACATGAGGAGGGGCAGGAGGAAGAGGAAGAAGAAATCGAAGAGGAGAGCAGACCCGGACGGCTCGGAGTCAGTCGTGCCACCAGCCATGCTAGCAGAGCCACCAGAGCCAGCAGGCCTAGTATGACGCGGGTGAGTACTCGTGCTTCACGTGCTGACAGTCGAGCACGCCGTGAAGAGTTTGGAAGAGTGTACAGTCATGCCAGTCATCATCACTTCTAAGTTGTGTCTTTTTATGTGGACAGGGGATGTGGTGAAAATCATGTTGTTGAGTCGAGTGTTAAAGCGAGCATATGAGTGGTATTGAACACTGGAAGACTAATGTGTATGAGTACATCACCAATAGATAGTAGTCGTAACATGTACAGAAATAAATAGTATAGATTAAACTACATGAAGTCCGTCTAACGTCGAAAGTCTTTAGTACCCTCGCACTTGCACTCCTATTGGGGTATCAATTCCTTGCTGCTTTGTCAGAATCATTGGCATCGAAATGTCACATTAAGTTCTTTGACTCCGCAATAATTTTGTCTCTACGGAGTACGCCGTACTGTACATGCACGTTCCATCATCCATCCTGCTTCGTCGCCTATAAAGTCATCCCGGCAGGTCACTGATTCATCTCAGATCGAATTGACATGCAAAAGGCAGCTTCTTTAAGACGTTTGTCATCTCTTCGCGAACAGTTATCACCAGTTCCAAACTCACTTCTCAGACACAAACGCACCATGGCTTCTCAAATCCCCAGCAAGTTTGACATCAACACCACCTATACCATGAACTCAGGCTACAGGATTCCTGCTCTTGGCTACGGTGTGTATCAGACGCCAGCAGCTGAATGTGAAAGTGTCACTCTTCATGCCTTCAAGACTGGATATCGACATGTTGACTCGGCTCGAGTATATCGCAACGAACAGCCATGTGCTGACGCCATCCGTGCTTCCGGATTGAAGCGAGAAGATATCTTCTTCACCAGCAAGGTTCCTCCAAAGTCTATGAGCTACGAGGCCGCAAAGAAGTCGATCGAATCCACTTTCAGCCAGACTGGACTCGAGTACGTTGACCTTTACCTGATTCATGCTCCTCATGGTGGCAAAGAAGCCAGATTAGGTGCGTGGAAAGCGCTTGTCGAAGCTCAGAAAGAGGGGAAGATCCGATCGATTGGTGTCTCGAACTACGGCGTCCATCATCTCAACGAACTTGAAGAGTATATTAAGACGTCTGGTGTCGGAGGTACAATCGATGTGGGCCAGTGGGAGATTCACCCTTGGCTGCCGCGCAATGATATTGTGGAATGGTCACGCAAGAGGAACGTTGTGATCGAAGCTTACTGTCCGATCGTCCGCGGCGAACGTAAGGATGAGCCTGTCCTCAAGAAGCTTGCTGAGAAGCACGGCAAGACTTGGTCACAGATACTATTACGTTGGAGTCTGCAGAAAGGATATGTGCCGCTACCGAAGAGTGTTACTCCCTCCAGGATCGAAGAGAACGCGGCCATTTATGACTTCAAACTTGACGAGGATGACATGAAAAGCCTCGACTTCCCGGAGTCGTATGGACCATGTTCTTGGGATCCTACCGTGAGCAACGACTAATTTCGTATGCTTGATGACGACGCCGAGATGGAAGGAATGGTGGCCTGTGTCCAGGGTCGCTGGGCGAAGCTGAATCCTGGACAGCGACTTGTTTTTGCTTATCGAAGGATGCACCAGCAGCTGAACTTCCAGACTTTTCCCTCACATATTCAATGTCATTATCAAAAGCATTCAACATATCGCATACGCCTGCCGCTTACTTCTCCTTCTTTGACTAATTGCTTTGCGCCAAAAACACCAGCAGGACGGCACAATACCTGTCATCTTAGCGTCCACATACCGAACAAGTGCGGACTGACTTACGCTGCTGTTGCTGCACAGATTTCATGCCTCCTAGCACTTGTTGCAGACGCGCACAACCCGGCGAACATGGTCGTGAATGCCAGCGCGACCGCTAGCTGAAGATACCCGTTGGAAGCCCTGATTCGGTACAGAATCATGATAGGGCCCATAAGCGAAACGACGACCACCATGGTGAACAAAAAGGCGACAAGTCCGTCGAATCGTCTTTTGTCGAACAGTTCCAGGTGCAAGACCGATGCACCGCGAAGCTTCCTCTTTTGCGTCTTCCCTCTCAGCAGAAACTGTTATCAATCAACTACCAGACTCATCGTTCAACGTCATGGGTCTTACACGAATAAATGACCGCCCAATGCAGGTCTTTCGGGCAAGGTCCAGCAGCAAGCCATGGATACTCCCAGACTCCTTGTCACTGCAGATAGCGACCAGATCATCGACATGTTCGATGTAACTCCTGTCAAGGTGACTCAATTGAGCATCGTTCCAGATAAGACCTGCCATGGCCTCACGAGCCTTTTCACTAGGCACCTCGTACTGATGAGCGTCAGCGCAGCGCTTGAGGAGGTCATCTAATGTCAGTCAGCAAGTTGACACTGACACATTTTGTATGGCGAACCATATAACTCCATTTCTCGGCTCAGCTCTTGGAACAGCAATTTCCTCTTGGGAGGACTTCTTCCATCATCTCCTTGACGACAACACAGCGCCCTCCTTGTTGCGTCATCCTTGAAATCTTCCAAGTCCAAATCTCCCAGCAGCTCTTCGAGCTCCCGCAGACGGTCCTGGTGCCAGACCAGGAGCCTTGTTCTCAGATACCCGAACTTGCGGAATATCATGAAGTTTGCGTCGCTGTCGATCACAGCAGCCAGTCTGGGCCAGCCTTCCGGATTAGACTCGACTGGAGTCGATTGTCTTAGCAGGTGGACTCTTTGCTGACGGCTTAGCACTGCAATACTCACCTTCAAGTACCCTGGTTTGTCGCCATTTCTCTTCCGGTCGATCCTCACTGGCCTTCTGGACGATATCATTCAACCAAGTGGTAAACCGAGCTGTGACGAGATATTAGCAAGCCTGTCCTCTGACATGTCAGTGGTTGCACGCACGACTACTCCTTTGCTTGCTGGTATAATCACTCGCACCTTTCTCGACTTCTGAAAGGTCCGTCTTGGTCTCCATGTTCAGAGCAAACGTGCAGCTATATCAAGCGTTGTATTGACCGCAGATGCACGAGTTTTCGATTTGTCTACGGGAACCTGTTTGCAAGACATACTGTCGTATTGTCAAATTTTCTGTTCTATCGTTACACATGCTGTTACACGGGACTGCCTCGACGCCTGAGCGCGACCTTGCCCTACGCTGGTACCTTGTGCGGCTTCCATTGTTCCACAACATCAGCAAACCAGCGCCCTGCACGCCTCGGATTTGAGAAATGTGCATGCGCAACCCTTTCTATCCGGCCAAGGAACAGCCTCTTCATCAGTTTCAAGATTCCACCACCTTTCGCACTTTGTGCAGCCGCGGAGTCCTCCGAGTCTGGTGTAGTCGATTCCAACCGCTGTCGAGCGCACTTACTCGGTCAGATATCAGTCTTTTATCCCCCAGTGAGCTTCGACTTCTATCAACCCTATTTTTGAGGAGGCCATACTTCTTTGCTCTACCACGTATCAGCTGGATACCCTGCGACGGAGATCTGGCTTACTTGGGTCTTCTTCTTGTTCACCTCTCCACCTCGGGTATAGTGTATGTCATCTCGCTGGTCGTCTGTGTACAGGTTAGCAGACAAGTTTTGATGGTGGTCAGGACGAAGACTTGCCGTCTTCCGAATACCAACCATTGCTATCCTCGAAGTCCTGACCACGCTGTGCTTCCTGCTGGTCTCGCTTGGCATTTCTTTTTGTTGAGCGACGCTGTCGCCGTTCTGCTTGTTCTCTGCCACCAAGTTCCTTAGAAACACGAATAGGCCAAGAGGGAGGCATGCTATGATCGACATACTGGTTCAGTTGGCCTGTTGGTTGGATGGGTCGCCCGTCACGGTCAAGAGTCGGCGACTGATGTGTTCCACTCGTGGGATACGATCTGGGAGAAGATACGTATCCTGCAGGCGTCATCAGACTGCCATTGAATGTAACGAGGACGTCTTGCTTACCTGAGGCTTCGATGCTCGTTTCTCTCGCCTGGTTGCGAACTGGGGAAGGGTTTCGATTTTGCCTCTGACCGTTATGATCTCTTTCTGCTCGTTGTCCTCCATGTCGAGGCTCATGCGGTACTTCTTGCTGGTTTTGAGGTCCGGATCCTTGACCACCTCCTGCATTTCTCCGCTGAAGGGCTAGATTCCATGCTGAATCATTCTGAGGTTTGTCCTTGTCGACTTTGCTGGACATGTTGACGATGAGAGAAAGAAGGATGAAAAACTCTGAATATCAAGGTTGGTGCGGTGGGCTGGACTATGCGAGTACAAGGAGAAGATCCACCTAGCAGTAGGGACCTGAGAGCTTGTCACCTGTAAGTTGCTCTTTTTCAGTCTTTCACAGCGTCTGGCTGCCTTCATTTCGACGAACAAAACCCACTGCCTTGCGAACAAAGCGTGTTGAGAACGATGTCGTCGCACTCTGCGCACATATCAGGGCAACCAACATCCGTGTAGTCAGATTCGCGATGAAGCGACACTGCGAAGTCATTTCAGCTTTGAATGAGCCGGCAATAGCACGCAAGTGCTTGACAGAGACGAGAAATTCACGATACGACGAACGACAGTGCGATCCTAAGAGGATCCCAGCTATCCTCAGAGGAGAATCCACCTCCAGAGGCACTTGCGATTGCATCTACAAATAGCTCACACGTGGGCAGTCTTTGGGTCTACCAACGATCACAGCTCAAACACACTTTGTCAGAGCCAACAGCACCACTGGGCAAAGCAGCTTTGCTTCCGGATCAGTTGTTGCCATGCTTGTCTATCATGCTCACTCTCTTGAACCACCAGAGATACAGACGGACAGGAAACGACGAAGTCCGAGCAGAACAAAGGATGAAGAAACACTATGTGAGGCCATCAAGCGATGGGCAAGCTGATTAGAATTGATGCTTGGAGGAAGACAATGAAGTCTCACCAAGCTTGAGACATGACATGTCCAACACCAGCTGAATGGACCTAAATGTCTACACTTAAGAGCACAAGGGATGTGAGTTCAAAGCTTTGGGATTCGCTACAGACCAAGTGTGTTGTTGGTGTGGGATATGTCTTATTGTCCTTTTCATGACGAACAAGGCTGTCTACGAGGCATGGTGTACGATGCATAAGCCGGTTCCACGATGTCTTGGGCGCTCATTATACGATTTGGGACTGCCTGGTTCCTTAGTGTCGACGTGTCTTAGAGACCCTCCAGGTCATATGTAAGTAGCGAGACTATATGATCCTATGGTATGCTCCGACCGATTCCTGTTGAATGTCTTTACGTGATCTTTTCCAAAGCCTCATCAACTCGTGTACTTGCTCCACGAGTACCGAACTCTCTCGCAAATTGTCTGCTGCTTCAAAACTCGAAACCTCACACTCTCTGCCAGTATGAGTCTCCTGGAGACGTTGTTCAGAAATTCCGGTCTGGACGAGTCGCAACGAGGTGCATGGGCATGGGAATACTTGACACAATTTGGAGGAAGCCAGCTGGGTAGTCCTACACCGGGCCTGAAGGCAACACTGACTTTCCACCAGAGACAAGGTGTCCTAACATACCCAGATGTCGAGAGGACTCAATTCAACGAAGTCATCAAGGAGGGCGACCTTGTCTTCGCGATACTAGATCAGAGTCCCGGCTTCTCCAAAGAGTGTTTCGTGGTCATGAAGTCAGCGTCGACTTCTACCACTGGCCATGCTCAGCGAATGCATGAACTCGCTCTGATCACGTATGAATCGTACGCGGTTGAAGAAAAGGCCTTGCTGAAGCTCAATTTCAAGTGGGGAGATTTTGTGGTTCTCAAAACCTCATGCATCGGCCCATTGTTTGAGGTTAAGGATATTGAGCCGTTCAGCGATGGTCAAAAGCCAGCCTGCACCGAACCCAGTGTCGAGTCAAATACCTCGATATCGGAAACAAGCGCTGTGAGCGGCAAACGATGGACGGTCATGGTTCATATTGTCGATGCCGAGGGGATCGGATGCTGGATGAGACAGGATGACGTGATCAAGGCACCGATAGAACTCGTGTCTCGGCTCGAGATGCAGAAGACGAGGGGTCTCAAGAGAATGAGAGATGAAGATATGGACGTGCCTGTGCGAGATGCACAGAGGAGACGTATTGAGGAGGAGGAGATCGTTCTGCAAGATGATGAGATTGGCCTTGTCGAGGAATATTAGAACATTCGAAAGAAAGTGAGAGTGGTCTGACGGCAAAGCTGAAGACACCTGGCACTGAAGAGGTAGAAGAGCCTGAAGACCAGACAGAGAAAGAAGAGATTGGAGGTGTTGAGTCAGATGAATCTGCAGGCAAAGACGAGGGTAATTGCAGGGCTATACGATGTCCATATAGTCCTAAAATGAGTAAGAAGACCTGAAGAAACGTTGGATATACAGGAGCCGAGCATGCTGGAAGAATAAGATAACTCGCTTTCAATACAAAATCTAAACTCACATCGCCGCTATCATGTCTCATATAGACTCGGGATGTGGAAGTCGTTTCCCCCATTCCTCCTCGTCGTCTCCCTCGGTTGCCCAAGACATCCCCTTCACTACGTATACTATACCACAGTCAACGCATGTGTGCTCAAGGCAACCCCATCCTCTTCGTCGTCCGCTCATTCAACCCCCAAGCCTGACTACTCGAATCATGCACCGTAGTCCGTCTCATATCACGCTTATATCTGCCTGCAAAACTGCCAACGCTAGCGCGGTGCATAACAGCCGTATTATCCCAGCAGACCACATCTCCATTCTCCCGCCACTCCACGCTAATAACATATTTATCCTGTGTCGCGTGCGCGAGTAACCGTTCAATCAATTGCGTCGATTCAGGTTCCGGCACACGACTCCCGTCCTTATACTCCAGGTGGTGCAAGTGATTGGCGATATATAGATTCGTACGACCCGAGCGTTCGTGCAATTGGACAATCCGGTGTCGTCCGAACGGGTATGCCTCTGGGTCGAAATCCTGGACAAATTCACTGTCTGGTGCGGCTTTCCGCCGCGAGTGCCATAGGCTGTTGGCGCCGATGTAGTCGTTGTCCAATAGCTGGGTCTTGAGGTCTTCGGGGAGATCGTCGAATGCGGTGCGGGTGTCTGCGAAGTCGGTGTTGCCGCCGTGGCCGGGTGGTGGGAGCTCGTGGGCCCGAAGCAAAGAGTAGCCTGCGCGGCGAGGGTTGAAGGCCGAGTCACAGTGGAAGAGGCCATTACCCTGCAACATTTAATTCAGTATGCGTCTCATGTTGTGGTCATGATGTGATCCCATACCCTGCCCATTATGTCTCTCTTGCTGCCAACCTGCACTAGTGATCCATCGTCTTCTTGGTTCGAAACGTCAAACAGCTCGAGGAAGGGGAAGCGGTTTATCCGGCCGAGAGTCATGTAGGGTTTCACGTCGTCTAGTTCGCCGAAGAGGCGGGAGAACTCGACATGTCGGGCGTCGTCGAGGCCGGCCTTGCGGAAGACTAGGACGCCATACTGTACTGATCAGCTACGAGCAGGATCAACGACGTGTAGAGAACATACCTTTGCGCTTGCATCAGATATCTCTTGAAAGACTTCTGGTGGAACAGGCTTGGTGAAATCAATACCAGACACCTCCGCGCCAAAGGTGGGCGCAAGCTCGGTGACTTGGATGTGCTGGTATTCTGGGACGGTGGCGTGCGGCATTCTGATGTGCAGCGGGTCAACAGTAATGGGAGACTGTACTACAGCCACTGCCAGTCAGGTCAGTCTTCGAATCTTGCCCGAGGTGGATGGATGGATATATAGCCTTAACAGGTCGTTCCCCGGGTTGAGGCTCGGTGGCTCCGATATCCGTCGCCTCCCACGCTTATCTCCAACTTCAGTATGGAGAAGCCCGACAAGGGCGTGTTTTAGCCATTCTTCAGGCATTCGGAGAATTTCCACCTCTCAAATGAGGGCGGCTCTGGCCTGGTGCATTCCGAGGAGGCCGATGAGTTGCTCCAATGTCAATACTGCGCCTTTGGGATACGCCCTTCACTCGCGCCCTGTAGCCAGCACCAAGCCTTTCAAACCGCTGGATGATCTCAAGAGCAGTTTCTTGATCCTGTGAAACGATGCTGCGGAGTCAAGGCATGAGATTCGAGGGATGGAAATTTGTTGTTAGCCATGAATGATCAATTGCTCTCCTGGGGCCTCCGTGACCCTGTATCACCTTATGTACAGCTTTTCGATGACTTCTCCAATCACTCCATTGTACACCTTCTCGACGACCTCTTCCCAACCACTCCGTTCTGATGCGTATTCACCGGTACCAATATTCAGGCTTGACATAATCGGCCATGGTCTTTGGCTCTTCGTAACCGTGGTGGTGGTGGTCATGCGGGTCATCAGGGGGTCCAACGTAGTCCATTCTGTAGGTGCTGCCACATTCGGGGCATCGTTCAAATGGTCGCTTGCGAGATAGCTGACCAAAAGTTGTCAGTATACCTCTTCGGTTTCCAGCACAAGATGTTGTGGCCATAGAAGCCACGTGAAGGCAATAACATACCACTAGCCATTTCACAATATGCGAGTCTGCAGGAGAACCTGTGCAGCCGGCTTGAATTTCGTCTCCAGCTGATTTGACAACAATTGGGTCATCGAATGTACCTGCATATCAACGCTGTCAGCTTCCATGTCGCTGTCTTCGAGTTCACAAGTTCTTTCTGTTGTTTGGTGTTCCGCTCCAATTTGACCATCACATACCGACTCTGTCTGAAGGAAGAGGTGACATGTCGAAAATGTCAATGCCCTGCATCTTTCCGAGGATTTCGAGACGCTCGAGACCGGTGGCTTGTTCGAGATCGGTAGGAATGGTACCAGGCTCAGCACCAGGTGGGAGGAGGTCTTTAGAACTCTTGATTTCTGTAGCAAACCAGCAACGTCAGTCCTAGTCGCTGTAACAAGCTTGGCCGCAACCACTCGGTGCAGACAGGCTGCTCGGAGGTCTTTGCTTTCGAGACGCACCATCAAAAGCCAGTAACTTCGCCTCAGGGTCACCAGGCTTCGGGTCCCATTTTCCACCTGTAACAAGCAATTAGCCGCGGAAGTCCGAGGAGCTCGCGGAGCTGCATTGCTGCGTCCTAGAGAGCTTCGAGGGTAACATTGACATACGACGAGCTGCGACAGTTGCGAAAGTTCGAGGGACGATCCGAGTTGGCTTGACTGGCACACGGCGCGCCAGAGAAAAGGCTGCGCGTGCTACCGACATTCTGAATTGGTGTGAGTGGAGAGGGAGGAAGGCGTTGAAAAGAGGTTTACCTCTGAAAGAAGGAGGTTATGTCGAAACTGCGTCAAAGTAATTGCTTGGGATTGGGTGGTCTGAGGTTCGCCGGAGCTGGCAAGCTCTACTATCTTGGCAACAGCCTGACACGTGATCGTTGATGCTCTTTCACTATTGGAACAAGGCGACAACTTGAGGCGCGAGTCGTACGCGATGAGTACTTAGGTCGACGTATCATCTCAGTAGGCGTCTCAATCGTAGGCTTCAGACATTCGGTGCGTTGTAAAGCTGTTATGTTGAACACCAATGACCATCTCCGCAAGCAAAGACAGCCTTGCTTATGTAAACGCCAAGAAGGCTCTGGAATTGGTCACGTGGCCATGAAACTCGAGGCCATCTTTGGCCGTCTGCCTCGATCGCATTTATTAATGTAGCCGATCCAGTCTTCCTCTTGCCACGACCACTACACATCCCCAGCTCACCATTGAATCGCGCATCGAACTGCGATTCGAACCCTCTACGCAGACGCTCTGAACCAGCCAGACTTTAATCCACAGTCCACCTTTCGCATTCTTCACAATGGCGAACTACCTCGCCTCGATTTTTGGTACCGAACAGGACAAGGTAAGTTTCCATACGCATCTCTACTATGTTCGCGCATTGCTAACCAGATCTGTACAGGTCAATTGCTCATTCTACTACAAGATCGGCGCATGCCGACATGGCGACCGCTGCTCGCGAAAACACGTCAAACCCTCATACAGCCAAACAATCCTCATGCCGAACCTATACCAAAACCCAGCCTACGACCCAAAGAACAAGATGAACCCATCACAACTGCAAAACCACTTCGACGCCTTCTACGAGGATCTCTGGTGCGAAATGTGCAAATTCGGCGAGGTTGAGGAGATAGTAGTCTGCGACAATAATAACGACCACCTCATCGGGAACGTGTACGCACGTTTCAAGTACGAAGACTCCGCGCAAAAGGCCTGCGACACGCTCAATAGCAGATGGTACGCGGCGAGACCGATATACTGCGAATTAAGTCCTGTCACGGATTTCCGAGAGGCGTGTTGTCGGCTGAACTCAGGTGAAGGGTGTGTCAGAGGTGGATTTTGCAATTTCATTCACAGAAAGGAGCCTTCACCTGAACTGGAAAAAGAGTTGGAGCTCGGCACGAAGAAGTGGTTGAAGATGCGCGGGCGAGACGAGCGAAGCATGTCAAAAAGTCCCAGTCCTGAACCGACGAGGAAGAGATATTAGATATGTCGAGGGGGCAGCCCCAAGCAGCTGCAGAGACCTTGAGTGAGGGAGTCCTACATGTCCAGGCAAAGCGATGATCATTCTGGCACGAAGCGTCAAGAGCATGCACTAGGATGTCGAAATCATCGGTACAAGCTCCGAAGCTGCGACCTTTCACCCACCCAAGCACCATGTGCAGGAACCTTTTGCGACACAAAACTGTGCCCCTTTGGCTGAGAGGCGTCCGAGGAGAAAGGGCTCACATGATTGCCTGTTCCGGGCCAAACTCTGTTCGATACTGCCACCAGATCGTGGGCGAGATCGAGCAACGAGCCCCAAGATGGAGTGCAGTGTCTCGCCATGGGCTGATGCCGCGACACAACGTGGATGAGACTCGAAGGCTATGATACGAGGATTTGGCCGTGGGCTTTGGCACACTGGAAGTTGTCTTTGACGCCCTGCAGTTTCAGGGGCGACATTCAGAGGAGCAGGCCAACACAAAATGGAGTTACAGCGCCGTATGCAGATATAGTTTAGCATGCAGCGGACAGAACTTGAACAACCTGTCGATATCCATTCGAAACCCGTCGAGTTACATGGTGTTCTTGCGAACAAAATAAAAGAACGATCAGGCTCAATTAGTCAATGACTGTTTGAACTCTATATGTCTATATGCGGCCTCTCAGACAGACCGATGTGATGACATGGTGCTCGTAATGTCGTTAGTCGAATCTTCCGTATCCCGTCGGAAGTCCTCGTGTGATCAGGTCTGATGATGACCATATCCTCTGCAGCCCATCCTTGAGTCTTGTTTCACTCAATCCCTTCATTAATCGCTGACGACAGGACCGAGCTGTCGCGCGTCTTCGTGGTCTCCTCCATCATTGCTCCTCTGGTAGCGAATAACGCCATGTTGAAATATGTTGACCATGATGCGATGCCAGCGCAGTGTCGTCAACGTTATAGCGCCTTGAATGGTCCCAGCTTCGTGTACCACAGCAGGACCATGACAATCCCAACGACGACACATACGAAGCCTAGTGCGATGAGCCAGCCCAGCATGCGTGTTCGACGTTGTTTCTTGTGGTTGCGCTCAAGCCATGAATCTCTGTATGCCAACATTAGTATACCACCATCTCAGTACACATCGATCTCCTCGACCACGTACGCTTGTTTCAAGACAGGTCTTGAGGACGCGGTGGAAGTTGATTTTGAGTCTGATATATTGGCCTGCTCTTCATCCATGTGTACCGCCATTGAGAATCGTCGCCAGAACGCGGGATCTCGAACGGTGCCCATGATGGGTGTGATGAAGGGTATGCAGAACTTTTTCTCGATGGATTGGGTGCTCTCTATTTCCGGGGTCGAGATGATGAAGTGATCTGACCTGGGCTGTCGTCTGTTCTGTCAAAGATAGTGGTGATACGAGTAGAAGGTGGTTTGCAAAACGAGTGGACGATGCTGATGCACGAACGAGTGAGTGCACCAGATCTGGAGGGTAGGGAAGGACAGAATGCAAGAGCGACCGTCTTCACATTCGCAAGCTGCAAACGGGAGAGTCAAGAGAGAAGTAACACAATTTGTTGACTGAACGAATCGAGAATGATACAAACTCTCGCAGGGAAGCTCTTTCAGGGTACGAGTACCATCTCCATGGTGGAGAGTTTGCTCTGATTAGATCCGGAGGCGATTCGGTCAGAAATCCACATGTCTGAGAGCACCGTAGTAAGTAGTGTCGCGTGGACTTTGCACCTTTGAAGCCACAGCGTTAAGTTAGTTGGCGAGCCTGGCGAAAGACCGCGGCAAGCTGCTTTCCAGAGACACCTACGGGAAGGGAGTAGTGAGTGGACGTTGGGCCGGAATACACAATCTCCATCAACGCCAATCATCGGAGTGGGACATCTCGTCAATCTCTGGCCCAATCGACGGGGATGCAATTCAACGACGGCTGCCACTGCCCGGCAAAGCTATTGATTGGGCTTGCACGCTTGTCAGGCGAAATCGTGCAGAACGCAGTGGACAAAAAATCAAAGACGAGCGTGGCTGTGAAAGACGCGAAGGTTTTGATGAAAGGTGGAGTTGACGGGAGATTAGATGCCACCAGATGCCACAAGTTGCAGAACTGTCAATCAAATCAATCACCGACGGGATGATGGCGGCACATGTTTCTTATCTGGAGAGCCTCATTCTGACATCCTCATTACCTTTTCCGACAGAGATGCTCCTTATTCGGATGCATATGAGGACAAGCAGTGAACCACAATGCCACAACGACTGCAAGTTGAAGTTTATGAGCAACTAGCATTCGGCATCCTCCTATTTCAACATGGTCGTGTGCCGCGTTGCTCTGCCGAAGTTGGCCAGCAAGAAGGCTAACAACGATGCTGACGACGACAGATACACGATTAAAGGGAGACAGTATTGCTACACGGAAGTTTCTGGTCGAGGGATTGAGGTATGCATCGGTCCCGGCTAACTTATCAGCCATCATGCTCAAAGCTTTTGCCCAAGACGAACTCCTGGTCCGATCCCCTTTACAATGCACACGGCTGAGATAAGGCTACGGCAAATTGTAGGCGTCTTATCTTCCTTGGCGAGGCCTGTAAGCAAACCAGGGGCTTGCTGTGAGGCCCCAAAGCACAAGTGCTATGGTAAGAAGAATCATTAGGCAGGGAAGGCGAGATCATCACAAGGCTGGGGTACCTGGTCATGGTTCCTATACACAGTGTGTTTCAGATGGCTACGGTAACATCGACGATTGTCATTTCCTCCAGCTTACCGACGAAATGCTAACTATAACCATTTTTCTGAACACCGGACTGATAACGTCTAGCACCAGTCCAGCCACTCAAAGCCCTCCAGCCTTGTCTGCTTCACTGGTATTCACATGTTCCACAGTAGCCTCGACCTTCTCAGTCATCAACTCCTTCACTCCCTTCAGGAAGAAGATCGAGACCAGTGCGAGGACGACGAAGGGAATGATGCTGGCCCATGCGAGTCGATAAGCATGTGCGTACTCGTTATGACTCGCGTCCAAGGTTTTGTCCAGGATTGTCGAAGTCAGGCCAGGTACCTCGGAAAAGCCTGCTCCGCTAGCCAGTGCCGTCAACAAGGCCGGTAGGGATGACTTGGGCAGTCCTGCACTAACTGCAGCACCACCAACGACTGTCGCATAGGACTTGAGTTTGCCGTTGATGATAGCATCCAAAACAGCAGATCCAAAGGCTCCCCCAATTGCACGAGCAGAGAAACCAAGTCCGGTGGCCGTCGAGAGGAATGCATGAGGTGCAGTAAATTGAACCAGGGCGACAATGAGAGTAAGTGGTCCGGATTGTCCAATGCCGGAGAGTACATTGAAGCCAATCTGCGCATGATTCATGCTGGGCGTGATTGTCGCATAGCAAATGGTCCTGCAAACTGTCAGTATCGTTTTGATATGGAAAGCCTGTCAACCTACACAACGAGAAATATCACGAACGTCCCAATCAATGGAGATTTCAGATCCTTGTATTTTGTGGCATACAACCTGGTCCATATCAGTATTGTCCAACGGGTCACCGTACGAGGAATGCGGCCTTACGTGATGGGAATCGAGGCAAAAAGAGTCACGAGGTTGTAAGACAACTGTCGGATCGAAATCTTCCATGCGTTCGTCTGGAACCCAAGGTTTAGGACGATCTGAGGCGTCACGCTGTTGACGGCGGAGTAGAAGAGCCAACCCTCAACGGCGAACGCGAACACCGAAAGAGCAAAGTTGGGTGAACCCTTGAAGAAGACGTGAGCCACCAGGCCATCGGACCGCCCCTTCCATTCTGGTCAAGTGTCAGTCCGGACCATTGCATTGGGAGAACTCTTTGCGTAACTTACCATACAGACAGAACAACACCAGGATGCCGAGCCCGATCCCGAGCGGTGCAGCAACGTGAGCATCGGACCATGCATATGCACCACCTGCCCAATCCAGAGCCAGAAGGAGTAAGGTACATGCAGAAATGAAGAGCAGTGACCCGATTGGATCGCAAGCCCAGACGTACTGCTTCAGGGACATCTTGGGGTAGTCGGAGCGGCGGGTTGGGTGGTAGAACAGCATCAGGCCGAGGAAGCTGGCCAAATGGAAGGCGGCTTGTATCCAGAAGATGTCACGCCAGCCCGACGGTCTGGAGTTCGTCACGCCTCCTGAACCGAGTACGCCAACAAGTCCCCCAATTGCGCCAGCCAAGAAAGCGAAACCGTTTGCCAACGCTCTGTATTTAAGCGGTAGGACTTCGCTGGGAATTGCTTGGACGATTGAAATGGTGCTCAACGTGACGCCGATCAAGATGCCACCACCGATGAGCATGGGCATTGAAGTAGCTTTTGCTGAAATGACTGCACCAACGAACGCAATCAACGGAGGAATGGCAGCCAGGTATTTGCGATCCAGGACATCACTCAGCCGGCCCACGATCGGCGACAGCACAGACTGCATGAGCAGTGGTCCCTCTGGGAAGATTTGTCAGCGATTGAAGAAAGAAGTAGTAAAGGATTGACCAACGGATGATCCAGCCAGCAATAGCAGCGTCACCGAGATCGCGGATGATGAACGCTATCACGGATCCTGCTGCCACGACGACAAAGACTTGAGCCATGATGGCAAAGCAGGTCACGAATACCACAAGCCATGACCGCCAGCTCAAGTTGAGGTGCTCTGCCTCATTGAGTTCTTGAATATGCTCCATAGGAGCTTCAAACTCAACGGCATGAGCCCGGTCGTGTGCTCGGGTGTTCTCAACGGTCTCCATCGCCTGGATAGTATCCTTGTCGGCGGCCATGTTGTCCGTGGCAAGTTATGCGATACTGGGCACAAAATGAAAAGAAGAGTGTGCTCAAAGGAAGAAGCGGAGCGATCACCAAGCGAGATATAAAATGCACGGTCCGAGACGTGGGCCAACCACTCCTTGCTACTTCAACCCCGGCAGTTGATCTGGGGTCTCCTCCGGCCAGACTCCGATGCCGACCATCGTGGAGGTGAAGGATTCAGTCATGGCAGGCGTGCTGCACCATTCGATCTTGTCGAAAGGGTTCAACCTTGACAGGGAAGCCCTTTCCAATGAAAAGTCGACTGGGGGTATTTCCATCCTGGGCATTCCGCCAGAAATTGACGTGTTGTCGTTCGGCATTTGTCGAAGCCCACTTACGAAACTCTGCGTCAGGCCGATAGAGCCAACCAGGCTCCGGCTTTCAGGAAGTGATGTGCAGAAGTGGGAGATTCCCTGACTTTGGGGGATCGATTTGTGGTGCAATTGCGGAGAGGTTTCTGTGGGGTTCGCTACCCTTTTTCACCACCACAACATCTTATCCAACTCCCATTACTCATCTTCCTAACGGCCACCATGGATTACTTGTGTCAACAATGATTTGCACAGTGTTCTAAGACTGTCGGTGAAGATGTTCCGGCACGAAGGAGAAGTGGTCATGGGACTGAGTGTTTTTCAAGGCTGGTGCATTCTTCATGACTTTCCGGGAGTTCCCGAACATGACCTCTGTACACGGTCTGTATGTCATCACAGCTACAATATCTTCGACAACACCACACTGCTCGTCGAGTGAGCCTCTTCCCTGTCGATACAATGGAATTCCCCTCCTCGTGCCTTGGCGGCATCGGCTATACTTCTCGTTCATACCGACACCGCCTATGTCGGTGAATGGCTATTGTCGGGATTGAGCAGAAAGTATAGCCAAGTTGCTATGAATATGGACGCGTCAATTAGCCTGCGGTGATTTTGATATCGTTGCTGTGATGGCGCCCGAATCACAACAACTATTTGCAGAGCGAGTAGCTAACCACGTCTCATCTGGGTTGCGAGGTCATACACTCTGTTGTTGTCATCTCAAAGCACAGTTTACCGTACAATGGCTGCTTCCTCTCGTCAAGGAAATCAACAAGTTGAACAACAAACTCAAGTTAATGAGTCTGCTTCAACCATTCCTCCGTCAGATCTTGCCGAACTCAACGCATTCATCGATTCAACCCTCGAACACCAGTCTCCATCAGTCATTGCCGCACTCGGCACAGACAATGACATGGCCCTCGAACCCGAATTTCCGCTGGTCAATGGAGACCAGCACGTTCCTGACGTCGCCGCGTATTTTCAGTCGACAATGTCCGTTCCTAGAAAGGCTCCTACCTCAAGTAATATCGAACGAAAGCGCAATGCTTCCGTCGCATTCGAGGTTGACGAATACAATGACGAGAATGATGACTGGGACACGGATGATGACATGGACAAGGATGATGATGAAGAGGTCACAGATGAGCCCGTCACGCCAAAGAAAAGAGGGTACCAATTGAGAAAAGCCAAGGACGATGTCACCCGCGTCAAACCTCCTTCCAAGCATTCCAAACGAAGTGAGTCCTCCGAACCACTAGTATAGTTTGTGTGTGTGGTACTAACATGCGTTTGCGACGTTAGGGGGTGCAGTGTGGCATCGCGAGCGCAGAGAGGTGGAGGATGATGACCGGAAGAAGCTGTGTGAGAAGATTGACGACGACATTCTGCAGCAGGTTGACGATGCAGGAGGGAGTACGCCGGCGGGACGGGTCTTCAGATCTGCTCTTCTGATGATAGAGCGATTGCAGCAGGCGGAGAAATGATATGGTCAAGAATGACCTTGACATACCTCTCTTTGAGGGGCAAGTGGCCACCAGCACGGAGGTGCTTGTTTATGTAGAAAATGACCATGTGACACACCATTGGCAATGGATGACGAGATCCTCTTCCAGCTCATGCGCTCCCCAATTCAAAATGGATAACGGTATGCATATCTAAATTGAGATGCCCAGCCACATATCCAGGTCTAAACCCTTACTTAAGATGTTGTCCCTTCTCAGGTGCAATAGCCAGTCTATCCGCATTGCTCTGGTGTGCATCTTGACTCTATCAGATCCACTGTCTCCCACAACGCCCTCTAAGATTATAATCATAACTTCGAAGCCTTATTCGGGGTGGGAAAGACCGCCTTGTCATGTACACAAGTGACACACAACTTTCCATTGACGTACACCTTCCCCATGATGTTCGCCGTATGCCTTCCCGCCGACTGGACCTCGCAATCTATCGTCACATGCGAGTCCTTCGGCACTGGTCTCAGATAAGTCGTTGTGAGTGTGCGACTGACGTGCCCTCCGTCCAGGAATCCGGGCTTAGCTATCGTCAATAGAGCGGTCGACGTCAAATTATCGAGTAACGTCGCTGCGGCGCCGCCGTGGAGATTGCCGGATTTATTGCAGAGGTGCGAGGGGATGTCCATTTCCCATTTGGTGTTGTTGGCTGTGGCCTCGATGAGTTTGAGGTTGGTGTTGCGGAGGGCGTGGGTGTCGAAGCCGTAGTATGAGGGGTCATTGATCATTTGTTCCTCTAGGGCGAGGACGCGGTCTTGGATGTTGAGGGAGAGAAAGTCTTTGCGTCCGAAGACCGAGCGTGATGGGTTCTTCTCGGACATGGTTTCCACGTGTAATTGCTTTCAGTATGATGGGCTTCTTTCTGTGCAGGACAAGATTATGTCTTTCCCAATTCACAGAGGTGTTGTTTTTCTTCGTCTGCGAAAGATGTGAGGTATTGTTGATCTATCTAAGATCCGAATAAGCACGAACGACTGTTATGAAGGAAGGTCCTTTTGCTGGACATATATCAGATTACAAAGGGGATGAGCCGAGGTCCATCGCGAGACGGCTAACTTACTGATAACTTTATGGCCCAGAATGACCCCTAGCATCGTGAATTGCTAGGCGCTCACGTGGCGATAAGCGATAAAGACATGACAGTGTTTACCTTATGGTTATGATGCCACTTAACAAATGCACGGCCCCCAGTCAGCGTTCCCAGCGTACAGTACGGAGTACTGTAACCCTCGTCAGCCTCTGCTTGGCTGTCACTCGCTTCGCCTACAGCAAATGAAACGCCACTGAACAAACACCGGCCAGTGCTTGGGTTTTGGGCATGTTACAGCGCCCGGGTCCAACACGACTTGAATTCGCATGGGATAATGCTATCCCTCTTGATAACGCGCGTCGACGAAGTACCATCTCAACATTTCCCAACAGCACCGTTACCTTCGTGGCCATCTGACATGATCCACCCCGTTTCAGCCTTCTGAAAGAATCAAACCCTACATCTACCCTGGTTTTCCCTTTTGCCTTATGATGATCCCGCCGCGGAGGGATTCTCGCGATGACGGCCGAGGACGAACATGCCCCTGCCGAGACCTTCAAGACATCCAAGCGAGACAAATTCAAGGGAGCCCTTTCCCGGACAAAGAGCAAGTTCAAGAAAAACAATGACAAGAGTGAAGAGACGGAGCAGGGCCTCAGTGCCGACGTGAACGAGTTTCTTGCGGCGGGCAGGACGTCAACATCGAGTTGGAACTCCCAGAACACAACACCACATTCTCCTGCGACACACGGGTTCTCATCGACAGCGACATCGCCAGACCAGCAATCCCCCAGACCCTCGACGTCCGACTCGTCATCCACCATTCACAAGCCACCGAGAAAACTTGTGGTGCCACGGATTGATGTGTCCAATTCTCAAAGATGGCCTGCAGCGCAGCCAGTCCGGCAACAAGGCAGCCTGGCCGAGTCCGACTTCCTTCGACCAGAATACCACAGTCGAAGCCAGTCAGCCTCATCACTGTCCAAGAGAAAAGGGCGCGCGAGAGGACTCAGCGTGGCTTTTGATGACGATCCGCCTGTCATCATCGGCGAAGGAGGTGACGACGCACCGACCCCTCCCATGGAGATATCCAAGGCAAAATCAAGAGCCAGATCAGCCTCGCCCATGTCCACCCGTCAGCCACACGCGCCCGGGATGCACCACAGTCCGACGGCAGCGCATACACACTTCAGCCCAGCCCGTGGTCATGACCCGCCAGATGTTTTGAGGCCTAGAGGACTTCAAAGGATCCAGACGGGCACGTCTCCTACGTCGGCTGCGAGCCGTTCTTCGGCTCTGGACAGGGAATTTGAGATGACGTTGCGTCTGGGAGCGGGACACAACTCACCAGATAGTCAGGGCAGCGTTACGAATACTCCTGAGATCGTTTCGCCGAGGCCAGTACGCCCGATCAAGCCGCCGCCTCCAATCATGGAAATACCTCATCCCTCCGGTCTCAGGAAGGAGGTACCGAGAAATGATAGGACCGAGCACCTCCGCGAAGGAGATATCCTGCGACTATCCCACCAAGCCGAAGTGCATACTCCGCGCTCTAACGAGAGGATCACTCCTGGACAAAGGCACTATGTTGGCTGAAAACAATCGATTCGCTATTCTATCGTGCTATGCAAATGATGGAGTCTGTCATGCAATCGACATTCAGACACGATTCACGACGAGCTATTGCTTCCAAGAGCTTTGAAGCCCTGGATCAGGTCGTCTAAAAGGTCCCTGTCGTCCTCGATACCGATGCTCACCCGCAGGAGGTCTTTCTCTACTGTGTCATCCGTCATGGTGCGCCACTCGATCAAGCTCTCGACTCCACCCAAGCTCGTCGCATGATGGAAAAGATGCAGCTTGCTGGGCAAGGCTCGAGCGAGTTCGGGTGTCTTCATGACGATGGAAAAGACCGGACCATAACCATTTGGCATCTGCTTTCGCAACCAGGTCTTGTAGTCCTGAGTTTGCAGACTTGCATGATGAACCTTCTTCAGCACAGCTTTTATGATCTCGACGTCTGATTGCGACAGTCCTGTGCCTACCGTGTGCCCGGTCAACGCACCGTCAAGCGCGTCGACCAGTCTCTGTGCACTCTGGCTTTGCCTCTGAATGCGCAGTTCCAGCGTCCGCACACTTCTTACTCCCAGCCAACCTTCGAGACCGCCCATGACCGCACCGAGGTGTAGCCGGTCGTCCACCATTCGGGGGATCCATTCTTTGTTCTTGACCGCCAACACACCACATAGCATATCGGAGTGTCCGCCAATATATTTTGTGCCGGAGTGCATGACAATATCGGCGCCATGTTTGAAGGGGTCTTGCAAGGGTGGAGGTGCGAATGTGGCATCGACGCTCAGGTATGCGCCTCTCGAGTGCGCGATATCGGCATAATGTTGGATGTTGTATGCCAGTCCTGTAGGGTTGACGGGTGTCTCCAAGTGCAGGAGGTCACCTTCCTGGAGATCTTCTGGTTTGCAGTCTAACGGGAGGAGTTCTAGCCCCGACAGTCTCTGGTGTATTTTCAGCACTCCATGACATCCATGGTAGCCAGCGCCGATTGCGACGCGCTTGGGGTTCAGGAAGGTTATAAGCGCGTTGAACGACGCAAGACCGGAAGAGTATGTGAGAGACGGTTGACCCAGCAGGATGGTCAGGATGGCTTCGAGTCTGGTGGTGCTGTGGGTAGTCAAGCGGGAATAGCAATGCTCGCCCGGGTCGAATTTGGCACCGTCGCGTTCGTGAAAGGGTCGCAGTCGCTCGGGATCTTTATCGTAGCGGAATGTGGTGCTGACGTGGATTGGGGGCGCGACGTCTGTGAGAAGATTGAGAGGGTCGTCGGCATGGATGGCTTGTGTGGCGGGTGAGAGGGAACTTATGTCCAACTGGTGGAGGTCTTCGAGTCCTTCGAGATCGTGAGGGTCGACGGGCGCAGGAGGGTTACTCGAGTCCACGGTGTGCACTCCATTGGTGGTGGCCATGCTATCTCTTCTATGCCTTTCAATGGCTCGTAGATTAAGTGATGCCCCAGTCTTGGTAGTCGAGGGTGTCAATACATGCCAGTGGCTACGTTGTTGCAAGACGAGAGATGTGTACAAAATTCAGCAATAACGTGCTCGATTGAAATGGAAGCGGCGCATGCGTGGACTTGTACGTAGTACCGGCGAAGGGCGCATCGTCTTGGCGCAGCCTGTATGTTTGTCCCTTATCGATCACTGAACATCGGCTGATTCGGAATTGTTTTCAGCCTCAATTCCGTCCCAGTCTACTCCGTAAGCACCCAATCTATCAACTTAATGAACATGCTTCCTGAGTACTGGTATCGTCGGTTTGGAGCTCATTCACGTTGTCGACCATAAATCCGCCGTCCGGGTGGCCCCATTACCATTAAACGCTGTTTAGGAGTTACTACGACATCTTTAGACATACATTATATAGGTATCGTGCCTCAAAAGATCCGAGCAAGATACCTGTGGTAACCAAAAAAAAAAGAACACCAAAAAAAAGAACACCATAAGGTGGATGAGGAACACCCGATTTGCTGATGAGAGTTAGAAACTTGAGGAGAATTTGATAGAATTATAACAAGTCGACGTACAACGCTGAAATATTGTCAGGACAAAGATCATTTGTATGTGAAAGGCGGCTAAACACGTACGATAACCTTCTAAATTTCCAGAATTAGTAAAAGGTCAGGACCAGAACACAAAATTCGTACTCGATAATCCCAATCTGGAGTCGAACTGAAAATTGTCAGTAATTACCATTGAATGAAGAATGAGGCAGTATTACCGCGCTACCGTTGCTAAATTTTGTCAGATCCTGTAAACAGGCACAATTGATAAGGTAGACGAACCGCCAGCTCCCCGGTTTGTGTGCAATATTTGTGAGTAGAATCTGCATGGATAAATTATATAGATACGTGTTTGTCTCGGCACGTGTACTCTGGCTTTGGTGTGACCCTTGTGCGACGCTAATCCAGAATAGTAAATTATATATCATACCTGCTGTACGACTCAGAATCGACTTCCCAACCCGCACGCAAGTCATGCTTATTTCTGCATGGAGTCAAAGTGCAAGCGCGTACGACTCAGTCAGTACCAATAGTCTCAATTTCCATCATGAGTGCGTTTTACACGCGTGCAGTGAAAAGGGTCTCTTTCAGTGGTGACTTTTGAAATGTCAAGTGCCAAGACTTACGCCTATACCTTTGTAGGCGTAAGTTACCTTATCTACCACAGTACCTAGGTAAGTGTGGGGGATACCAGGTATTAACTTAACCGTATTCCTTAGGCTTATATCACAGTGCACACGTGCCACACGAATTTATAACTAGAACATAGAAGCGGATAACTACCAAAGACACACGCTCGCGCTTTGTGTTTTAGGCTTTGTGTTTTTCGCTCTGATGGCTACTTTACTCGATGGACGCGGGGAATCAAACGTTCCCGGTGCCTCAAACGCCCCAGATCCTTCAAACAGTTTAAAACGCCAAGGAATGCTACTCGAGCACGAACTCCCTCCACCTGTCGATCTCGGTGAACACGTACTTAATGACATTCTCGCCTGTGATTTCATCGATGACTTGTCATTTGTCAAGACATCTTGTCAATTTGATTCGGAATGTCTGGCGAAGTTCGCTGTCCACTTCTGAGTGTCCTGGCTCTGTCACTTACTGCGCCACATATACCGTATCTCAAGGCACTACGTTATAATGGCTTCATCGACGGGCATCTCGATTCCTTGCTACTGGCCTCACTGTCAACAAATGACACATGACATGAGGCGCCTTGCAGAACACATTCAAAAGCAGCACAAGGTCACTGAAGGGTTTGGCTGCCGCCACTGTGGGTTCAAGCACTCTTCACGTGAAGTAACCCAGTCTCACATCTCCGTTGAGCACCAAGAGCAAGAGAATCCACCGGCAGCCGCCTCTGCTCTGGCACATTATTACCGAAGAAGATACAAAGAGAGGAATGCTCACTTGCTCAATATCCCTGACGCTGCCTTTTGGCAAAGGGGGGCGAAGGGCGGCAAACGGGCATGTTCCGAAGAGGGCCGCTGCCCAGAGTGCGACGTCAATATCACACCTTACAACAAAACGAACATTATAAGGCACTTGCGCCAGAACCACTGCATTGTTATTGACATCGACTCTACGCGATTACTTCAACGCCACAGTAACCGAGAAATAGCTGACATCCCGGCTGACGTATACCCAACTTCCGTCCATGCAGAAGACGTTGATTTATCCGATATCGACGAGCATGAAGATGCTGGGATCATTGATGATGGCCACTTCGACAACGAAGTTATGGATTGGGATCAGATCCAGGTCGACCAACCATTGGGCACGAATAAAGAGTCGGGAGAGTCTGCCCCACTTAATGGTACAGCAACGCTCGACACGCCTGCACCATGTCCTATTCTTAGCCCGAAAGCCCAGTCGACATATACACGGGATACATTCTTGAGCTGTCTCAAAGAAGGTTCAATCTTAAATATCAAGAATGCTCTAGGCATGAACGAGACAAGAACATTCAATGGCAGACAATATCGTGTGCGGAGGGACGCCCCCATTAATTCAATACTCGACTCCAAGGAAATCGTCTGCGCTCTCCTTACCAATAGTGGTTGGCATTGCCAAGTTCCACAGTGTGGAGCATCGATTGACGAGATATTTGCGATTGACTTACATCTTGATGCACATGGCGGGCCAACTTAACGGAGTGGTACTGTGGCGACCTGAGCTGTAAAGATGGTTCCGAGAAAGTTTTCAACAACCGCGAAGATTTCAACTTCCACATTACGACCGATCATCAAGGATCAAGCTATAGTTTTACAGCTCTACGTCGCGTTCCGAAGACAGAAGTTCTGGTAGCTCGCCTGGCGAAGCAGTTAAGACTTGAACATACCACTACCCAGCCATCGGCCTCCGAAGATGAGCACATCGAAGCGACGGCCATCGCTCGAAAGGAGACAAGTACGACCATTCGACAGGATACGATGGACAAAGATGCCTCCGATGAGTCGGACGATGAAGATGCTCTTGTTAAACAAGAAGACCATGCATGGGCCCAGCTTCGTCGATTCTTCAATGCAGGAGTCGCATCTCGGTCTGAAGCAGAGTCTGGATCAGAAGATGATAATGCTTTGTCCGAGGATCGCGAATTCCGTCGACACTGCAACGATCGCTATGTGTGCCTTTCAGATAAGCCGAAACAAGGTCTGGTTCCCGTAATACATCCACCCAATTACCTTGTTGAAACGTTAACAAGTATCCAATGTATGACAAAGGAAGACGCTAAGGATTATCTCATAACTTATTGCAAGTTTTGCAGATTGCTTGGAACCAATGACCCAAACGCTGTCCGTCGAGCCCTTGGCTTACCTTCACACGAAAGGCGGGAAGCTGAGGACGCATGTCAGCGTCAAGACTCTCCTTCGCAGGACGAGGCCGCTCTGGAGTCATACAAGGTCACGGTCACTCCCATGTCAGTCAACCAACCACAAGATATCACATATCTTGCCCATGGCCTGGATGCGAGTATGTAGTACATATTCGCTCATTCACAACCCGCTCACGGGACCACGGATCAGCAAGATACTCGATTAGCGTCCACGTGCTGGCTCATCATCTGAGCTGCGTATGGCAATGCCCTGAAGAAGATTGTGCATATTGCGTATATCGCTTGCCCTGGAGACTGGAGCGCCATCGCTTGAATTGCCATGTGGGTAGTCCTCTGCAATGTGGTCATCAAAACTGCAACAAGGTTTTGGTGGACCAACCTTTACTCAGCAGAGGACATACCGTTTATTGGACCCTCCAGTCTCACCATGAATTCCACTTCAATCAGCACCTCCGCGGTCTTCAGAAGCAGGTCTCAACCGCAAAGGCCGAAACTTCAACTGAAGATCAGAACGCTCAAAGACATCTCCCTTCCACCACTAAGTACCTCGAACAGTTCCGCGGAAAGAGCTCATTATACCTAACGGGGCCTCGCCAGTCATACCGTCGTTCATGCAACCACCAAATCCTTGCACAGCACCATATTGAACCTGAAGACATCAGTATACAAGGCAGCATGGCTTGCACAGGATTTTGGTATTGGAATCGTCATTACCCCTGCGCCGACTCAGTGTCTTTGCATCTGGGCACAACAATGCTGATCTTTGTCCCGTCATTGTTGTTGTTCACAGTGGCGCCGACGTGCGATTTCTGTGTCCATGCTATGTCTCTCATCTCCCGGTATATTGCAAGCTTGCCACTACCACTCCATTTTGGCCTAAAACTTGCCGAAGGCCGTCAGCGGATAGGTATAGGCTCCTCTATCAGCGATCATTCTTCTTTTCTTCGAGTCGTGCAAGCACAGCGTCTATTGATACCACCCATGGCTGAAAGATATAGATGGATGAGAGAGTTTTGTCCCGAAAAGATATTCATCGTAGATTTCGAAAGCGTACGGCGCTCTGAGCGAGGATTACCTCTGCGGCTCGTCGAGTCACAGTCCGCAACGGCAATAACGATGTTATAGTCAGCTGCATAATCAATAACTCTGGCACTACGAATGAAGCATATGAGGAAGAGCTCAAGACTTCAGGCTATACCGATCCGCTGAGCTTTCGTTCAGCCAGAAGAATTCGAGGCTCACCTGCAGAGCGCTTCCCATCTAATGCAAAAACTTCAAAAGAGATCATCGACATACTACGCCGTGCAGGCCTAAGCCCGCATTGTCTATGGGTCGAATACTCGATGATGCTCTTTGACCGGAAATGCATGGAAACACTGATCAAAGAAGCCGGTCTCTCTGCTGATGGCATTCTCCCACCCCATGAGCGATGTTGGACTGTGGTTCAAGACTTTGCGCGCAGCTTGCCTGGTGAGTGGACAGATCGACGAGCACCTGAACGTTGTCACTGACCAAAGTCTCAGGATTGGCTTCATACCAGCTTGGTAGGGTCTTGAAGCTTATCAACCCGGGCAACCCCCACCTGCATAACCTTCATCGCTCCGAATCGGACACAGCTGTCCTGCATGACCTCTTGGAACGGTGGTTGTTCCTTTATGGACGTCTCCGTGAAACGCGATGTTAGCTCTTCGCGCAGGAAGTGATCTAGTAAATCACCAAATGTTACGATCATTGTCTGCAACCATTTGCGCGAAACGCAGCAGTGAGCCTGATGTAATTCACGTAGAATAGTACCCCGGAGAAGTGGAATCTCGTCGCATAACTCGTATGACTGTGTACAGGATATGCGTTCCAACGTTGCTATTGCCAAATGGTGCTCGTGAAAGAGAAGGAACTTGCAAGGACGCATCTCAATGTGTGTACGCTCTTCCGTGAGCAATAACATTGAAATTGATTCGGACGAAAGTATTCGGCTTGAGAGTCGCGAAATTTGGCCGCTAGCCCACGCCCACCTACGCTGTCTAGGATGGCATGTGTTCTCTGAGGACTCTGCTGTTTTCTCGGGACTAGAGCGCATGTTGTTGTCTGTGACGTACCTGCTTCCGCCGAGATTGAAGAATATTGGACGTGTCCAAAGCTATCACTTTCCGAGATTGCGGACGAAGACACACAGACTGACCCGCTCCAAGTCCGCCGAGTACTCGGTAGTTAACATGACGCTTTCCAGATAGGTCTGAGAGAATTCTACTTGGACAGCCTTACGTATAAGGCTTACCAATCTCCAACGGCCGATGTCGTTCTTGCATGTCATGGACACCAAGCATGGCGCAATATAAATAGGAGACAGCCATCTCTGTTGGCCATGCTGCATACATCACCAAGGTAGGGCAGACTCCAGGCTGGCCTTCAAAATCACCACTCGAATTCAGTCGTTGCAATTTGCCCAACCACAATGGCTCAACCCGGAAATGCGACCGGCCTGATTGCATTTAAGGGTATCGAACTTCTTACGAGCTTCACTCCTAATGGTGAGATCTACGAATTTCTGCACAAAGCCTCGAGCTCATTCGCGCCTCAGGCTTCAAAGTGTCAATACTCCTCGAGGAGCTGAAGGCGGCATATGGCATGACGTACACGTATCAGCTCATCGACATCTTCCAAGAGAACGTTCAGAAAGAGCCATGGTTCATCAAGCTTGGGCCTAACGGACGGATTCCAGTCATTGTGGACCATGAAAAGGGTGATTTTGCAGTCATGGAGACCATGGCCATTTTGAATTACCTCACAAGAACATATGATGCTCAGCACCAATTAAGCTTTGAGGATCCTCTCGATATCTGTACTGCAGAGCAGTGGATGGCATGGGTACAGGGAGGTCTAGGTCTGCTTTGCCCTTCTTCGCGCCCCCTATGGTCGTTGGTGTATTGTTCCATGCTGACACTCGGCTGTTCTGCACATCAGGACCTATGCAAGCGCAACTCAACCTCTTCTACCGTTTTGGCGCTGTGAAGATACCATATGCGCTGCAGCATTACTATGGTGAAACGGAACGATTATGGGGCGTCCTCAATACTCGCCTCGCAGAGCGTGACTATCTTGCCGGGCCTGGACGTGGAAGATACAGTATTGCAGACATGGCTGCGTGGCCATTCGTCGAGACCTGCTTTGTCAGCGGCATCGACATGGACAAGTTTCCCCACATTCAAAAGTGGTGGGATCGTATAGGCCAGCGTCCAGCGGTGCAAAAGGCCATGCGGATTCCTCTCGGGCAGGAGTTTCCCTACGGGTATAAATTGATGCAAGAGAAGATGAAGCAGGATCCAGAAGGTGTGGAAGAGAGCGAGCGTCCTCTCCGAGAAGCTCTCAAGACGGCGCAAGAGGAATTTGGATATGTGTACAAGAGTCCGTAGGTCTAGCCGTGTCTTCTCAGCCTTCCGGACGTCGGACGAAAACGAAGACTTATTTATGGAGTGTGTGTGGACAAGGCAAGGCTGAGGTTGACAAGGCTGATACTCCTGAACCGAGGCACGGCAGAATTCCGCCAACTCCAAACTGCGGAGATGCTCGTCTATCTCGATAACACTCCAATGCGGACTACAAATCTGGAGATTCCCTTTCTCGTGCCTGTACCTTCGAACCACTTCACCTCGACCAAGCTCACGATGTCTTCTGCTGCGCAAGGATCCCAAGAAGCACCCTGGCAGCCCATCGCACAGCGTAAACAAGCCGAACGAGCCTCCCGCATCCCCTCAAAATGGCACATCCCATCTCACGTCCTCCCTCGAGACCCTCCACGCCCTGAAGACGGACCGCAGAACGTCCTCGACACTCCCAGACAATTTCTCTCCTCCTCCGAAATTTCCATCACAGAATCCTACACACTCTCAACCCTCCTCACCGCCATATCCTCCGGCAAGCTCTCCACAGAAGAAGTGACACAAGCATTCTGCCACCGCGCAGCCATAGCACAACAATTAACAAATTGTCTGACCGAACCTCTCTTCGACTCAGCCCTCGCCCGAGCAAAATACTTAGACACGTACTTACGCACACACAAAAAGCCATTCGGCCCTCTTCATGGCCTCCCCATCTCCGTCAAAGACACATTCAACATCAAAGGCGTCGACTCCTCCATAGGCATAGCATCCCTCTGCCACAAACCAGCCACGCAAAATAGCCCCCTAATCGACCTATTGTTGTCGCTAGGATGCGTAATCATTGCCAAAACCAACATTCCCCAGACCCTGGCCTCGCTAGACTCGGTGAACAACATCTTCGGCCGGACCATGAACCCGATAAACCGCCTCTGCACGGCCGGCGGCTCCTCAGGCGGTGAAGGCGTCCTCGTTGCAATGAAAGGCAGCATGATCGGCATCGGAACGGACATTGGCGGCAGCATTCGCGTGCCAGCAATGTGCAACGGCGTCTACGGCTTCAAACCGAGCACCGGACGTGTTCCGTACGGCGGACAAGCGCTGATCAGCTTGGACGGGCTATCGCGCACGAGCATCACCGCCGTAGCAGGCCCCATAGCCCGCAGTGTCGAGGATATTGATGTATTTCTCCGCGAAATTGTCCCGCGCTCTCACCTCTTCGGTGAAGACTGTATCCCCACCCCATGGTCCAAATCTCCCAGCCAGAAGAAGAGCCTGAGAATCGGCATCCTCCGAAGCGACAACAACTGCACGCTCCTCCCGCCCATTGCAAATATCCTCGACGAAATCTCTTCCAAACTCCGCTCCACGCCGAATGTCACAGTGGTTGACCTACCATGTCCGCCAGCATGGACAAAATGCCAATCCGTCATGAGCAAGCTAATGGGCGTTGACGGCGGCGTAACAATGGCAAACCTCCTCGAAGCTACATCTGAGCCTCTTGTGCCATGGATGTCGACGCGTTTCCGCAAGGGTAAACCTCAACCTCTCACGAGGGTTGCAGAGATCCAGGCTCAACGTGCCGCCCTTGAGCGCGAGATGCTCAAATTGTGGGTCTCGGACGATGAGGAGGGCCGTCGTACCCAGACTCTCGATGCAATAGTTTGCCCTGTTGCGCCACATCCTGTCCCGCCGATCGAAGGGTACAATGCCGTTGGGATGACGAGTTCGTGGGTCCTGCTGGATTATCCTGCTGGTACGGTCCCTGTACGCGACTGCACTGAGAGTGACTTGCAGATTGGCAAGCCGCTTGGCGGGAAAGCCCTCGGAAGTTGGGATGAACGCAATCGAGAGTTGTGGGATGAGAGCAAGCTCGATAGACGAGTGTATCTTGGTACGCCATTGAGTGTGCAGATCGTTGTGCCGAGGTTGCAGGACGAGCAGCTCGTTGAGGCTATGGGGTGGGTGGACAGGGCGTGTAAAGGAAAAGGTGGTAATGTGAAGGCCAGGCTTTGATCATGAATTCGTAGTCCTTCAAATGAGGATCTATCGCATAAGAATCAACTTCCGGGTCCACCTGTGCATACCCCAGGATTCCAACTTAGCGCTACCTGCCCGGTAAGCGATGGCATCTCTCCAGTCTAAAAGAAGAAGAAGGAACAACGAGGAAGACCTGTTCCCAATCGCGACGAACTCGAATACCTCTCGTCCCTTGTCCAGATTCGTGGACCATTCTGCGAGACATCCGTCAATCTTGGAAACCTCACCTGATCGCTCGCCAGTCGGCATAGTGTCCAGCTCCGCGATGGTCGGAACCGGGATACTGAGCCTAGGATAAGCTAACCTAGCCCAATCAATCTTCAAGTGAACCACCATTCCCCAAAAGGCAATGCATCTGTCGTCAAGAGCAGAGCACAGTGAATGATGGTTGCTAAAATGCTCCGGTTGCACCCAAAAATGGTTTCGATTCATTTGCGTGACATCCGTGATACGTGGGACATGCGTCGAAATCTCGGTGCATATTACAGATTGCCTTGAGCCTCGAACGACCTTGAAGCACTTCACGAGGGTATATAGTCCCCGCCAAACCTTAGACCGGAGGGGCATCACGCTGCCAGCATGACTGAGCCAGGACCATGAAGGAAACGAATCAGTTAATGCTGTATACTCTCGAGTTTTTGAAAGGGGGTTCGTGACGTATCCAGCATAGTTCATGTTCGAAGTCTTCCTCGGTCAAGGCCCAGTGATAGTGCTTGGGCCTCTCTGAATACTCCAACTGTCTCAGTATTCCCTGCAATGCTGATAGACGGTCTCGGCTATATGTCAGAGCACGAGCGCTGTAGTTTAAGACCATGTTCCGAAAGACAGTACGGTAAATGTTAAGCTCACTCGATTGGAGCCGCAAGAGTGAAATCGAGCTCACGAGATCACTCTGGACCATGTCAGAGTGCTCAGAAAACCGAGCATAGTGGCCAGACTCAAGGTAGCAGTCTTCCTGCCATCTTGCTGATGGACAAGCTCATCTTACTTGGTCTGACTGAATATCAGATGACGGGCCGAAAGCAGATATTCCTGAAAGGTCCATGCTCGTTGTGACCACGAAGTTTCACCTTCCCAACCACGACGCAAGCTGACCCCTTCCGATAGGCAAATGTTGTTTAGGGAAAAAACACGACCTTGAGGACGTGGAGCGTGGATGCTGACACCAGGTAAGCCAAGATCATCTGAGTTCCTGGCAGGGGCCGCAATAATGGTGAAAACAGCATTGCTGTAGATAGACCCCATCTGTGCTATCTGGACCGACTTGTCCGTTTCGCAGTCTTGGACGATGCATAGGGCATCTACCCACAAATAACGCTGGTTCATTCCACGCAATATCTGGATGCTATCCTTGATCGCAGGATGGAGCTAATTGTCACCCGCTCCGTAATATTTCGGTCAGGTTTGCGATCCTGAGCGACATAAATGGATGTTCCCCCAAACATAAATTAAGGCCACATGGCGCACTGCTGCACTCGCCTCTGGCTGCATCAATCTCATAGTGTGGACGTCCAATAGTCGAAGTCCCGGCGTTCTGGCAAACGTGCTATCGGCACATCTGTTGCCATGGCATTCTTCACACTTCGAAACCCACCTGGCCAACAGAGCTGGATCGCATGTCAAAGGAACTTTCCTCATACTTCCCTGATATTGCTGCGGCAACTTGAAATCAGGAACGACGTCCAAGGCATCGTTACCTGTGACTGACCATGGAGGCATAAGAGATGGTCTGAGAATGACTTCCGAGACATCCGGGATTCTCCCACCCATTAGAGAGCTTAGTTCATCCCTGAAAATAACGAAAGCCTGTTTTGACGGCTTTGACAGCTTTGACAGCAGCTTTGAGATACGTTCTCCAGTGTACACGCTGTGCAGCTCCACTAACAGATATTTGGTCCATGTTTTGCGATCACCTGCGCCAAGATCTTCTCCAGTGGAAAGATGGAGTAAATTGCTGATCCTGAGCCCGACAACACCGTCATTGAGTGGATGCATTTGGGACTGGTCTTCCGGCCATTGAGACAAATTTTTATCAACAATCAATACAAGAAAGTCTCGTAGAAAGCCGCAAAACGGGCAACGAGGGTCCTCCGCGTAGAAGGAAATCGCTCGACCCAGAATGATGCAGATGCCTGTCGGCGTATCCCGGAGACCATGTACGGGCCACCAATGGCGGAGCCGTTCAGGGAGGAGATCATGGCGAGGAAGAAGTGTCGACAAGCGCCGGAACGTACGTTGACACGGCATACAGTACGCAGACGGCTCCTCTGTGTGCGGTTCAGTCCCTTCGTGACTGAATGGAAGTATAGAAAACAGCTCGCAGGTACGTTCCGACTTCGACATATGATGTTCATTGTCCATTCGTATGCAGGCAACCGCCGCTTGACACAGAACACTTTATCGGACACCTAAAGAGTGGTGTAAAGCTTTGGTTTCTCTTGAAAGCCATCATGTTCCAACTTTATTGAGAGGTGCTGCGCCTCGGCTGGGGCTTAGATGTTGTTGGACTCTGGGGCGCAGCACCTGCATGAACGTCGTGGATCATGATTCAAAGGCTTGATCCGGCACAAGCATTTTCTGCAGCGCCCAATTTGTGCGACCCGGACATTTGATATCTGCGGCCGACCAGGATGGATTGAGTAAGATCGAGAAAGGTGCTTCACTAAGAGTCTTGAAGCAGAGAAGTAAGTGAGCAGAACTCGACAATTGACGCCATTCGCAAACAGTTGTCTTTGTTCATGCAGCCTCGTTTCGTGAGACCTTCTCTGGAGCGTTCCATAAAACCCTGCTTCAATCTAGGAATGGGGAATCAAGTAAAGTGCTCCCACAGGCTCTCATGGAGAAAATCGCCGAAGAACGTTGTGGACGGTATGGCAAAATCGTCGTCTGCTGGTATCGCAAGAGTGTCTGCCAGATCCGACATCGGGCAAGCGATCATCGTTTGAGCCAATTTTGCTTCGTGAGATGCTTTGACCCGCTTCAATTTAGCTGAAAACGCCGAATACAGCTGTGGTACCACTCTTGTAAATTGATCGTGTCCATGTTTGGTTGACTGGTTTTCAACCCAAGCTTTGGCTGTGTCGAGTTGCTGCTGAAGGGCGTCCATGGTTTCAGAGAAGTCCATAGTTTTTGAAACGTGTTCTCGATCCCATCCTTCGAACTTGAGGAGGGACAGCTTAGATAAAACAACAATGGCATGACCCAGTAGAGACCATACGCTCCAGGGAAGGTCGAACCATTGGGAGGGAGGAAGAGTGTATGCCGTCTCCAAACAGTGCTTCGTGGACTCCAAGCAGGCGTAGAGTATGTGAAGGCGTGAAAAAGGGTGCGTCCCATATAGTGAAGGATTAATGTTATCATATAGCGCGGTCTGGTACAAGAACATCTCGATGGCGTAGTGATGCGTATGGAGAATAGCTTCTTTGTCAGCCTCGAACACGGCCTAGTTGATTTGGCTTACCACTTTGACCATCTTCTTCTGGCAAGGAGCTTCTCAGCTGTAGCAGCTCCCACTGCAACGACTTGACACAAGCATCCAGAGGAGCAGAGCTGAAGACAGATGTTGTGTGCCACAGGTCTGGCGTCAATGAGCGGGAGATTTTGTCAGCCATACAATGAAGACGTGTTAAGTGAACCACATCGCTGTCGGTCAAATACTCCGCAGCTGTGGATATAGCTTGACAACATTCGTCCACGTATGGGGAGTGTTGTAATGGGTACATGTCTCGGTGACAGGTTGAAGCTCTATAGGTAGGTAGTCAGCGTTAGGGCAGCATTGGGAGATCAAGAAAGTTCCTGGCTTGCGACACTTACATAGAAGTGAGGAAGAAGGCGCCGAGAAATGTCCTGCGCTCTTCCAGGCTCCTTGTTGTCCGCCCCACAACAGCAATGTTTGGATTACGTAGAGCTAGAGCGGCTGGAGCTGGTGAGATGGCTGCCCTGTTGAGGCCAAGGTCTGTTACCATCGCCATGATGAGATGGACCAGATTGCCCACCTGTGAACTTAGGTCAACATGCAGTTGATACCTGTTGGTGCAATCAGCCAGAAATATTTTCGTTGAAGTCGAGATAATCAGACTCACCAACTCAAATACACGAGGAGACATTGGAGGATGTCGAGACTCCTTTCTCCCTTAATCAACATCATATAGCTGATCAATTCTCGCAATTTCCGTGCAATTGCTAGCTGTCGTGATTGATCATGTCGACAGCTGACCATCAACCTAGCAAGTACGAGTAGGGGCTTCTGCTGCCTCAGCTCAGCAAATGTTGTTCCTGGGTAGGTGACCACGAATGGAAAGAGAGGTTGCATTTCGCTCCGGTAAGTCTGCAACATGGTGTTTGCTTCGATGTCGTTTTTGACAAATATATCGATCCATGCTGAAGGAGCACAATCAGGCGTTCCTGCCGCAGGAAGAGGACTCAATCCAGACGTGGCAATTTGAGAAGCAGCAAGAATGGAAGTTACTCCATTCAATCTCTCTTCGAGTCTGGCAACCTTGGCTTTCCCGAGTGACTTGTGTCGATGAGCACCGGGTGCTTGTTCGGCGCAGTTTTTTCTCAGACGTCGGCACCTAATCTAGGTTAGTCTCTCAAATCCCAAAAGTGACATCAAGCTCTACCGGTTGCACGTCTCTTGTCCAGCACTAATTTCACACCGGACTTTAGCCCGGGCACAAGGCAGGCATGCTTTTGGGATACGGCCTCCGTCAAGTTCGCCGGGTGGGGTCAATGAGGACATGGCTCATGCCTGCGGATCACCTGCATTAGAGACGGGTTTCCGTTGGACTTGATGATTCGAAAAGAGCAAGTATGAGAAGTTAAGCATGAAGTATATATGGACGCGGACACGGAATTCCGAGCTGACGAATTCAGAAAGCCGCAATAAGTATAAAGCCTTGGCTTTCCTTTACCCACCTCCTCAACCTCCTTCAATGAGCCAATGAATATACGAAGATCACTGCAGCCTTGCCTGGTGACAAGAGACCTCCTGGCCATTGCGGCCTCAATACGTCACTTAGATGAAGGCAGAGGCATTTTGATACGGAAGCGTCGGAGATCGAAATGAGGCCGAACCAGTTTGTCGCATGGGCAAGTCATAAATATGAAGTCGTGAGTCTCGACGCCCAAAGTGCCATGACTGCAGCTCAAACATCTTGTGCCCGAGGTCATCCTGGACTGTTTCTGTCTTTCAACACCATCCCGGCCTCTTCTGTCTCTTATAGCTGCGACCAGTTTTACACGATCCATTCCCTCAGCTTAGAAGACCGCGTGACGCCTCCCTTGAACTTACCGTGAGATCAGCCTCTCCTGCATGTTTCAGACGTACAAACGACGACAATGCTCAGTCGACATATCGTGGCAGCAGCACTTCTTCAACTTGTTTCATTGACCACTGCACAGGGACCTCATGAAGGCCCTAAACCTGACTCGGCTCGAACGGACATGTCTGCCTCCAGCACGCACAACGGCCAGCAAGACATGGCAAGCTATGCAGTTCTGTCAGAGCACTCAACCATGATATTGGCACATGTCGCTCTCATGGTCCTTGCCTGGGTCTTCCTTTTACCATTAGGTACGTTCACTGTTCACGACTACATCTCCGGGTCAGCTGTGGTACTAACAGCAACAGGAGTCATGTTCAGCATCGCCAGGTCTCGCCTTGCATTTCCTGTGCAACTCCTTTTCTGTGTCACCAACGCATTGGGTCTTCTTCTCGGAACAGTATACAATGTCAAGACACCAGATCTCTATCCAAATAACGCACACCATACAATCGGGTGGGTGGCATCATGGATCATATCTGTCCAATTCCTGACCAACTTGCTGTTCGCCACTGTCCAAAGTAGGATGAAGAAGACGACTGGCTCGACGAGTGTCGAAAGGGAACCATTCCTACGTCCGCCAAGCTCAGACAGACCACGGGAAGGCATGTCTTCGTATACCGATCGCCATCCATCGAGCGACACTGAGTCTGGGAGCTCATCAATCGCATCAACACCATTATGGAAGGACCTCGAGAAGCCGTCATCTAGAGACAACAATGACAACAACTCCGAACCGTCTAGCTCTCGTCGTCCAAGCTTCTTGCGCTATAGCTTCGTGGCCATCTCCTTCCCGGCACGATTCCCAGGCAGATTGCCAGCGCGACTGATGAAGGTGCTGGCACTCGTTCATCAGGTCATCACTCGAACTGTCCTCCCACTCGGCTTCATATGCTTAATGACTGGAGGTGTCACATATGCCGGCATTTTCGTAAGTCTTCCTCCAAACCCCAAGTCATGAAGAATACTGACGGAAGTCAAGCGCGGCAAACACATTTTCAACGGTCTCGCTCACTTCATCAAGGGAGGCATCTTCTTCTGGTACGGTCTATTGACGTTGGGCCGTTGGATGGGCTGCTTCGTCGAGTACGGCTGGGCGTGGAACATTGCACCCTCCACCGTCATTCCCTCAGCCGAGTTCGTCGAATCCTTTGTCATTTTCCTGTACGGCTCGACGAATGTCTTCCTCGAACATCTAGCTGGCTGGGGTGGGGCGTGGACTGCACAAGATTTGGAACATGTGTCTATATCTGTCTTGTTTCTTGGTGGTGGCTTGGTACGTCACCCGTTTCCTCCTACCACTGCTACCAGTCTTACTGGTACTGACATGATCATATGTGTAGTGTGGCATGTTCGTCGAGTCCAAAGTCATCCGTAAATGGCTCAACACCATAGTCGCTTCGATACCCACCAGTACCACCACCAACACCAACAGGCACGCCGGGCACTCCCGATCCCGATCCCAGGGTCCGGATTTTGAGCAGGAACTGGAGCTACACACACCTCCAAAAGTCTACAACTTCTCCATCAACCCCCTCCCAGCACTAATAATATTCCTCCTCGGCATCATGATGTCCTCGCACCATCAAAGCTCTATGGTCTCCACGGCAGTCCACAAACAATGGGGTACACTTTTAGCGGGCTTCTCAATCATGCGCCTACTGACATACACTATACTATACATCTCTCCGCCAGCCTCGATCTACCCTAGCCGTCCACCAACAGAACTCGTCTCCTCATTCTGTCTGATATCCGGAGGTATCGTCTTCATGGCCAGCACCAAAGATATCGTCGCTTGGATGGAGAGCGAGGATCTAATGGCTATGTTCGTGTTCACCGTCACTAGTGGCTTCACTGCTTTCATGATGGCTTACGAGATCCTGGTGCTCTCTCTCAAGGGGTGGGCGACGCAGAGGGAGGTCCAAAGATCGGTCAAGGCCAGAAGTTCTGGGCCTTGAGTGTGTTCATTCCTTGATGCGGTCATTCAGGAGGCATTTGGTGGTCATTGCATCGGAGGATACTCGTATGTTTCACATGGATCTAGTTCATTCTTGCTACTATACCACCAAAGCAGGCTCACTTTGATAGCAGACTTCTATGCACAAAAGCGCGATCGTCGTGGAATAGTCAAATAGTCATTATAGTCATTACTGAAAGCGCCAAGCGTCAGCCTAGCCTCCTTTCCTCCCTTTTTTATTACCACATGGTTAGGACCTCGTCATAGGAAGATACCAATACCAATACCCATACCAATACTGCTGTTGATCCAAGCTTCATCGAATACTACCAGCATCAAGTTGTCTCACTCCGTCCAGGCTGCCTAAGCCGTACACTCGTCCCATTCGTATCCCGACCGAGAGGCTCCGTATGCACTCTGTCCTGCCCAAACCCAGCATTCCCGATCGTATCGAAATCCTTCTGAATCTCCGGCCACAAATCTAAGATCTGCCTCTCGAATGGGCCCAAAGGCTCCTCCTGCATCTCCAGAATCTTGGTCTTTCCCTTATCTGCAAGAACCTTGACTTTCCCATCGACCACAGTCTCCGGGTACACTGCTTTCCTGTAGACCACGCCCGTCATGGTGCCGACCTGACCAGGCTCGTTCAGCGCAATAGGAGTTTCCGGATTTGTCTCAAAGCCAGACATGTCCCACCCCCCGAGCGCCGGCGGATCATAGACTCCCTTGTCATTGTACCCAAGTCCCTTCTTCCCTCGACGGATTCGCACACTGGCGTGAATGGTCTCCTCAGTCCGGCGCAGTCTCGGCATGGTCTGTTCCTTCTTGCCCAAGATTTTGGCGATGCGGTGTCCGATCTTCCAGAAGATCCAGAGAATCGTGCCGTATTGGCTGGCCGGCTCCTCCTCACGGTACTCGCCTGGCGTGCGGTTGCGGGAGCCGGCCAGCCTAAAGAACACGGTCATGCTGTTATGGATCTTGCCCAGGCCCCATGGTCGTGCGTGCGGTTTGGTGTTTTCAACCATTTTGGAAAGACCGCTGGTTGTGAACGTCATGTGCCCCTGGAGTCCAGGATGACCAGGGTCAATGAGCGAGTAGATATACTTGTGGTCGATCGTCAGGATTGGGTCCAGCTGAGACACCATCCACGCGAGGGTGAGATTGGCCAGAGTGTTGTCATCGTAGCTTCCTCCGACATCACTATGAACGCCCGGAAACCACGTTTGCCGAAGAACTTTTAGATCATTCGGCTCGACTTGCGGCCAATCCCAGACCGTCGGGTAATATGGTCGACGATGTTCATCCAGAGCGAGTGCTTGGAAAGCATACTCGATATTTGATTCGACTCGCGTATCGACAAAGGCAAAATCTTTGCTCGGAGGTTGAGGAAGAAGGCCGATCATGGGGATACCCAGTCCACCCACAGTGTCCCAGACTGCCACGCATTTGACCTTGATCTTGGAACGTGTGAGGCCTTTGCTGATCAGCTCCTGTTGATACTGAGGGTCTGTGACGGGTGGTTTGTGGCCAATGAACGGAAGGTTCGGCCATCTGGTCACATAGTCTTTCTTCTGCTGGAACTCCCAGTCTTCAAATACCTGGACAAAGTACTCCAATCCTGTGGAGGTCAACAAGCCGACGGCATTGATTAAGCTTGAAATTGAACGAGCAGTAAAGGCACCCCGAGAGAAGCCGAGAATGAAGATTTCGTCACCAGGGTTGTAGTTCATGCAGATCCAGCTGTAGGCTTCTCGGATATGCTCGGCAAGGCCTTCTCCTGTTGCACCACCAACGAATGTGTTGTACCAGGAATTATCACCGGTGCCGATGCCGTTCTCGTAGAAGACGAGCTGATGGATGTCCGTACCAGACTTGTCTTTGCCTGTGGGACTGATTGCGCGGGCAATGCGAGTTACATTGCTGGGGGTTTGGTAGTTGCCGTCGCTGTCCATCCAGGTGCCATCGCAGCAGACGACAATGCGTTTCTTGGATTGTGTTGAAGCCATGTCGAACCAAGACTTCTACCCTTTCTAGATCGTGTAAGGATGATTATGAGGATACTAACCAAATGATTGAATGCCAGGCCTGGGCAAGGTGTTGGAGGCGTTTGGTTTATCTTGGAAGAGAGGCTGTCGAATGCTCCTACCTCCGTTGTTTGAAACAACGAGCAAATTTCTATAGCGTGACCATGATAGCTGCCATACTCTGTGCCACCTTCTCGCAAGCACTATTCATCTACAAAAAGCGGCGTTTGGCCATGGTGGCAGACACGACTGCAGCCTTTTCAGCTGACAGCCACGTTCAGCCTCAAATTCTTACCTGGAAGGAGGTTTGCCTTTCGATCCGGGCCAGAACTTTAGGCTGCAAAACCTGGGGAGAATTTGGGCCAACGATCTTGCAGGAAGCAGTCACACAGCGTCCCGAAACGAACACCTGGTCATCTCAAAAGAGCAGTCGATGGTCAGCGATGTAATACGATTGGATAGAAGCACAAGAGGAAGAGGGGGGATGGTGAACTGGTCTCAGCCGCAAAAATAAGCCACGTGTGTCCGGCCTAATCACTTACCAAAAGAAGACGCCTACCACACCTACCACGCCTATTACTACTCACTTTTTCCTGGGAAAGGCAAATATGTACTGTATCATCGTCGATCGAGCACTTGTGTAGCACGCGCATCAAGAGACATCTGACTTTCTTGTACCTTGACCTTCTTTGGCGAGATCCGTAGATCTCTGAATTTCTTTTCTTTCATTGTCTTGGTGTAGTCTGTCTGACTGTCTGAATCATTTCGAGTATGATGATTGATCTGGTATGTACACATTAAAAGTAACCTTGCAACCTGATCGCCATGGTTCTGCTTGGGAAAGACCACATTCTCATCATCGAACGCCCTCAATTGCGCCTCCAAGGATTATCCGTTGACCATGGTCGGCCACCTGATATTTGGAGTCCCATGCTGATGCCTGAATATCAACATTGCTGTCCCAGCTTCATCACAACCAAGCCCAATCTGCAATTGCACGATGCTCTGATGCTAAAAGTGTGCTGTATGCGGGTTAGTCGCTCATTGGGTACAGTTACCTCACTTTGGAACAGCTGACAGACTTTGCTGCCACACAGTTCAGTTCATTTTGCCTTTTGTTTCTTTTGAATTTTCACCTTTTTTTGGTGTTTCATGAAGATACGACCTTGTACGAGCATTTTTGGCTCTGGTCAGGATGGTCGGGGGAACGACTGTTAGCCTCGAGTCACCCTACAGGGCCCCCGAGGCGTTGTCAGCCTGGCACGGAAAAAGTAGTGCTACTAAGCAGCTTCTCGGACCTTTCAAGCCGGTGCTGCAGTAGGTGCTGGAGTAGGAGTTGGCGTCATCATCTTTTGACGCTTCATGGATTCACCATTAGGCTCAGCATCCTCGACCTCGCTGATACTCCGTCGGACTCCTTTAGATTCGACTTTGGGAGCCTTGACCACCTTCTTGACGGGTTTGCCGGGTTTCGTCTCGCCAGCCTTTGCATCGAAGACATCATCGGGCAAGTCCCAGCTTTTGATGGATGCGAGCGAAAGGAAGTGGAGGTCTCGGCTGAAGGCTGCCCATCCCTCACACATCTCTTTGAAGCCTTGGAAGGCCGGAGCGATATTGAGACTCTTCGCCGTGGTGTCGATGCCAATGTAGAATGTGTACGTGTAGATGGTATGGGTGCCGTGATCACTTTCCGGTTGAGCGCCGTTGACCGCCGGGATAGCAGCACCTTGGCCGTTGTTGGTAACAAGCTCAGGATCCGTTGTTTCAACAGTCTTGGTTTCTTCCACTTTGTAGCTCATGCTGCCCTTCTGGACTTCCCGAATCTGACCTTCATCGGCACACTTGTGAACGCGTTTGAACCCTTTAGTGAATGGACGAGCAAGGGTGATACCAGGAATTCCTTCCAACTGCATCACGAAGATTCGGACCTTGGACTCGACGAGACCTGCCCAGGCTTTGGCAGAGTCCGCATTGAGAGAGCTGGCGGTCACTCCCAGGTAGTATTTGTGGTCGGCGGTGAAAAAGGTGTGTTTCTTGAACAAGTCACTCCATTGAGCTTTGCCAGCAAAGATTTTGGTGGTGATTTGTCCGCCTCTTTCCAATTCACGCAGAATGACAGTCTTGCCCGACTTGCAGATGTTGTGAGTGGCACACATGCTAGGAAACGCTGGGGTGATGATGGGCATGAGATGCTTTCTATCACTTTGATAAATAGCCGGATTCCACACTTTGAACCCCTTGTTCTGATCAGCGGGCTTGACCGGTTCGATATCTTTGAGCACCACGGGAGTAGGCCAATCCCACTGCTTCATGATGAAGAAGAATTTGTCGACGATGCTGGCGCCAACAGCATGAGGGTAGAATTGACAGACTCGCGCAACGAGCATGGCCCAGGCCACTCCACCAGGATAGCCAACAATATTGGCGTAAATAGCTCTTCTCTGTGCCCACAGTTTGATCGCTCGTAACGCAGTTCGGAAAGTCTTGGGTTCGGGAATCAACTGCAGAATCTCATCGGTAACACGCTAGGATCGTCAGCGAAAAGACATGGAACATATTGACTGCAGACTTACCGGTCCAGTCACTGCTCGAACAGTTGCATGATCCAGACCCGCGAGCAAAGTGTTATCGTTGAGGGACAGGTCTTTGGGAATTGTCTGCAGACTGGGAATGGAGGCGAAGATAAGATCAATCTCAATGCCATTGAGGACGAGCTTTATGATGGGGACGAATGAATCGGGCACCGGTGTCAACGAAGTGACCTTCTCTTTACAAACTTTCTCGTTCTCGGCCACTCTTCTCAGGATATCGGGGAATAACTCGAAGAAGTCCTCGCGCGTAACATGTCTCGGAGCGACAGCCAGAGTATCTATATCAGAACCTGCTGGTCATTAGCCTTTGGTGGTCTGCATATATTGAGGTATCTTACCTGGTCCGAAGACTCCAAGGCGATAGCTACCATATGGATAGATTTTGCCCGCGAATTGTTCAATCTGAGCCGGTGGTAGGCGTTGTTTCCGACTGACCGCGCGGACGAACTCTTGTGTAGCCTTACTCAGGACTTTCAGCGTGTCCATTCGTTTCTTCGTCTCTTCCATCGGCTCATAGTTGTTCTCTCTCTTCAATTCTTCAATCAACTCGGCGGTCTTTTGGTTGTCGATGGGTTCAGGTAGGGCGACGGACATGGGCGGAGTCACCCCCCATGTTTTGGGCTTTGGAGTGTCCATCATGACAACGGTCGGCCGATTGAAAAATCACTTAGGTCGAATACCGGCTTGTTGACCTTGACAAACCGATGGCAGGCAGGCACGGCAAAAGGCTTCTGAGAGATTAGTGGTGAGAAGCGAGGAAAGGAAGGTAGTGGTGAAACGAAAACATCATGTCCCTAAACTCCAAAAGAAAGATGATGGTGAAAGATGCAAACACGAGATGACCAGTTTTGGGTAAAGTGAAGACTCCTTCGCAGTGAAGTATTGAGAAACATACACACTTTGAGAACAAAACATGCGTCGCCTGTCATCACCAGCCCTGAACCGCAGTTTGCCCCGGATCTCGACAGCCAAGGCTGACTAAGCCGTCTTCAAGATAGAATCACTAAACCCCCTTGCAAGGCCCCTTCGCTGGATCATTATTCGACTTCTTCACCTATCATACCCAGAAGAGGACCATTATTTCCATCGACAGGTGATCAGCCATAACGCTATCGCAAAAAGGTCAAGTTTAGCACCGTATCAGGCTGGCAAGTACACATCTAAAGCCAACGGCGCATGGCCACGACCGTCCCTGTCTATCGTTTCTCGGGAGGACATGAAAAGGCCAGTGACTACTGCAACGGCGTTCCCTTGAGGTGTGTACCTTTGGTCGGGGTCGTCAGCCTGCGATCACCATCTGGCTGCTCACCATTTGCGTGGAAGCAAAGAAGGCCTCAGCGACGCCCCACCACTATGAAGCATGGCCTCAGCCTCGACTGCACCTGTCTTATGCTTCTGGAGAGGTCAAAATGCGTCGCTTCCTCTCATGCAGGGGCCCTTTGTCATATGAGTATGTATTACAACCGTGTTATATCTGTCAGGACCGGCCCTGACAAGGCTAAGAGAGGCTCTCGGTACGGCCTATACTACTACCAAGGCAAGCATGACTTTCGAGATTGTAGTCCTGGGAGCATCATCTCGATGCCTCCAAGGAACAAGATCCAGCTAACTTTCCATCTTCGCACCACATCGTTCCCCTTCTGACTGATTGAATATAGGGATATAGTATATCTCTATGACTCCTAACAGTGGTGGAGGTCAACTCTTTCACATGTTCTCTCTCCAAAACACCAAACGGAGACGGGCATAGTTTCGAAGCCTTGCCCCTGAATATCAATCAACAGAATGTGGCTTTCAATTCTACATCTTGTGTATGTGGTGTCAAGGCATACTTGACACATATCAATGTCCATCAGTCATACCTTCTTTGAAGGACATGTCTATAGAAAAGGAGTTGACAGCAACAATGTCCGTATTCACCCAATCGCAACAGCCATGCGCGGTGGTGTAACATGATAAATTTGGATCTTGACAGGACCAGGGGTCGAGAGCCTAAAAAGCCTAACAGTCCACAGGGCTTGCCGAAATGATTTTGCGGCGAGCGTGGAACCAATCCATGCCCAATTCTTCCTTCCGAGGCCCATCTTTTTGGCTTATCGATCTTATCATCCCGTTGCATGGCAGGTGCTTGTTTGGGGCTAGAAGCTGAACTGGCTCGTGGTAAGTTTAAAGCACGGATGATTTTGATTGTCTACAGCTGACGAGACAAGCCCCGTGGCGATGGCTTCGCAGAAGAAGAATGGCTCTTGCCCCTTCCTCGCTCCCTAAATAAAGATTCACAGCTCTACGAGTGTGAACACGGCGACCCTCGACTGTATACCTGCAGAGACATGCACGTTTGAAGCGTGGCTGGCAACATCCACAAGATCTCCCCTCGTTCGCAGCCTTTGCTACAACTCGGCACACAGAGGGACATGTATGGTTCGGAAAAGATGTCGCAAGCATACAACACAAATATGCCTAGGCCGTACCGAATGTCGCGTCCTATTCTGCTTGCCATCGCCATCATAATATTCCTCGGGTATGCCAGCCACTCTGCATGGCAGCAGTCTGCACAACCCGACCTACGAACCACACCCAAGATTGACCTACCGACTATACCGAAGACTACGCGTCTCCACACCGAGGGACGTATACTCGACCCCTTCGAGTCTCTAGATGAATCCACAGCCGGCCTTGTTGAAGACATCCCGGCATCGAGTACGCAGCAGGTCGCTGAACCCACACCCTCTTCACAATCCACCAATACCAATTCACTCGCCCTCCACGATGAGACCCTCGGCGCAGCAGGCGAAGGCACATTATACTCCAAGATAGGAAAGGTTACGATGTTGTACTATAACAAGCCAACCAAAGATTCATTCTGGTACGAAAAGGCCCTGTCGAGCCAGAGGGAACACAACCTGCGCTTTGGCTACAAGCAATTCGTCCTCCGCACTGAAATTGTGCCCGAGTTCTTCTCGAAACAAGCCTTCATACTGTCCATCATGTTACAGGAGCTGGCGAAACCGACAGCTGAACGTTTAGAGTGGTTGTTCTGGCATGATGTCGATTTGGTACTGGTCAATGCTCAAATTCCTCTCGAACTCTTTGTTCCACCACCCGAGTTCTCCCACATTCACCACATCGTCGCAAGCGATCTCAATGGCCTCAACGCTGGTGTCTTTTTCTTGCGAGTGCATCCATGGTCGCTGAGATACCTGAGCGCCATCATATCATACCAGGACTTTCACCCCGACAAATGGTTGCGGTATCAGGAACAAACCGCTATGGAGTGGCTGGTTCAGGAGGTGAGCATTATTCTGATCAATTGTCGTTTCACAGGTACTAATTCTTCCGCACAGTGGGAGCAATGGGGTCGAAATACCACCCACGTACCCCAACGCTGGTTCAATGCCTACCATAACTACGGCACCGACGATAGCGTCCCCGCTGAATGGGAATGGAAGAATGGATATCACGAGCCTGGCGACATGCTTGTGCATCTCCCTGGCAGTGGCGACTCTCGCCCAGATCTCATCCGTGAGTGGATGGATAGAGTGCAGAACGAACCCAAAAAGTGGGTGTTAGCTCTTGCGGATACTTCCTATGAGAAAAATGTCACCGAGTTCTGGCGGAAAGATGCCAAAAAAGAGAGAGAATTGCAAGACACCTATTGGCGGCGATGGCACCTTTTGATCGAGCTTGGGAGTCATGAGGATGACTTGCGGAGAGAGGCGGTCAAGAAGGCTGAACAAGAAGCAGAAGAACAGGATCTCAGTGATGAAATGCGGCAGGAAAAGATCAAGGAGCTTAAAGAGAAATACAAGAAGCTGAAGATCAAGCATCTGCGCGATGCGGAAAGAGTGAAAATGAAGGAGGAAGGACTGCTCGAAGACAACGATGACGATGGAGAGACCAAGCACGAAAACAATGACAGCTGAGGAAAAACGACATGACAGGATGAAGAGATGCTTTTGAAGATATGAATCAATCGACAAACGCTGTGACAACTTGAGGGTCGGACAGAGGAAGCATGGGAAATGGGAGCCATGCTTCCCTGGTCAGCAGGAGTCGTTCTTGCAAGGAAACACAAGTCACAGACAGTGTCGACAACCTTGTATGCATTCTCAAGGAAGAGGCGCAGTATGTGTGTTAATATGTCAAAACACCTGGACATATTGTACATTCATATTGCCTGATGGGTCGAGCAAGGTCATTTTGGGGCGATTGAATACCTAGGTATGGACATTGACGATCCGAATCCTGTTCGTTGGGGTCACAACAGATAGGCGAGAAGAACCGCCCAGGGGGCCAGATAACCAGATACAAGTGTCCCCGATAGAATTGTCACAATTAAGATTATTTTATCGCAAAACACCCTTTCTTTACGCACACTTTACACAATAATCTTTAGTGTAGAGTAAGTATAATCTATATATAAATAGATAGTAAATACTTAAAGTTACTATATATAAGTAAATATTAAAGAAAAGAAGACTTATAAAGTAGAAAAGTATTATAGAATTAAAAAGCGCGAAATTCTATAATTTCGCTCTCTTTCCGCCCTTTATAACTTTTTCTTAAAAACGATTTTTAAAATTTCTCTTCAGCTATAATGAAGCTCGAGTAATTCCCTATCTTTCCTCTATGATATATCCTTACCTTACACTAAAAGTTATTGCGAAAAGTGTGTGTGAAGATAGGGCATTTTGGTGTAAATCGGCAATTGTGACATTTTCAGTGGGCCACTGTAACAAGCATAGCTAATAGGCGTGCACAGATCTCGGGGGCCGCCTGTATCTTCCGCCGGTATCTATTTCCGAATTGTGAAACGGTGGAAAGGGTCTAGAACGTGGGCAGATTTATGCAGTATTTGCAGTGCTTGTGTTCATGTCCAGTCGATCAGGGACTCCCCGCGGCCGCGCAACCAGTCGTAGCTATCCAACCCTGTACCAGCTCTATCTTTTCCCTGCAGCGGGTGGATTCTGTCCAGCATGCACATGGCCTCCTCCTTGGGTACTCGTACCTTTTTGTCCGGGCCTGCGCCGTCCCAAAGGTAAACTTCCTGCGGCACACCACTTTTCCCCAGTATCTCCCTCCCTCGTGCAAGATACGCGTTGCAAGGTCTGCTTCCAAGGTCAATCACTCACGCTTCTTGAACATGCGATCGGCCTCCATCGAATCGAAATCGGATCTGCAACAACTGTTCACGTTTTGCCTGAGGCGGATGGTGGGCGCAGAATAAAAGACCATGGCAACCAAGACCAGGACTGGCGTCGGCTCCTTTCAAATCCAGCCCGCGGACTTTGCCCTGGACGACGTACGACGAGCTCGAGAATTCTACCACTACCTCCAACCAGACAATCTCCTTCATCCTGATCGACCTCGCCGTAACTCGAAGGTATCCGCTTCCTCCGACGATGTCCCAAGTCTCAGCAATGCCCTTTCGCCGTTTTGCCAACTCGCAGTTTTACGCTGCAACTGCAGGAAATCCATGCTCAATGTTATGGACAGAGATGTCATGTATTTCCTGGCAGAAGCAACAAGAGAAAATACCGCCGAAGGCGAAGCAGCATACGAATTTGTGGAAGACCCCATACTTATGAGGTGCAGCGCGATCCCTCTCAAGGGAAGGATATGTGAATTGACTATAAGGATGGACAACGTGGATGAAACAGCTCCTACGCCGATGTACATCATCCCAGACTTGACCGACTCCCAGTTCTCCGAGATGGAAATTGTAACAGGACCGCCATATTACAGGTTCTATGCTGGTGTACCAATCACGACAAGAGATGGAGTGAACATTGGAAGTTTGGCTATCATGGACACAAAGGCTCGCCCTAATGGATTGACGTACAGTGAAGAAAAGTTTTTGGCCGATGCAGCTCGCCAGGTAATGCTACATTTAGAGACCAACAGACAAGCCATCGAAGGTCGGCGTTGTCGTCGCATGGCAGAAGGTCTCGAGGCTTTTATCGCCGGCAAAAAAGCCCTTCAAGCGCCTCACGTGGTGGAGAAATCCCTGAAGAGAAGGTCGAAACTACAGAACGGTAACATACCGTTAGTAGACGGGGTTCACTCACCAGACGGAAATCCCTCCGCTCGCAATGATTATGGTTTTGAAAGAGTCCTTTCTCAGGACTCTGTTGAACATGAAGATAGCACTTCAGGGCATTCTTCAGAGGCAGAGGATGCATGGGCAAAGAGAGACACTGATGCAGAATCCAGATCACATTCGAAAACGTTTGGAAGGGCAGCGAATATACTACGAGAATGTTTTGGTGACCTTGGTGAGGACGGAGCGGTGGCTTTCGTGAGTCTGGGCACGCGGCTGCGCAGTAGCTCAATGGGCATGCAGAGACGACGGTCCGTGCCAGTCCTGGGTCCTCGCACTGCCACAGCCACCTCTCTGGATGGGGATGCGTCAGGCCACGATGGCCATTCAATGTCGGCAAACTCTGCATTCATTGCTTACTCAACAGAGGCGGAACAATATACTGGGGAGAAGGAGCTGTCGACCAAAACCGCAGTCATTGATGATGAAATGTTACAGAATCTCATGCGACGGTATCCCGGTGGACGACTATGGTCTCTCGAGGGCAGCAGCTTCTCATCCTCCGAAGACGACAAGGATCCGCGGAATAACTCGAACCGGTCGCCGCTGCAACCACGCAAACGCAGTCGTCGGAAACAAACCGAGATTGATACGCTTCGCGCCACCTTTCCTTCTGCGTTACAGGTACTTTTTGCCCCACTTTGGGATGCATCGGTTGGATCATTTGCACATGCATGTTTCGTCGCAACGACGTTGGACACGAGATCATTCAGCTCTACTGTTGAATTGCCGTTCCTCAATTCCTTTTGCAGTACGTTGATGGCCGAGTGCAGTCGGTTGGATACCATGGTGGCGGACAAGCAGAAGAGCGACTTTGTCGGTACGATATCTCACGAAATGCGCTCACCGTTACATGGACTGCTCGCGAGCGTGGAATTTCTGACGGAGACTGACCTCAACGGTTTCCAAAAGTCCTTGATCGATACCATTGACTCCTGCGGACGAACCTTGCTGGACACGATAAACCATGTTTTGGACTTTTCCAAGGTGAACTCTTTCCAGAAGCAGTGGCAGGCTTCGAACAAAAAGACCTATGGGTCCAAGCGGAACAATTTCCTGGGTCCGGAGAACTCGTCAAGATCATTAGCACATGGGGCTCCACCTCTTCTTCAATTGTTTGGAGTTACCGACATATCAGCCGTACTTGAGGAAGTGGTTGATGGTCTGGTCCTTGGCCATACGTTCAATTCTGGAATTGACATAACAGACACGTCGCGGCAAGCCCGTGGTCGAGGGGCTACCCAGCTCAAAACCAAGGATACCGCTGACCCGGTTGACATCATTATTGATGTCGAACAAGCCGACTGGATCTTCCTAACACAACCTGGTGCTGTTCGTCGAATCATCATGAACATCACAGGCAATGCCATCAAGTACACGAGTCATGGGACGATCAACGTTCGTCTCCGGTTGAAGAGATCGTTGGAGGTAGACGGCAGTGACTTGATGGTACTCACCGTGACGGACACCGGGAAAGGGATCTCCGAGCAGTTCCTCTCTTCCCGCCTCTTCGTGCCATTTGCACAGGAAAATGCCCTAGCACCGGGCACAGGTCTGGGTATGTCGATTGTGCGGAGTATTGTGCTTATGCTTGGAGGCACAATCGATGTCAAAAGCAAGGTCAATCAAGGCACCACGGTTGAGGTTGCTTTACCTATGAAGAGGCCTATCCCAGGTCAAACTTCCACACAAACCACACCCTGGTCCGGCGCTACCATGTCTTCAACAACTTCAGCCAATGAAGACTCCATTGCGTGGTTACAAGATCAGTCATCAGAAGCTACTGTCACATTCTATCAACCTGTACCCGAAACGGATAAAGAGCTGGCACAGATCCTGAGATCATACGCCCATGATTGGTACCATCTGCAGTTCGTTGACCAGCGACTGTATAACAGGTCTTCTGTGGTTCTCGTGAGGGAGGAGGATCTCGAGGAATTGATGCAGCAACCCATTGGCACCCCTTCGGCTCGTCCGGCTCTGGTTGTCATGTGCTCCGTCTCTTCCAAGCATAGCGCCACATTGCTGCGCTCGCTAGAAGAACGGATCTCGAGTGCGGTCGAGCTTGTATCAACGCCCTGTGGGCCGCGGAAACTTGCCCGAAGTATACGATTGGCCTTGGAGAAGAAGTACGTGGCTTTGAAATCGAATTTGAGCAAAGGTGTCATGACGCCTCCCACCTTCCCACCCGCGAGCCCAGGGGTGCCGAGAACAGCACTGGATTCTGTCACGGAAGAATTATGTGACATGGATCTCAATCCACCAGGTGAAACAGATAGTGCGAGAGTCGTCCAAGCGACAGAGACGTTTGCCGCCTCGCAGTCAAGCCAGAACGCGCAAATGGCAATCCACGAACCTATGATGACGACCGTGCGCACGCCGAGGAATCATGTAAGCGAAGGTGACTTTTTCCCATTCCCCATACAGAGTCAAGAAAACTCGAGAATGCGGCGAGAACGCAACCGAAGCATTTCGTTCAACAGCCAAACTCGAAGTGTCCCAGGCACACCTTTGGAGACTCCTAGACCACCAGATCCAGACATAACGCCGAGAGCCGATATGGTCAATCCGCATGTGCTGCTGGTGGATGACAACATGATCAACTTGAGGCTACTGGAGACGTATCTGAGGACGAAACGGAAATATACCAGAGTCGTACAGGCCGAGGATGGGCAACAAGCTGTTGACGCGGTGACCTCGGCTGGAGAACCATTTGACGTGATTTTCATGGACATTTCAATGCCGGTGATGAATGGATTTGAGGCAACGCGGGCAATTCGAGAGTTTGAGATGGGGAAAGGGTGTGATCCGGGGGCCATGATCATTGCGTTGACGGGTCTGGCTAGCGGGAAAGATCAGACTGAGGTGTTTGACAGTGGATGCGACATTTATATGACGAAGCCGGTGAGTTTCAAGGAGGTGGGGAAACTTTTGGATCATTGGGAGGCGCATCAGGATGTGAATGCTAGCGTCGAGGGCAAGACGGCTGGCGATTCAGTCGCGTGAATAATGAGCGGGCATGTGCCGGCATGAGGTCTTTGAGGCTGAGCTTATGACATGACATTGATGGGTCTGTGAAACGGCGTTGACGGTACTAGAGGCTTTTGGACCTGGGTCAGACCGTCGGGACGCACGCAACATGAGTACACACAGAACTGGGGTTACGACCATGGAGTATTTTGGATGATCGAGGACCCTCCTTGAACGGAGTGGCTTACGACAGTGTCAGTTATGGATGGCGTTAATGTCTCGCAGGGCATATCTCAAGGCCAGCCACAATGGATGGCGTGTTGCGTTCGAGTCGAGATCCCTCAAGAGTCAAGCTTCTTGCAAAAATGGTTCTTGTGTAAAGCAGGGGAACGATATGAGTAATTAACAATGATATCTGATTTCCTTGCAGCTACGTTCCTTCGTTGCTATCGTAATATACCACTGACATTGTGGCATCGCTTTTGTATGTAGCCAGGCAATACACGTATCTGTGACGCCAGCGACATGCCCACAAGTGCATGATTGACTCTGACCATTGGGCGTACGGAGTCCATACCCGTGAAAGCACTGCACGGGGTCATTACTGAAAGGACGAAAATCGTCGCCAATGGAAAAAGGTGCATGCGCCCGTCATCCTCTGACTACGGCAGAGGTGGACAGACTCAGCCCAACTTCGGCGCCTCAGCAAGCAACTTCGCCAATCGCTCGTCCAACCACTTCACGTCGTCCATATCTATAGGATGTTATCATAGTGCTTTCTTTTTGACCAACGAGAGCGAGAGGGAGGATAAAGTCCAAGCAGCGTGATCAATGAAGACCGAAGGCGATGGAACGGGTGCACTTACTTCCAGGTGGCCCGCCGGCCCAATGGCCCCAAATCGATGGAAAGACGTCCAGTTCTCCGACGCTGGGCGACATGTTCTGGACTTCGATCTCGGAGTCCTCGGGTCTGCATGTCACGTCATGTTAGCAAATAGCTTGTCTGATTGTGGCAAAGCGATTCAGACACAGTCCCAAGCAGCATCGTGGTTGATGAGAACTTGCACTCGTCTCCCAGCAGGGGCCCAAAAAGTCGGGCGTCATGAGAGGTATCGTAAATGTACTCACGGAAAGTATAGGTCAGTTTTGCTCGGCAGCACCAAAATTTTCGCCTTGATACCGCGCATCGCCTTCTCGAAATCGCCATTGTACGGCTCCTGTTGACTCACGTCGCCTGCCTCCCACGTGTACAGCATGGTCAGGAGGTTCTCGGGGTCTTTGCTCAGACCCCATGCCTCCCAGAAGTTCTTCATGAAGGATTCCAGGTCGGGCGCGTTGTACGCTTTTTCGTAGACCTTTTGGCGATAGAAGGTTTGACTGAAGCCCCAACCTGCGTATACACGACCGAAGGCTTTTAGACCGACGGTCTTCTCGTCCTCGGTCCACTTTCGGACCTCGTGGGCGTCACCGCTTGCAACACCTGCTGAGGACTTGGATTTGCCGGCAAGCAATGCGGAGCGCACTCCTTCCAGCATGACTTGATTGTGCAGTGATGTTTTGGACGAACCACAGAATGGTACTGCGATGTCCAGGAAGTCAGGATACTGTGTTGCCCATTGGAAGGTTTGCGCCGCGCCCATGGACCAGCCCGTCACCATGCGCAGGTGGTTGATCTCCAGGTGTGTGGTGAGAAACTGGTGTTGGGCCCGAACGTTGTCGTAGAATGTCACTTTTGGAAATGGCGCGATAGATGAGTTGGAGGGCGAAATGGACTCGCCGTTACCGAAGAGCGCGGTGATAATGATGAAGTATTTTGATGGGTTGAGCGCTTTGTCTTCCCCGATTAGCCATTCGTTGTCGCTGATTAGGCCGGAGTACCATGTTGGATAGAGGATCGCTGGGTTGGAGGATGAGCCGAATGTCTTGTAGGCGATCCATGCTCCTGAGAGAGTGTCGCCTGACTGGAGGCTGAAGTCGCCGAGCTTGAAGGTCGAGTAGTTTTCTGGCATGATTGCAGTGGTGGTGAATAAATGACAATCACTGGTTGTTTGGTTGTTGAGTTCAATACCTGTCTACTGAATGGGACCTGGTGATTAACTTTGGGACCAGCTAGAAGATGCTTGTTTTTGAGGTCTAGAAATGTGCTCTGACGATTAGTACTGATATCAACCCCTCCTTGTCTGGATCAATGGAAGCATTTCACAGCTGATATCGCATAGATAGTCTCCAACCCCGCATAGTCGGGCATCTCCTTGATACAAGTAAACGAATCTGAGCCGGAGTATGTCCGACGTTCAGCCTCGCAATCATTCAGCGAGGCTGCCCGAATTCACATTGGCAGTAGCATTAGTGGTAGCTCGTACAAGCCACTACAGGGTAAGGCAAAGCCGAGAATATCGATGCTTGTACAGAGTTGTTGGATATCGGGACATTTTTGAGCTGGTCTGTCTGCCATTGAAGAAGTGGTCGTGGCTAGATCAGTGGTATCTGCACGGCAGGAATTCAAAAAAACAGCTGCTAGACATGGGATTGCTCGTTGTCCAAGCTCGTGTCCAGCCTGCTGGGCGCTTGACCAACGATACCGAGAGTGAAAAATCCTCAAGCCAATACTTAGTAACACATAAAGGGGTGTAGAAAAGAGACATATTCGATTTCCACCACTAAAGCAGCAAGTTACAACGTCTTAGTCCCCCAATAGTTAGAAGCAAGCCGTCGAACGAGTCGTAGCCATAAAGGTGCAAGAAGTGTACGATATCGAACTCACAGACAAAAGGATTCGCATGAAGATTTCAGCAAAGTCCAAGTATCTCGGCCAAACTGAGAGGAATCTCAGGCGCTCAGGCACATACTCCGATATCGCAGCTCTCATCCATCGTGAATCGTTTTGTCCGCTCCTTTTGGTCAGTCAGAGCTTGGCATTTGCTTCGCGGCTTGGAAATTTGATCAAAAAGATGCTTGTGCAGATGATGAGAGCCATGGTGGAACTAAACACCTGGCACCGAGGGGCATGCTGGGTGAACGTGAACCCCGATTGGAGATTATCTTATCAGATGAAAAGTTTGCAGAGGTTTGTGACCCAAACAGGGCGGAGATTGATCCTGTTTGCAGTTAGTTGCAGCGAAGAGAAACGGTGGAAATCGCCCTGCGTTCAAAGAGTCTCCTCTGCGCTTCTTAAGGGGGACTTGGCGCAGTTTTGGCGTGGTAAGAATTAAGTTATCAGATGTTCCTTTTTTTTATCTGATCCGCCGATTAGAAGCGCCAAGCCAGTCCGCCGTCATTTCATCGTGCTGCATTCAATACCAATACGACCAGTGATTTGTTCGTACCGTATCAACGGACCCAATTGTACGGAATCGAAGATCGTCATCACGTTGCACGGCAATACTGTGGTGCCCTGGGCCTGCTAGAGTGTACCTGGACCGCACATAGCGGACACGACAGCCACATGAGAACCATGACAGTGGTTGCGACCTGCAATGAGTTTTTCCATTGGAAGGTGGCTCATTTTACATCAGCGTGATCATCAAAGCCAACATTGTAGCACAGGACTTCCTGCATAGTCGATGTACGTGCGATGGCACTCAACGCAGAGCCGGCGATTCACAACGTTGCCATGCACTCAGATTCTGAACCACTGGACCTGGTCTGCATCGGTTTTGGGGTCTCAGCTCTTGCGGTTGCTATCGCCTTGCATGAAAGACAATCACTGGATCACACGTTATTTCTGGACTCCCAACCCCAGTCGTCATGGAAGCCTTGTCCAGATGTACCAGCTTCACGTCTGAAGACTTCGTTCCTGAATGACTTGATCACTTCCGAAAACCCGCGCTCCGAATTCACATTCATCAACTATCTTCACGCAACGAATCGTCTCGTACTCTACTGCAACAGTGGTCATCTCACACCGTCCAGAGAAATCTTTTCGGATTATCTAAGATGGTGCGCAGATCGACTTAAAGTACGAACCGCTTTTCAAAAACAAGTGAGCAGCATAACGCCGGTGACCGACGCGACGGGCACAGTTTCGTGCTGGAGGGTATTGGTTTCGGATGCGGCCACTGGAAAGCAGAATGAGCTGGTGACAAATCAGGTCATATGTTCAATGGAGCCTCAGCCACAAATACCTGCCATTCTATCCCAAGCAAACATCAATCCCAACCTCGCTCATTCCACAGACTCCAGGGAAGCCATTTTGTCAACTTTGAGAAAAACGGCCGGAAAAGCCCGCATCGCGATAGTTGGTGACGGCCAATCGGCTGCGGAAGTATTCGAGTACCTGCAGAGTATACGAGGAGACCAGCAGGCCATTTGGTTCACCCAAAGTCCAGTTCTTCGAAGATCAGATAGCACTCCCTTGTACGTTTGTCCAATCCAGTAGCAGCTACTCTCAATGCTGACAATGATTTAGTATTATGGATGTCGTGAGGCGGCCAACCACCAGGGCGGAACAATTACTGCCACCAGAGTTGAGGCTACAGGCCGTGGACGGAGTAGGAGCCCCAGCCTCCAGCAACGCAATCGACGATGCCTTGTTGAAGGACTTGTACGATCTGCAATATCAACAAAGTGTCAAACAGGCAAACCCGTCGAAATGGCAATATCAGATCAAGTTCGGCCATCGAGTAGAGATGGCGCAGCGGGCTACTGACGGACAGGCTGCCTTGTCCTTGAAGTGCCTCAATGGCGACGGTGGTTACTCTGGGCTTTTCGACCTTGTCATCGCGGCTACTGGCTACGACAAAAATGGTCACGAACGGATCATGAGGCAACTCTCCACTTTGATTGATGGTCATCGCATAAGTGTTGATCGAGACTATCAGGTCAACTTCCGGTCTGGCCTGCTTGTGGAGGGCTGCGGCTTGTGGTTACAAGGATCTCTTGGTGATTCTGACGATGATGAGGCTTTGTATCCTATCCTTGCGGAAAGAAGCCGACGCATTGCCGAGTCCATTATTCGGCAAAGGTGTCGATCGAGTGAGCCATCACCGGAAGCGAGGACTGCCAGGCTATGAGCGATGAAAGCGGTTCAGAGCTATAGAAGGTGTCACCTCAGGCATGGGGAAAGGTGGACGGATGTAAGGCTCAGCCGTAGAAGTGCCATAGTACCATATATACGTGGAATCACCTTTTAGATTTGCTGAATGTCTTCCAACGTACAGTCTCTTAGCTGCTATTCGCAGATCTGACCCACAGAGTATGATACTCTTGTGGAGGCCAGCGCTATCCTATAGCTTCGGCTTAGCACCCTCAAGGATCTGCTCCGCTACTCGGGCAAGCTCGTACTTCCTCACCTTCCCACTTCCCGTCAATGGCACAGCACTGTATTCCGGAATACCACCCCTGCCAAACCAGAATACATGTGCAGGGGCTTTGTGCCTGCCCAGTCTCATCTTCACCCATTCGCGAACCTCATCATCGCTGAGAGTAGCTACTGTTCCTCGAGACGTCCGAGAAACACCTTGCAGAAATGCAACCACGACTTCTCCTAATCGACGATGCTTCGCGCCGACCACAATCGCCCTTTCAATGGCCTCGTGTTGAGTCAGCCTCTCTTCGACCTCGAGAGGGTAAATGTTCTCTCCGCCTAAGAGTGTAAGATCAGCGCCGCGGCTTGTTTGGATCCCCAAAAGCACTTACCACGAATGATGATGTCTTTGAATCGACCGGTGATGGTGCATGTCTTGTCTTCGTGAAAGACTGCTTCGTCTCCCGTGTGCAACCATAAGACGCCGGTCTCGTCACGAATCATGACTTCGGAAGTCTTGTCGGGGTTCTTCCAGTATCCTCGCTGTAATTGATAGCCGGCGATGCAAAGCTCTCCTCGCTCCCCAATAGGTACGATCTTACCATCTCTGTCGACAATCTTGGCATGAGCGTGTGGCATGACCTGACCCACTGTCGAGAGTTTCAGGTCGATAGGATCACTGTACATTGCGTTGAAGCATGTGGGAGAAGCCTCGGTCAACCCTACTCCAGCCCATCAGATACACGTCGATAGCATCTCGAGGTAGGGAGACTTACCGTAACTACTCGTAAATTCTGTCATTCCGAGGTCACTGAATAGCAATTTCATCAGGTACTGAGGAACGGGTGCTCCAGCAATAATTCCAGTTCGCAGGCGATGACAATCAAAATCATCGGGACGTGGGAGACTGAAGACTGAATCAAACATGGCTGGAACACCGTGCAAAGCTGTACATTGTTCCTCGTGAATGGCTCTCATACAAGCGGCCGCGTTGAATGTCTCAGCAGGGTAGATGACTTTGCCACCATGAGATATTACAGCCAGCAACCCGAGGACCAAACCGAAGCAATGAAACAAAGGGGGGGGACAACATAATACGTCGTCTTCGGTGAAACCCAGTCGATCGCCTATGAATCTGCTGTTATTGACAAGAGAGCTAGACCTGTGTCAGCATGGTCCACGAAGCTGAAGCACACAGGAGGGTTTACTGATGAGTCAGCATCGCAGCTTTCGGATGTCCTGTCGTCCCGCTGGTGAATTGAAGGTTGCAAACGTCGTAAGTACCGAAAGTATTGGCGCATTCGGCAAGCACCTCGTCTGGTTCACAAGCCCCATGCTCTGCGAGGCTCGCATACGAGGTGTATTGTCCTGCATGGCCTCGAAGAATGATGATCTCCTCAACGGTCCCAGGCGTCTTCCGCAACTCGTCCAACAGTGGTCTGTTGTCACAATGACCGATCCGAGGAGTAGTGAAGAGAAGCCTACATTCTATTCTGGTCAGACTCAGCTTTTTTGCTTGTGGATCGAACGTACCTGTAAACCTTAGGGCATATTGTGCTTCGGGAGAAGTGTAGGTGTTGTTGAATATGACCAAGATGCAACCGATCCGCATGGCGGCGAAGAAGACAGACACGTATTGCTCACAATTGCCAGCCATGATGGCGATTCTGTCTCCAGATCGGATGCCGCGACGAAGTAACGCCTTCGCGATCCTGTTGCTTTCTTTTCTGAGATGGCCGTACGTCCACCTCGCGCCAGTCCATGGTACTATCAAGCATTCTCTGCTCGCGTACCGCCTGCATTGGAGGTCGAGTAGCTCTCCAAGCGTAAGATCAAGTAAAGGCGTTTCCGTGCTCCCATGGACGATTGATGGTGGCCGTGATTGGGACAATGTTGGTTCTGTGCTCGCCAACGCCATGACTGGACGTAAGTTGTGGTATCAAGGTTTAGGTAATCCTTCTCCCTTGCAAGGCCAGAGGTTTCCGTATATCTCATGCTGGTACGCTACAACACGCCGACAGCCAGAGTTGCTGTCTTTGATACTGTGTGACTCGGCAAGGCTAGGCGTGAATATTCATAGTAGCCTTCCAGATCTGGAACCCAGATGGGAGTATCGATTCCTGAGTGAAAGATTTCGCACCGACCTCGGCAGCACGTGATTCCATTGCAGCAAAGGTTGGGGCCCGACATGATTGCGTTCGCATAAGCGCACACCACACGTGGGTAGTCCAGTCCTGTGCATTCCCTGCATGAGTACCGGGCTGCCAATACTTGCGGAAGCGAGGCAGGCGCTTTTCCGGCTGGAATGACGTTTCAGGGAGACAAAGCATTGTTTGCGAGCACGTCGTAGAAGTTTGCTCCACTTGGTGACTTTTCATATGGATGGTGTCAAGGATGAATCACCAAGAGTATCCCGTTTTCTGGGCCGAAACACACTAGTAATTTTGAAATGGCTGACAATCTGGTCCTGTAAAGCTCGCATCCAAATTCGCCTGTCTTTACATTGGAAAGTCGTATCGACTCCATCGGCGACTCCCACGGTCTTCTCCGGCAGTTGGTCTTCCATTTTGGACACTTTGTTGGGTGACTTCTCCCTGATGCTGAACTGCTGAAAAGATGTTCCACCTTCTTCCGGCCCTCGTGTCGCCCTTGCTAATCCTGCAGGGCCAAAGTTTTCATGTCTTGGTCCTGCAATGGACTCTGCTGATCATCTCCCACAAGACGTTCTGACGCTAACCAACGTGTGCAAAGATCGGAGCTTACGCGAAAAACCGCTGGACCCTCTTCCACCGTAATTTCCAGTCGAGTGTGGGACGTAACAAAATGTGCCACGTTGATCGGTTTTGTCCGACGAGGACTAGACCCGTACGGTGCTCATGATGTACTTGTTGCACCTGCCGTGATCAAGGGCAAGTGGCCTGCTGACATAATACTGGCTGGCTGAATTCCGTGTGCATGGCATATCACCCAAGACACAGTTGATCTCGCAAGCTTCAAGTGCACTAGGGCAAGTCGAGGTGCGACTGCTCCCACCAGTCTGGGCACCTGCAGCTTCACTTCGAGCAGCAAATCTGGAATGAAGCACAATGGGCTCTATCCAGGATTCGTCACATAATGACTATTGTCCAAAAGATGCATGGCTCAATGGAGGACCCAACGACGGGCCTGGTCACGACCATTGCCTCGGATTCAAGGTCGTTGGGCTTGCATCCAATGAGACCACCACTCCGACAGGCATGAAGGACGAGATCATACTCTTATCCTGGCTCCTCGTGCTTAGCCGCACTCAGGATCGCGATCAGGTCTCTTTCGAATGGACTTATAGGAGCCCAACAAATGGTGTTCTACCTGGACTACCACAGACGCAGTTGTCAAGGAGTGAAATTGCAGCAGAACCATCAAGAAATGTTGGGCAGATTGCTGCAGCTATCTCCCAATCCCTCCCCAAGGTCACGGCAACACACGAAGCAGATGTTTCCAGTCCCGTATCACTCCTCCTGAGCACGGGTCCCCTAACACGGACTTTAGGCGAAGCAAGAGATGAAGTAAGCAGAAAGTCCACTTTGGAAGGGCATCTCTGACCGTGTTGTGTATAGGGAGTACTGCACCTCGAGTTGTCTTTTCAGGATGGCCATCTCGTGGTTCGTCCTGTGTGGTACACAGATAATATGCTTCAGTATACAGTGACAAGGCATATTGAGACACTAGTCGACACTATCAGGCTGACCATCGCAAGACCGGGCGCGACCATCGAGGATTGCATTCAGCCGACCACACATGATCTGGATAAGATCTGGGAGTGGAATCAACAACTCCCTCCTTTCCATGGTTTCTGCATGCACGAACTAATCTCCAAACGAGCTCGACAATGTCCAGATAAGGTCGCAATCTCTTCATGGGACGGTGACCTGACGTACGCATATATCGAACAGTATTCCATGATCTTGGCACACGCACTCATAGAGACAGGTGTCCGACTACATGACGTCCTGCCGGTTTGTTTTGAGAAATCAAGATGGACGATCGTCGCGATGCTGGCGGTGATGAGGGTGGGAGCAACATTTGTGCTCCTTGACCCAACCCTTCCGCTTGCCCGCCTGCAGAACATCGCGTCTCAGGTGGGCGCAAAAACGATGTTATCGTCGCGGCTACAACACGACCTATCAATGTCGATCCTGCCTGGGGCCAAGCATGTCGTCGTAGAAGAAGACACGTTCAACGACCTCACAATACTGCAAGATGGTCAAAAGTTACTACCGGTTCCATCATCAGCTCTTATGTACATTATCTTTACGTCTGGAAGCACGGGCGTCCCTAAAGGAGTTATGATCTCTCACGAAACCTACACAAGTAGTGCCATCCCTCGAGCGGAGGCGGTTGGCTATACAGAGCAGTCCAGAGTCCTCGATTTTGCGTCGTACGCTTTCGACGTCAGCATCGATAGCATGCTTTGTACTCTTGCACAAGGCGGTTGCCTCTGCATACCTTCCGACGAGGATCGAATGAATGACATTAATGGGGTGATGCGAAGGATGCAGGTCAACTACGCAGGCCTTACTCCTTCAGTGGCGCGGATTTTGGATGCTCCCGTTATTGCATCACTCAGCATGCTGGGTCTTGGAGGAGAAGCAGTCACGGCGAGAGACGTAACATGCTGGGGTCGAGATACCAGGATCGTCATCGGCTACGGACCCTGCGAATGCACGATCGGATGTACGGTGAACAGCAGCGCTGCTACTGGCAGAGACTACATCTCCATTGGGAAAGGGACAGGAGCGGCGATGTGGATCGTCGACCCCGATGATCACGAAAACTTGATGCCAGTCGGTGCTGTGGGTGAACTGCTTGTCGAGGGACCAATTGTTGGACAAGGCTATCTCAACGACCCTGCCAAAACCGCAGCTGCTTTCATCGAAGATCCGTCCTGGCTCAAAGCCGGTCACAAAACGTATGGTGGACGTACAGGGCGTCTGTACAAAACCGGCGATTTGGGTAGATATGATCCTGACGGCTCAGGAGGAATCGTCTTTGTTGGACGCAAAGACACCCAAGTCAAGCTACGTGGACAGCGTGTTGAACTTGGCGAGATCGAGTATCAGCTCAAGGTCCTCTTGCCTCCTGCAACCAGTGTCGTTGCAGAGGTGGTAGTACCCTCCGGCTCTGGAGGTCAGCCTACTTTGGTAGCATTTATCGCCTCTCGGTCACCACACCAACAAGGAAGCCCTGATATGCAATTAGTACAGCCTGATAGCGAGCTTCAGGGTGTCCTGTCACGGGCCGATGCAGACCTAGCAAAAGTCCTGCCCAGGTACATGGTGCCAAGCGCATATGTACCAATCAACCACATACCTGTGTTAATATCAGGCAAGACTGATCGCAAACAACTCAGACAGTTTGCCTCTACTATTGACTTGCGGCAGCTTGACCACGATGCAGGTAGTGGGACCGCTCGTGAACTAGGTGACCTCGGACAACGCTTGCGGGTGGCATGGAGTCAGACTTTGAGACTTGATGTTGATAATATCCTGCCGGATGACAGTTTCTTTGCACTAGGTGGCGACTCTTTGATGGCGATGAGACTTGTGTCCGTCTGTAGAGATCAGGGCCTCGACCTCACCGTCACTGACGCATTTCTTCACCCAAAACTCTCGGCGATGGCTGAAGTTGTCCGGTCGTGTAAATCACAAGCACCGACGGAAACGCCAGCTTTCTCTATGGTCCCACGAACTATCGAAAGTGCCTGTCTCGAGGCTGCAGAGATTTGTGGAACAGATTGCAAGGCCGTCGAAGACATATATCCTTGCACACCTACGCAGGAGGGGCTGTTCACCTTCTCACTGAAGTCAGCTACGCCGTACATTGCTCAGAGGGTCGCCTGCATTCCGGCAGATGTTGGTGTGGCTACTTGGAGGAAAGCATGGGAGGAAGTTGTAGCAGCGAGCCCGATCCTACGCACTCGTCTTGTTCAATCAGGCTCTAGGCTTTGGCAAGTCGTATTGAAAGAAAACATCACCTGGAGGAAATCCACTGACTTGAAACAATACCTCGAAAAAGACAAGAATGAGAAGATGGACCTTGGGCAGAGACTAGCTCGGTATGCCATTGTCACCTGTCCAGGTGATTGCAAACGCTACATGGTCTGGACCATCCACCACGTAGTCTACGATGGGTGGTCGGAGCCCCTGATACTCGAAAAGGTCGCGAACGCCTTGGAAGGTCAGCACATTAACCCAGGGACACAAATGAGGCATCTCGTCAGATATTTGCGTGAGATCGACGAGACTTCCATCCAACAATTCTGGAAACGAGAGCTCGAAGGTGCTGTCGGCCCTCAATTCCCGCACACACCGTCTCGGGACTACCTGCCAACAGCCGATGCAATAATTGACCATCAAGTGCACATCGACTCAAGCGCCCGGTCGCCCTTCACCCTAGCAACCCTGATTCGTGGTGCATGGGCTCTCGTTGCATCACAGTACACGGCAAGCGACGATGTCGTGCTGATTGAGACACTCACAGGACGAGACATTCCATTAGCAGGAATCGAAGCCATCGAAGGCCCATTGATTGCAACAATGCCAATCCGAATACGTATCGACCGCAAGCGCACCGTGGAATCGTATCTACAAACCATCCAACAAGACATGTTGACTCGCATACCTTATCAGCATTATGGAGTTCAGAACATCAGAAAAGTCAGCAGTGACGCTCAACGTGCCATCGAGGCTCGCACAGGCTTAGTCATCCAGCCAGAACCAGAATACACTGGGGGCGAACTCGGCTTCGACCAAGGAGACGTCGTACGTGAAGCACTACATTTCAATCCGTACCCGCTGATGCTCGGCTGTGGTAGTCGTAAAGATGGTTTCAGGATCTGCGCAAGTTTCGACAGCAGTGTGATCAGTACCGCGCAAATGAAAAGAGTTCTTGGTCAGCTCGAAGCCGCTTGTGTGCAATTGACGAATTATCCCTCGAGACAGCTCCACGAGATAAGTTTTCTACCCGACGCGGAGCTGGATCAGATCTGGCAATGGAACCAAACAGCACCATTGTCTTTCCAGGAGCCTTCCAAAAGACTTCGAGCGGGCGATCAGGTTGAGCCAGGATTCACATATCCTCGAGCAGTGATCCCTTGGGTCTGTAATCCTCATGATTCAGCCCTGCTATCGCCTATCGGCTGTGTGGGCGAGCTCTGGCTCGAGGGGGATGTTCTTGTAGGCGAGACTGGTGTAGCTCCAGCCTGGCTCGTGGCTGGATGTTCCAGCTATGTTGGCCGAAGAGGAAAGGTGCAGCCTACAATCGATCTGGTTCGATTACAAGAAGATGGCAGCTTGAAATTCGTTGGCCGAAAGGAGGATTTTGCTCCTGTCCACGGGCATGCAGTGAACATCGCAGAGGTCGAAGCCCATTTCAGGGCGCATGTCCCGCCAGGACTTCGTGCCGCTGCAGCTGTACTCCAGTCTGGCTCGCAAGCAGGTCAGCAACAATCAGAGCCGATGCTGGTTGCCTTCATAGAGCAGCAGTCCTTGCTGGAAGATGGTATTGACCTCATGCCCAAGAGCTACGACATCATTTCCAATCATTCAATCCCGCAAAAATGTCAGACGACGATCTGTGCAAAGATCTCTCTCAGCCTTGCCACAGCACTTAAAGACCTCAACAGAGCCCTTCAAGACAGTCTCCCACCATATATGGTCCCTTTTGCGTATGTTGTGGTTGACGAGCTCCCCTCCACGGCCAAACAAATCGACCACGACTCACTGAATCAACTAGCCTCCAGGATTCCTCGGGACGTGCTTATCCAACTTCGAGAAAACCTGGAGGCTATATGGGCGAGAGTCTCAGCAAAAACGGATCTGACAAAAACCGAGCGAATACTGCGGTCATCGTGGGCGAAGATACTCAAGACTACTCCGGAGAAGGTTGACCTTGACGACAACTTCTTCCGACTCGGTGGCGACTCCGTCCTGGCAATGAAATTGGTGTCGGATCTTCGTCTGCAAGGGCACGTGCTGACAGTAGCGGATGTGTTCCAGAACATGCGTCTCCGTGATGCCGCCAAGGTATTGAGACTTGACCAAGTGTCGGACCAGAGGGCTCAGCCTTACAAGCCTTTTTCGACGCTTGCTCTTCCCGAAACAGAAACGTTCCTTTCCACAGTTGTCCTTCCAAGGTTGGGTCGACCCGAATGGACTATTCAAGACGTTCTTCCTGTGACAGATTCCCAAGCACTGGATGTCACGGCCACCATTCAAGAACCCCGAACTTCTGTACAATACACCATGTTGTACTTCGAGAAAAACATCGACTCAGAGCGGTTGCTTCGCGCCTGCAATGAGCTTGTCAGGTCGCACGACATCCTGCGCACCGTTTTCATCGAGCACGAATCTTCATTCATTCAAGTTGTCGTGGATGCACTGCATTCTCCTGTGGTCATGAAACAGGCTGACGCAGGAATCGAACAATATGTTGCCGAGCTATGCACAACGGACATAGAATCGAGTTTCCACCTGGGCTCGTCTTTCCTCAAAATGTTCTACGTCGTAGGTAAAGATGATCGAAACTGCCTGATTGTACGCTTGTCCCATGCTCAATACGACGGTGTCTCTCTGCCTGCGCTGCTCCGGGATCTCAGTACCTTGTACACTGGAGGCAACATTGTCACTTCTGAGCCATTTTCCTCGTACATGGCACGCATTAGTAACGTCCACATTCAGAAGGAAGCTATCAAGTATTGGCGCGAGCTCCTAGGCAACTCATCATTGTCGATTCATGAAGAAGGCTCAGGAGACCCCGGGGACAAGTCCATGTTCGAGACAAAACCAGTCGATATCTCTCAGCGGCCCAAAGAGATCACCACAGCGAGCTTATTGCTTGCAGCCTGGGCACTTGTGTTGGCGCGCCGTCTCCAAACCCCAGATGTGACATTTGGCAGCGTCACCTCAGGCCGCCTCATTGATCTCGCAAACGTAGAAAATGTCCAAGGCCCATGTTACCAGATCGCACCTGTGAGAGTCCAGTTCGAGGAGCTCTGGACAGCAGCGGACCTGTTGCACTTCGTCCAGGAGCAGGTGGCCCGATCCGCGGCACATGACTTCCTCGGGTTCGAAAAGATTTCCAAGCACTGCACACAGTGGCCGGGCGAGGCACGGTTCTTTGACTCCATTGTTCATCACCAGGACTGGGAAGACTTTGACACCATGCCTTTTGCCGGAGGGACTTGCAAGGTGGATATATCGAATCCACATGGAGATGCTGCGCATCCGATAAAGCTTGTGTCGCTTGTTCGAGATGGGCAAACGCACGTTGGAGTGGTCGGGAGTGAGAGGAAGGCTGCCTTCGTGCACGAGATCCTTGATGAGTTGGCTGCTACTGTCGAAGACTTGGCAGCTGGCCGGTCGGACAAAACACTGAAAGTGCTTGGGAATCAAAACGGTGAGGAAGTTGAAGTTGCAAGTACAGGCGGACAGGAGGCGTCGGCAGATGCGTAATGTCTACGCCGAAATGAAAGCGCTATTCTGTGGCACCATCGCTTAGACGTGCTGACAAACATACAGCAAATATCCAGTATACATGAAATTGCATGCAGATTTCGTTCCATATCTCAAATCTCACCAATACATATCGCATGATTTGCGAGTGCTTACTTGAACCGGCACGATAATGCTTTGTCGCTGCACAGCAAATAGGGGTTTCTACTTTGTATCTTGATGATTGATTCTAAGTACCCCGACATTGCTGTTCACCTAGAGCTTCGCATTCCAAGCCGCTCTATCAGACGACTCGAGTGGCCGATCTCTTCCATCCCAGAACAACGGACACAATTGAAACCACTTCTCCTTACTACATATCGAATGCACGGAACGCTTGTGGCCGAGGTCAACGTACTTTCCGATGGCCAGACCCTGGGACTGCTCGTAGGACAAGATAGTAGCCCCCGTCGCCTTTGGTTCGCCCACGACGTTCGCCACGCGCGGCTCGTCCAAGAAGCAATAGTGAATACAGCCGGAGTACCAGGCGTTGACTCGCCGGGCGCCTCGGAACGATTCGTCCCCGACGAGGGAATGGCGGCCACGATCGTAGTCTCCGGCGTCGTAGTGTGCGCCGTAATGATCTTCCTGCTTTCCATTAGCATGTAGGCCAGCCAGAAGGACGAGGACTGAGTAAGGAGGTGCAGGAGAGTTGGGGATCATACCTTTGCCCAGTATAATTCAAAATACGCGAAACGGTTATCATTGAAACGTCCGAACAAGCACAAGACGTGAGGATCGAACCACAGTTTACGAAGGTACTCGCGATGCTGGTCCAGTGTTCCAGTCTCGTTCCAGCCCTGTGCCACTCGTGGGTCGTTCTGCCATTTATTGAACAGCGCCAAGTGCTCCTGGTCCTGCCAATCGACCACCTCGAGCGAGAAGTGTTCATCCAACTCCGGGATGTACCGACTATACGCGATCGAGCGTGGATGTGGCTTGGGCCGACGGATCGGGTGGCGAGTGTACACTGCCTCATCCGGGAATTTCATGGTGATTTGGTAGATCTCGGGCATGGCGGGATATTGGGCTAGTGGTTGGCGTAGAGGACCATCTGTACCATCTCCGACCACCCATATTGGACGAGGGCCCAAGGGGGAGCCGGCGCCTTGCCAGAATGAACTTCGTAGGATCAAAAGCTTGTCGAGGGACGCGGTTTTGTCGTCTTTGGGTCCCCATGGTTTGGGATGGTCAATTGCCAGTCCTGTAGCGAGCAATTCAGATCGAATGATCTGGTCTCCTGGGCCCGAGAGAGTCAGGCGGAAGTACTCGTTGCTCGGGTGGGCGAGGTAGATTGCATGAATCACGTTCCAGGTCTGGCCGAGTGAAGGTGTATTGGTGCCGGACCATTCAAACGTGGTCTGGGGACTTCGACGTGCTCTTGCCCATGCACTGTTGTTCGAGAGAGGCGGAGATTGTTGCATGGGAGGAGGCGATAGTTCCAGCCATGACAGCGAGTCGTGGTGTAGTGGTTGGGTTGGCTGTCGTCCAGATGAGGGCTGACCATCCAGTGTCAGGGAGAGCCTTGATGGGCCAATCTCGTGAACAGCATATGCGGTCAGAAAAGGATGCGGTAGCTTTACCAGCGGATACTTGTGTGCCTTCTGAGCCTTGGACACCATTTTCAGAGACGTGCTGTGAGTATGGTGATCTCACAGTTTTCAAAAGGTCCTGTAGATGATGGCCGATTCACAGTTCTAGGCTTGGGAGAACAGTTCCTCGATGCGGAGGGAAAGATCGGGTGAAACAAGCACTAAGCGGGTAGCACTCCTAGGCAAGACAGCTTCGTTAACCTGGGGATGTCGTCAAGCAACGCTCAATGCACGTGAACTTGCGGGAGACACTAATCGGAAAAGTATAAGAACGCTTGGGAGGGACGGCTGGACAGCCTAGTCACAACATCCTGCAACCTCCTCACTAAGGTCTCGTAGCAGGCCAAGTCACAGATCAGGGACCCACCTTTCAATGTCTTTGAGAACGTTGGAACGTTTTCGGCATTTCAGCGTCTCATTTCCTGATGAGCGAATTCTTCAAGTCACACTAAACCGGCCCGAGAAGCTGAACTGCATCGACAAAGCTACCAGCCAGGAGATCCAAAGGGTTTGGGAACTCTTCGACCAAGATGAAAGTCTATGGGTCGGTATCATCACAAGCATTGGCCGAGCATTTTGCACTGGTGCCGATCTGCAGGGTAAGCCCACCTCCAGCCCAAGCCTTGCCTTGAAACGAGAATTGACCGGGGACAAAACGAACAGAGTGGAACGACATGAACAAGGCCGGTGTCGTCAACGACATGTCCGCACCAGGTCTTGCTGGACTGCCTCGTCGAAGGGGCAAGAAGCCGATCATCGCAGCCGTGAACGGTATATGCATGGGTGGAGGCTTCGAGATGGTCGCCAACTGTGACATGGTAATCGCTTGCTCTTCGGCGGTATTTTCCCTTCCTGAAGTCAAGCGAGGCATTGTACCCGTGGCGGGGTGTCTACCACGACTGACACGCACCATCGGACTGCAACGCACAACCGACCTCGTCTTGACTGGCAGGAATGCGAGTGCCAAGGAGCTCCAAGACTGGGGGCTTGTCAGTCGAGTGGTGGAGTCTGCTGCAGATGTCGTCCATGTCGCGGTCCGAATTGCTCAAGACATGTGCAGAAACAGTCCTGATGCGCTCATCGTTGGACGTGAGGGCATCCGCTTGAGTTGGGAAGCGAGTAGTGTGGAGGAAGCTGTGTCGACGCTGGCGGATCGATGGTATCCCCGCCTGATGCGTGGGTCCAACTTTGGTGAAGGTATCCAGGCGTTTGTGGAGAAACGAGCGCCGAAGTGGCAGAATTCGAAGCTGTGAGAGGCTTTACGGCATCGAAGAAAAGAAAAATCTAATCTAAACTAATCAGATGGATATGTCTAGCGCGTCGTGCAAGTGAAACGATGAAGCAACGGTGAGAAACGCCGGAGGGATCGTCGACGTCGGTCGTTTCCACACGAGAGAATTATGATCTAATCAGATGCGATAAAATGCTGCATACAGTCTAGCCTCCGATGAACGGAAACTGTTGGGTGCAACATGAAAACTCTGATCTTATCAGATTAGATTAATGATGCTGCAGAGAGTGGAATGGATCCTTCAAACCCCATATTCGTACAGGTAGTCAGTCTTGCATGGTGGATAAGGTACGTCGTTGTAAAACAATGTATGGAGTATGTCGGTATGGCATACCTGACCGTACAGTATGGTAAAGTCCTGAAATACCACATCTCCGTCAATACACTCTGTCAGGGAGAGGGGTTGGTTTGCTTGTGGCCGGATTGTGGTGCAGCAAACTCAGCTGGCGACGACCCGGGCCAGCCTATACGATTTCGGAACTAGATGTAGATCTCAGCAAAGTGCGGATGCTTTGTGATTCTTCCTGACTTGATTATCTAAGCTACTATGCCACCTGCTCTACATCTCCCAAAGTCTGATGCAACACATTGCTGCGATAACTCTCAGATCTTTGGAACAGTTCCGAGTGCGAGCCATGGTCGACACACTTGCCTCCCTCAATCAAGAAGATAACGTTCGCTTGCTTGATCGTGTGCAGCCGATGTGCAATCGCTATCACGGTAATCCCTTTCGAGGCCTTGGCCAACCCTTCCTGCAAGAGTTTCTCGGACTCCGCATCCAGTGCACTCGTAGATTCATCAAGAATGAGAAGTCGAGGTTTGCGGACCAATGCTCGGGCTATCGAGAGACGTTGTCTCTGGCCGCCAGACAGCTGGCTTCCACTTGGCCCGCACAGAGTATCGTAGCCTTGCGGTAAGCTGACAATAGTCTCGTGAATGTTCGCAAGCCGACACGCTTCCTCAATATCAGCTCGACTCGCCTCTTCCGTAGGTCTGGCTCCAAGTCCCACATTGAATGCGACGGTGCCTTCGAAGAGAACACTGTCTTGAGGGACAAGAGATATCTCGTCGCGGAATGAGAAATCCTTTTGCCGCGTGATGTCGATACCGTCAATGAGGATCGAACCACTTTGGGGTTTGTACATGCCCTCAATAAGTGATATGACGGTGGACTTGCCCGCTCCACTTGGTCCAACGAGAGCACAAAATTGTCCGCTGGGGATTTCTAACTGCAGTCCTTGCAATACCTTCATATCCGGGCGAGCAGGATACGTAAAAGTAATGCTGCGAAGACTGACGCTAGAGCCGTTGCTTGATCTCGTCATGGAGCTCTTCTCCTTTGCTTCTGCCAGTGCTTCAACATCCTTCTCGATGGACTGTGGCAAAGCCGCCCAATGCTTCTCGACCTTCAAATCTTTTGTCGGGCCGATATCGATGAGGTCCAGGATTCTTGCAACAGCAGCCCAAGCACTTGAAAGCTCCGGTGCCAGTGCGAACATTTGACTCCATAGCATCGCACTCACCAGGAGGGAGAAGACCACAATTAGAAACTGAGTCTGAGTGTAGGTCCCAGCTATGATCTGTTTCGATCCCCACCAATAGGCCAGCGCATTCACCATGTTGCCCAAGAAGTACATGAGAGCCAACCACAGACTCGCCTGGAGGCTGACCGCCGTGGTTTCCTTACGAGGACCTTTGAGTGAGCGTCGATAGGTCCCCAGGGTTTCCTTCTCCAGGCCTAATGCTGCAACAGTCTTGATTGAGGTGATCGCTTCCACGCTGATATCGACCGATTCGGCAAACGCATTCTCGTGCTTATCCTCAAAATTACCCAAAACTCGCAATTCCATGAGGCCGGCCCCAAGGAGTAGCGGCACCAATGCTAGACATACCAGCGCAATTTTCCACGCAATGATATGGGTCAAGACAATGGCGACGACCAGATTCACTGAAATGGAGAATATTGTGCCCAGAACGGAACCACTCAAGGCCGCCAAAGCATTGCCGTCTTTGGTGATATACAGGAGCAGCTTTGCGGGAGTCCGATTCTCCGATTGATGCCACTGGAGGTTCTGCCCGAGCAACGAGCGGAAGGACAAGAGTCGCACAATGTACAGCATTTTCTCCGAGAGCCAACCGAAGGCTGACCAGCTGACCAGATTGGCAAAGAACTCGATGATCGCGAGGACAAAGAACATGAGACCAAAAAAGTTGCCGGCGGATCGAATACTGGATTCGGTCTTGCAGGGATTGAGTCGCCCAACCGTGTTGCCGAAAATGACTGCTTCGGCAGAAAAAGATCCTCCCACGATACTTGCAGCCAACAATGCCATCACTACAATGAGCATAAAAGGCCGCATGAACCGTAACAACCCGCCCATCGCCGATGCCATGGACCTCGATGATGTGGCTGGTACTTCGTCTTCTGGATCAGCGCTGCCCTCATCACCAGAGCTGCTTGGCTCAACTTCTTGTTGAGACGCGTGATCATGTCTCTTCTCATCAGCAAAAGTATCCCTGACGGCACCGACTTCGAGTGAGCTTTGCAACGGGCCCAGATCCTCATTAGTATCCGCCCCAATCGTTTGCATCTGTACCAGACTGGCGTAAGTACCTGCCTCGGCAACGAGTGTCGTATGGCTCCCCTCTTCAAGGATCATGCCTTCCTTCAGGACGATGATCTTGTCGGCGTGTTTGACAGTGGCCAGGCGGTGTGCAATGGTGACCAGAGTCCTCCCTAGGGCCACCTTGGACATAGCAGCCTGAATGCGTTGCTCGCTGGCGGAGTCAAGTGCAGCCGTAGCTTCATCGAGGATGAGGATTTTGGGGTCCTTGATCAAAGCCCTTGCGAGCGCAATCCGTTGCTTCTGGCCTCCGCTGACCAGTCGACCACCAACACCTACCAAAGTACCGTAGTTATCTTTGAGAGACAAGATGAAGTTGGTCGCATCGGCTAAAGCGGCAGCTTTTCGGACGAGTCCAACAATTTCCAGCACAAGTGCACCCTGTTCCTCAGCGGCAACTATCATATCTGTGCCATTCCTGACGGACTCTGCCACAATGGCCAACTGTGGACCAAGCAGAATTGGCACCAACCGGCTGTGATCGGGATGCGCTGAGTTCACCAAGCCGTGTGCGATGTTTTCCAGGATCGAACGGTTCAAGAGCGAGGGCTCTTGTTGCACTAAGCCGATATAACTCCTCAGTTGCCGCGTATTGAGAGTGCGCAGGTCCTTGCCGTCCAGAAGGATTTGGCCATCTGTAGGATCATAGAGTCGCATCAGCAAGCCAGCAATGGTTGATTTTCCGCTCCCAGACATTCCGACAATCGCCGTGTGCTGTCCGGCCGGAATAACAAGATTCAGCCCTTGAAGTATAACAGTGTCAGGCCGTGATGGATATTTGAACGAGACCTGCTTCAACTCGAAAGATCCGTTGATGTTCTCTAAGCGTGCACCATCATCGTCGGTGGTTCCGTCAATGCTTGATTGATGTCTCATATCATCACGGATTGTATCGAATGAAGCCAAGGCTGCACTGAACATGTGAATGAAAGGAGCCACCTGACTGAGCGTAAGTGTGGCTGGGTTCACGTTAGTCACTTCACCCGAGTGCTTCTTAGAATGTCTTACCTTCCACCATAACGAATATGACAGTGAAGACTCTGCCGACCGAGGCACCGGTGGAATCCACGCTGACTGCATGTGCAATTTGTTTTCCCCCTTGCCAGAATGCGAGAGCATTGCCAGCATAAGCAATGAAGTACATAACTCCGGCCTGCACCCCCGTGGCGAATGCTTTCTTCACACCTTCTCGCTCCGATAATGCTTGGTGCTGCGAGAAGATCTTCTCTAGACGAGCGTTGGCGCCGAATGCATGGACAACCATGACATTAGCAAGCGCTTCGGCTGAAATCGACGCTGCGGATGCGGCATGGGTGGACACCATTTCCGAATACTTCTCAATGTAGTGGCTGCCAATGAATGACATTAGAAGGTAGGCTGGAAACAACCAGACCAGCATGCCCGCCAACTTGGTGTCTTTGATGAACGCCACGATATAAGCCGTTACAAAGAATGAGACACTTGAAAGGCATATTCCAACCTTTTCAGAAGTCCCCGATCGAATGGTCTGAATGTCGCCATTGAGCCGAGAGGCTACCTCGCCAGGCGTGACATTGTCGAAGAATGAAGGTTCTTGCCGGAGCAAGTTCCTGAGATAGCTTTCCCTTAGACGCTGTGCAAGTCGCGCACCACCCAAGCTCCAACATGCCAGATGCAGATATATTGTGACAAATTGAGCAATTGCCAAGTAGAATATGAGCAGGATTTTATGGTCGACTTGGCTCTGGTAGTTGGGACTGTTTGCAGTCTGCTCGTCTGCGGTGCAAGTTGCTGAGTTGAAATTGTCGATAAGTTGACCAAACAGGATCCCAATGATAGGGAAGGGAACCCCAGACGCGACGGCACAGATAGTGCCCGTGAGTAAAAGGAGGTAATCAAGCCTAGTTGGCTCAGCTGAGACAAGCAAATGAAGATAACGGAAGGATCGTTGGAGGAACGACATCTTCTTTGCCATCTCGCGAGAGTTGCTTGCACCTTTGCAGATTGCAGACCCCTTCGAGCTTTCAACGGGATACTGCCTGTAGGGGTAGACGTATCACGAATGGATGCCTTGCTTGTGACAGCGGTGACAATGAACTTGCAACGAATATCGCCAAATCGTACATTGTGCGTCTTCGGATCTCTTGCATCAGGTCCTTTTCCGTAAGTCAACATTGCTGTCAAGGCTTAGAGGCTTTCGATTCAAGCCTGTTGCAGCATTGTGGATACCTAGGTACCAGGTAGGTATTCCGTCAGATGAATATGGGCCCGTCATTACAAAGAACGCGTCCCCCAAGATTCGCTGTCATGACGAATTTCTCGACAGCTCGTATTTGTCCTGTAAATTTATTATTTTCTTTGGTGGACTCACTTTTGGGTCGCACTGACTGCGATCGTCCGTCACGATCCGTAGGCTTGCCAAGGGCATGAGGACCGATATCGGTATGAAAGTGAATGTGCGGTCAATGATGGCAACATGCAGGATCCTGTTCCAATATTGCTGAGTTGGTCCTCGTTAGTCAGTTGGGTTCTCAGGTGGAACGTACAAATTGAGACTTCATGTAGTCTCGGGTCCTCTGGAGGTCATGGTGGGCGTCGGAGGACGCACAGCATGTTCTGCGAGCGGTCTGCGAACACCTCCGAAAGTCGCAGGGCACGATCGGGCACATGGAGGCACACTCAGTCTCGAAGGCAGCATCGCTACCTCCAGTGACAATGCAGGGAATTTAGGTCTTGTGTGCGGCTTCCAGATGAGGCACTATACCCTTACCAAATCATCCATGTCATTCAGTTTTCAGGATGACATTCTTGTCTTTGAACGGGACGTCGAATTGCATGGTACCTAGTCTTTATCCCCCACCGATCGATGGGCATCGGGCATGAACGTACCTTCCCCGGCGTCTTGTCGCCTGAGGATGTTTGGGCATTGCAAATCGACGTCGACGGTCGCGCCCGATCTGCAAGGCCTGTCTGTGCACATAGCAACAGAGCGTTCACAATTCATCGACAGTAACAGGCTCATGCCACCCGTCCAGCTACATACCTTGTTGATCTGCAATATTTGTGCAAATGCTCTTGCGAGGTGAGATTGTGATCAGAAGCCTCCTCATGTTGATGTGTGACCGTCTCTTATGGCGCAGAGCATATATTGTCTTCCCTACATGCAAACTCAGAAGGTCTGGGTGGGATTCGTGTTGTGGTCAAGGCCGAGCCGGACAGAACCTCGAAGAGGGAAAAAAGGCTCGAGGTGTGATGGATTTGCACCGAGCCTGAGAGGCTTCGGCCTCGTTAACTGCTCGCTGACAGCATGCAGATCGCGTCGCCACACGTCGAACGGAGTGATCATCCTCTGCAGCAGGAGAGATCAAGTAGTGGGAGCCACTGAGCAGTCTCAACAATCAGCCTCGACATCCTCGACAAAGTGGTTGTGGTCGCGCATCAAGGGCAGGGAGAGCAATGGACAAGGTAGGAGGATGCGCTGTCCCAGGCTCCGCCCACTCGATGTCAACATCACTTGGGATGACGTTCACGCCCAAGTAGACAGCCATCAGAAGGGTACTGCGACAAACTATCCCGCCTGGCTGCTGTTATCTGTTGATATGGGCGACACGCAGACGGGAACAAAACACCAAACATGATTACTAAGAAAAACATTCATACGCTCGTGTGACATTAGGCAGGTTACCCGAGCGCATCTCATGCGTGGCTTTGAGAGATCCAAACTTCCTTCGAATGGGATGACACCCTCGAGGTGCGTTATGACTGACAAGCTCGTGAGTGACTGGCTCTTAGATCTTGATGTTGAGATACTGAGTGGCAACTGTGTGTCACGCTTTCCACGTCCGACGGATCTCAGAATAACTTGCTAGATACCTTCTGCAAGATGTTTTTCTTCTGCTTGGGCGACTCTTAGTCGATAACAGCCACGCCGCCAGTCCAGAGATCAATATCCTGAATCGGCACTGTTCTGGTCTTCTCTGCGACAGTTCAGATGAGATGATAAGTTATCACACATGATCATCCGGTTAGGCTGCCCAAGCCTCTTGTCGGCCCAGCAGACGCCGGAATGTGCCGATTAAGAGAAGTTTCGGTCATGTCTGATTACTAAGGGAGGGCGTATCGGGCAGTAGAAGTCCCTACACAACGTTCGGTGAGACATAACGCCTTACTACCTCTGGTGTGGATGACTTATAAGAACATGATCTCAAGTCCAGTTCAACTGATAGTAACTCTCGACATACTGATCGCTGCTTACAATGGTGTCTCCCATCAAAGCTGTTTGGTTCGACTTCATGGGCACTTGCCTGGATTGGCATTCGAGTATCGTGACAGCTCTGCCACTTGCACTCTCTGAGTCCCAAAAGTCGACATTTGCATTGGAACTGAGACAAGCCTACTTTGACTCCAATACACGACGCATAGCGGAGAAGAAACCTGTCGAGGACTTCGACGACACTCAACGACGGGTTCTGGATTCATTCCTGGGCAAAACTGAGAATCTAGACATCAAGCACTTGTTCTCGACAGATGTGAGGGAAAGATTAGTAGCTGCCTGGCACCATCAGAAAGCTTGGCCTGATGTGGCTGAAGCTCTCAGGAAGTTGAAAAGCGACAGAAGGTGGGAAGTGTACGTCCACGCCAACGGCAGCACACGATTGCAGTTGGATCTCCTCAAGTCTGCCGGTCTGCACTACGACATGCTCTTCTCAAGTGAGCTATTAGGTGTCTACAAACCCGCGCCGGAGAGTTATGAAGTCGTGATGAAACTCTTGAAACTCAAGTCCGACGAATGCGTGATGGTGGCTGCTCATGCAAGCGACTTGAAAGGTGCAAAGGCTGTCGGGATGAAAACAGTATATGTGTACAGATGGACAGACGACATCAGAGAAGACCAGGAAGTTGTGAGGAGGGAAAATGATGCTTATTTGTCTGATATGCATAGTCTGGATAGTGTCATTGCCAGTCTTTAAGGTCGCGTCCACTGATTCGATAGGTTGAAGCTATCCCTGCTACCATGGCCCTCAACATAGTCGATTGTTTCGTTTGTGACCCCGCGATCAGGCTGAGAAAAAGGGGTTGAAATGCCAAGATCTTCAAACCCCCGACGAGTCTTTCAGGGGTACATTTCTGCAGCCTTGTCCAAACCGTAGCATCGAAATTTATGCACTCACTTCGTCATTCCTTGTCGTGAGACGGGGTTATGATCAGTGGTGGTGGGAGGTGATGATTGTCCCTGTCACTGGACAGGTTCGTCGCCGCAGAAGGAACAAAACATGATTACTAAGAAAAAGATGGGAAACGGCTCTGTGACAAATTGCCGGTGGCGGCTGTGGCGAGTGTGGCTTGGTAGGTGAATAGTGACGTAAATTTGACAACATCGATCGGTGTCCGTACATTTTTGTGGACGGAATGTCCCTCAATTGTCTTATTACTTATCAGACAAGCGGTGGTAACGTATGAAAAGGTTGTGTCAAAGAGACGTATTCTGTCTTTCCCGATCAGGCCACTACCGCCTGTTCCCCCGATCAGCAAGAGCCATGTCATCCAAAGAGTCAAAGCCCCAAGAGGCGCAAGAAAAGCACGACGCTGAGTCGACCATCAAACGGAACCCCCATGGAGATTTCGGCAAAGTCCAAGCGTCCCGCCCTGATTGGGAGGAATCGAGTCAGTGGCACTTCACCAAGACCAAAAATCCAAAGTGGAATTACGGAGAAGGAGCGAGCGACAAGTCCGGCCAGTCCACGTCGCACGTTTCGATTGATCCGTATGCCGAAGGCAGACAGCCGGTATTGAACTACAAGTTGCTCATTTCTGGTATCATCCCTCGACCCATTGGCTTCTTGTCGACCAAGTCCAAGGACGGCACTTCAACCAATCTAGCGCCGTTCAGCTATACTCAGGTGTTCAATCATGATCCACCGATCTTTGGGGTCGGGTTCAGTGGTGGCTTTGATAATGCAAAGGATACCCTGAAGAATCTGGTGGATAGTGGAGAATGTGTCATCAACATCATCAGCGAAGACTATGTGGAAGCTGCCAATTCCTGCGCAATTGACCTCCCATACGGCCAGTCGGAGTGGTCGGTGTCGGGCCTGACACCGGAAGACAGCAAAGTCGTGGCCGCGTCGAGGGTCAAAGAGGCTGTGTTCAGTGTCGAAGGCAAGCTGCTGAACACGCAGGAGTTTGAATCGAGGGCTACTCCGGGGAAGAAAACCGGTGTTTTGGCCGTCATTGAAGGAGTCCATTTCTGGGTGCGAGAAGACGCCATCAACGAAGATCGAAGCTTGATTGCGCCCGAGATTTTGAGGCCGATTGCTAGATTGGGAGGCATTACGTATGCCCGTGTCACGGAGGGGTTCGAGATTCCAAGGCCAGTGCTTAAGCAGGAGAAAGAGCAAGGGAAGATTTCAGGTGAACTGATCAAGCCCAAGGTAGACGGACAGTAGGTCTCCATGTTGGAAGACGGCTGGTTCGAAATAGATATAGACCTGAAACCATCATCCATCTTCCGTCACCAGCTTAGCAATCTTTACTGTTGCTACAAGTGAATACCGGATATGCTCTGAAAGCTTTTTGCGTAATCCTCTTCGGCCCAATAACCGTATGCACACAGTGGGAAGGTAAGATTGTTTGCATAGAGGAGCCCGATCCGATTTCATGGGTTCACTTGCAGCGCGTAGGACTTGTGGCTGAAGACATTGATCTTTGGGCGGCGCCGGTCCCATAGTTTGAGCATACGCTCTATCTTCTTCGAATCTAAGGTACTGGTTCAATGAGTCAGCCTGCTCCGTTGTATGCTGGAGCAGTGGCGTGATGCTGCGAGCTTGAAGCTCTGCTGACAAGTTACTCAGTGAGGCTTTCGTTGTGCTCACCTTGTCTTGATGGCAGAAATCTGATTCTCCCCCGAGTACACGTTGGACGTCTGATCGCGACAAGAGGCCAAAGGAATACAGCTCAAGAAGGGTATTCGAGGGGTGGAATCTCAACAATAAGACATCGAGGTTCGGATTTTTAGGCCACATGATTGAGACAGTGCCTTCCAGTACATGACCCTGTAACGGAGGATGCTACTACCCTATATATAGGATAATGGCTTGCCTGATCAAGGCTGATTGGGGATAATGGTACGTCCATGGTTCTCGATGGCAATGCATCGGGAAATGCTAAGTGGACAAAGGCCAGATTAGATTGGTATCAGAAAACCAATCAACATCCTCACTCATGTCGAACATCATCAAGGGGGACAGAGTGTTTGTGTCTGCCACACAATCCAACGCCGACACTTCAACGCTGGGCGTTCCGCCATTGATCTCAATCTCGCTTCCGAGAATCCCGACGCCATCGGGTTTGTCGGATTGACTGAATTCAGAGCCATTTACGCGAGATGGTTGGGACGACAGTGAGGATCTGGATCTTGTTGAGAATCCCTTCACGCAACAACGAACTACGCAGCCACCAATGCAGAACAACCCTTCGTACCGAGCACCATCTTTGTTGCCTGCGGCGCAAATCTCATACACGAACACTCCTGCTAAGACCCAGTCTACTCAAGCAGACCAAGTACCTCGCTTCAAAACAGTACACTCGAGAAGTGCGGAATCTGTGGAACGCAGTGCGAAGAGACTGAGGAAACTAACAGAGCCAGGAGGCCCTTACGGTCGATCGAAGGAGACTGGTCCATATTTTTTCAGCACTCCTATTAGACCGAGCGGAAACCCGTCGGCAAAGAAACCAAAGAGTGTTCCAGCAGCAACCACAGAGGAACCATTCAACAATGATGGCACCGCACTATTCGCGTCTGCAAAGCGTGCAGACCGTGGCAATCTAGGTCCTTTGCAGACCCTGCGGAGAAGGAACAGCCCGCCATCCCCTTTTCCAGACAGCTCCGTCCATAGAGCATTCGGCGAGTCAGGAAACCAAGGCCTCGCACTATCACACCCGGTTTCGAATTTGCCTGGCTATCCCGCCGATACATTCCAAATCACTAACAATTCACCGCAGCAGAGTCCCACTCCAAGCCCTCGAAAACAAGCGTTACGAAGACGTCGTGGTACTGGGAACCTTTATGCTCGGAGTTCAGGAGAACAAGCTTCGGAGAACGAGCAGCACCGCCAGAGAGTTGAACGCCAGTTTAGAAACAAAGTGAACCAGAATCTGAGTCCTTCTTCTTATGGCGCGCACAGCCATATACCAAGGGAAGTGGCCGAAACACCTCATCTTGATGGACCACGTCGGAACACGAACGAAACCATGCAGACTTCCGACAAAGGATCTCCGCATAGTATACCCCATCTTGCTGACGAACCTGTTAACGGTGCAGACCAACAAGAAGATAATCTTGGTGAGAACGATGATTTTGGAGACGAAGACGACAGAGAGGCTCGGGTTTTTAACCCCGAAACAAAACTATTCGAATGAACAAAGACAGGCCTGAGAAACAAAGGGAAAAGGGTAACAGGTTCTCGTTCACACTGAATGGCGCAAGGCAGCCACGGTTCCTTTTAGTTTTTGCTAACTATGGAAAGCGTAGCCATAGTGGTAGCTCCATCGCTACTGACATTAGTTCTTGGTGCATTTTTTGTATAGAATGAACCTCAGAAGTTAATGCTATTAAATTTCTTAGACTCTAGGTCAGCTCCTCAAGAAACAGTTCTCGGCCCACAATTCTGACACTGTTCATAATAACCCCAAATCCGGCCTCTAGGCTATTGAGGACACCTTTCCTTCGACACGAATATAGATATATAGCTATAAGTTCATGTCTAGTGAAGAACGAGATATCTATCTGTAGTCTTACGATTGCAAGCGTCGGGCCTGCTTCTATGGTGCTTAGGAGACGGTTGGGTCTCTTACCAAGAGTCTGGTGACCTGCTAGCAAGATGCCCACTGCAGCCACCTGGGCTGGTATTTAAAGGCATAACATGACTTCCCTCCATCAGATCTCGAAGGTTAATATCCATTTACCGCTAACTGTACCCAGTGAGTCTGCAGGCAGTTTCCCAGCCTGAGGACCTGACCCTAAAATCTTATACGAGGACATACTGACTATACCATTTATAATCGTGGGCATGTTCTTTGCTATGACGATTACCCGACTGGTGGGGACATTTCAGACGAATATGATTCAGGGTGGGAGATAGCCCTGGGATAGCAAGGTAACTTTCCACATCGAGCCTTATGTCAAACGGCAAGATTACGCGAGGGCTTCCCGCACCATTCAATGGTCTGACAGCGCCTTGTTACACCAGTGTTTGAGGGCGACGACGAGGTCTCGATCAGTGGGTAAATCACGTTGTAGGAAGTGGGTAAATGATGCCTCTCTCACCTATAAATACGTGGTAAGTATACAGTCAGTTGTAGAAAGGCAGAGAATTCAATGTATCATATCATGCACACTGTTTGACACCTTATCATGATTACATCTTGCCGCCGGTATTGTCTCAAGCAGCTGGGTTTGACAGTATAATGCAGGAGCAAGAGTGCCTCAAGTAGCAGTATCTCACATGATACTGTATCGAACAGGAATGTCTACCAGCAGTAGTATGTCAAGCAGCAATCTGACTTACCTGGCGGAAACCGAGTTGGAAACGATCACTTATGAAGGCGGCACGCTCTGACTGTTGGGCTTGCCAGGTTCAGTCGAATAAAGTCACTATTGACAAATAACTTTCTTCTCTACACATATATCATGAATGATCAAGGTGGACAAGAACAGGAGCGGAATCTTCAGACACCCAAAAGAATCATTACCACGCTCATTCGAAGCCAAAAACATGTCGCCATATTCTCCAGGTGTCAATACGGCAGCTGGTTGCCAGCAGCATACCATTCTCCGTGACCAATGAAGAGCATCTCCTGTTTGTTGCTGGAACAAGGGTAGATCCTTCTGGACAGGCGGATGAGATGTCAAAGACCATGTTCCAGCGCCACGGAAGGAGAGATCTTGTTGATTTATGCGACAAACAACTCTAGCTTTGCATAATAAATATTCTTGATTACGGAGTACGGACGTACGCCGGTACCAAACAACTGAACGAAACAAAGCAATCATTTTCCGATATGCCGAAGCCCGGGAACAAAATCTTTGGAATATATTCTAATACGCTGAAAAATTGACCTAAAATTGCTGGTGAGGTGGTACGTTTTAACAGGCTTACATCCGATGCCGAGCACTCTGCTAATTTTATTCAGGCCGAGTGGTTATGGCGCAAGTTTCAGGTCAACCTGATGCTTCAGCTTCTGAGTAAAACACCTACTTGTGGGTAGTAAGTAATCTCTCAGGACCTATTTATCAGACGATTCTAACACCTTGCAGAAACCGCGTGGGCAAGTCGATACTTCAAAAACATTTAAATATTATATTAACAATCCTCAAGGTTCGAATCCCACCCTCATCATCCTTTGTTTTTGACCTCGACACAGCCACGATGTGGCGTAGTTTGATTTTTTGACACTGTGGCGGCGGCAAGGGCCGAGAACATGAGGCTGGTGAGGGATGACGTGCGCTTTCCTCCACAATGCCACGAAGTGACAGAAAAGTACCACGATTCTTTGGTCAATTGACATCACAGATTGCGCAAAGTCTGAGGCATTCGGCTCCTTGTTGTTGCGGCTGCCGATGGACATTTCTCTTTTTCCTACGAGTAGTTGAACCCACTCTGTTTGGATCCTTGGTTTGAACAGCCTCGTCTTTGATAGTGGCACGTGATTTTCGGTTCGGATATGAAAGTCAAAAGCCGAGGAGCGAAAGCGAAGCGAAGCCACACGTCTAGAACTCTAGATTCGCAAATTCGCCTCCCTCTCCATCCACAAGTTCGTCATATCCAGGCATCAAGCAATAACGACACCAAACACACCATCACCTTGCACGCGTGGCATCTCCTCTGCCTTTTCCCTATCGACCAATCCTGTCACCGACTGACACCAATTGCGCAAACAAGCACACCACTGTCAGCTTCCACCAGGTTCGAGCCGCTCTTCCGCGTAAGCTGATTCGTGCCTTGATCGTCGCCTCCCGAAAGTCAGAATTGTCGTTGCCTGGCCGCGGGGTCACTGCCTGCGACGCCTCAGATTGTCTATAAAGATCGACTTCTTCGGCTGTGGCTTGAACGTGAACTCCTTCATTCTTCTCATCATCTCATCAACGGTAAGCATTTAGAATCATGCCTCCCGTCTACTATCTCAACCCACCACCGAATCCCTTCTGGGACTTCGTTGCCAACATGGAAGACCATCCGTTCTTCGCTCAACACGGCCATCAAGGCCCTCCTCCACCACCACCAACCCAAGGAGCTGCTGCTGGTGTAGCCAACGAAAAGGGCAATGTGGAAGACCCACCAGAGGTCGACCCTTCTACCATTCGTAGCATGCCATTCCGCGGTCGTGGCCGATTCGAACATGCCTTCGACGGCGACAATGACCGAGACGGTGAGCACCCACACCCCCGCCACAAAGAAGGCCGAGGCCGACACGGTAAGCACCATGGCCGTCACGGCAAACATCGTCATCGATCCTCCAGCCCATCGTCCAGCTCCAACTCCAGCTCAAGCGAAAGTGATCGCGACAAGAAATGGTACCGTCGTGGCGGTCGAGGCAAGCATGGTCGTGATGAACACTCCGGCCCAGGCCCATGGTGGAGAGCCGGACCACCCTCTGGTCCGCCTCCCTTCGCGTTTGGCCATCGTGGCGGACCCTTTGGACACCACGGTCCATTCGGTCCAGGCCCCGAAGGCCCTGAAGGTGCCGAAGGTCATCCTCATGGACCACCTCCATTCGGCGGTCCACGCGGCGGGCCAGGAGGTCACAAAGGTCATGGTCACGGACATCTTCGTGGGCCACCTCCATTTGGCGGTCCTCACGGAGGACCAGAAGGTCCCGAAGGCCATCCTCGTGGACCACCACCATTGGACGGTCCTCACCCAGGACCTGAAAGGCACGATGCTCACGCACGTGGTCATGGGCCACACGCATTTGGCGGTCCACGCGGTGGCCGCGGAGGAGGATGCGGAAGAGGCCGCCATGGAGGTCGTGGTGGTCCCCACGCAAGAGGAGGACCGCCACACGGAAGCCCCTTTGGGCGTCGCGGCCCGGGCGGTTTCCCTCGTGGCCCAGGTGGCTTTGATGTCGGCTCATTCTTGAACAATCTCGGAGAGCGCATCGGCATTGACCTCTCCTCCGCAGCAGAGGGCTTCGGCTTTGATGCTGGCAAGGCCGCTCGCTCCAACGACGTCGACTTCGAACCAAGAACCGACATCTTCGACACCGAGTCGCACTACACAATCCACCTCTCTCTTCCCGGTGCCAAGAAATCCGACGTTGGCGTGGACTATGATGGTGAGAAATCTGTCTTGCGTGTCGCCGGTGTCGTCCACCGCCCAGGCATCGACGAAGAAATGATGACCAGCCTCGTCATCGACGGGCGCAAGCGCGAGACTGGCGTCTTTGAGAAGAACATTCGTCTCGGCACCCAGAACGATCCCGCAAGCATTGACGTCCAAGGTATCACTGCCAAGATGATCGACGGCGTTCTCGTCGTGCGCGTGCCCAAGACCGAGAAGACCTTCGAACGCAAGTCCGTCAATGTCTCTTCGTCGCCTGAGATCATCAGCGACGAAACCGAAGACGCATACGAACAGGGCAATGAGAAGGATTTGCTCTTCGACGCTGAAGACCAGGCCGGAGATGAAGAAATGCACGAACACGAACACCCTGCTTCGCCATCAAACCAGCCATATCCATCCAAGGCTTCCATGAGCAACGCCAGCGCTGGCAGCAGCAAGGGCAAAGCCAAGGAGCGAGAAGCCGAGCGCGAACGTTCAAACACAGTCGACTTCGAGCATTCCAATGCCACGACCGAGACTTTGCCTCGCTACGAAGTCCAAGAACAACAACCACCAGCTCACGACGCCGAGATGAGCGACTGGGAGAAGGAAGGCTCTGGAGAGGAGGGTGAGTACGTCAAGATCAATGTCGACTAAGGGACATAAGATGTCCCCTTCTGAGTCGACATCGGCGATTATGGCAGCACAGGAATATTTGCATTTGGGCCCTTGATTTTCAGCAACAGTCCTTCATGATTTTACGCAATGATATTTGTCTACACAACAACAGCGATGCTTCAATGCTGACGCTGGTACTGGCACGCAATCTCAGCAACATGACATACATACATACATAGTACAACACAGAAAAAAATCTCTGCCATCGTTGCAGAAACAAACAACACCTCCTTCCATTACACTGAAAAGTAGTTTTTTTTGCTTTAATAGCTTTGTTAGTGGCTTCCATAAAATGCCATTCCTCGGTATCTCAAAGTCACAACATCACCACTCATATTTTGCGTCGTCGTGCTTCAGATTACCCAACATAAGGATAGCACGAGTCGCATGCAAGACCATCGCCCCTGGGCTGTTCAACAGCCGCCAAGTGGCCCATTGCCACAGGTAGGATCAACTCCCACTGGTCCCTTGTTGTCGCAATGAACCTCGTTGTCGCAACGTCCCTCGTTGTACTCTTTGATATTGCGCAAGAGATTTTCCGCGCGTTTTTGGGAGTTGATTGTTAGGTGAGGATAGTTCAGTAACTCGTCTGAATGTTTCTGAAGGCCCTTATGCAAAGTTCTGAGCTTGAGGCGAGAGCTCTAGTGTCCTTCCTCTGAGGACTTCTCGGAACGAGGTATGATCATTGATCAGTGAACCTATCCCCACTCGTCCGTTGACGTTTGTTCTTCAAACACGACAAGATCATTGATTGTCATCATAATACTCTCGTTCGCAGTGGGGTGAAGGTCATCACAAGGAATTTCGAGGCATGGCAGCATAGTACATAAAGACAATCCCCCGGCTTCGGCGTTACAATCATTCAATGCTGTCTAGAGGTGATGTTCTTCCAGGCGTTTGAACCTCTTCCTGATGAACCCCATGCAGAGTATTTTGGCACTACTCCCAACAGCCAATATGCTGGAGCAGGCTTGCAGTCGACTCCGTCCCTCCACAAGGGAAGATACAACGGAACAGGAAGTCAAACAACTCATTGAAGTAAGCCGAACTCTGCTGGAGCTTCTTAGCAGCGGGCGCCTTGACAACAACTCGCCGAAGTCTCGTGATGGACCCTGTGGTCTTCTGAGTGCCATTGGTAAAGGCCCAACCATGTGAGTGAAGGACTCCTAGTAAACATCAAGTGACCATCCATTGTAGTTGACGAGCTCCAAGAGTCCGATAGTGACGCTCTCTTTGTAGACCGCAGGTGACCTCCGGTGCCAATATAGTGCAACCTCGGTAAGAATGACGGTGCACTTCGAGTCGACCAAGGCGATGAGGTGAACTCGTCGCCCGAACCGACCGTTGGAGTCGCAGGAGAGCCGGCGGATGTTGTTCGACGGATGTAGTAGTTCGCGCTTTCACTTATAGGCCAGAGACGTTGGGTAGCCGCGGCGTTCGCATCAAAGCTGTCACCCTCTCCCCGATCAAGCGGTACGCAGTACGTTCCACTCACGCTAGCGTCATCACTGAGGCGCACTGCATTCGTGTCACTCAGGGCCGGCACGTGTCTCCATAGATCTCGTGATGGCTAGTCTTTCATTCCATCCCTTTAGCATGCAGTACCCTTTTCTGAAACACTCGCATCACCGTCTCTCCACTTTCATCATCATCCCATCCAGCGGCACAGCAGTAACACTACTCACACTCCAGACCTCACACTCCGGATCATCCGTCCCATCACCTTTAGCAATATACCCTACCTCCCCTTTCTTTCCCGAATATCCCATCTTCTCCCACTTGAAACCCCTCGCAACCGCACACATGACAACCTTGGCCTCCAGCATAGCAAGTTCCTGACCGATACAATTTCTAGGCCCACGCTCAAAAGGTCGAAATGCCCCAGTCGGCAAGTTCGCCATATACTCCTCATCGAGAAAGCGTTCGGGCCGAAAAACTTCCGCATCATCTCCCCAAACACTCTTATTCCGGTGGACCAGGTACTGCGCGACATACACCCTGAGACCATTGACGACAACTCCCTTCTCGATCTCCTTATCACCGTCGCGACTGCGCAGCGTGACCGTCACGGGCATCGGGTTCTCCGCCGAAATCTCCGAAACTCGCCGCGCCGTCGAAGCAGCTGGGTGCAGGCGTAACGTCTCCTTGATAAACGCCGTAGTGTAGGGCAACTTATTGCCCAATATCGCTTCGGCGTTGTGCCGACCCTGCTCATCATCTTGACCGAGCACGTCGAGGGCGTTGAAGAGGTCGTCGGTTTTGCCGAACACGGCATCATGCTCGGCGATCAATTTCTCCAAGATCGCCACATGACCATCCGCCCAAGACGCTTTCGACAATTCAAAGCACAGCCATTGGATCAGTGTCGCGGTCGTATCTTGTCCAGCGAACAGGAACGATTTGATCTGCGAAACGGTGTTTTGGACGAGAGCCTTACTGGGCGTCATGCCCGAAATGGCGAGTCGAGTGATTGACTTTTGGTGTTCTTGTTTGTCGTCCGTAGACTCCGCCATCATTTGTTGCTTGACCACTGTAGATAGTTCGCGGTTGAAAATCCGCTCGTAAAACCATGCACGGGTTGGGCGCACGGGATCAAAGTAATGCGATAGACTGAAACCTCGGCCCATCTTAAAGCACAGGCCTGATAGCATACGCGAGGCCGTCAGCATGCTCAATGGTCCTTTGTGGCCTTGACCCTCCGGGGTACTCTGTGCGTGAAAGTCCTTCTCGACGGTGAGTTCCGTAATGATGTCGGTAGTCAAGTCTTGGGCGGGTTCTTTCAGGGCAAAAGTCTCGCCTGTCTCGGCAAGACGTTGAAGTTTGTCGATGAAGATGCGTGTCTTGGAAATGATCAAAGGGTCCAGCGAGTGCAAGTGAGCCGGGGAGAAACCCTTGTTGAATCGTCGGCGAAGGTTACGCCACTCTTCACCTTCGACCGTGATGAGCGACTCTTTCCCGAGGAGAGGACGCAGGAATTTGAATGTGTCGGATTTTGGGATAGAGTACTTGTATTGCGGCGACGGCTGGACTAGACTTTCAGCCACCCTTGGATGCGTGATGACCAGAAACGTGGGGGCCGCGGGTTCCATGTCCAGCAGAAATGCTTCAGGACGATCCAGCTCGTCCCAGACCTCGACGAAACCATAGTCAGGATGGCGCTTGAGCGACGGATCGAGCCGCACGCCAATGTTAAGAATCTAAGTGTACATCGTCAGGAGGCCAGAGAACATTGATGCTCAACTGTTGAGACTTACATGACCCAAGACCGGATGACGGGGAAGGGCAGGAATGTCTCTCCATCGTTGCCGGCAGCGATAAACGTGTAGTATCAATTGGACAACTTTGATGGCTGCGTAGAGAGATAGGACACCGAAGGCGAGGAGGAGACGGTTCGTCGTGAAGGAATCGAAAATGCCTGCCATTGTTGCGGTGATGTTAACGCAACAGGCAGAGACTGTTCGAATATCAAAGTTACGACCTTGGCGGCATCATCGAGTATGGAAGAGGCTCCAGTTTCAGTAAATGAAAGCAGTATAGTCCGGTTCGGTCAAAAACATCCCCTGCTGCAAGATGTTGTGTCTTCAACGAAGGAGTCAAACAACCAAAAAGAGGAAAAATGAAGCTTCCAACGCGTGCTCGCCGTGGTGTCTAAATATATAAATTCCCAAGATACCTCATAGACTAGGTTACAATATATATCTAAACCTCAGATAAGAGGTTCACCATTGGCTAGATTTCGGGGGGATATCAACGGATGTGTAAGCGATTTAGGCGGACGTGCTAGGGATCAGATACAAAGCTCAAGGAGCACGGGCGAACATTCTGACCAGTCATCATTGCCTTTTCCCGGGCATTTGTTTACCAGATGAACCTTCTCCGGGTTTGCTTGTGCTTGTGCAGAACTTCATAAATCAGTCACAGCCTGGCATGTTACATAAGTTCCTACCGATGCCTTAGCCCATCTTGTGTAACCGACGACGATTTAGGAAGGCATCGTTTATCTGCACAATGCAATGAAGATGGCAGGACCAATATCTCGATCTTGCTCAGGCAAGGCGCCCCAGATGCATATTGTCGTATTCGCATTCGAGTCCGAGATGGCCTATCAATGTCAGGCCTCATTCTCGATCTCCCACTTGGAAAGGTTTAGCTGATATCACTTCAAGAACAGACACTGGTCGAAGCAATTGATGTCGCTCTCATCAATTCGAACAAGACATCGCGTCAAGAGGGTCGCTGCCATCATATGGTCAACAAATCATCTTCAGTAGCAAGCTTTGAAATACTAATGTCAGAGAAGGCTGCATGGTATGAAGACCGTCACACGAAAGAATCAAAAACAACCATAGAAGTGAAAGTCATGGTATACAGACATTATATTTAAAATCTTAATAGTCCCGTTAAACCCTTTGAGTGAAAGGGGTCCTGCCAACCCTGGTCGTAGCTGCCATTGCTAAAGCAAGCCCGGACCATATCCAACCCCATACCCATGAAGAAAACGCCAAACGTTTAGAAGACGACTGTTCATCAAGATCGCTGCCATCACCAAAAGACCAACCCATAAGATCTATACTTTGAACAAAACTTTTCACAAACCCGAATCAATCTGATCAATCTCTCCTTGACCAGTAAAGGCCGCCCAAGCCGTACACATGTCGTTTAGCGCTGAGGGTCGATTAGTCGGGATTTTATCAGGTTGTTCCTAGCCACAAGATTAGCACATGCACCCCTCTTAGAAGGCTCTGACCCGTGGTCAGGCAGACTCACCAAAATGTTCATATACAACCCCCCACTGACATGCCACGCGATATGGCAATGGAAAGGCCACATGCCCGGATTATCCGCGTCGATCTGGAAAACCATGTACCCTGGTTCGCCTGTCGTGCTGTCCGCGGGTCTGAGAAGCATGGTATCCCGTCTCGTTGGGTTGGAGGGGTTGACCACCGTGCCATCCCACTCGCCCATACCCTCGGCCAAGACGTACATGTTATGACCGTGAATGTGCATGGGATGGGTAACGGGTGTCAAATTGTTGACGATGACGCGAATGCTGCTCGCCGTTCCGAAATCATGCACGTTCCATTCGGTAGGATACACGAATGATGTGTTGCCCTCTGCTTTGTCTTGGGCGCGGAAGAGGGCCGGGTCGTTGTAGCATGTGCGGAAAGTCGAGTTGTCCATGGTCCAGACCAAATGGCCGGTCGAGTTGACGCCGAAGTTGATGTCAACCGAGACCTCGGTGGCGGGCGTCGCGGGTGGTGTGATTGGGAAGTATGGTGTTGTCGTTGAGAGGTCGTCGTTGGCGCATGTATCGTCTGTGATCGGCCACGCCGTGGAGTTGGGCTTGGAGTTGGTGTTGGCATTCTCGTAGTACACCATTGCATAACCAAAAGGCTGGTTGCTCAACGAGCAGTTGCTGATGACTGACCGCATCCAGACGATGTCAGATGGGCCGCCAGTAGCCTCGACAATGACATCGGCACGCTGACCAACACCCAACGTCACAATCTCTTGGGTGACGGGCTGAATGGGCACAAAGTCATATGCAATGACGGTGAGTTGATGGTTGTCAATGCTAAAGTGTTGCATGCCCTCAGCACCAGCGTTGATCAGTCGTAGTCGATATTTCTGGCCCTTGGTGAACTGGAATTTCGAGTAACCTGCGTTGGACGTGCATGTGGCGGTGCTGTTGAGCGATGAGCAGTCGAAAGACCCCTTGCCATTGATCAGGTTGTTGTCTGAGTAGGGAGCGACTTTGGTCAAATCAGTGCCCATGACTTCCGCGACGATGTCAAAGTAGTCGTCATGGTAGTAGTCGGTCAGCAAAACGGGACCCAAATCCGCGTCGTAGTCGGCATTGGTGGGACCGTGGATCACCATCGCTCCGAACAGACCTGCCGCATACTGCGCAGAGTAGTGCGCATGGTACCACGACGTTCCGTACAAATCAGCCTTGAAGCTGTATGTGAAGGATTGGCCGGGAGCAATAGGGCACTGCGTGATACCCGGCACACCGTCCTCCCATGGCGTGCCCTGCTGCAGAAGACCGTGCCAGTGAAGCGACGTGCCTTCTTCGCAATCAGTGATCAAGTTGGTGACGGTCACCTCAATTGTGTCTCCCCAGTTGGCCTCGATGGTAGGTCCGGGAAATTGTCCATTGATCACGATGACGGCCCGTTCAACTCCATCCGGTGCCATGGTCGCGCGCTCAATGACGAAGTCATAGCTTCGGACGACGCCGGTGTTGGGTGGGTTGGAGTACGGGTTGGTGTTGCCTGCAGTTCGAGATCCCCATGGATAGCTTTTGGCGACACCGGAGCTCGAGCTCGAGCTGCCAGAAGATGTTCCACTTCCACTACCGCCGCTTGAGCTGGTCCCACTGCCACTCCCACTGCTGCCATAGACACCCTTCGCACTACCAGGAGCACCGATGAATGCCGGGAACTGAGGTGCACCACCCTTGCCACCCTCCTCGATCGTTCCTAACAAAGCCTTGCCGTTGGTCTCAGCTTGAGAAAGACCCCATCTGCCCGACGGAATGTTCCATTGATACACAGGTCGTTGAAAAGGGAAGGCAGTTGGAAAGATTATATCGGAAATATGTTGTGGAAGTTTGGTAGTAAGGACTTCATATGATGATGTAGAGGAAACTTTCTTCGTCGTCGTCGTCGTCGTAGTAGTATTCGTCTGATTATGAAAAGCTGTAGTTGTCCATGAAGCACTGTAATAGGGTGTTGTGCTTGTGGTGGTACTGCTGAGGGTGCTCAGGGTACTGCTGGGGCTATAAGAAGTAGTTGTGCTCGTCGTTGTCGACCAAGTACTGTCTGCCACCGCAATTCTAGTTACAAACAACAAAACAAACAACTTGATCAGCGCAAGCGAGTGGCTGTACATCTTGAAAATGATGCAAATGAAGATCGAACCAAAAAGAAAGGCTGCCTCCCAAGCGAGTGAGAGAGGTCAGCACAACAATAAATCAACCGCACTCGAAAAGAGAAACGAGAGTAGGCCACACCTTGGAAAGTGAAGAAGGAGAGAGAAAACAGTGAGATCGACGGCCTTAGTTAGCGTCCGGGGCTCTTTTTACATAAGGAGGCAAATCTGATGCCATGCTCTCGGTGGAGCTGGAACAACAGCACCATGGTCCGTCATCCCAGCACCGAAACCAACACACAAAAGTAACCAGAAAAGCCTTTTCAGGGTTCCAGGTCTAAGCGAAAAATTGTTGTGGCTGAGGCCAGAGATACGAGGTGACCATGGTCCATGGGTCGAGTTTCAACGAAGAAACAAAAAAAGGAGGTGGAGTTTCTCAAACCATCAAAAAGTGTACCAAATCGGCCATCATGACGATCATACCCATAGCTGACCCCTGCGCACACGATGTGATTTGCGGGTTTTGGTCTGTCCTTCCTGAAAAAGACGAAAACCCCAATGGCAGCCTTTGACAGGCGTGACAAGGCTCTGTTGACAGCTCTGGGGGTTACGAACCAGACTTCTTGGAATCAATCGCTTTGTCCCTGTTTAGAGTGGCAATAATGCAACTTCCAAGACTCTTGGTACTGACAAGAGACATAGTCACGCGCCTCGAATCTTGTTGTTGGCCTTGGCCATGACTTCAACCGCGGACAAAGAAAACCTTGCAGAGGTTGTGAGGTTCAAAAAAAGACAGACTCTGTTAGTAGTTTCCGAGACAAGGGGTGCATGCGACGTTCGGTAGAGGCTGAATCAGCACTAGACGATTGGACGGAAATCGTGGCTGACGGCGGCGAAAATGGTGGCTGAAGAGGCTAAAAACAGGGACAAAGTCCCATGCCTCGAACAGGTCTAGTCATCTTCCACTTGTCTTGGATATTCATCATAAGCGAGCGGCATGATGTTTGCTGTTGGGTCAGTAAATTAGTGACGGAAGACCAGATTGTATTCTTGCGAGAAGCCATGACACCAGGCCTCTAGGGCACGCGACCCGAAGTTCCCATTGCTCAGGTGCATCTTCATGAGAGAATTGAAGTCAAAACAGGCTCTTTCTTCGGCCTTCGATTCCATGACACACAGGAACAGGAGCACTGATGAAAGTGTCAGTCAAAACGTTCTCCAAGTCCGTGGGTGGCATGGCCCAGTTGTCAGCCTCGACCGGAAGCCAGGAGATTGACATGTCCAGGGTATACAAACATCCGGATTCAGTGCTCTCCCACAGAAAATAAGGATAAAGTAGGGAGATCATTCTGCACGGATAACAGCTTAGAGTTTGTTCATGAACAAACAAACAGACCCCAGGGGTCTGTGCCGCCGGTCAGATTGTATTCTCCTTAGCGCCGCGGGGATATCGTCTTGGGGACGCCGGACCCTTGATAAGGCGGTTCAGATTAAGATTGTTTGATAGGCGAGGGAGCCTGATAACAAACACATGTCAGGAGGCGCCGAGAATCTTTTTGACCTTAGGCGTCAGCTAGGTGTAAGCTCCGGTGAACTCTCATGGACATCCAATATCAATAAACCTCCAGTATATAAACAATGGTCTTGGCTGAACAGGCTTTTACGGGGAGGCCTTGATGTCCGCAAATGATCAGGCAAACCTTGGGGTCGAACTCGTTCATGATAACGTTGGTGGATGTATAATACCCCTGAGGTACCCTGGTCACTCTCCTGCAGGTTAGCGAGTTTGCAATCATCGCTTCAGCCTTCTCAACTCAATCCATCGTAGTGGCGGATATATCAAGGCCGCCCAAGAGAATCCAACGTAGTTTCCCATGTCGGCGCCGTAATCACCGACCAGTCTGGATATAGGTCCCGTGTACCAGACCTGGGCCATGCAAAGAATGGCACCTGCCCAACCGACCAAAAATGCAATCAGCGCTGCAATCCCGAGAGGAAGCTTTCTTCGGTCGTTCCAGACATGCCAGTCATAGTTCGATAACTTTGCTTTTCTGAAGATCACAAACTCTTCAAGCAAGATTGCCACCCAGATGGCCAACCAGTATCCCATCAACGCTAGAAAGTTTGTGAAGATTACTCCAAGATTGTTGCGCCCAGCCAGCGCACAAACCGTATATATGATTGCGCCAATGGTATTCCAGATGACCCGCGGCACCTTGTCAAAGTATCGGTTGAGCATTTGAAAATCAACACCTGCTGAGTACGTCGGAGGAATCATGTTGGCAATCCCGCCGAGTGCCACGATGACCGCACAGAATTTGCCAAAATCCCCCAATGGAGAGTATGCCTCGACCAGCAATGCCCCGGAACCCGAACCACCTTGAGAGTCGGTCCAGGCATTCGAGTACAATTGTGAGGTGTTGATGCCCGATGCTATGCCCGCTCCAAGGACCAAGGTAAAGGTGAAGGAAAGGACCAATCCCAGCAATGTCATGCTGAAGATCCATGAGCGGGACGTCGTGGCCGGCCAATACACAAAGTAGTCCATCCCCAGTCCAGAATACGTAATGGCGGCAGACAGACAAAGGGAGAAAAAGGACAGACGATTGCCTATGACTGTGAGACTGTCGCCGACGCTCGGACTGGTCAGGTCAAAGTGTTTGGCCGACACGCCAAACAGGATACAAAAAACAATTAGCTGAGGTAGCCAGGCGAATCTCTCGTAGTAGTGGAAGACGGCGATCCCAAACGTTGTGACCGCCCAAGTGATGACGGCCACGATGATGATGCCCACGACCACGGACATTGATCCATTCGGAGAGACTGCCGAAAGCACCTGTCCAGCAATGATGGCCACAAGCAGAGAGTAGCCCAGCATGACGATGATGTTCAAGACAACAATCAGCTTGCTGGGATACCATCCCATGGCGTATCGTCCCCAGACCATAGTCCGGATGCCGGAAAGGGGTCCCCATGTTGCAATCCATGCCACGGGAAGAGAGCCTAGCAGGGCACCCAGTGCGGCGCAGATGGCCGAGTCGGTAAAGGACAGTCCATACACCGCTGGACCCAACATACCCAGCGTTACATTGTTCAAGGCCAAGTTGATTGAAACCCAGAGCACGAAGACCTGAAGGTAGGCAAACCACGATATGCGCTGTTTCTCATGATCCTCCACTCGTTGTATCCCACGGGTCTCAATGTTGTACTTCAATAGGGTATGTTCGAAGGATCGCAACCAAGAGGGTGTTCGACCGGTCGGGGATGAGTCAGGTTGTCTGTCGTGGCCAGACGTACGGTGCTCAGCAGCGGCCAGCGATGGCTGTGGTTGCGATGGCGGATGCGGTTGGGCCTCCGCCTTCTCGGCATCGAAGCGGTCGGCTTGGGTGGCCATGACCTTTCTCTGCGCGGATGGATAAACTGCGGATGACGAGACTAGCAAACGAGTCAGCCACCTCGTCCACAAGCAGCACATGCAACAAATATTGCGGCACTGCTGCACAAAACCGAATTTCGCCAATGTTGTAGCAGGCAAGCAGCGAGGGGCATGCACTTGCCCATGTGCACGAGGGCGTCATGGACTGCAGGAAGCGGACGAACAGGTGTTCATGCACGGCGGGACTTACCAAGAATCCAATCCTTGACTCAAGCAAGCAGTCTACCCGCCAGCTATTGGAGCGTAGTGAGTGGTATCGCGGTTGGTGACAACAGCGGTCTGGTGGCAATGAGTGGTTGAAAGAGCGGTGGAGTCGTGCTTCCCAGTCCTCCTCGCAATGATGTCGTGGAACCTTGAATGCGGGCGAGGCTTCGCGGGCACGGGTAGGACGGTGACAGGGAGGATGAGGATGGACAAAGAGTAAAGGAATCAACGAGCGTAGGTTGTGTCCATGAGTCACACCCGCCTTTGGTGTGTTGTCGTTGTCGTCAACCCCATCTTGACGGCAAGACCATGTACCGCCTTTATGTCGTAGTTGCGGCGGGAAGGGCGCAGGAAAAAAAAAAGCGAGAAAAAGGGTTCGAGTGACAAACTGGGGAGAAGATCGCAGCTGCACTATCGATAAGCGGAGTCTGGAACATTAGTTGTTCCGCGACCCAATCATATTGTCCGGATCACGAAGCTCCTTCTCTTCGTTGTTCTTTGCTTCCATTAGCAACTTCACTGCGTATCAGTCTGCCGTGATAACAACATATTACAACATGGTTAGTGGCTTCAGCCAGCTCGAAGGTACAAAGTCGGTCAAGAGCTCATGCAAGATACTGACTGCAGCTTGAGGGTTGACATCACGACCTCCATTGCTGCTCAACCACAAACTAGTTGCGGTACTCCCTGCACATGTCGTGTCTAGCCTGACCCATCACGCGCCGGTTGAGGCGACACGAAATCGGAACCAGCCTCGTGACTGGCATACGCATCGTCGCATGGTTGACAGATTGCTGAGACGTTTGAACTACCCCAAAACAACCATCCAGGATCAGTTTCGAGGGTTACTCATTAGACGAGCGCAAATGGGTATGTTATTCTGCTCATTATCCCACAAAGCTCTGTATCGTTAGCGCATCTGTCATCGCACCGTATGCCGGCCATGTCTGTCAACACCATTCATCATGGTATCATGTTCGCTGAAAAAGCAATCTCCCATCAGTTCTGTAGCCTGCGCAAACACAATAGCCCTCCCAGCGCCAGCGCTGCAAATTGTAAATGCACAAATCGTAATCTCCCGTCAACCATTTCTAAAATGATCTCTTGCATATTGTTCGCATGCCTAGTTGTGTCAGCATAAGCGTTACTCACGCAATGGACGGCATAACGAACTTTTGCTGGTTTCCCTAGCTTCTGGCCGATAGCTTTCCACTTGTTGGATTCGTATTCTTTGATGGCTTCACGAAGAGCGGCCGACTATGGACGTTAGCTGTTGACACATGCGGGTGCTGTGTTTCGGTGATAGTCGGTGCATACCTCATCTTCAGCGAAATCGGCATAGTGCATGTCCTGAACAAAGTCAACATTTCTCCTAATAAGGTTCTTGCGAGCAACCAACCTTGTACCAATGCTTCTTGACACTGCCTTCCGTCCGATTAGGGAATTGCTATGGCGAGTGAGCACGTTGAGCGAGCATCCCGGATCCCAGTTCGCTACCTTTGCAATTTCACTCCAGCTGTGACCGGCATCACGCATGTGCTTCAGCCGCTGCTCCTCTGCTTGAGTCCACGGAGTATTGGTTCGACCACGTTTCTTGGTGGTATCCTCTGTTAGCAACGCAGGAATAGATACACTCGGTGCCGTTGATGCCGGCGTCGTCGTGATTGGCAGCGTCGTTCCTGGAGGGAGAGTATTCAATTTCGGACTGTGCGAAGCCCTTCGTTTGCGTGGATTAGGAGTCAACCCGGACGATGGAGGTTGCAGAAGTTCGACATTTGGCTTGGGTGCCAGCGGTGTCTGAGGCGCCGGTACCTCTTTGTTGGCAGTATTGGGCGACGTGGTGGGTGACTGCCTTTGACGCTTTTGAGGGGGAGGGCTCCTGAGGAATAGAGTGTCAGGCCTGATCGGACGGTAGTGGTACTGTCGAGTGAGAGCTCGAAAATCTCAAGTGATATGGAGCTGAATCTCCTGGGGCGATTGTGAAATGTACCGCTCAGGAGAGAACTTACGACATAGTGACGAGATTGTATCTCGTTAGTAGAAGATGAGGGTCAGTCGAAGATGCCTTCGGGCATGGTCGACAATGTCCAGGAATGCCCCTCGGGCAAGACCAACCACACGAGCACCAGTCTCCAACAGAGGCAGGCGTGGTATTAGGGTGAGAACAACAAAGGTCGCACGACTGGTGTGGAGATGCTATGACTGAATTATCAGCGATGTCCTGGCGACTGTTCGGCGAGAAAAGCATACAAAGGCCAGGAATAGATATGCTGGACGGACCGAGGTGTGACCGGGGAAGAGGTGAAACCAGGAGGACGAAACCAATCAAGTCGATGCCACAACCTTGAGAAAGGTCTGAGAAGTGCGACTATAATGCAGGTCTTGCCAAATCCTGTTGAAATGTTTTCTCCCTCTGCTCGAAGGTGTTTTGGTCAGTAGCAAGTGAGGTATTGAGCAGCGGTGATTGAGTGGCGTGGTAACCATATGTATCAGTCTGCGATGCCCTGCAGCTGACAGACACCAACAATCGTGCAGCTTTTAGTCAATAAGATAGCTTGCAGGCTAATGTAGCCAGAAGTAGCAGGAGGGATAAAGGTAGCTGCAAGCGCGAAGGTTGTGGAAGTGTTGACGACAAAGGGTAATGCAAGTAAGTCAAGATTGGTGAGGCTTTCAGGTGGACGGGCAAAGAGGAGTCCCTCTACACAACCATGGGATCCGACAAGGGTGTGGAAGGGAAGAAAAAAGAGACCGGTCTTTTCGTTTTGTCTTCTCGGTGCTTCTGGACAGGGACGACTTGTTGTGAGAAGCACTTATCTGTCCTATTTCGTGCAAAGCATCAGGATAGTCAAACGAGGGCCATGACGGCACATGCTAGGACAGCAGTAAACTAGGGTTCAACATGGCGAGGTAGCAGAAAGAACCTAGTCGAGGATGATGGGATGGCGGAGGAGGCCAAACAGTAAGAGGGGCGCTCCTCTCTCAGCTCCGGACTTGGAATGGAGTGTGCGATACAGGGTTCGACAAGGCCTGGTTGGTGGTTTCTTCCAGGTTTGGGAGTGTCATTGTGGTCATATGGACAATCTGTAGTAGCTCCAAGTAGATACTTTGTGACCAGTACGAGAGAATGAAGTAGCGAAATAACGATCAATAAGATGATGAAGGCTAATCATCGATTGCGGGGTAGAAGCCAGCAATCCATTTAGCTGGACCGAACAGGAATGGCACCGAGCAACCAGCAGGCTTGAAAAGCCACTCAGGGTTCGCGGATCGCAAGCCTCATGCGATGGAGATGACGATGGTCGGTTGACTAGCCGTTGGTTACATGGGGTCAAAGGGGGTCCCCGAGTCCAGAGAAGACGAAAAAGAGGGGGATGCTGCTGTCCATAACAATGACCAAAAATTGCTGGCCGATTTTCTGGTGGCTTGCTCGAGTATGAAGTAATTGTGGTTGATAAATGACACAATTGTGCTCATTGTCCTTCAAACAACTCGTATTGAGCGCCCTTGATGCGCTTGCTGGCTGAGAAAGCATTGATGAAGAAGTCTTCGCTGTTGAACAGGGTGGTCGACATCAGATCGCCCCTAAGTGGTCTCATGACAAGATAGGTACAAAGCCTAAGTACCAGTACTTCCTGTCAATGTCTAGTACATGACCCAGTGAGAACTATAAAGGACACGAACTAAGGGCTTGTAAATTGAGGTGATGACGCCGTCCTTGAAGGGTTCAATCGATTCCCAGGTTGTGTCGTATCCTTATCAAATCAGTTGTATCCAATCCCCAATCTGAAGGAAAAAGGATCCTGAACTTGCAGCTAAGTACGGCAGCTTCTGTTAGGTGCTTTCTCGAAGCCGCTCTAACGATTGTTCCAAGCAACTATCAAGGTCACTGTGACATCGGAAGAACATCGGCAGCCCTTGGCAGTGCTAGTGCTAGTATCGAGATGCAGCTGGTCAGGTTGGATCGACGCTGTCTCTCGTGTCACTCCTTGTTGTCATATTCCCAAACGATGATAGTTCTCCCTGGGCGACGTGAAGAGTCCTTCAAGGAAGTATCGCCTTGTTCGTTATTGGTCCGCCTTCCCACAGTTTCATCGCTTGCATACGCCAGATATAGAAATGTGAGTAGAAAAAGAACGTGGAGACTCTGGAGAGCGTATTCGGAGAGCCGGATTGACGGGGATGGAGACATGGTGGTTGACATTTGCGTCACTCCAAGTACCAGTACCTGATGTACTGTCCACCTCCTATCGCTGACCATCCCAACTCCCGTGGAAGCTTTGGTGCCACTTCTTTCCTCAGTACTGCCGGATGACATCTTGCAAGGGTAAAGGTAACCACCCAGCAAGCCTGTTCCTAGAAAAAGTGGCACAGTCTGACATGAAGTACACCGAGGATAGAAGTTCAAGGTCCAGCAATTTCGCAGGCCGGCGTCTGTCCTGACTCCAACATCGTAGGCGTGTAAGGTAGAGCCGAGGCCCTTCCCTCTGGCAGAGACCAATGCTATCCTCCTATGTGGGAATGACTTCTATATGAAAATAATAAATGCTTGCCAGGTACTTCTTGTTGCAGCCTCTTCGGTTGTCACTGCAATTGGGGCCGCTCCTCGTACCCGGGAACCGAGGCAAATAGTGGACGGTCCCTGATTGATCGACCACCATTTCACAGGCACGAACAGTGATTTTCCTTCCCATGTGAGGATTTTCGCTTTCATGCATATCTTCGTGCGGCCGATTTTAGAGCAACAATGGCCCCGTCGTGTCGATATACCTCCCACGACCATCCCTATGATGACGTCCGATAAGGTATTTCAAGGTCTTCACGGATCTGTTGCCTTAGCAGACACCATTCTTTTTCTGACCTTTATCTCTTTGCGGCTCGCGCAAATTGATGCCGCCTTTGTTGGTGGTGCATTTGGAAGCCGCTTGCAGAACAAGAAATTTAGTTTCATGCTCGACTGCTGGTTTCAAGGCTTCCTGCGATGTTCAGCCAATGATGTTTTCCTGGAAAAGGTCAGCATATCGGAAGATGAGGATCGTGTCGACGGGTGTGAAGAGTACCTCCTGTGACAGTCTCGGCTTATGTCTGCTCAATCTCAGAATTACTCGCCCGCGGCCAAGCTGGCTCCGATCCTCTACCAGATGGACTTTGCTTGCAGTATGGGTGCTCATAGCATCCTGGAACACTCGAGCATAGGCAAGTACTTGCTCCCGTCCGTTGACGAAAGACTCGCGATCACACCATTCGCCGAGAAATGAGTTTCGCCATGTGTCCGCCCGACACCGCAATTCAAGACTGCTCCACTGAGTCGTATCTTCCGGGTCCAGTCGAAGATCTTCAGGATAGAAATGTTTCAGCAGGTCGCAATCCACTTCCCAGATCAACTGTTTAATGAAGAGCGCGCATGGGTGACCATTCGTTATCGTGGTCGGCAGCTTTCCGGCAAAAACATGGTTCAGGACATGGAAGGTCGTGTTGGCATAAAGAACCGGTCGTGCTTCAATCAATACCGATTTATTGACCCGCAGAAATTGAGACGATCTCTGAGCATGTATCTGGAAAGTGCTGTTATGAGGCAACATGCAAGAACTGGTGTCCCCATTCTTCACCTTCACCACCGCCTTCCCCCTGCCAAACACTAGTCCATAGATCTCCAACCGGATCTCAAGAGGAAGGGCGAAGAAGTTAGGCGCCATTGATGATCTCTTCGTTCAAGAACCTTTTGCTCAGGTTGATCGGGTTGTTTGGTTTCGACGCGTGGAATTATCCGTTTCCTTGGTCTCTTTTGATTTTCAACAACCTTTCGGACAGCTGCTGAGTTGTACAGAAGACAGAAGAATCAGAAACGCGGAACGGTAAGAAGGCGCACGAGAAACGATCTCACCGTTACATACTCCTGGGGAGTTTCGCAAAATTCGACAATTTATTGTCCAAGGGTGGGCCATTATCAGCGCCCAACGTTTCGGAAGGCACGGGCGATGGATCCCCATAACGGATAGATACAACCGTGCGCTGAAAAAAATGTTCAGCCTTACGGGAGAAGTGTCGGAGATGACATCTGGTCCAATCTTAGTCCCATGATCGTGGTGGCTGACAAAGAAGAGTCGTCAATAAATGTCGGTACTTGGTGCCGGCGACCATACAATCCTCGTTTGCAACGACCTTAACTCCGTATGATTGTCTCTCCAGAAGCCATCTTTGTTCATTGCAGCTTTGTAGCTTTGTAATAGTGTCCAGACTGACGAAAATACGATGTTACCATGAATAAAATGTTGAAGCGATAAGGGTCCCCCCAAAACTCGCGCCTAGCAAGGCTTAGATAAGAGAGTACCCGCATTCGCCGCTCAAGAGACATGACTGCAGGTGTGTGGCGGCAGTAGATATAAGCTGAGTACTGACATGTCACAGGGCTGTGAAAGCCGCTGCAATGCTTCGAATGCTCAGCACTGGTCCTTGAACACGGCCGAGAGCGTGTCAGCGAATTGAATGTCTGGCATGTCCATACTTGCGTTCTTTTTCCGATCCATACGCTTTCCTTGTTGGGATACGCATATACCAGTCAGCCGCACACGAGGGCTCAACCTGTCAGTCATGCTTTGTTGGCCAGTTTCTTCGTGTTGACTCCAGCTGAGGCCGCATGGAAGCCTGTACAACTCCTGAAGGGCTAGATCCCGGCCTATTGACACGTAACTTGGCCGTCACGAATACTGAATTATACAAGATGTAGGGGTTGGTGGCATTTATTTGCTGGTGACTGCTCATTTCCCCCATTATTTGACAGTAGGATGTGCTTAAGGATTCAACCTTGTGTAACGTCCTCGCCGACCACGCTCTCTGACAAGCCTGCGCCTTCTTCCTCGACCAGAAGAGCGCTTTGTATGGCCGGAGTGGTGGTGGCAACTGTCGTGGTTGTGCCCAATAGCTGTTGCTGAACGCTTCCGACAAGGCTGCTGATAGATGAGGCTGTGACTTCCAAGAGTGGTGCAGCAGACGACGATTGTGTACTGATTGGCACCGTGACAGGTGATGTCGAGAAGTCGATGGCTGTTGAAAAGATGGTGGTTGTCGCGACCTCGGTTGACAGCGCTGGTATAGGCTCATAAGAGGAGGCCTTTCCTGTCACCGACGTCTCCCTCCCTTGCAGCGCCAGAAACAATATCAGACAACTCAGAAAACCGATCAGGAGATTCTTGCTGTCGTGACGAAAGCGCCGGATACATGCCAACACCAGGGTCGTTAGGTCTTGCTCCACGACGCTTTTTGTCGGTGTGGCTTGAGGAGGATCAGGGTGCTGTCCTGGGCTCTCGGCAAAACCATCAATTTCGGACCGACTTTTGTGCCTGTTGACATCCCCGTAAACTTCTCTGTCGCGAGAATTTTGGATTTCTGGCTCATATGGATCTTGATTCAGGTCGCAATCTGACAGTTCGGACGGTGCAGACGTGTCGATCAGAGCGAGTTTTGCTTCCAGATCTCGTCTCACTTCTTCTGGCAACCACACTTTGACTTCTACATCGACCTTTTCCATCTCTTGCCAGGCAGCTTCCCAGGCTCCTGCCCGCATCAGACCATTGGCAGCAAAGACTTTCACCTCCCATTTGCGTGAGTCTGTGTCGGGAGGTACCCGTCTCCCACAGTCGGGACATTTTGAGCCCTCAATTTCCACTTCTTCCTCTGTCACGCTACCACTTTCGAAGCCACTATCGGCGCTGTTTGCGTCACTAGGATAATAGTGATTGTGACGGATGCGAGGGGTTTCCAGGTCCAGACTCTCGAGTAAACGCTCTTCAAGGAGTTCGTAATCTTCCTTCGGATGTGGAATCAGTATTCCGCGGGTCCTGACCTCGACGTCTTCCACCAGTTTATTGTGCAGGGTTATCCACCTCTTTTTGTACTCCTCTGGAAGCAATTCTTGAATGAGTGCATCTTCATGCGCCGTTGACTGAGATAGAAGAGTTGGTGGCAGCAGTGTGCAATGTAGTAGGACCAGAGGGAACTCTTTTCTGAGATTGCTGCTTGGCTTTGAGGATGATGCTCGATGGGATCGACTCGATCGCTTCGTGGGAGACGTGTGTGCGGAGTGCAAACTTCTTTGGCTGTAAGAGGACATTACTGATCCCTCACGCCGGTGCCTTAGCACACTTTGTGTATCACTCATCACCTCATCATTCATTTGTAGAGCTTTGACGCTGCTGGGATGCCGAAAGACAGAACGATATTCTCGCGCGCTTCGGGGAGATGCGACCGCGTGATCGGTGTCGCCGAATCTAGGTGAGGTATATGATTCCATGGAATCGCGCTTCGTGGGCGTTCTTAGGCTGCCATATTGACTCTGCCTCGAAGGCGCCTGATGCTGGATTACTGAGGCTGGAAACGATGATATTGATGAGCAGCCAGAGATCCGTCTGGCATCATCTGCCAAATCGTCCTCTTCTTGGCTGGTCGCATCATGTCCATCTGCTTCAGTATCAGTGGCCTCCTCCTGGTAGTCTCTAGTCGAGAAATTGTAGTCGTAGGACTGTGATGGGTCAAGCGGGTGAGACGCGGACGCGCGTGGAGAACGCAACAATGGCTCCTGCCGCAGAGAAAGCGGAGAAGAATGCTGGAAGGCAAGTCCCTCCACGTTGATGACAGGTGATGATTCCGACATGTCAAGTAAAGGTCAATGTAGACCGTGCAGAACCTTGAGGTGATGGGCCGATGCGCAAAGCACAAGCAATATCTGGGAGTTCCGTGCTGCAAAACAATCTTGTGCTCATCTAAAGGACCACGCCCACGGCCACGGGTCAAATATACAAAATGGTTGTTAGGGGCAACCACCAACCCATGGTAGCTTTTTTGCCCTGAATATCATAATCTATCGCTAAGATTACTGTGCCAAACTAGATCATCGGACTGAAGATTCGCTGTTGGATCAGTGTGTTCTTCCGCTTCGCAGAAGGATGTGACAGCACGACTTGTGTTGCTCATATGCTACAAGATCTAACGCCTATTCAAGATGTGTAAGTTGACATGTCGCCGCCGTCTTCGGAGGCAAAGGCCCCGGAGCTATGTGGAGAGTGATCGACAACGCAGACCGGTGCAGCTCCGTCTACATCGTTCTCCAGGTCGCATTGGGCTCCATGTGAGTTGTCGGAAACTATTGCTTGATGATCGACAGCCGCGAAAAAGAGGTAAGCAGAAACAAGCGCTATCGACTAGAATTGTAGTAGAGACAAGGTCACTATGCCGTCACCACTAACGGTGGAAGGCCTCCTTGCGAAGGACATCCATGAAAAGATTGAGCAACTCATCAACAACCTGATCAGCATCAAAGATGAGACAGGTCATTTCCTGCAGAGACTGCCCGATGGCCGTGTCATTGACACAAAAGGATGGAACGGCTGGGAATGGACTCACGGCATAGGTCTGTACGGGCTGTATCAGTACCACGCTCTGACCTCTTCGTCGACTGTCCTGAAAATGATCCAGGACTGGTTCTCGGCGCGGCTGGCCGAGGGCACCACCAAGAACATCAACACGATGGCAGCGCTCCTGACCCTTGCATCCATCTATGAGGAGACCGGCGGGCGGGGCTACCTCCCTTGGCTGGACTCTTGGGCGGAATGGGCCATGTACGATCTGCCGCGGACGACGTTCGGGGGTATGCAACATATCACGTACGCTGACCAGAATCACAATCAGCTCTGGGATGACACTCTCATGATGACGGTCATGCCTTTAGCGAAATCGGCAAACTGCTGAACCGGCCGCACTATGTTGAGGAGGCTAAACGACAATTCCTCCTGCACATCCAGTACCTTTACGACCCTCAGACAGGCCTATTCTTCCATGGCTGGCAATTTGACGACAGTGCTTCGGGCGGCGTGGGGCACAACTTTGCTCGTGCCAGATGGGCTCGCGGAAACAGTTGGATGACGATTGCAATTCCAGACTTTATCGAGCTGCTTGATCTACCGCCCAACGACGGTCTGAGGATGTACCTTGTCAGTGTCCTCCAGGCACAGTGCCAGACTCTGCGGGCTCTGCAGACACCTGAGGGCACGTGGAGAACGTTGCTTGACGTATCAGAGGCCGAGGGGAGCTATCAGGAAGCCTCGGCGACGGCAGGATTTGCTTATGGCCTATTGAAGGCAGTGCGAAAACGATATATCGCGAAAGATTATACGAATGTTGCGTTTCAGGCAGTCAAGGCTGTCCTACAACGCATCAATCAGGATGGAGAGCTCATGGACGTCAGTTTTGGGACGAGCATGGGCCGAGATCTCAAGCATTATCTTGACATCGAGAGGACGAGTATGCCGTATGGCCAAGCGATGGCGATTATGGCATTGGTCGAGTTCATCCGGGTGTTCGTCTAATATTCATCCGGCATTGCCACCGCCTTACAAGAGTTGCGCGCTCTTGAGGATCAAGTACTCATCCATACCAATATATATGAAAGAGTCCCTCATAACTATCGCGTTGCCTCGTCCGTTTGATCCGGGTGCTCTCCTCGATTCAGACAATACCACCTTTTGCATAACCCCCTACGTACAATGATCTGTCCGAAATATCTCTGTTGTATAATGTGCCCATTTCGCACATATAGACACATATGTACAGTACATAGCTTCTACAGCCGCCCTCTCGACAAGAGAGAACCGCCATCGGTCGTTATCACGGCACCATTGATATGTGACGATGCCCGACTCGACAAAAAGACGACCAGGCCAGCAATATCCTCTGGATGGCCCAATCTCCTGTTTGGTACTTCGGCTGCCAAAGCCTCTGAGCCGCCCTCCAGCTCCATCAATCCCGAGGCCATCTTTGTGGGGTAAAATCCTGGAGCGATAGCATTTGTGAGGATCCCTCGTGGTCCCAACTCCACAGCAAGATTCTTCGCCAAGTGCAGTACAGCCGCCTTGCTTGCAGAATAAGAGAAAGTTGCGTTCTTTCCGAGTGTGCCTACACCGAGACCAGCAACGCTCGCCGTGACAATGATTCTGCTGGGATTGTTTACAGACGCTCTTTTGCTCAGAAGAGGCTCAAATTTCTGGCAGGTATAGAAAACACTCTTGACATTCAGATCCATGACCTTGCTGAAGGCGCTCTCGGGGTGTGTCTCGAAGGGCGCACCCCAGGATGCGCCGGCATTGGCGAACAGGATATCGACGTGGTCGGTCGTCTTGGCCACTTCGGCTGCTAGGCGCTCGATTTCGGAGATCTTGGACGAGTCGGCAGGGACGGAGATGGCTTCGGCACCGGGTCTTTTGTTGGGAAGGGCATTCAGGGCGGCGATGGCCTCTTCGCAGGCTTTGGCTTTCCGGGATGTGATGTAGACTTTGGAGCAGCCTGCTTGCATGAACCTGTTGAATGTCAGAGGTAGGCGCGAGCAGATAATCAGAGATGTTTCCACGTACCCTGAGGCAACGTGCAGACCTAAACCTCTCGAACCTCCAGTCACAACAGCGACTTTGCCCTCCAGGCTGAAGATGGAGCCGAAGTCCTGCAGTTGGACATCCTGCTGAGCGCTTCCCATCTTGCTGGCGGTCGCAGCAGCTATGTTAGTGGCAGACTCAGAAAACTAATCAGAGACTGGGATATCCTTCGATGTCAAGAGTAGGGATTTATTCAACTGTTATATCATCAAGACAGCCGATACTTTTCCACAGGCATGATGGAATTACTGATCTACACGAGATCAGTCTGGAGAGAGATGCCCGCATGCAGAAAAGCCGAGGTTCATGTCGACTCCCCGAATAAGGCATAAATAAGCGCTTCATCCTCTTACTATCAATCAACAACTCGATAACAGCTTACATCAATAAATGAGTCGCTATCCCTATGCCAGAAGCCTCCTGAAGGAGAATAGACTCCCTATACTCGCATCAATGACACAGTTTGAGGTTCATGAAACCCCGGCAAATATCCTGTGAACAGCCATCTTAGTCATACTGGTAAATCCGTCTCACCGGAGGAATGCTCCTACTTGGACAAGCGGCCAGGTAAACGACAGGCGAGGAGCTCCAGCTTGCAGACAGGAAGAGGCAACATGCGTACCTCATACTAAGTCAGATTGCGAGAGGCGGTCCGCCGGGGCACATGTCACGAAATATACAGTATCTGGACATTGAAACTCAAAACGTTCAGCCGCATTCAGGCAACCCATTTGAGATAAGTATAAATACTTGTTGAGCTCTCATCTACGCCCCTTCCAGCATGTAGAAACTTGTACACGACAGGTAAAGAATCTCAGCAAGCGGGAGGACCAGTGCTACTACATAATGACCGATCAGCCAGCCGGGAGATTCGAAGTCGATCCCGAGCTGAAGGGGGTATGAGATTCGACATCTTCTCGACCTCAGCCACTGACAAACGAACGTCTAGATATGGAAGAAATATGGCGAACCCAAATTCTTCTTTCCGAGAGTCGAAGATATGGCTGGATCGCGTCGCCTGCATGCCATGGGAAACACGCGATTCATGAAGAGCGCATTTGTCAAAGAGACCTTGGGCAACACCTCGCCACCTCCTTGGACAGAAGAAGACAGACCCATTGTCGTCCGTGATGGAAGTTCTATTAAGGTCCGCATCTACCGCCCCAGAGAGAACTCTACCGGCCGTCCAGTGATGGTCGTCGCCCACAGCGGAGGCTGGTGTCTTGGAGGTCTCGAAACGGAAGAGTTTATCTGCCAACTGTTGTGCCTGAGACTCAATATGGTCGTCGTCAACGTGGCTTACCGTTTATCGCCCGACGTGTCGTATCCCACGCACGTCTTTGACGTTTACGATACCATTAAGTGGGTTGCCGTCAATGCTCAGAGCATCGGCGGTGAGCTCTCTAAAGGCTTCCTCACCTGTGGTGTGTCCGCTGGTGGAAATCTAACAAATATGTGTTCAATCCTGGCAAGAGACGAAGGACTACGACCCAACCTCACAGGTCACGTCTACATTTGTACCGGCTTCCCACACGATTACCGGGATCAGAATGGCAATATAAGTCAACTGTTTCCGGAACAATTTCAATCGCCATCCGGGAGCTGGGAAATGTACAAAGACGGACCTGTGGCAAATCGAGCGATGAACGGATTCTATGCAGGTATGTTGACCAGTCTGTCCCGTTGTTTCGCAGATCTCTGATTCTTCTTCTCTAGACTTGGCGAAATGCGATGCCTCCTCTCCACTATTCTCCCCGTTTACTCAGAAAGACTTTTCAGGATTGGGACCTGTCTACTTCCAGGTCGCAGGAATGGACTTGTGGAAAGACACTTCACCTTTCTACTGCGACTTGATCGAACAGGCTGGTGGTAGAACGAAGATTGATGTCTACCCTGGCGTGCCACATCTGTGGTATTCAATCTATCCCCAGCTGTCAATCAACAAGAAATGGGCTCGAGATTTGGTCGACGGTGTCGAATGGCTGCTCAAGCAGAAATCAGAAGCTCAAATCTCTTCGCGACTTTGATAAAGAGCGCCTTAATCCGGATGGAGTCCTGACAGCCATGCTACTGTACTTGGTTTGACCATCATCAGATCATCAATTTGGAAATGCACACTCCTAAAGCGTTCAGTCTTTTCAATATCCTTCCCTCGTAGCCTCGTTTTCTCAGTTTTGACCAACAGTGCGAGCTCTACCATCCTTTCCTCCGCAGCTTCCTCTTTGCATTCGTCTTGGAGCACATTCCTCGGCCGTTGTCCCTTTGGACAACCATCGTTCGACCCCTTCAGTACAGGCGATAGCTTCGTCTAGATGGCTTCATCCAGATGGCTTTGTCCAGATAGCTTCGTCCAATCGATCTCGTAAACTTCGTCCAGTCTCATCACCTACCGTCTACTTGGAATCGTCGCCACAAGCACCGCACCTCCCTTCCCGAAGTTTAGTACTAGATGGTAAACTCCAACCTATTCCCCGCAAAGTCTCTCGCAAAGAACCGTTCAGGATACTCGACGCCCTGTTCACCTACATACCACCTCGACGTCAGCCGATTCTCCCATGAGCAACACCACACCTTCCACTGTCAAGCCACTGTCAAGCAGAATCGGAGCGGCTTGAGTACGCACCACTATTTTTCCCGCCAGGCTTATCCGCCGCCTTTGGCGCCGCATCCCCTCCACGCTCGTAGTGCTCCCATATCCGTTGACGAACCTCAAGCAGCGCCTGCACACTCTCAAGCTTAAAGCAAGGATGTCGCCCGGAGCTCTTCTCGAAATCACTGCTCGGTCCAGGCGCGACATGCACTTGCTGGCCGGAGCTACCGATGTCGAACCACGCCAGCCGACCCCGCTGCTGTGAAGGGACAGCACGCGGCGTTAGACCTAATGTCTCGCCATAGAACTCAGACGCCAAGTGTAGTGTGTTCTCCGGGACGGTGAGGTTGACGTGTGCTATGCCGGCGATCATGATTGTAATTCCACTTGATTATGAGTGCTGTGTTGAGTTCGCCGAAGGATGAGGAGAGGGGAGATATTGTACAGTAGTTGATGTCTTAATATCGGTAACGGGTGCCGATTGACCCCGCAAGGCCGCCGAAACTTACCTTATCCCAGGCACGCCAGGCAACCAGACTAGAAGGCTGAAGCACGCCAATGGGGACGGATATAAATATACCCGACGCGAGACCTCTTTGCTGACCGGTCTGGAGCTCGCGATTCCTTACGCGGTACGCATTGTGTCCAGCCTTACATGCGCAAATCAAAGGGTGGTGATGGTGACGCCCCGGCCACATCAGCTGTAGCGAATCAACATATACACGTACCTCCAAGGATCACAGGCATAGGAAATACGCCTGAAGCTGGAACCCTACCTAGGTACTGTATCGCCAGCACACCGCCAACAGACGACACAGGCACACAACTGTGTAGGCGAGATAATTGAGGCGAGGGGCAATGGTCCTTTTGTGTAACCACCCAAAACGACTGTCCCGTACAGGACAACATCACCTCGGCTGAACATCTATACCGCCATCTAATCACCCATCACGCCAGCGCACCAGGTCTGATATCCAGCGTCTTCTCAAAAGTAGATTGAAGACTGTCATCAATAGACGCCAGTGAGCTGTACCAGCAGCACCGAATAGTCTCTTCACATATCCCGTCATTATGCTCGACTCCACCACATTACGGTCCATTCCAACACCATCCGTCATCCAAACCCTTCTGGCGGTACCCTTCGTCCTCATCACAATCAGCCTGCTAACATGGTTAACGACAACAATCAACTGGTACCACTCCATATCACAATTCAAATCACGAACAAAATACCCATCATCAACACTCAAACCAATCGCACCACCTCTCCTACCGTACGCCATCCCATGGCTAGGCAGTGCCCTGACCTTCCTCAACGAAAACCCAGGCTCCTTCTGGCGTATGCTCCGCGCCAAACTTGCCAGCACAGGAACAAACATGCAAGTCTGCACGATACTGCTCGGCGGCCAGAAAGCTCACGTGGTCAACTCAGCGGCGGCCGTCCAAGCGCTGTTCAAAAGTAAAACCGTCTCGCGCGACCTTTTCAACCGTCAAATCGCCATACAGGGGCTCGGCACGTCCAAGGCAGACGCCGACATCATGTTCCCGTCGGCGCCGACATCCGGTCACATCGACAGTAAGGTTGATACCATGGATGCACTCAACCACGAGTTCCTGCTCAGTCAGAGCGCCGCAAACTCTCTAATGAGCAAGTTCATGGACTTTTTCCGGTCATCGCTAGACAATGTCGACTTGGACAGCAAGGAGTGGAAGCAAGTCGACCTACTCGCATGGTGGAAGAAGGTCATGTTCAACGCCTCGACTGGCGCGGTACTGGGAACAAAAATCCTCGAAATGAACCCAAACCTCGCCGATCAGTTTTGGGAGTACGATGCGGGATTTCTGGCGCGCTTTTATGGTTTGCCCAGGTTCATCAAACCGAGGGCGTATGCCTGTCTGGATGAGATGCTGGACAAAACGGAAGCTTGGGTCGAATATGTGCTTGCCGAGCACGGCGGTGACCCCCCCGAGGAGCCGGACTGGGAACCACTGATGGGATCAAAAGTCGTGCGAGCGAGGCATCGCTATTACAACAGAGAAGGCTTGAGTTCCAGAGGCAGGGCCGCTTTTGATCTCGGGTTGCTCTTCGGCCTCCAATCAAATGTTATACCTATCACCAGCTGGATACTGGCTCATCTCCTTTCCCCTCTGACACCGGCCGACGTGCTGGTTAGAGTGCAGGAGGAGATTGGGAGCGCAAGAAGGCCGGACAACGAGGTGGATATTTCCATTCTTGTGGCTCAGCCGTTATTGAATTCCATTGTGCACGAAACTCTGAGACATTATGTTGATGCGCTGGTGACGCGTCAATTGAAAGTGGACATGGTTCTTGACGGTTACCTATTGAAGAAGGACGACTTGGTGATGGCTCCGAGCTCCTTAAGTCAGCATGACCCCCAATTCTGGGAACAAGATACCGAGCCTCCAGCTGATGCATGGTATGCGGAGAGGTTTCTGAAACAAGATCCAACCACGGGGAAGCAGACGTTCAGCACTTCTTGGACCGCCGGGAAATTCTTTCCGTTCGGTGGAGGCACTCATGTTTGTCCTGGTCGGATCTTTGCCAAACAAGAGATTCTTGGAGCACTTGCGACCTTGCTGCTCAAGTTTGATCTTCGATTTGTGGAGTATTTGGGTACGGACAAGAACGGAAGCGTGGTGAGTTTAGGGAAAGGGGCTGCTGGCTTTCCCAAGGTGAGGAAGCAGTATGCCGGCAATGGAACTTTGAGTATGGATGGAGACATTCGTGTGCAAATGAGAGCACGCTGATCGGGAGGAAACTGAGAGTTCCCAGCCCATTTACTGGAATCATGAGACCGCCATTGTCGCTGTGAGACACCATGCTGTCAAGTTTGCATTTAAAGGTCACCGGAGTATCAGCAGCCGTCTTTATTCTCTACAAAACGTCTCGGATTAAGCGTTCAAGCGGATGTTTACTGGACATTGCCGCACGGGAGCTGCCTCGTTGGACAAGGTTCATGTGTAAATTCCTTTTTTGATTGCGGAAATGCATTGACGGTCGATCTTGAACAAAAAATGAGTGACTGCAGCAAACTGGTGAAACAGGGAGCATGGGGCAGATGGCTGGGGTGTTGATCAGTTGACTGAACGAGATATCTACGAGTTGCCAATGGCGTCATTGTGCTTCAAGAGGCCGTGACAGCCAGGAGTTCGTCCGGGCGGCAACATGAGACTGTCTGGGGGTGTTGTTGCCGTATTTCGCTGTGCAAGTTGCCAGGTCTATTACGAAGTCGGCGATGAGGTACACAGTACTCAAACTCTGGTGAAGCATGCCGTTAGTAAAGAATTGAGGCTGGGTGTGTGTCGTCACTGAACCCCTTCTTGTGACCCTTGTTGTGACCCTAGATTCGGAGCTTTTGGGGGAACAAAAGATCTGGGTTTGACGCAGGGTCCACGGTTCGAAATCCGAATAAAACATGTCCCTGCATAGAATCTCTCCACGATACCGCGTATCTGTTTGACAGGGAGGCTGGCATCAACGATGACCCTGCTGACGATATGGGTGACATCGAGTCTTCTCTGATGCTAGGAAGCATCGTCATTGTGGTGGCGGAAGAATGAAACTGTAGTTGTGTTGGGCATCAGCTTCATTAAGCAAGAATCCCGCGTCACGGTTTTCACTGGACACCGGCTCCTCTATCAGGCAGAGTCTCCATCAGCATTTGCCTCAGAGCAGAGGACAGAATCCACACACGCCCAGCAACCAGGATGATGATCTTCCAGTTGGACAGTACCACAGTACCTCCACTTGAGAAGCCAGGCGTCTCTTGAAAGCCTTGCTGCTTCGAAATACTCGTAGCAGGACGGAGATATAATGACGGTATGAGCAGAAGGCTGGGGGACTATCTTGACTTTTCTCCCCGGTGATAGTTACTGTCATTGCAGTTCTGCTCGGCACCAGTATGCTGAAATCAAGGCAAAGTAAGGCTCGAGACACGGGAACAACGGTCAGCGGCGTCTCGTTGGTCAACGCGAAGGGGCTGTTGCTGGAGGAATTTGTGGTTCGGGATTACTGGGACCGATGATAATCATCTGAACATGATATGGAGTATGTTGGTTGGATGAAGACAGTGGGATGTGGTTGTAGATCTGAATGATCAGCGACGTCAACATGCATGACCTGCACCGGAGGAATTTTGCCTGCACCCACTCTGTGGCCCTTCTGTGCCTACCAGAAGTCACAAGAGGCTCTTTAGGCGTTTAAGCCCCCACAGTTTAGGCTTGAATGGGCGTGGATAGGGAGCCTTGGCCATCCTCTTAGCAGGCTGGGTACCGTGATACACGTAGCCTTCATCTCTCTGATTGATTGCGATAATCCGACTATCCGGTCTGCCGCTCAACTACTGGCCCCTACCACAGCAAGTGGCCTTGGACGCCGTCATTATTGTGTTGTTGTTTTCGCCGCTCATGCTACCTGACCTCGTGGCAACGCCCAAGTTGTACCAACACCGACAGCCTTGCGCCACCAAAACTCTCCTTGTGAAACATTGAGAAGAGGAGGGCCATACAATCATCGACGACGTCAAAGGAGCAGAAACCTCGAGGAGCCACTGAAACAACACCCTTTCCTTTCGACATTCCACCCTGCGATGAAACCCACTGCCCTATCGAAACCGTCTCATCAGATCCTCAACAATCCACAAGTCAAAGGCCTTCGTTGATGTCGATCAAGATCCAGTAGAACCTCCTACTGCACGACGTCAACTTCGCTGCTCGCTGGTCAGTGTATCCACTATCACAAGAGCCTGCTCCAACTGCTGGCGGAAGAGGAAAGTTGACCGTACGACCGTCCTAGAAGAACCTATCTTGGGATCCTGGTGGACAAGCAGACTCCAACATTCGCCCTGTCAAGCAGAATCCATCACGATTAATCCTGAATTTTCCGGCGATCATCTCAAAACAAGCGAATAAACCAAAATCATACTCCACACTTCTCTGGCGTTGACGGAACTCTCCCTGGGACCCTCCCTCTCCCTGGCAAAAGCTTCAGGGAAGGTGACCCTTCCCTGCGGTACCCAACCCTTTCCATTCCCCTCTCTCGCCAAGGGTCATTACCCTTCGAATACTCGTTCACACCACTTTACTCGACGTTCTCTTTTCCTCCCCTTATACAGGGCAACAAGTTACACGCCTGGGTAGCTAATACCAGTCACTAACGAGGTGCTTCCTCGTCAAATGCGGGAGCGGAATCCTTCGTAGCACCACTACGTGGACACAGGCCAGTGCGCTCAGCCAGCCTGCGCAGGAAAAGGCCAATGCGCCGTTGGACCTTGACCAAAACTTGGAAAACAAGCAGGACCGTTGGAACACAGAAGACTTCGAGAATCGTCAACAGCAAACACAAACCTTCTCATCATATGCCTACGATTGCGGTGTTTTAACCACAACATACCTCATGACTTCGCGAGACTCGATAGACGTCTCCATCCGACCCTCAATATCTCCTTCAATATCAAGCGCTTCCTCTTCTTCTTCCGAATCCGACAGCTCCCTACCCCAAACTTCTCCCAGATCTCAACCGCGGCGGTCGCGTATGGACAGGCCCAGAATAGGGGAAAGACAGCGTTCGAACACGATCATCGTACCCAAAAGTCAATACGTTGCTCCGAGAGAAATGCCACAATATCCCCCAGACGACGCGAGAGCAATGAGTCCCAGAAGAAACAGCGAAGACATTGAGAGGTTGGAACGAGGTGTTCGAGAAAGCCTGAAAGAGTATGAATGTCCGTTACCGTTTCCGTTGTTCCCAGGACTAACTCTGTCACTTTAGGCAAGCTCGAAGTTTACAGTCTTCTCTTGCAGCATTGGCGGAAAAGATTGACGAGGTCAAGAACGACCACGACAAGCTGGAAAACGAGAACCGCTTCCTCCAGGACTACATTGGCGGCTTGACGAGAACCATGTCAAGAGACAACCTTGGCAGAAGTGCGAGCACCAGGAAAGGCAGACGATGATCGACTCACGAATCCACCTCGCCTTTTCGCATCTTTACCGCGGCGCGGTTCCAACTCGTACATCCTAGCTGTCTACCTCAAGAACACGCCTGAGGTACCTAGGTCGGGGGCGTTCTGATGTCGTTCATTTTCTACGAAACCTTTATGATACCCTTGCATCGGATACTGGCGCTCTACACAAAGCATTGCTACAACATAATACCATCGTCATTGGCCTGAACGACAAATCATCGGCATCGCTTATTCGAGCACTCATTCATTTCTTCGTCTAATTTCATATGGGAGCTGGTTCGCTTGATCTATGGATCTTCTTGTACAATTACAGAGGCTACTGGTCTCACTGGCGTCTTTTGGGTTTGTTTTCCATGGGGAAAAAGGTTATGAGCAAGAGGCGCTGCTACGGTCAGCACATGGGCCTACTCTACGTTACTGAAGCAAGAGCTAGTCTAGCTATGTGAAGATACAAGTGGACTGAAGAGTGTTGGCATGACAATAGTCTGTCGACCTCACACCACAACCTCATCATAGATGAATTGCACAATCTGCATTCTATCCACATTCATTCGCTCAGAGGGCTTTCTGTTTTAGCTTGTTGTTTGGTTCCAGGCCTTGCATTCCTTGGTTACCTTTAGTGTTGCCAACGAGGTCGGAGTTACTTGCCGAGGGCGCCCATCGACGATGGAATGAAAAGCTTACTGGCGACCCGTCCACCAGGCAAGGCTGTCAGACCACCAATCGATGACATCGACATTGGACTTAGGCGAGCCCGTGCTCCTGGACACGAGATCTGTCAAGCTTTGGCACGAGGCCGCCAGTGCCGCCGAAAGCTCGGGAAAAGGCTATAGTTGGTCTGTAGTAATGCTGTCATTGTTTGTCTTCTCCGCCTCGCTTAGCTACCCGACGTGCCGTTGATTAACTTGAAATGGTACTGGGTTGTGCCTCTAACAACTACTCACCGCAGTAGTATGGAATGATCTCGCTGGAGGAAATACGAGTACTGCATGCACCACACCAAACAAGATGTTTCTCATTTCCTACGAGTTTCTCAGCAAGCTCTTTGTGCTAGCAACCCGAAAATCGTGCTTGCCTGTGGTGGAGCGGTCACCTGTCAGACCTAAACTCTCGTTGTCTTCCTGGAAGACGGGAATCCAGCTTTGTCCAAAGACTCAAATTGCTGGCGCTGGCACATGGTCAAGAGGTGACAAATACTGCCCAAAGGAGAACTCCCCGTACTTTTTTCCGTCTACAACGAGATTAGACATCATGCTTTGAGGGTGTTCATGTCCACAGATTTTCAATTCTCCTTGGCGACTCGTATTGATTTCCACACGAGTGTCACGCACATGGCTGAGAGTCTGGACTGTCTGTGCGCAGGGCTGACCACATGTCTGTCGGAGAGCGCCTCCCGAGCATCTGATGTTTGGAATGTACTTGAAGCGAGCCTAGACTTTCCGATGGAGACGGGAACAGTGAAAATTGCGGATAGGAAAGGGTGAGGGCAAGCTTTTACAAAACGCGGGTGGTGGACATGGTGTTCTTCTGGTAACGAGCGCCTACAGGTCTCCTCCTAGAAGGTAGTTGTGTCCATACAAATGCTATATGATCTCTTGCTTCGGAAGGAGCAAGACTTGATAAGCTTAATTCGGGCGTGGACTTAATCTCTTCACTTGACACTCGTTCCTTTTCACACTTTCTCCCAAAAGTCAATCTTGACGCGTTAAGACCTCCTGGCTGACATGTTGAAGAAATCAGATTTCAATTCGCAATAGTGCTTCAACAGTACCTTCATTGTCAATCTACCTCGCTAGTGAGAAAGTGAGCGATCTCAACACCAAATTCCCCCTTTCTCCATCCTTTCCTTGAAGACGTAGACATCCCTCTTATCGGAGCACATCGTCATGTCCCTCTACAGATCCTTCTCAGTGACATTCTTCTCCTGGTGGACGTCGGTGACCTGGTCATCACTTCTACGACCACCCAGGCTTGCGAGATGACGGTCAAGCCCAATCTCGGCATTGATCGCAGTCATGCGTTCACGGTCAGCCACGGCAACACCGCTTGATCCAAAAACAAGATCCATCTCTTCAAGCGTGAGCTGCTTGGTCTCGGGCACTGTTTGTACATGTCAGACAGGCATCCCAAAAATCATGTTCCGTGGTTACTTACCGAAGAACCAGATGAAGGCAGCTCCGATGGTGATCAAAACGCCGAAAAGGATAAAGGTTCCGTATGTGATGCCCGTGATCATGTCAGGGGTGACTTGACCGACAATGAAGTTGTTCATCCAGTTGGATGATGCTCCCAATGCAATACCATATGGACGAGCTGATAGTGGCCAAACCTCTGCGACGACAATCCAAGCACTAGAGAAAGGTCAGCAGACAGCCAACATAGTCGGATCATGGTCAGCAAACTTACCAAGGTCCCCAAGACCAGCCGAAGTGGATGACGAAAAGCCAGACCATGACAATAGCCGCCCAACCAGCAGCGTGGTGGGTAGGCCACTGGTGCTGGTTCTTGGCGAAAATAATGGCGATGATAAAATGGCAAAGACCCATGGCAAGTGCACCAAGTGCGAGAGTAGGTTTCCGTCCCATTTTATCGATATACAGGATGGCGGGAATGGTGGCTAGGAACATGGCAATCCCGACGACACCTGTGGCAAGGAGCGAAGTGGTGTTCGAGGACAAGCCAAGGGATCCGAAAATCTGCCTTTCTGTTAGCATCACAATCGCTCGACGACTTCAGAGACTTACCTGTGGGGCATAGTACAGGACGGCATTGATACCTGTCCATTGTTGGAAGAACATGGTAACCGTCGCTACAATGACACGACGGAACATGGGCATGGTCTTGAACAGAGATCCGATAGCGACAAACTGCAGCTTGACCACGTTCCATGGCGTGAGGACGGCCAAGTGTGGGAAGTTGTGTTCCACAGTTCTCTTTTCAAACAACGACTGTGCCTTGATCTCGAGAAACTCGAGTTCGATGAGCTCATTGTCGACGGGCATGTTTCTCAAAAGAGCCAATGTTCTTCTCGCGTCCTCTTCGTGGCCGTGGTGGATCAACCATCGAGGCGTGAATGGCATGAAGATCATGCCAACCAGGAGGACGAGAGCAGGTGCCAACTGAAGGGCGAGTGGTACAAGCCATGCAGCATCGGATTGGCTTTTCCCAGTGCCACCGATGTAGTTGGTACCATAGTCCTGGGAATCTTAGCACACAGGAAGTATGTTGCAATGGTGCGAAAGAACTCACGATCCAGAAGCTGACCATGATGCCAAACTCAATGGCGAATTGTTGCAATCCAATGAGCAATCCGCGCAACTCGGGAGGCGCGCACTCAGCCACATACATGGGCACAATCATGGAAAGGGAGCCAACGCCCATACCGACGATGAAACGACCTCCAAGAATCGCGTTGTGGCCAGCTGTCGTGGCTGTACATTGAACAATGACGCCGATGATGAAGACGCAAGTATTGACGATGATGGCATATTTTCGCGAGATGATTTCAGCGAGAAAGCCAGAATACAATGTGCCTGTCCAGGCCCCCAGTTCCAGAATGGAAGTGAGCCAGCCTTTCTTGGTGGTGTTGGTGGTATAACCTCCCATGTGGTCACCGAAGGAGGTCATGGTTCTGAACAGAGTTCATGTCAGTCAAATGGTTTTGTTTGACCCCGGGCTAAGGTCGACGGCGCGGTGTGGACAAACTCACAGGACACCACTGAAAACACCCTGGTTGTAACCATAGAGCAGACCACCGATGCAAGCGAACATGGCAATGCCAAAGACACGGATGTTCTTGACCAGTGATTGTGGACCGGCCTTGCCTGCCAGCTGCAGACGGTGTTGAACCGCGGCATCAGTGAATTGGGAGGTCTTTCCTCCTACGGGCGCCATCTTTGCAGTAATTTTCAGTGCAACAGTCAATGGCAACGAGGCTTTTGTGAGGAATGAGGTTGGACGAGATCTTCTAGAAGGGAGACGATCTGATATTCTATACTGTCGGTTACCCTCCCACACCTGCGGTCTTCAGGCTAATTCAGGTGGCACATGGCACGGACTTGATATGTACGAACAGGACGCCGTACATGCTGCTATTGCATTTTTATTGGTACGAGTGGACTTGTATCCTTGCAAGTGTGTCAATCAGCCGGTAGAGTGTCCAGCGAAGCACTGGGGATCTTCTCCTTGTGGGTCGACAGATACTGCTATTCGGCACTTGGCTGCCGCTCCCAGGAAGCACCAAACCACTTTCACAGACCAACCTCCGCACAGAAAACATTCTCTGAGGCGTATCATCGACGATATGGATATGGAGGTGAGCCAGCAACCGGATGGCTAGTCCACTAGAGCCTTACGGTCACGGCCCAATATTGTTGTCAGACTATCGAGTGTTCTGGCAGTCGGTATGGCGCAAAAGGCGCCGACGAGTCCTCCAAGGCTAAACGGACATACGGTAAGAATCGCGAATGCAACCGGAAATCCCATGAAATCAGCAACCATGACGATACCAATTTCTGGGTAGTCTGCCCCTGTATAGGATCATTACTGATCATGAGAGGCTGGAGATGTCGAATGATACACGACTAACTCCGCAACATGTTTTCGCCTCCACCTCCACATTTCAGGTATTGGCCTTTAGGCTAAATACTAATGGGCAACCTCGACCCTGGATGGCCTTTCCAGGCTGCTTTCCTTTTACCCAAAGCCCAACTACCCCGTCCTATCTCCATATTTGGGCTCTCATGTTACATCAAACACCTCGACAAATTAGGCACCTCCATTGGCGGGTTCAACCTGATGACCTGCCATTGCCGCATATCCGACTATTCTCGGCATTTCTTGCTCGCAGAGTCGATATTCCTCTTTCATGATCGATCCAGGAAGGAGGACGGTATTCTGCCTTCGCGACGAACATTTTTGCCCTGTCGCGACCAGGGTCTCTATGCAGCTAATAGTGAAGTCGTTGCACTACACTGTTGTACCTCGCACGACATCGTTATGCGAGCAGAGATTTTTCTACATGCAGACCACATGAGACAAGGGAACATGTGGATGGATTCTCCCTCCAAAGCTAAGTCTGTGATGAAATAGGCGGTGACTTACTCCTCTTTCGACATTTACAGATCCGCCCGGCAATTTACAGTTGGATGATCATCACATAACCAGAGTTACGCAAGGCGAAAGATCCCCACGATGATCCAAATCCAGAGAATGTCGGCTACCCCCAGGCGGAGGACCTGCGGAGTACCAGTGCGAATATGTCGGTGAGTCGCGGAGGTACATGCTGCGTCGAGATGATAAAATCTACCGAAGCCCATGAAAAAGTCTTCTTCGGTCGACCCCTTCTCCAGATCCATTGAAGCAGCATTGAGCCATGGCAGCCCTCGCAATAGGCATTCTCGCCCTGGTGGCCGTGCCAGGAGTAGCAGGCACCTTTCCAGATTGCGTGAATGGTCCCCTGAAGAACAACACCGTGTGTAATACCGGTGCTCCTGCCGTTTCCAGAGCTCAGGCCTTGGTCGCTGCTTTGACTAATGCTGAGAAATTCAACCTCACCGGCAACACCTCACCAGGAGTTCCACGACTGGGTCTACCGAGTTACCAGTGGTGGCAAGAAGCGTTGCACGGGGTTGCATCTTCTCCTGGCGTCAACTTTAGCACGTCTGGGAACTTCTCCCATGCCACTTCCTTTCCGCAACCCATCCTGATGAGTGCTGCCTTCGATGACGCATTGATCCATGATGTTGCCACTGTTGTTAGCACAGAAGCGCGAGCATTCAATAACTTCAACCGAGCCGGACTGGACTTCTGGACACCCAATATCAATCCCTACAAGTGAGTGTTCGGATGCGGCTCGACTGGCGCGATCGCTTTACTGATAATGTCCTTCAGAGATCCAAGATGGGGCAGAGGTCAAGAGACGCCCGGAGAAGATCCTTTCCATCTCAAATCATACGTTGCCCAGCTCATCGACGGTCTTCAAGGAGGTCACGACCCGCCCATCAAGAAGATTGTGGCAACTTGCAAGCATTTCGTGGCATATGATCTCGAGGACTGGGAGACCGCCGATCGGTACAACTTTGACGCGATAGTATCAACTCAAGACCTTGCGGAGTATTACATACAGCCTTTCCAGACGTGCGCAAGGGACGCTGCTGTGGGGTGAGTTCGATTTAGCCTGAATATCCGGCCTCGAAATTGCTGACTTGCCAAGCTCCATCATGTGCTCCTACAATGCGTTGAACGGAGTTCCCACCTGTGCGGATCCGTACATTCTGCAGGATATCCTGAGAGAGCACTGGAACTGGACTGGTGATGGCCACTATGTGACCTCGGATTGTGATGCTATCCAGAACGTCTTTTCGCCTCATTACTATACGTCGACTCGCGAGCAGGCTGTGGCCGATACCCTGATTGCTGGTGCGGATTTGAACTGCGTGGGTATTGAGGTCCAATCGTGTGGGAATCTGCTAATATAGTGACAGGGAACTTATTATCAAACATGGCTCCCCGAAGCATACGCCGAAGGTCTGTTCAACCAGTCTGTCATCGATCAATCCTTGGTCCGCCTGTACCCAGCTCTTGTCAAGCTGGGTTACTTCGACCCTGCCTCGGCAACTCCCTACCGCTCACTTGGCTGGTCTGATGTCAGCACACCAGCTGCGGAAGCATTGACACTCAAAGCCGCTGAGGAGGGCATCGTGCTCATCAAGAACAATGGTGCTCTGCCACTGCAATTGCCAAAGGGCCGCAACACTACCATAGCACTCTTTGGTAGCTGGGCCAACGCTACCACCCAGATGCAGGGCAACTACTTCGGTATTGCTCCATATCTGCATTCACCACTTTATGCTCTTCAACAGTTGCCCAATGTCACTGTTCAGGAAGCAGGCGGCTTTGGCTTCCCCACGACTGGAAGCTGGGAAACGATCCTCGCCCAAGCCAACGAGAGCGACATCATCATCGTGGCCGACGGGATTGACACGAGCGTCGAGTCTGAGAGTATGGATCGATACACCCTCGACTGGGCGGCTGGAACCCTCGACCTCATCAACCAATTCGCCACATTGGGAAAACCACTCATCGTTTTACAAATGGGAGATCAGCTTGACAACACGCCCTTGCTGACCAACCCAAATGTTGATGCCATTGTCTGGGGTGGATATCCAGGCATGTCCGGAGGAGATGCTCTTGTCAACATCCTGACCGGAAAAGCCGCGCCCGCAGGACGTCTCCCTGTCACGCAATATCCTGCCGACTATGTCACGCAGGTGCCCATGACCGATATGAGTCTCCGACCGAACGCTACCTCAGGCAACCCAGGCAGAACATATATCTGGTACCCCGACTCGGTCCTGCCATTCGGCTACGGTCTGCACTACACCAACTTCAGCGTCTCCGCTGCGCCGCCTGGTAATACAAGCTACGACATTTCGTCGCTAGTCTCGAGCTGCAACAAAGCGACATATGCGTACATGGATCTGTGCCCGTTCGAGTCATACAACGTCACGGTCAAAAATACGGGAAGCGTCACTTCGGACTTCGTCACGCTCGGCTTCATCAGCGGGCAGCATGGACCCCAGCCCTATCCGATCAAACAGCTCGTCGCGTATGAGCGGTTGTTCAACGTCACGGGTGGTGGTTCGGCGACTGCATCGTTGAATTTGACGCTTGGTAGTCTCGCACGCCGCGATGAGAATGGGAACTTGGTCTTGTATCCTGGAGATTATGGGCTGTTGATTGATGTTCCGACTTCGGCGACGCTGAATTTCACGTTGACCGGATCTCAAGCCGTGTTGGATCAGTGGCCTCAGAGACCGGCTCAGGGGTGATTGGCACCGGTGAGAACAGACGCTGGAGGCAGTAAGAGGGTCGAAGCATATATGGTGAACCCTGCGAAAATATATGAGACTGTACATAGTCTATGAGATGATGCGAGAGAAATGCAGTGACAATCAACCGATGTCATGGGCGTCCGCCCCATCAGTCAACATACTCGTAACGTTTATCCCAACACCATCGTTATATAGTTGCCGCTCTTGGGCGTACCAAAACTTAACTCCAACTTCCAAGACTTCCAAGACCTATCGAGGGTCCTTACATTTGTGTCCGCCTTGCCCTTTGTCTCGTAAACATTCTGGTCATCCAGTCCAGAATCACTGAAAGCGGAGAAGAGCCTTTACACCGCCACACTTCCACACTTACACTGCTCATCTCAACCTTTGTCAGCAGGGTCTCCGGAACCCTTCACTGCAGTTCATCTCACTTAAAGCAGGACGAGCAACTGACACGTACATCCTCCAAGGACCTTCCGACTCAACATCAGAAGCGTGACTGACATCTACGCATCACACTACAATTGCGAACACGCCTGTCCTTTCTCCTGTCGTCCACTCAGATCATCACCATCGCCATCATTCAGACTGCACGACCTTTGTGTTCCATATCGACGAAGTCCTGATCTCTATGCAATGCAGTGACAAGCATGACGTCTCCATGACAACGCCTCTACACTGACAATCCCCATCATCCACTGAGCAGTGAGAAACGGTCAACGGTCATGCGATAGCCGGGAATTCCGTTGCCTACCCCTTACCGGAACTGTTGGCATTGATCACACCTCGACATACAGAAACGAGCACAACGGAATCTATCAACCACATCTCCGACTGGCCACATCGAAAGAAGAGAACCAGCTCACATCTACCTCAGAAGACTTCTTTCTACCTCGACGACACAAACATCATCCACCTAAGATGACCGATCAACACTATGCCCCTCCACCGGGCCCTCCACCATCATACCGTCAGCAAGACACCACAACCAACAATGCCAAAGCCAACGAGAACACCGACATCGCTCCTCCGCTCGGCTCACTACCGTTTCGCGGCCAAAATAATAACGACATCCCACCACAACCACCTGCCGAAGCAAACCCACCGCCCTACCAAAACTGGATGACTGTGGAAGACACATCCCTCCTCCCTCCGCCGCCACCCTTGCCGGAAGACACCTCCCCAACCAACAACGCAAGCTACGACGACGCCGCACAAGCACACGCCTGGTGCGCCCAACACCCACTCTACACGCCGTCCAAACCCTCCCCTGACATCCACGCCCTCGCTCAAAAGGGCCACTTCACCCTCACCCGCCCGCCACCGTCCCTGATCGACGATCCGCATCAATTCACACTTCACCAAGACCCCCCCACAAAATGGTACATCTGCACGGGCTCCGAAGACCAGTCCGACTGCATGTTCCTGACAGATATCCCATCATACTTCGCCGCCACGGACAATCCCTTACTCACGAATCGCCCCTTCAGAATGTCGTACACGATCCACATCAAGGCCATGTCCTTTGAGGATGAGCCCGTTTCGGGCATAGCAATCGGTTTCGCAGCCAAGCCATACCCACCATGGCGTCTTCCGGGCTGGCACCGCGCCAGTCTAGCCGTGCACGGCGACGACGGCCGGCGCTTCATGAACGATCCATGGGGAGGGCGTGATTTTGTCGAGGGGTTCCAACCCGGGCAGAGTATCACCGTGGGGATGACCTTCTCGACGACCCCACTTGGCGCAGGCAAAGTCAAGACGACGGCGTGGTTGACGCGCAAGGGACGCACGCGTGAGTGGGCGATTGATGAGCAACGGGATCAGCGTGACGAAGGTGTTGACGGGCTCATGGGTGAGGGTGACTTATATCCTGCCATTGGAGTGTTTGGCGGTGTTCAGTTTGACGTCGAGTTTCATCCACGGCAGGGACGATGATGGTGCCGGACGGTCGAGAATGATGTGCTGTGGAGCGATGGGAGCCCGTCGTGACGATTACTGTAGTGGTTCAGGTGAGAATACTTGTGCAATGAGGTGCTGGTGTGAGGCCGAGCAGAACGCAGTACGACCGCGATTGGAACGGACAGGCGAGCAGACTCTACCAGTAGACCGTGCTGAGAAAGGAGTGTGGCCACGGGATAAGAGAAGCGGTGGTATGAATGTTGGGGACGATGTCGAAAGAGAAAGCAGCATAAAGACGAGAGACGTTCGGGCATAGCCATCAAAGCAGGATATCAATCTCATCGGAGCGGCTCCATCGCCGCCTAGCTGTCCCTGATAGCGCTGGTACTTCGCGGTTGCGTGGTGGCTATGCCACTTATCCAAGGGAAGTGGCACTCTCTTTCCACAAACTCAGCTCCACAGGGGACGTACGTATGTACAGGCACAAGCTAGACCCCCTGAATCCAACGCAGCCCATCATCCAAAAGAACAACCAAGCTCGAAGTGTCCCAAGTCTTCCCCTAGACTCACCGCCAAGAAAAATTCACAAGTCAGTTGTGTCCAAGTCGTCAACCCAGGGCATCGGCAAAAGAAGAGAATGGTCCAAGTATTCACCTTGAGACTACCGTGAAGAAAATGTCCAAGTCATTGTGTCCATCCCGCCAACCCAGGCCAATCGGTGGAAAAGTGTCCAAATGCGATACTCTGGGTTGGCGACTTACACATTATTGACTTGGACATTTTTTTCACGGTAGTCTCGATGAAGTGTCCAAGCTCCGCCGAGACACCGTTCAAAGATGTCCAAGTCCAACTTTGGTCGAACTTGCGCTCTACCATCAGTGCAGATTGTAGATTGTGTTGAGCGTTGCTGGTACCATCGCACCTCCATTGGCTGCAGGTGGGCACTCTGCGGACTCTGCGGGTTTTGCGGGTTTTGTAAACGACCGCGGAACTTGACAATGGACAAATCAAAGTCGCCCGAGGGAACAACCATGCAATGATGGTGACGATAACGTAGTTGATCGAATCGGGGACTTGCGGTATAAAGTCTCGTCGATATTGCCAGTGTCTGCTGGAGCAACTTCCAGAATGCTACGAGTACTCATGAATAACTCGTGAGCACCGGCCAGAATTACCACCGCAATCTCATTACAATACATAGTCTGTGACCATCCTCAAATCCGCGACCGGCTACCGCAATTCCTTCGAAATGGGTATCTTAGGCGATGTTATTCAAATGAATGTCGGCCAAATTCTGCAGACACCCACGGTACCTGCGGTGGACTTCACTGGGAAGACCGTCGTGATTACAGGTGCCAACACTGGCCTTGGACTCGAAGCTGCCAAACATATGTGAGCTTTGACCAGATGCCCTTCCTAGGCAAGATTGTCGCTAACCGTGTTGATTGCCAGCTACTCACTCAATGCATCCCATCTGATCCTGGCCTGTCGAGATCTGACCAAAGGCGAACATGCACGCACTCAGATCATTGAAGCTCGGAGACAGTCAGCGTCAGACCAAACTCAAACGGTTGAAGTCTGGCAGCTCGACATGGCGAACTTCGGTTCTGTCATCACGTTTGGCGAACGCCTGAAAAGTCTCGAAAAACTCCATGCCTTGATAGCAAACGCTGGCATTGATGTCGACCATTGGGAATTGTTCGAAGGGATGGAATCGACGTTGACTGTCAACGTGGTCTCGACAATGCTGTTGGCAGTGTTGGCCATTCCGCAGCTCCAAAAGACTGTTGCAGCAGAAAAGGAGTCGCAGCCTTCACATCTCACCTTTACCGGGTCTGTCATTCACATCTTTGCCAAAGATCAGTACTTGTCTCAGCCGAAAACTGGCAACATCTTCCAGAGTCTCAACAACCCAGCGACCGCAGACATGAGCGGCAGATATCTTCTGAGCAAGTTGATATTGCTGCTGTGCGTCCGTGGTCTGGCACATCGACTTGATCGCACAAATCTTACCGTCAACTATGTCAATCCCGGTTGGTGCAAGACCGAGCTCTTTCGGACGCATGATGGCGGCTTCGGCGGACGACTTGGACTACGCCTCATCGGTAGGACGGCCGAAGAAGGTAGTCGTACGCTCGTACACGGTATATCCGCTGGTTCCGAATCTCATGGAAAGTATGTCAGTGAATGTCGGATCAAGCCAGAGTCGAGCTTTGTCAGAAGCGAAAGTTCTGCAGACATACAAGAGAGAGTTTGGGCGGAGCTGGTGACGATACTGGAGACCATTCGCCCAGGAGCAACGAAAGATTTGATACAGTGATGGTCGACAGAACTTGAAGCATAGGCTCTCAAGCAAGCATATCTGGCAGATCCAGGGGGCTCATGTCTCCCATATCTTGCATGAAAGCCTCCCAGTTGATCCAGGACGATAAGTCTGATTCGCCATAATCAACTGGGCGTTGTCCTGGGTGTTCCGACTCTGATACTGGGTCTCCAAAATGACCATAGCGGAGCGGGCCGAAAGCATTGGTGCCAGATCTGTACTGTACCCGTACCGAGGAGGTTTGCACCTGACGCGTGTCTGGACCGGAATCTGTTGGAGTCTCCTCAGTTGTGCGCTTCCTAATCGTTCGAGCCCTGTGCATAAGTTTCCTCATAGCGGTGGATAAGACAGCATCGTGATCGTTCGTCTGATAAACTTCATATGCATCTTCAGCAATGCGCCATGCATCATCAACGGGTGTGCCACTTGTTCGTTCACAGAGCTCAGCAAGTAAAATGGCCAAGGCGTACCATTTGGTCCAAGAGAACCATCTCCATAGTCGGAAGTCCATGTTGGAAAATTTTCGCAAACCTCGATTGACGACCAGGGCGGCAACATTGAGGATGTCGTAATCATCCTTCGGAGGTGGGCCTTTGCTGATGGTCCGATAGAGTGGACGGCGTGCTAGCAGGTTCAAAGTCGTAATCATATCTTCTCCCACGACGTGTGTGAAGAGTTGAAACGTGATCATATCATCACAGTGCCTCAGATACCTTTGGTGCAACAGTTGTGAGCATTGCTCAACCACCTCATAACGATCTGACCATTGTTGCGCAAATAGTGGTTGCCCAGAGTAGTCCACAGGCACGTGAATGAGTCTTCTTACATGTAGCAAAGTCTCGTGGGTCATGCAAGCAAACGTCATATCTGTGAAAGACGTCCTTGAATCGGCAAAAGCATACTGCACAGGTGATATATCTGCGTCATCGATATGCAATGGTGGTTGACCAAGCAACGCATTGCTGGCAAGCGCCGAAAATGAGCCTCCGTCGAATGCTGCTTGAAGATCAAGTACACCGATGGAAAACCAAAGCCGCCGACGCATCTCTTGATTGAAGGACGATGATGATTGCATGTCTTGGTCGAGACCGATTGCCTGCCCTAGCCGGACAGCTGTCGCTAACAGAGCCCATACCGATCGCCAGCCGTTGCTCGCTCGCAGACCGATCTGAACCGTGTCAAAAATAAGCGACTTGGCCTGAATCGACTTACCAGATAGACCACGAATGCTTGCAGTGTAGTTGAAGTCGTGGCAGTGTATAGATTAGCCTTTGCCAGTAAAACCTCGGTGGTGACTCGAAACCTGTCGAGCGCAACGGCTTTGGCTTCGCCCATGATCTGCTCACATTCCGCCTCCTCGAGGCTGGAGATGGCGGCAAAATGAATTGCAGTTCTGAAAGCATCCTCAGCCATGTTGTACATTGGCTGGTCGAAGAGAAGTGCGCGCAATGAAGGTGCATGCGCCACTTTGAGTATTGGGTCGATGCGACGAACATAAACATCAACTAGTACAGAGGTGATGGCTTTTGGAGGAAGTACAGAGAGGTGTGTGTATGTAAAAGAAGCATTGTCAGCAAACGAAATGACGCCGGGAGCATCTGCTGTTGGTGTGATGATTGAGCCGTGTTCAATACTAGTCTCTTCCAGAGATACTGAGTTTGTGTCCATGATCTCTCGTATGCCTGCTATCTAGCCGCGGATCAGCCATCATGGCAGCAGCTGATGGGTGGTTTTTACCTCGTGAGTGATGGCCGCCCATGCAGGATTGGACGACTGAGCAATTTCACTATGATTTGCTGGAACGTCGCCGGATGGAAGTGCATCAGCAATTATGCTCTCCACCCTTGCGAGTCTCTGCTCGAGATGTGTATTGGACCGTCTCGTATGCCGGCCACGTGGTAGTCGTGCTCGAAGGACTGCAGTGCAAGTGATTCCACTTTGGCTGCAAGCGTGACATGGTTGACCCTTGTCGCATCTTCTCTTTCGTTGCTGGCATTGCAGACAGCTGAGATTCACTGCCGGCCTGTCCGGTGCAAACGTCGTATTCGCCGCTGCCATCGCCATTTTAAAACGAGACAAAGATAAGTTGCGTTGGCTTCTTGATATGAGGCTTTGTCATGACGAGATCAAAACGATTAGTAAGGCAACTTTGCCGACTATCAGGAATACGTGGTACCACGACTGTTCCGTAGCATAACAAACCATTGTTTGAGTTTCTTTACCTGTAAAGCTCTCAGCCGAAAGGGCAGCTTCGTGTTGATCGATTACCTCAAGAACGAGTGTCGAGATGGGTTCGAGGAAGATCGACATTGAGACAATGACGCATAAGCCCTGCAAGATGCCCCCATGACCCTCCAGCATCACTTACTCGTTCTCAGGCCGGTTTGATGCTCTCTTGGATTGCTCCGCCGTCCGACTATGACCACTCGTTGTTGTGCACCATTTGTAGGACCCCACATACTTCAACGTGTCGCTCTGACGAACTCAGCAGCCTCGTATGTAGACGCTAACAGCAAATTTGAGACAAACGCCAAGTTCCGCAATGCTTGGAGAAAGATTTCGCGGTCACAGCCAGGACGACCGCGTCTTCGTCTTTGTGGCCGTGATAAGCTCTTTTCCAATACGACCAACTCTCCGAGGATCCTGTTTCCGGAGCCGCCTCCATCTCTTTTCTGTTGTTATCGTCGACTTTAGGCGTGTGACACCCAATGGCCGGATCAATGGTACTGCGGTGGTGGTGCAGGAAGGCGTCGAGGGAAGGAGGCCTTTCTAGGCAGCTATCGTCGGGAATGTAGATTGTAGAAATACAACGTTCTCAGCGACTCGATTGCGTGGAGGTTGCCTAGGAGGTGCCGAGCCCCCTAGGAAAGTCAGCAGAAGAGGCGCCAGACAGCCGCCATGAAGCCTGGGTCAGTGTAGTCAACTATCAGCTTGCAGAAGGTCCGAAATAGCAGGTGATCGTGCTTAAACTCGACTTGCAGCGGTGTATTTGTAAAATGAGAAGGGTTAAAGTGCAAGCTGACAATGAAGAGTACTGCGGGAGGGGTAAAGAAGGAAAGAAGCAGGGCCGCCTTGTCCGGATTCGGAAGTGACCACGAGTTCACAACAACGACCGGAAAGAGGACGGTGCATGCGTCGCCTGTTTCTGAGAGGAACAGGGGTTGAGAGTCCAGGATCGGGCAGCAAACCCACCTTAACATATCAATTCTGCGACATTGTTGTCAGGCACCACACTTTGGGGTGGGATAGCGCGGGTCGTTGTGACGAGATGAAAACAACGTGGGATGCTTCTCATTGACCCATTTCCGGTCTAAAGATGCCCCTCACGAACGGGCGTACCTGCCATTGGAATCATTCTGTTTTGAAAGGATCACTGCATGTCCCCAGTGGCTAGGGGAGGTCATTGCCGGTTAAAACCCGTGGGGCTTCAACTGTGCGGTCGGCTTCTTTGCATCCTAGCGCTGCACAAGTCGAATTATAGCATCATCCGCTTGTGAAGTTTGAAAAATTTCAACAACATGCAGCCAGAGGTAAAAGAGCGAGGTGAAAAGACGGCAAAGTGGTGGCAAAATACCACCCAACAAATGCGTCCCAGAGCAGTGGGTATGCCAAGAATCAAGAAGTAGGCTGTTTTGTTTCTCGGCGACGAGATATCATTTGTTGGCCGATCAGAGCCATGTCGTTTCGGATCAGCCAGTCGGAATGCTGAGAAGAGGACAAGTTCTTCAAGCCTTTGATGCTGCAAGTCGTTCCGGCGCCGGTCGAGACCACACCAACACGGTAGAGATATGACTCGCATGCAGCGATTTTGGCTGCAGTGTCCATCTGTGCTACATCGCACAGCAGACGCAGGAACAGATTGAAGGCCCGATTCCCAATCTGCACCAAACCTGCATTCTTGGGCAGCCGTGGCCATGTGACCAATGTGGTGGGGGTTAATGTCGCCATAGGGTGGCTGCACTGGAGTGCGGCGTCACTAGCAGTCGTTAGATAGTAGACTAATCCAGTCCTCGAGAGTCTCCGATAGCTGCCGTGTCGACTTTGTCGTGTCGTGGCTTTCACAGAATTTTGGCGTGGGATGATGACTGAAGACCTGAGGTATCTCTCAGTTGGCACATAAGAGTGCACAGCGGTGGGCGCATTTCCTCGCAGCAGCCACTATAGGTTGGTTCTGGGGTCTGACAACAATCACAGAAGCTGATAAAGACTAGCGACCAGCCATAGTCTCGAATTTGGAGGTCTGATCAGAGTTCAGCAAGGTTTGATGAGATCCCAAGTGATGTGACAGATTTACAGCAGAAATTTCCAGGATTATTCAGCGGCTGTGGTAGACAAGGACGCTTCGGCCCGCGACCTTGCAAGCCAAATGACAGGCTTTAGGCGCGGGATCGTACCTAGCTTTAGGTGTTGGTTGCTGATTTTCTTCACCGCCAGTCTTGCGTCAGACCACGAGTTATGAGATTCAGGGGTACAAACTGGCGGTGAACGAACCTCAAGATCACCCAGATTGACGTGCATAGATCTGAAGATTTCGTGCATGAACTGTAGGTTGTAGATCTCCCGAACTGCTGGCACTGACACAGTGAATTGCTCCTCGGTCAATATGTTGCATGAGCATCTGTCACAAGTCCCTTGGTGTACTGATTTCGTGGTAATCTTTGTGTGTGTCTTGGAGAGAGAGAAAAGCACAGAGGTACACGACACGTAGAATTTGGTAATCAACGCCAAGACAATAATGCAATCTAATCGAGGATCACAGGCTTGCATCATGGCCATCATGAAGCACCAGATCTTTTGTTATTCTTCCAAAAGATCGCAGGATCTGGAAGTGGTTCACTATCTTCCAAAGACAGATTCGATCGATCGTCAGGGGGATCATGGATCAACCCCCGACTTGAATCTGGTTCAGGGTGTCTGGGTATCATCTGCACCTCTATGCACATCAACCACGCGGTTCTCGGGGGGAACTTTAGCCCTGGCTTCCGGCCAGCGGCACGCATCATTACCATGATTCGCGCCTGGTCAACGACATGACTGCTGGTGACTTTAGCAACACCTTCCCAAGGTGTGGGTGCATATTCAGAAGAGCGACTGGCACGACAGTCAAAGCACGTCATGATTGATCGATCTCATTTACATGGCAGACTGACGGAGCTCACATATATCTCAGCGATCCACTTTGCCATTCACACTTTCAAGATCACCATACTCCATATACGATGATATGATCTAAGAAAAAAAAGAGCCAGCCATGTAACTTCTTATGAATAGACTCCATGACGGGAGAACGTCACAAGGTTCGAAGAGGTCTACTTCTGTGACCTATATCCCTCACTTTTGCAAAACCGAGAAGATTGTATCTTATTGGGTATTGCCAGCGACACCGCTCATCACTCGTCTACGCCCGTATAACATCAAAGCTGCCGTTGCGGTGCGCTGGCCACGAATGTTTTCGGAGAAAATGCCTGACAAGATGATGACATGTCATGGACACATGACCGCAAGAGCCTGTGAGTATCTTCCAGCCAGTCTACACCCTCTTCGCTCGTGGTGATGCATGGCTGAGTGATACTGAATTCATAGGCTGGTTCGGGAAATCTCAGACGAATGAGCGCATCCTACAACACGGAGAGACGGCTGAACGATTGCCTGATCTTTGAATGGCAGTGTTGCAATTATCGTGTCAATACGGGTTGCGACCAAGGTAGCAGTGAAGACCGAGACCAACCTCGGCGATCCATCGCAACTTCGCACGATAACGATCAACCGCCATGATTTCGCATGTCAGGCATGTGCTTGCGCACGCCTGGACATCAGCACGGGAAGCACACGACTTCTACCTGATCTCGTAGAGAGAGGCTCTCACAGACATTCAACTGCCGCCAAGCATGATACTATTTCATCTTGACTCAACAGCTTGTAAGGGGAGGACGCACACGGCCTGTCACGAACGGGTTCTCCGTCCTCACTTCCATGAAAGCATAAGTGTAATAGGGACCAGAGTGCCATAGCAACCTGGTGCAGTTTTAGTGTCGCAGGAAAAGGAAGCTGAAAGATTTCGCTCGATAAGACGGACTGTAAGATGCGGGATTGATGCAGCTTTCTGCAAGCATGTGTCGAGAGGGGTCGGTTACACGACCCACCAAAGCTGGTTGTGGAGATGGCATGACGCTAAAGAGATGGGCGAGGGAGGGACGCCACCATGCACCTCAGGGTGCATGGCCCCTCCATGTCAACCAGGATAAGCCCTGGTCAGCGTCAGTATCCAATGTTGTTGGTCTCTGAAAAGAGCCCTGCAAACCAGATCGTGTTCATAGCAACATCAGACTCAAGACCATGAGGTAAGAGTCTACACATGCACCATTATGCACCATTCATAATGGTGCATGGGTCGGTCCAGCGTCCTCGCGCAGTGGCGTGATTGTCTTTTCTGTCAACCACGTCTGGCCGCAGGCCTTGAAGTCCTGCAAACGTGATCATTTGCGCTTGGCAACTGCACAAGGCCGAAAGTCCTGCCAGAAGTTACCCAATTTCGCCCAGGTCGCCATGGTGGCGGCCTTGGAGGCCTGCTTCAAGTTTGGTCACCACGATGGCGTTTAGATAGAGTTTCTTGAATGGTTCGTCCACTGCCGCCTTGGGGACGGCACGTCTTACCCATGATAGATAGCAAGGTGCCCATGCCCTCTCCAAAGGTCATCTGCTTCCAAGACATCTGCAGGGATACTCTCAGAAATGGAGGTCATTATAAGTCAAATCGTCGATGATCGTCACCTCAGGTCGCGTGCAACGTCCGATCACTTCATATCAGTAAGACTGACGGCAGTCAACTGGTTCATTGGCACACTTAGGGATCTTTTCCACTGATCCAGCAAAGTGGGAGCCGTAGAAATAGAGCATATTGAGGATTTCACTGTTACATGAATGATTGCAACGTCAACAACGTCGACACTACCTTGCAAAATTTTGTCCTTGAGTGGTACAGAGAAAGGAATATCTGTGCAACCAGCTAACGAAGGCGGCCGAACAAGGACACGTAGTGGGATGTTTAGGTCTGTTCTTACAAAGGTCACAACAGGGCCTGCGGGTGATTCCGTGCTGAGTCGCATCATGCATTGCGCCATCTGGGGCGGTGGATCGCCAGCAGTGCACAGACCTTTTGGCAATGCAAAGCTCCATTTTGGGCTGGACCCTTGCGGGCAAAGTGCAGCTGATCGTAAAACTGAGAACTGAGGCCTAAAAGCGAGGTGGACAGGCCGGACGCCTTGCAAGATAATCAATTGAGTATGAGATTGAAGTCGATAATCAAGCTCCTCGCGAGTCGAGCCGATCTGCCGATGAAAGTCGACATGCTCATGAGTTGTGAGACTTGTCAAGGAGCCCGCTTGCTGGGACTACCTCTCTCGCATTGTTGAATTGGTAGTTTTGTAGTCAGCGTTCGGGTGTCCTTCGGACAGTTTGCACTTGACAATCCTTTCGCATCAGACTTTCTCAGGACGACTGTACATTGGTGGAATAATGCCCGTTGGACTCGCATCGAAAGCCATGAGCGAAAGTTGATGAGAACAGGTGTGGGGCTGACGGGCGAGCGTAGCTGCTTCAGAACAACATGAACTGACACATTGTAAACTGTGGACTGTAGACTCTCTTGCAGTTGACCAGTTGGCTTATGGAAACACCACCCGCAACATAATCTAACCACGGTTCGAGTCTAGCAATTCTGAACCTGCAGCAATTATGATGGGGTTGGCTTCGCAGAGAGTTGGTATGGTACAAAGAGTGGCCGGTCGACGCGAAGTTGGCGGCGAATGATCGATACTATGGTGGAGATCTTCATTTTCGTGATGGCGGCAAGGAAGCGGACACCGAACGGAGTCTCTTAGCGAAGAAAACGACATTATGTTGAGATGAGCAGGATCTTCCGTGTCAGATGTCGAAACCGAGCACGAGGGTGTTACGAATTTGCTTGCCACCGGTTGCTGGAGCTGGTGGCAGCCATCTGACCATCTGACCATCTGACCATGGACCATCTGACATTGTAAAGATTTTTCTTTGATGGTAGAGGAGTAGGAGAGGATGAGGTAAGGTTTGGCCGGGCGATAGGCGGGAATGAATTGCATGTGTCGGACGGAGTTGTGAACCATTTCTTGCTGGTAAAGGCAGCAAAGAGGCGTCTGAATAATGTGGCTTTTTTCCAAGGCCCTGTCAGCGGCTGCATTGGCCGCCCACCAGTCGCTAACATGCCGCCGCCGCCGCTGCCAACCCCGCCAGTCAGTGTCACACAGGCCATGCTGCTTGCACCGTCTGACATTTCGTGGAGCTTGTGCTTGTTTTTGATGATTGATCGTCCACCTTTTTTAGTTGAAGAATGAGAATCACGTATGAGGCATCTTGAAGAATGGCTGGTCCGAGTAATGATAGGATGACCGGCAACCTGATCCAGAGTGGATGAGAAGGAGGGATACGATGATGCAACGCTCAACAGGCTGTAATCTGCATAAAACGTGAGGTATTCGAGTGCCTGTTGGCCATCGATAGCGCTGCGGTTAAATGAGTGAGAAGCGAGCAGGCGGCTGCAGACATCATGACGAGGATGTTTTTGTGGGTGGTCAGTGGTCTGAGTAGAGACACAGTAATAGGAAGCCACTGCCAGTGGTGGTCACTAGCCCTTTAGTCCGTACCTTTGATGATGACCCCGGTCATTAGAGTTGACAAACGAGTTCGTCACTAAGTTTAGGTGTTGCATGTTGACGAGCAGCCGTTCGTTCGACCTGACCTTGGAGTTGAAACTTCTGGAGTCATCCATGTGAGATTTGACAGCGGTTACCCTGTCAATAAGAGCTTCACAATGGTAAATCCAGGCAAAAGAACCATGATTCGAAGCATGATGCTGCGTCTCTTGTCGAGTTCGTGTTTGTTTCTGATGAGGATCGTGTGTGAGAATGAGTGGCATGCACATGGGGGTTGCTCGTGAATCGAATCGCCGCCGCCATCGGCCCGCCCACATATCTAGGTATGTTTTGGCTTTGGCTTGCATGCGCCCATATTGCGCACCCACCCACCACGGCCTGCAGGCATCAGGCACTACGCTAGAGCCCAAATAACACGCCTAACCACCCACAGCACCCATACCATTGCAGGCCCAGTCACTCGTAGCGCTATCAGAGACACCCCCAGTCCAAGATTTTTAGTATACCTAGGACCTAGGTAAAAAAACATATCCACAACATCCTCCCCCACCCCTCGTTTCCTTTGTCCGATAGAGGGGTACATACACATGTAAGAAGCAAGCGTAGTTTAGTTCAGATGAGCCTTTCCAAAGGCCCTCCAGCCCTGGCCCTTGCGGCAAAAGCACTCATCCAACACCTGCATCAAACAAATGCGGCTAAACTCATTGACGCTCACATCACAAGCTGCTCATCTTATTCTGGGGAGTCAAGCCGAATCAAACATCATGCACGACTAACAACTGCGTAAACTCATTCACTCGCCTGCATCCATCCTTTACTGACCAGGGCGTCACTTCCTCTCACTTGTGTTTTAGCGCTCCTCTTCCTCCATCTTTCTCACATTCAAGTACCTGACTATCTCCAGTCCCTCTCTCGTGTCTCCCTTTCCCTTGTGTCTTTCGCATATCCCTCATGTCCTTCTCATAAGTCCTCCTCGTCCTTGCTTGTCCTTGTTTTTCGGGTTGCTTTGAGTGGTTTCACCACTCTTACAGTCGTTTTTGTTTGCCCTGCCACCAGAGTCCCCATTGACTGAGGACCCTGGTCGATCTGCAGTCATGGAGCCGCATACCTGGTTCAACACCTTCGTATGCTATTTGTGAGTACTTCGAGCCATCACTGTCCTGCGGCTAGCCTGCTGACCATGTCTAGCATCTATCGATATCTCCGTCTCGTGGTCAACCTTTGGGCATTCTGGACCATCAAGCCCATCCCAATCCCAGAAGATCCGACACTGTCCTCTGAGGATGTCACAGTCATCTTGCCTACCTTGGATGGCGAGGGTGAAGAGTTGGAGAGGACCATAGGCTCAATCATGCAGACGGAGCCTAAGGAGATGATCCTGGTGACCATCGATGAGAACTTGCACAAAGCGGAGAAGACCATGGCCAAGATGCCGGCGGCAAAAGCTGGCCGTATCAGATGTATGTCGGTTAAGCAGGCAAACAAAAGACGTCAAATGGCCAGAGCCATCCCAGAAGTCACGACGGAGATCATCGTCTTTGCCGATGATGATGTCACGTGGCCTATCCAGACCTTGCAGTGGATGCTGGCACCATTCGAGGACAAGAAGTATGGTGGTGTGGTCACTTGCCAGAGACTTCGAAGAGCTGAGAATCCGACTTTCTCACAGCGGGTTTACGGCTTCTTGGGAGCTCTTTACCTCGAGCGACGGAACTTCGACTGTGCTGCAACCACTCACATGGATGGTGGTGTGCCATGTCTTTCAGGACGCACCTGTGCCTATCGTACCAGCATTCTCCAGGATGTCAACTTCACCGATGGCTTCACCAACGAGAAGTGGTGGTTTGGCCAGTATCAGCTCAATGCAGACGACGACAATTTCCTCACCCGTTGGATGGTTTCACATGGTCATCAGACCTACATGCAGTACCACCCCAATTGCGAGGTTCAGACTACCCTGGAGGACAACTCGAAATTTCTGAAGCAATGTTTGAGGTGGGCACGCAGTAATTGGCGCAGCAATGTGACCAGCATGTTTGCTGAGCGTCACATCTGGAGGTAAGCTTGGACATGAATCCCTGTTCCATGCGCGTTCTTGGCACTGACCATCTTTGCTTCTGCAGATGCCAGCAATGGAGCCTGTACGCAGTGCATCTAACAACTCTGTCGCCCCCGGCTATTGTCGGTGACCTTCTTCTATGGTTCTTACTGTGGAAAGGCGTTGCAGACTGGCCAGCGGAACAAGCTTGGACTGCCTTTTATGCTTTTCTGGCATGGATGACCTTGTCAAAGTTCATCAAGCTGGTTACTCACTTTGTCCGCTATCCCATTGATGTCTTCTTGTGGCCCGTATCCATCCTCTTTGGTTGGTTCCATGGTGCCATCAAGATGTATGCACTGGTCACACTCAGTGAGACAACATGGGGAAGCCGTGCCAACGCCGACGCCAGCGACGATACGAGAATGATCAAGCAGTCCAAACCACACACCACCTTCGACTTGAGGGATGAGAAAATTCACGAAAAACTCCTACCTAACGACGACATGAGATTCTACGCCGCCTACGATTCGAAACGCACTACTCAACCTCCTTCCGCATAATTACCCTTTCGACCACTTGGACTCTTCTTCTTTTGTGGTGCACATGCTCTCGAATCCTTGATTTCATGACCACACTGCTTTCTTTTCTTCACAAAAGCAACGCTCTCTTTCAATTCAAAACAGGGGGACAGATACCGGAATGTAACGGACAACAAAAGGGCTGGTGGGAGGCTTCCTCTTCGATACCCGCAGCTATTTGGCTGATGGACCTTAAAAGATTGCGAGTTTGTTTGCTGTGTTCTTGCGCTAGAGAGACAAGAGTGTTCTTCAGCGGCATGGGCAGAGTTCTTTTTACATCGTCCGGGAGCTCAACCGCCTCGGACCTTTTTTCCTTTCACATGCATAGCAGAGGAGCCTGGGTTTTACATTGATGATCATGGCGATTGAGATTGTTATGCTTGTGCTTGCGGGACATGGGATGGGCACGAAATGAGAATGAGATCACGCGACATGGGAGGCAGTCTGCCAAATGCAGTGGTGAGACTCTCAAATGTGCAGATAGCACTAAAAGATGATGATGATCTCTCACATCCTGGGTGGCATGGTCTTCAAATATTAATGCTGGTCTACATTTCTTTCCTTTCGCTCTTCAGGTTGTCTTTCTCTGGGCACCGCTTTTGGGTATGCCGCCATCTATGACCCTGTCATGCCCTTGTGTCGCCCTTCTGCCCGTTTCCATTCCTCTTCTCTGTTTTCCCCTCCTGCATTCTGGCTCTCATCTCCGCGCCACGTTACCATTATCGTCTCTAGTATTGTCTTCTTGCCTGGTCCTTTTCGCAGTACCAGTGCGCTCCTTCCTATTCGGTATCACTGACTGCTTTGGGGCGGGGTTGGTCACACAGCATATCGACGTCCCGGGTATCATCTGCCGGGGTTGTTTGGGTGGGTTGTTACACAGCATCTTAAGACTTGTACATGCAGCGGCCGGCAGATTGCCAATATACCGTATTCGGCTGCATTCGTGTTCCGCTTCGGGCTGGTTACACAGCGTCGTGAGAGGAGAAGCGAACGGCGCATTCAAGGTTATGCGAGTGCTCTCGAGGTGTAAAGCGCATGTTACTTCTTTTTTTTTGGCAGCGTTATCGAGTTTTCGGAGTGACTTGTTGCAGTGCGAAAACCGGGCACTCTGCGGTACGATGCCCTTTACGACAAGTTGCAGACCATTTGGTGAGTTGACAAGGCTAGTGAGGGTCGTGTCATACTGATGATGGCTTTGGATCGCCAGCACACTGCAGCATCGCCGGACGTGGTACGGTGACTGTATATGTCGGCTAGTGTTACCGGCATTTCGTAATCTGGATAGTGCTATTCAGCGAACTCTGGAATGTCATCTCGAAGTTGTTGCGGACTAGGTAGCTCCGCCAGGCGTTCGCATTCAACGCGGCGTGTTGAAGTGTAAAGCCGTGTTGTGACAGTCTGGGGTGTGGCTTGCATTCATTTCGTGATGAAGACAGGGGCCGACCTCGACCCCTGGCTGGAAGCTTTCTCCGTCTTATGCATGAGGATCAATCTGGTAGACTCAGTGATGCGGTGCTTCTGATCATGGAGCTCGAACCTGTACGTCGGCAAACACAGTTCCAGGACACAATGCATAGGAGTCCGCATTGATTCATGGCCGGATGATGCAATTGCCTGTCTTGTCCGCTGGCGATGTGAGGCTGAGTTGGCCAATTTCCTGACTGCGCAATCGCTGATCTGGCAAGGATCAGATCCTGATCTCCACCAAGGATATCGCTGTCGACAACATAGGTCTGAAGGACCTGTGACTTCGATGTCGCTATAAGCGCAGTAGATCTTCGTGACCAATCCCATATGCAATTATGGCGTCGCCCACTCTTGTTATGTGGCACTCCTAGAAGCGCAACCTTGTCGCAGCCTTTTGATTTATCGTTTCGACATTAGGCGAGGTCGATTGCTGTGGTGTAACAGAACCCCTGGCAAGGGGGAGGCGCCATGGCGGGACGGCTCGGGGCTGTTTCCTCGTTCAACAAGCTCGCTACTGGGGTACATGCGATGCATCGCAATCGTGGCCCTTGACTATCGGCAATCAAGCATGTGCAAACGGTGTCTTGTTGGCTCCTTTTGAATTCTTGTAGAAGGCAACGTCGAGCCAGGTCAGCATCCAATTGCGAAACATGCCGGAGCTGTGCATATCCACAGTACAGGCCATATACTTGACTTTGATGAGCAAGAGTATCACAAAAGATGTACCTGCTTCATACTTTCCAGTAAGCCTTCGAAGGCGAACACAAGTCCCCTTGAGGCACTTGCGGGCTGAAGATCGAACATGCTAGGTACCCATCTTTCAAGCCATACTCGCATTGGAGGCAGCACGAGGTCAATCGATGGCAGAATTAAAGCACCTGCGACCGCCTCAAAATGGAAGAAGATCAATCGAGATGGGTATCTCGTGCCTTGCTCAAGTCCTCGGACCATGTTGACCTCGAGGAACGGGAGGATGAACCCGTCGCAAATAGGAAGGCGATTGCGTACCTGCTGTTGTGGGATGCACCTGCATTAGGATGTTCTGCAAGCAACCTAACCTGGCACACGCAAGTCTGCAATGCTCACCTAGGCAGTGACCGCTTACAATCCTACGTGTACCAACACATTTGATCTTGCTGGCTTCGGTCCATGCTGGAGCTCATCATAGTCAAGCCAGCCATCCGAGCATTTCTCGTGGCGGTCACTTTCGATCTCATGCCTCGGTGTCCGAGAAATCCAGCCAACGATGAAAGGACTGGTTAACTTTTATGCGGAATGCCTGAAACTCCTTCGTCCCATCATAATAATATGGATCAGGTGGAGAGACATCTACTGCAGGGCCACGTCTGCTTGAGGCTTCGTGCATGGGTTCGGATCCGTGAATTGGCGAAGTACGGATCAAGTCGGGACAAGGTGCAGAGAGGAACCGACCTGTACCTCAAGTATCTAGGTAGGCACAGCAATCTCAGGAGAAGTGTCTCTGGTCCAAAGCTGGAGTCTACCGCAGAGTTGTGAAGGTGTCTCACCAAATCTGTGCACCCGGACACTGGGGATGAAAAGTGGCATATGGGACAGAAAGGAGGGGCGAAGATATTGACGACACAAATACAAAACTCGGAAAGTCCGACTGAAAGATGCAATGCAAAATATGTGTCGATCCTGTATCCCAGATGTCGTCAGACTATATCATTTTCCACTTTTACCTGGGTACCAAAGGGACGTCTTTCTTCCTTCAAATCTCCCCCAGCCCTTCTCAAGTCTCAAAACCTTTGCTCTCCTGGCTCCCATCATCAACCTTCCTGTTTGCGGTACGTGCAGTGGAAGAGAAGATATCTTCTCAACAGAACAATCCCGACACTCCTCGTGTCAAGTCCAGCAGGGACTTCCAGTGAGCGTCCTAGCCCACTCCAGACATTCGAATGTTCAGGGCATAAATCACGAAGAGGCTTCGTGTTGTTCTGGCTGGTATGTAACAGTCAGTGCACAGACAGTGGCAGCCGTAAAGGTCGCCAGCCCTACCGAATTCCTGGGCCAGCCCGCCATGTCTCGGACTCGAAGGTATGGAAATGTTTCAAAAGGGCCAGCCATGTTTCTATGCCTAGGTATAAGTCGAGAGTCAGGCGTTGTTGGATCTATGAGTTGCGCTTTTGCTGTTTATTGTCACTCATTCCAAGATGCTTATCTCCAATTCTCTTGTTTCTTTCACATTCCCGTTCTTATTATGCATCAGTCCCATCGCCGCCTTGGGACCGGGTCGGAACGAAATCGCAAGCGATGCGCAGGACTTGCTTGATAACCTCAAGCTGTCTCATCGAGATCTCGTAGCCAACCTGAGACGCCGAGATCCGAACGCGGAATACTGGACAAAATTGGCCGGGTCGCAGCCTTCAGGCACTCCCAGCACTCTTTCCGATGAATTGTCCCACGTCCTGGGCGATCTGGGCAGCTCACTGAACCAGCTGATCCAAATCCTATCTTCTCTATACGACATCGCTCCTCCAATACTTGTTTCCGATTCTTCTTCTTCAACCGTCTTACCCATCACTGCCCTCAACACGGCATCATCGACCGCGACGACACCTGCGACAACACTCGTTACGGCACAAGCAACCATACCAACCACGACAACAGAAGCGACACCAACCACAATATCAGTAACGAGCCCAACCACGGCACCAACAACGACATCTGCCCCTGCTTTTACGACAAACACCAATATCACATCCACTATTCCGTCGTCCTCCTCGAGCACAACCTATACCTTCAACCCCCAAGCCTCCAACCTCAATGTCGTATACTACTCCCAAACCGACCTCACAAGCAAAGTCCCACTCACCCAAATCTGCAACGATCCCTCAATCGACATCATCATCCTGGCCTTCGTCACCGAATTGTTCGCGAATGGAGGCTGGCCAGCCTTGAACCTAGGCTCGAACTGCTGGGCCGCCAGCGCCGCACAACAAGCCGCCGGTGCCACGGGCCTGCTCGACTGCGTCGGCGACGGCTTCAACTCGCAGATCACGACGTGCCAGTCTCAGGGGAAGAAAGTCCTCCTCAGCCTCGGCGGATCGACCGGCAACCTAGCCATCCCCAGCGACGAAATGGCCCTCGAAGCCGCGAACACGCTGTGGTCTTTGTTCCTAGGAGGTTCCAACGCGTCAACATCCCCGATTCGCCCGTTCGGTAGCGTCGTCTTGGATGGAATCGATCTTGGTAAGTACCACAACTCACCATGGCATCCTGCTTTCCTTTTGTAAAACCATATGTCGGGCTATAGCTAACTTCTTTGCATAGACAACGAATCCCCCTCCAACGAACCACATCTCGCAATCTTAATGTCCACACTCCGCAGCCTCTTGGCCACCGACACCTCGAAACAATACTATCTCACCGCCGCCCCTCAATGCCCGCAGCCAGACCAATCGATCCCTGTTCCGGAATTGTTACCGTACATCGACTTCTTCGGCGTGCAATTCTACAACAACCCATCTTGCCAAGTCAATGCTGGCCAAGGCTTCCTCAGTTCGGTCCAGTCATGGTCGCAAGCCCTACAAAATACTTCAACAAGTAAGCTGAAGCGTTCGTCGTCGCGATTCTGGCCACGTCAATCCGCGAGTAGTATGGCTGGGACTTTCGTGAATATCAACAATGGCGTTACAGCGCCGAGATTGCTGATCGGAACGCCGGCATTTGCAGGTGCCGGGTCCGGGTTTGTTAGTGTGTCTGAGTACCAATCTATCTTGCAACAAGTTGCAGCATTGGACCTGCCTAATCTTGCGGGCGCGATGTTCTGGGACGGAGCGTACGAGGTAGAAAGTGGTGGTGGCGACAATGGAACGACGTATGCTCAGATTGTGAGGGAAGTGTTTGCGTAGGAATACTCACGAAAGATGCCTGAAGATCAAATGTCATCTCATATGATAGCTATCTGAATTATGATATACAATATATTACCAAATTTTACAATCATGCCTTCCTGGGGTCTCCGGGGTCTCTCAGCTAGCATCTTCTTCGTGCAATCATTGGACAGTCAAGGGCAAAAAATCATGCACTACTCATGGCTGCCAGGCTGTCCACCAGGAGGCATGGAAATAAGTGGCCAAGTCAAAGGTCCAGGTCCGTCAAAATAGTGGTTCGGTTGGAAAGACATGTACGACTCGGTGCCGTGCACTCCATTGACTCCATTCATCCCATTGACGCCGTTCACACCGCTCTGGGAATGTGGCGGCGTGGGATAATTGGCGTAGATGTTGCCCGACTCATTAAGCAACGAAGCCAGCGAAGTAGGGACGGCCTGGACTTGGCCAGGCGTTGAGAGAGCTGTTATTGAATTCGAGTATGCTGCCGGGAAACTCGGCGAAGTGACTTGATTTTGGCCCTGCGGCTGTGGCAAAAACGCGAACGACAAGGGCGACCATTGCGGCGGTTGATATGTGGCGGGAGATAGTTGTGACGGACTTTGTGCTGGCATAGAACCTCCAGGAATGAACATAGGTGGTAGAAGACTGTTCCGGCGATCGGGCAACGTGCCGTTCTCCGTATACTGCAACGCATTCTGATTCTCGAGGTCGTACTGGCTCATGCCGGATCCGTTCACAGCGGCAAGTGGTATCTGTATTTTGGAGGGTTTGATGTCGATTAGAAGCCGCCGGTACTCTTCCACGAGAGTCTGAACACGCTGGTGGAATAGTCCCTGTAAATGGTTGCCAGTTCCTGTTTGGATTGTTAATGACTCCAATATCTCTTCACTCGGGTCAGTACTTACTCAAAACGAGGTCGGCATAGGCCATCAACGACATCCATCCTTTCAATTCGTTCCTCATGGCTTCAAATTGCTCGAGTGTCGTCCGGCCCGTTTTTCTTCCATACACGTACAGGGTGATGCCAAAGCCCATGGCATATGCCAATGTCGAATGCCAGGTAAAGTCGACACCTTTGTACCTGCTAGACAAGGTATGGAAGGTTTGCAGAAGGCGCTTGGCGGCCTTATGACAGATCTCAAGGTGCCGCTCCATGACCTCCGGATCGTCACTTGCACAACATACCGGATGGTAAAGGTTCAACTGGTATTCAGCCGCCCATGTCTCCATCAGAAGGGTCGCCACGTGTAGGTTGACCTGTTTGGACTCATATTTGATGGATTCGTCCCAATCTTGACGCCAGGCCACGATTTTCGTATTTAGTGCATCGACGGTCTGCAGATACTCTGCCGCAGGCTTTCTGACGGCAATGACGTGATTGTGCAATTCCGTTAGCAGGGGAAGTAACTTCGCAAGCTGCAGACATGGCCAGAAATCACACAAGCCTGATAAGTCGGAAGAGATCCCTTGCTTGGAGATCTCCGAGTCTTTGATCGGCTTGGGAAGCGGTAGATCAATGTGCTGGAACTGCCACGGCGCAGGCAAACCCACTCTGCAACCAGTCGTTACACATACTGCCAGTATGGAATGAAAGATCCGTTTCCGCAGTTCTTTTGAGAGGGGGTCGTCTTCGCCTTCGGGCAGCTCAATCTTGTCGGGATCTCGATGATATTCCAATTCGATCGCTCGGACGAGCACTTTATGGACATAGTTCCAGGAAATCCCGGGCTTGGGCAGATTTCGAAAATGGACAATGATGAGAGCCATCGCTTGCATAGATGCGATCGATTTGTCATGCCAAAGTTCACGGTAGAAGCCCAGCGCATAGTGTAAGTATCTGTGGGAGTCTTCAAATTTCTCGGCTGCGTGGTAATGGTTACGCACTGCTGACTGGTGAGCAATGATGGCGAAGACCACAAACAATTGGACACGCTCCGGCGCACTCAGCGAAGACGGTTGGTCGTAGAATTTGTGTACGACTTCCATAAAGGATGGCCGGTGTACCACGGGGACATATTGCGACATGATGACAAGGAAATGATTGGCGTCTCGCAGTGCTTCTTCTCTTGGGGGTGCCTTGGGATCCTCCACCCGTTGGAAACCAGTGATGGTGTTGATGATGGATGTTCTCGACAGGTTAAACCGGTTCATGATATCTTTGGGATACTCCTGCATCATCTCACTATCCCAGCCGGCAATGTCTATTGTGCCATCGAGGATATCAACCAGGGTTCCTTTGACTGGGCCCGAGCAGAGAGGCGCAGAATTTTCCGGTGCTGGCCAGCCGACATAACGCGCTTCTGGAATAGAGGTCGCAGGAAATCCGAGCGGTACGGCCACAGGGTCTTTTATTGTCGGATGGACTGCGCCATTCGTCTCAGAATGCTGCAAAGGGCCGTATCTGATTTGATAAGCGGCCAATTGTTCCTTCAAGTATTGTAATTCGTTTTCTGCGCGGTCTGTCTCTCCTCTTTCTCTGGCATGACCCGTCACACGATCGGTGGTATAACAACGTAGACCCTTCTGGCGGCATGGTTGACAGGCAATCGGATCGGTGTCGCATTTCATCTTCCGCTCCTTGCATCGGTCGCATGCCTGCCCCGTACGGGAGGTGGCAGCGAGCTTCTTTCGCACCGCATCGCTGTATTGGGCGGGCTCTTCGGCGGACAGAGTCTTTATTTTCTTGGAGGGCGGGCCATGATCATCGTAGGCAGGGGACTTTCGTTTCGAAGGAGGCGTATCCATGGGACGGGTACCGTGTTTGTTTGGGTGAGAGAGGAGAAGAGTCTTAGTTCATGGCAAGTACCGTTGCGAAAACGGAGACGGCGATGCTTTGAGCCCCAGTGAATATCGGGCAGCTGCAGGATCTGCCAGGCGCGGGGCGACCTATGATGCAGGTCGCACAAGGTTTGAAGTGTGGCAGGGCACTGCAGGGCAAGGAAAAGGACGAGCACGACGAGCGTGGACGAGTTGATGTTTCCGCCGATCGAGACTGGAGTTGTTGCTGGGTACTGGTAGTGAGTGGATGGAGTGCGAAGAAGATCGTCCACCACGGTCCAACGGTGACGACAACGAGATTTTTAGTTAAAAGATGATGCCCTGATCAGCCCGTCGGGGCGCTGGAGTTCATTTAAGCGACCCTATGAATTTGAACTGGGAAGACTTTTCCGAAACTCCCGAACTCTAGATCTCTTGTATCCGTAAAAAACCCAACCATGTTCGCAGCCTTTTACTGTTCAACTGTCAATTCTGCAGTGGACAATGGAGCTATCGTTTCTCCCGAGCCAAGTGTATCCACGCCCTGAATTTTGTTTGTTCCCTGAGTATACAGTAATCATGTTGTTGTCTACAGTGATTTCAAGCACGTGACCACCAAGGTTTCCCTATTCTTTTTTCCACGCCTTGCTGTTCCTTTCCGCTGAGCACTGACCCGCAACAAGAAATCTCCGGTCAGCGTTCTAGAACATCGTTGAGGTCCGTTCTCGTGCTGGTACTTGATACATGTCAAGCATGTTGTCCTGAGCATGCGATCAAGTGGACATCTTAGCCATCGCCATGGGCATAAGCCGTTTCATCACAGATCATCAAATCGGAGCACAACTGACACTCAAGGAAATGCTCAAAGTCCCGAAACAACTTCAATCCGGTCTGACGGAGCCACGCTTTTCATAGAGGACCGCAAAGGAGATCGGCGAAACCTGGAGTATGCGTCTGCGGATCGCTATGCTATTCCACGATACTACGCAGCAGGCAATGGTGGCTTGATCGGGTTGGATCGAAAGTATCGCATCACATCACGGTCTGAAAGTCGTCGCGAAGTCGAGAATGTTGAGCTCGATTCCACCAGGAGGCCACGTAGACAATCCTTGCTCACGAGGCCTGTCGGCGAAGATGAACCAAACGTAAAGCTGTCATCCCATTCCAACAACAGCGACGATCTGCACGATGACTTTATCACATTCGAAGACAGCCGGCCGCGAAAGAAGCGGCGAACATCGGGCCAAAGTCTCCCGTATTCTTCTTCCCAGGAAAGTAGCGACGAGTCCGATGTAGATACCGATCAAATTAGCACCCATGACGAATCTACAGACGCCTTCGACGCTTTCAAGAACGATCCCACCCATCGTCGTTATCTAGAGCTTTCTAGAGCTACGGCCGAAAGTCCCACGAAGCCTGAAGTGTGGCTTGCCTTTATTGATTATCAAGAAACCTCGTTCAATGGCCGACAACGTGCTCGGGATATAGGAACTGCTTCCTCGCGGAGCCTCGCGGAGCTGAGAATCTCCCTTTACGAAAAGGCACTATCTCATGTCAGAGACCTCAAAGGCCGCCATACCTTGATACTCGGGCTGATGCGCGAAGGCAGTCAGGTCTGGGACGTGCAGAAACAGACTGCGCAATGGGAGACCTTTCTTGACAAGGACGCATCGTTCGACCTGTGGGCCCTTTACCTGAATTTCGTGCAGGGAAATGCGCTGCGCTTCAAAATGGAAACGTGCCTGGAAGTTTACAAACGGTGCTTGCAGAAGTTCGAAAGAGGTACAGATGAGCATGTCAGGGATTCACAATGCATCTACCTCATCTTGCGTATGACGGTGTTTCTGTGGGACGCTGGTTATACCGAACAAGCTGTTGGGATGTGGCAAGCCATGCTCGAGTACAACCTCTTCCGGCCCAACCTCATAACAGCAAATGACCTTATTCCAGCCTTGGAGCAATTTTGGACGGGCGAGGTACCCAGGATTGGAGAAGAAGGAGCTGCTGGTTGGTCATCAAATACCAATGTGGAAGTCAAAGAAAACGCCGACAAGCAACACCCGACGCTCCAAGCTCTCGATTTTGCCTCATGGGCAGCAGCCGAATTTGATCTTGATCGAAATGCAGGTCTCCCAGCAAGAACTTTGGACGATGTAAGCGACGACGATCCGTACCGAGTCCTCTTATTCTCAGATCTCAGCGATTTCCTTTTCTCTATCAATGCGGAAAAAGGTATCAGGCTCCTTCAGGATGCTTTCCTCCTATTCGTTGGGCTGCCGCCACTAACGACATCATCTGAATCCAGAAGCTGGAAACATGATCCTTTTGTCTACGGTCGAACACCCAGCTCATCGAGGTTTGCTCCACTGCTCAGCAGTGAAAAAGAAATGCCCAGCCCCTCAGTCGTCTTACCAGAAATATATTTCACAATCAGGGCGGTCATTTCTCCTCCGAACTCCGCCTTGCCGGCTGCTGGCAGAGTAGCTGGTGTGTATTTGGACTTCGTCCGCCGAGCCGTTCTGCAGTTGACATCGTCTCCCATCTATGGCCGGTCTGATGAACTAATGATGGAATATGGTGTCGCTATCGAAGCTGCCATTGATTTGAAATCTGCTCGCAAGATGGCTCGGGCTTTTCTAAAGCGAAAGCCCGACAGCATGCGGCTATACAACATCTACGCCCTGCTTGAGTGCCAGCTTGATAATTTTGGTGCTGCAGAGAAGGTATGGTCGACTGCACTATCTATGCAAAAAGCCCTGAAACCAGACGCTACACGGCAAGCTTTCGTTCTATGGCGTGACTGGGCGTATTCATGCATGTTTTTGAAGAAGTTCCATCAAGCCAGAGTTCTTCTCAGTATGATAGCAGACGCAAATTTCGACCCCGCCGAGATCCTAGTTGCACAGGAGGAGGCTCCCTCGCCTGCCACTCAGATCGAGGTTGAACAACATATCAAGTCCGCGTTTGAGGCTTGCCGACTTTCAGCTCAAAGCGATCTGCTTCCAGTTCTAGTTGACCTGCTTGCTATCGCAAAATATCTCAACAATGGGCTCTGTATTGACTCAGCAATGGGAGCCTATGATGCGGCCGTAGAAACAATCGCCAGCTCGCCGACGGTAGGTCGTGGTGTGATTGAGACCATACATGAGTGCCGAGCACGACTACTTCACGCCCATGCGACGATGTTTGGACAGCCATTTAAGCCCAGGGAACTTTGGCAGATACTGTCTGAGTCTATCCGAAGTTGTCCAGATAATGTTGATCTTCTTTTATTACAACACTTCTACTCACAGAAAGCTGGTCTGGTAGACCGCCTTCGACAGGTGGAATCTAGCGCAGTCGAGAACCACTCGCCAGCTGAAAGGAGCAAAAACGTCATTCCATGCGTGTTCGATGTGGTTGTTGAACTCAATCGGCCTTATTACTCGGGAAGCACGAATCACAGCATTCGGGCGGCTTTTCGGCGGGCTACAGAAAAAGTATCAGCTGGCCATGATTGCGTGGGGCTGTGGAAGGCATACGTGCTGTGGGAACTATCCTTGCTCAACAACGGCTCATATCCAAAGGCAAAGTCAATAGCCACCGAGGAAGGGAGGCGACCTCGACGTAATGAGCTTATAGACACTGTGTATGCCTCATTGCGAGCTTGCCCTTGGCCAAAGGAGCTCTACATGCTTGTTTTCGCCGATGAGGCTCTGAGGGACACCATTGGCACCGAGGGTCTGAAACGCTTGGCTGAGAGTATGCTGGAGAGGGGTCTGAGACTGCATATCGACTTCTCGGACTGGTTTCTATGAAAGCCTGGATAAGCGTCTAGAATGCCTGAATGATAACGAGGCTGAGAGAGGCTGACAAGGCTGAGGCTTGACTCGTAGATCTGAATGAAATGTTTTTAATGACTCGCTATTTCCGACTATCCCCGCACCTTTGCGAGTCTCCAAATTTTTTTGTCCTGCGCAGGACATTCAAAGGCACGCTGGCAGACTCAATTCTGCAAGAAAGTCTTATAGTGCTTTTCGACCTGACCAAAAGACCCCGGAGCGGTTGTTTCACGAAGAAGTCACCGATGACTCCTTAGAACACTTCTATACGGCATCGAGCCCTGCCATGACTTCGACGTTCGCTGCGCAGTTGCGCACCATCGCCGCACATTCCACGAACGAGTTAGATCTACGCGCTCGACGAGATGCACATGCCGAGTCACTCATCTTCGAGCGGAGCATTGCGGTCAAGCAAGACTGGGAGACAGTGTACCAAATATGTGTGGAAGGATTCCGAGAGTTGTGCCTTTTGGATTCAAGATTGAAGGAGTTCGAGGGAAATCTCTACAGTCCGCAAGCGAAAGACCAAGACAGAGAGCAATTGAGCAAAGCACAGAATGAGGCACTTGGAGTGGTCTTAGAACGATGTCTAGCACTGCTAGGCTCTAAAGTCATCCTGAGGCCTGGGCTAAGAGCCGTGGAGTGGCTTGTCAGAAGATTTCGTGTCCATGTCTACAACACCGGCGCCCTTCTGGCGACTCTCCTGCCTTACCACGAAACCCCGATCTTCCAGAATGTCTTGAGCATAATTCCAGCCAACAAGCTCGTCAATGAGTGGAAGTTCCTGAATCCATACCACAAGGTGGCCCCCAGCGTTCCCCGCCACGCCTTGATTTACACTGCTACCAACAGCGATCCCTTCTTTTCCTACTTTAACAACCACACACTTCGCGCATGTCAGGATGGCGCCGGTCACTCGCAACTGTTGCGCTTCTGGGGCAGTATGTTTATCGAGGCGGTTGCAGCCAGATTGAACCAAGTGAAGAGCGGGAGAAAAGAGGTGGAGAAACAACGATTGGAAGATGCTCTGTTGAAAATATTCCCCGTCCTGGTTGACGGATTCGCAGCCAGGGAATACCCCGAGGTGATTGTAACATGCTTTACCGTCTCCCTTATCTTGGCGAGCAACTCCAATCTCGAAGACAGCGTTCTCGACTCTATGTTGAGAGCAGTGGCGCCATTTGTCACCGACGCCGATGTTGACCCAAAGTCAGCTCTGGCTTGCGTGGCAATACTGGCTGGCAGAAAGACAGATCGAAGGTTGCCGAAGATTGTGTTGGAAACTTTGATGAAGGTTCGCGATTTGAAGACGAGACTGCTCGAGCTGAGAGGCCATGTCACTGACGACCTTTTGGAGGCCTTGATCAGCTCTTCACTCTCTGGGATCAAAAAATCAAACCATGCTTCTCGACTATCGTTCGTTGAAGGGCTGCTAGAGATGAGTCTTGATCTCTCAGATCGAACTGCGATTAGTCGTTTTGTTGCAGTCCTGCTTCGGAAACTACCCAAGAAGGACTCAACAAATGCAGCAGACTCTGCCATCCGGGCAGAAATAATTGGACTATTGCAAAAGTTGAACGACAACACAGCCTTCTCTGCAACGTTTCCTAAAGCTGTACAGCTGGCAGGTCAATCTCTAGCCGATGTTGAGACGGCTATCGAAGGCACGATCGAGTCCACCAATGGTGTCTACCTGATCGAGCCTGCTCCGATGGACGTGGACAGCACTCATCCTGAGGACTCTACAGATGCTAAAGCGATTGAAGCTATGTTGGCCAGCTTGCCTTCCAAATCCGTCGAGTTGTCCTTTCTGAAGACCGGCCACTCTGCACTATTTGACCAACTTCTTCAAGCGTTCGCACTATGTCAGAAGAATGATGACCAGCTTGGAATTTTCCAATCGCTTCCACTATGGGGTCAAAAAGGCGAGCAGTCCTCGGATCTGCGAACAAGTTTTTTCTTAAAGGTTGCCTGCATTGCAGTGCCAGCCCAGCAAGTGGCCGCGCTTCGAATCATTGCAAACTTGATCACAAGTTCACCTCGCCAGCCATCTCAATTCCTAATACCTTACTTCACGGTTCTGCTGGCCGATTCAGCCCAGTCAGTGAGACGTTCAGTGGTTGCCTGTTTATTAGCCCTCAACGACAAAATCTCGAAGATGGCCAAGGAAGACGACGACCAACAAAAAGCGACAGAGACTATTTATGATGGCCTCGCTATGGTTGAGACTAAGCGGCTGGCTCCTGGGCAGGCAGCCAAGATCTTGGGCCAGGTTTATATCCCCGTTCTGGAAGAATGTGTTCTGGACGCATCGCACATTCGCCAGGTGTTAGAGACTGCGTTCGACAGTGCGGCTCGTTCGTCATCGTCTGGTGCTAGGACAGCTAACGTGGAATTGAAGAAGTCACTGAAGCATGATTTATTCGAGCTTCTGATCGACGCCGCACGGGGTACTCCGGTCTTCAGGGTCAAAGTACGCCTTGTTGAGCTGCTCCTTGGTGTCCCGAAAGTGGGCACTACTACCACAAGCAAAGCGCTGGCGCCTGTCCTCAAGGAATGGGCATCTCTGACTGAGACCGACGCCAAGTCCACTGCCAGCTCCGCCAATCTCTCTCCATCGCAGACTGACGCGGTCATGGTCCAACTCATCAATCCACGTGGTAAGGATGCAGTCGGAGAAGCACTAGCGATGCTGAATTCGGGAAATTCACAGCTGAGATCTGCTCTGGTGTCGGCGTTCTTTGATCGGCTGGTTTCCATTTGGCAAGACATGAAAGAGGAGACGCAGATATCGTCTGCAGTGACTCTGTTCGATATGGCCTTTTCTGACAACGCAGCCATCGCAGGAGGAGCCCGAGATGTGTTTCATTCTGCCAACCTTTCCACAAGTGTACTTTCCACGTTGCTTGACCACGCTTGTTCAGGACTGGCTCAAATGCCAACAGAGGTGCCAGCCAAGAAGCGCCGAAGAACCAGTCATGGGCGTGCAAGCATTCCCAGAGATACGACGATGGAGTTAGACGTTGCAGACTCAAGACTGACTTTCGCGCTCGAGATCGTGGAGAACTCGAAACCAGAGAATCACCCGCAATTGTTAGGCAATCTGTTCGAGGTGTTGATTACGCTCAGACGTCTCAAAGACAAGAGCACCACAGAGTCTCCATACTTGCTCAGTTTGTGTCTGAGCAGTATCCTAGCCATCATCGACAAAGCTCGACAGTCACGGAAACCCAACCTCGACATGTCAAGCATTCGTGCAGATTTGGTGACTGACTGCGTCCGCTCTTCGGGAAACCCACAAGTTCAAGCCACGGCCTTGTTACTATCGGCATCTCTGGCTTCTTTGGCCCCAGAAAGAGTATTGCACACTATCATGCCAATCTTCACTTTCATGGGTCACGGCATTCTGTCAAAAGAGGATGAACGATCGATCTACGTCACAAACCAAGCCATTGACCATATCATTCCTCCCTTGGTCAGTACGCTCAAGAAGCAAGATGCAAGGAATCTCGTCCACTCCACATCCAGTCTACTGACCAGCTTCGTCACCGCCTATGACCATATACCGCAGCATCGGCGGACAGCCTTCTATCAAAGACTGCTGAACAGGCTGGGAGCCGAGGACTTTGCGTTTGCAATTATCGCATTGCTTGCTTCTAGGAAAAGGCGCCAAGATATCTCCGGCTTCTTCACGGACTTGATCGGAGGATTGCCAGCAGTTACTCAACTCTCTACACACAGGAAGCTCTTGGGATTGGTCACGGATATCTTTTCGCCCAAGCCTCATAACGCTGAACCATTGCTTGACATCACCAAGTCCAGCAAGCCAGAGGAGCGGGAGCGAGAAGCAAAAGTACTCTTGGAAGCTACCGCAAATGTACTGGGCAATAAGGGTCTGAAAGCCCAGGTCAAGCGGATACATAAGCTTCCTGAGTCTGATGTCGAAGATTTCTGGGCAGAGTACAGGAATTGCATTCCGCAGTTGCTGGCTTTGCTGAAGGACCAAAAGGCGCACCACCCAGCCCTGATAGCCTCCACCAGACGGTGCTTGAGTGCGCTACTAGAATTGCCCTCACTCGCAGAACTCCTCGAAGTCACGCCCAGTCTACTGCAGGAGATGGACCAGATCGATGATAAGGAGCTCCAGCCTCTCGCCCTGCGGGTGCTAGCTACGCAACTCCAGAATAACGCACCCAAGGACAGCAAAACTCAATCTGCAGCCATCGCAATTCTTCCCACCATCGAGACAATCATCAGAACAACTCAGAACGAGGCCTTTAGACATGCCGCTATCACATCCTTGGATCGAATCGTGGAAGTCTACGGTCGCAAAAGCCCCGACCAGATCATCTCTACGTCAAATGTGCTCATGGAGAGCAACACTGGTCTATACTCCGAGGACACAAGAACACAAATCATGTCTCTACTTTGCCTGGCTTCCGTGGTCGAGGTTCTGAAAGAATCAGCCGTCCCACTTGTACCACCATCGATGTCAAAGGTGCTGGATCTGCTGGACGTGAGCTTACACTCGGTCGTCAGGAATGTCGTGCTGCACAACGCCGCATTCACACTGATATCCTCGTTCATCACCCACGTGCCTTTCATGGTCTCGGATGAAAATGTGGTCGCGATCCTGAAACTCGCCCACAAATCGTCTCGAGCCAAGTTGGAAGCATCATGCAAGGAATCGAGAATCGAGACGTTAAGTCTCCTCGCGCAGAAGATGGATCTCACTTCGATCACGACCAGTCTCAACCAGGTGTGGACTGAGACCCTTACCGACATCAACGTCGAGACGGCCACCGAGTATCTCGACGTGCTGGCCCAAGCCATCGAGAAGAACACGAAAGCCACGGTCGTGCGGTCTGCAGAGTCCATCTCCGAATTCATGCTGCAGGTTCTCGACCTCCGACGTCAAGAATCCTCCCTATCAGCCGAGGACATCGACACGATCGAATCCAAGTTACAAGCATTGAGCATCCCATTCATCTACAAACTCAACGACACGGCGTTCCGACCCCTGTTCGAGAACTGGGTGGACTGGGCTGTCAAAGCCTCGGATCTGGACGATGACGCCACCGCAGACCTGGAGGGTGCAAAGTCAGCTCGCCAACTAAGTCTCTTCCGCTTCGCAGAGCACTTTTTCTCCACGCTCAAGAGCATCGTGACAAGCTACGCAGGGTATATTCTCGACCCGGCCAACGCGATCCTTCGCTCGGTGGCGGATTCAGCGGACGCGAACGAGAACATGCTGCCGCTGTACAAAGCCACGCTCAAACTCCTCACGACAGTCATGCAGCATGACGCGGATGGCTTCTTCGCTTCACCATCGCATTTCTCACCACTATCTGAGCTGTTGGTCAAGCAACTCACGCTCGCAGCGACAAAGGTCAAACCTCTCCGTGCCGTGGTGTCCAGCGCGGTCATCCCAGCGATTGTGGCTCTTGCAACGGCTACGCTCGATACGCCGGCTCATCATCACTCAATCAACCACGGTCTGTGCCAGCTACGGCACCATGCCTCAGGCCATGTCAGATTGGCCGCAATTCGCACGCACATTGCGCTCACTGAGAACGAGGACGTTGGCGAGGAGTGGGTGAATAATGTCGTGGTGGGCACGAGTACGGAGGGCGTTGGCGGTAGTGGTGAGACTATGGTCTATGTCAACGAGAGTTTGGAGGATGATGATGAGGATGTTGAGCGTGAAGTCAGGAGATGGGTCAGAATGGTTAGGGAGATGGTCGGAGAGGACGTGTTTGAAGTGTAGATACTCCTGCCGGCTCAATGTTGAGCTGAGGATCTAAGACTGCCTCTGCGATGGAGGGTAGATTTGATGGAGGTGAGGTATCGCACATATTGTATACCAAGCAAGAATGTGAACGAGAAACGGAAGGAAAGTAACAGGTCATTGAAAAAGAGTTATTGTCTATCTGAGTAACACGCAAGAACTGAAAATCAACATGAACAGTCATACCCCTTTTGGGCCAATACTCTCCCGAAGACGGAACGAAAGCAACACCAGGATGAATCCATCAAGCATTTCCACCCAACTTTTTTTCTGGACCAAGAGACTTTCGCCTGATGGTCTCTTTCATTTTCTGTTTTTCTTCTTCCCAATGATAAACAGTCAATATCAACCCAAACGCCCAAGAACTCCAACAATGCAATGAAAACATAGGAAATAACCCGAAAGAAAGCTGTCGTGAAAATAGTACCAGTCAAAGAAGAGAAAATGGAACTTTGTTGAGCCAGAGTCGTTCATCTCAGCACGCCCGACGCCGTTGTTGAGTTACTGGCTCTGCTTCATTGCCGCTTAGATGTAAAACATCGTCTTCTTCATGTCGCCATGAAGTCTCAGGCAGTCTTTGAAGTCGGCCTCATCGTACTCTTGTCTTTGGGGCGGTTCCTGCCCGCGAGGGGATGGATAGGGATTGTAATACTTGCGGACATAGCACCGGGCACGGTCAGCAGCAAGATCGGCATAGTAGATAGCAGGACACACTCCGACCGTGCGAGAGGATCTGCCGAACAGGTAGCATAGATGATGAGTGGTCTCTGCAATCTGCTCCAGAGTGTAACCGGGTTCGTTGACCAAGATATTGTAATGCGTTGGTCTGGCTGTACCTTGGATGGCTCTCTGGCTCACCAGGAAGAAGTCTTGACCATAGCCGTAGGTGATTCGATCTGTGACAAGGCAACCCGGCAGCGGATTCTCGTTGTCGCCCTGTTTGGTGCGTCCGATGATAGGGTTGTGGGCCTGCTTGCTTTTGACAGGATCAGGAAAGAGCCGGGTTTGGTTGCGCTTGACCGCACAGATAAGGACGATTTTCGGCTTAGGAACATTGATGGCAGGAAATGCTTCGTACAATTTGTCGACACCATTGCAGATTCTGGTGTACTCGTTGTGTGCGCACATGCTGAATTGTGAATCCGAGACGCCATCACGGTAGACAATGAGCTGGTCAGGCGTTTGCTTGTTTCGTTCGTAGTAGTCCACAAGACGTTCGAAGATCATGTCGGTAAGTTCGACGACCTCTTCTCTGGACTCCTTATCAGGATCATGAATCACATTCGGTTTCAAACTGGCCGGCCACTGTGAAAACGTCGGATCAACACTGCCGACACAGGCCGCGACACTTGGAGAACCTTTGACATGTCCTGCACCAGGATGTGTGACATCAATGCCGATGATCATGCTTCGTCTGGTCAGGACGGCTGACCTGCTTCCCTTGCTAGGATCTGTCATAGGACTGGATTTCGTTTGCGCCACTGGCTGTGAGTGCTGCACTGTTTGCGCTGACTGCAATGGTTTTGCTACTGGCGTGAATTGTGCAACACTTGTTGTCGCCTTTGCACTGGCTGGCTTGGCCACCGTCGTTGCACTTGGAGACTGTGGAGTTGACGTTGCCGCGATTTTCGACCACGGGAGGACGTCTGGTTTCACTGCAGTGCTCGACTTGGCGTTCCCTGGAGCAGCCACCGGTCCAGTCGAAGCTGGTGGCCTCGGTCCATCTGCCGCCTTACCTTTGCCCTTTCCATCTCCTCCGGCTGAAGGCTTTGTTTCACTCACAAAATCGGCCTCATCCGGAATGCCATGAAGAATTTGATTTGCGGCGTTAGTATCGAGCTTCAAGTTGATTTTCATGCAAAGATTTGCCAGACAGTCGGGTGTCCAATTTGGTGTCCAGTCGAGAGGGTCCTTTCTGGGATTGTCTTTTGGCGGTCGCTCTTTGCGGATGTAGTGACACACTGTCGCGATGCCGACTTCTTGATCACCAGCTTGCTTGATTGCAGTGTAAAGACCAATGTGGTACTTCGGCAGGATGATGACGGCGAGGTTGACTCCTTTGCGTTTCAGCACTTGAAGCTGGGCTTTGATTGCCTCATATTGCCTTTCAATGCTTCCGGTGTCGACTTCCGCAGGCAAAAGACGATCATCCTGCCACCTGAGGCCATGGGCGTATGGGAAACCTGGATTCTCAAAACGCATCTCTTTCATGCCATACTTTCCGATATCCTGTTCAAGGGATGTACGGAACTTGTCAAGCTGGTTGATGGGGCTTTTTATCGCACCATCACTTTTGGTCATTTCGAAACAAGTCCATCGCTTTCCGCGCGCCGGTCTGACGAAAGATACATCTTTCAACATCCATGACCCATTTTTGCAATCAGATTCACTGACCGGATTGTCTGAGTTTTGTGATGGACCATGACGCCGACCGTATCGAAGAGCCGGTGGGTCGACGATCTTGACGGAAACTTGTGCCATCTTGTGGTCAAGCGACAAGCCGAAGTCTGTTGCACCTCCTTCGCCGGCTGCACCTGGAGGACAGAACGTCTGCCAACCCTTGTTAGTGATCATCTGGTAGTTCTTCCTCGGTGGTCTGATCGCTCCAGACGGTTTTTCAGCTTGGCTTCTGTTGACTCGTCCGGGCAGAACTTCCAACCGATTTGCAGGTATGGTTGTATGCGTATTAGGGTCGTCCTTGCCGATCAAAACAACGTAGATGTTGTGGTCCATTTCCCAACGTTCCAGTCGATAGTAATAGTCGTTTACCATGCCAAGATTATTCTGTACTCCCTTGAGCTTCATGTGACATGCGTTGGCGATTTGCGGGTCTCTAGCATGGTCGAGACCTCTGACGGTGCCGAATTTGTCGATATTGTTGATGTGTGGAAGGACCCTAACAGGCAGCCCTTTCAGGAAAGAATCGAGTTGCGAATGATCCGAATCATAGTGGAATTCTGTCCAGGCTTCGATTATGTCTTGCACCGTCCCAACTTGTTTGACGCCATTTTCATCATAAAAGCTATGTTGCCAGAAATTCGCCGTCGTGGTATTGATGTTGAGGTCGATATTGCCCTTGGCACTGACGACGGTTCGAACGCTCCTCGAAAAGCCAGGGATACTGTAGAGCCCTCCAGTACTGGAAAAATAAGGCCCCGTGGCAGTCTCTTGATTGAGGTGCGTCACCACTCCATAGAAGTAATGTCCATTCGAAGTGGTCATCCGCGGTATCTCTGGTGGGTATTGTTGAGGGAAGCAGTCGCAATATGAAGGGAAGCTGAAAATTATATTCAAAGCTTCGACAGCAGCAAGTTTGTTCTTTTCCGTTTCAGTGTCAGACGGTCCTCGTGGCCCTTGCAGGCTGAGAGATGCGAGCAAATTTCTGAATGAGACAACTGTTGGTTCTCCGATTGTGATGGTATAACGCTTGCAGTTGGCGGCGGGTCGATCCTGATATTCGTCGTAGTATTCGAACACATTATCTTGTGGTAAGCTCCCTATCTCCAACGGATGAAGAGAGATAATTCGTGTGACAAAGTCGGTTGCGACTGCACGTCTCAAGCGCAGACGGTCGAATAGGAGACAGACAAGGCGTTTCTTCTTGACATTGGGCACTTTCTCAGACCTCTCTGCTTGACCAATAACATTGCCGCTGTTTGTACCCGCCGGCTTGCCGGCAGTTGCAGCTTTTCCTTCCTCCGTGAAAGTCAATTCATAGTCGTACACCTCCTCAGTTTTCCCAAATGAGACGGCGAAGTGGTTGGCGAAGAGGAATTTTCCGTCGTCGTTGAGGCTGAGATTTTGCGTCTTGCCGACCAAGCTGTCCTGACCGCTGGTTCTGTTGCCGTAACTGTTGTGTTGAAAGTTGCGCCCTTTGTAAGTGTTCCCGTCACGGCGCCAACCGGACTGGTTGTAGCCACGACCGGACATCTTGATTCTGGTGTCGGCTCAGATGGTAAGAAAATGCTGTACGATAGAACCTCATGTTGTTCAATGGCAGACACCTGAGATATATTGGGCAGGCGATGTTGCGCTCATGTTTGCTCATTCTGCCAGTCATCGTTTGTATCAACGGGCACAAACTTGAACCATGTTGCTGAATCTGTTTGTGCAGATCCAAGATGACAAACGGGCTGCTGCGTGTGATTCACAAACCAATTGAACAAAGAAGAATGGTTTGGCTGGGCATGTAAACTCTGCAAGCTCCGGAGATGAAAGCACGTTTGTCAGGCAGATCAATCTGAGTCAAGTAAGAATCATGCGAACGATCAATATACCAAGCAGACATTGCATGGTCTGACGGGGCATGGACAAAGGGCCAGAGGACAGAAAACGACACAAACCATGACGCAAAAGATGAAGAAAGATGCTGGTAAAGGTCTGATTCATGTTGGTCAGCTTGCAACAGCACACAACAATGAATTCGGCAAACAGTTAAGTCAAGAAGAGGTCGTACGTACCTGCTTGACGTGGATCGCTCGTCACATGGATTCAAAGCATTCAAAGAAAGCAAGAGCAAGCAAACTCACTGGAAGAGTCGACTAGCGGAAAGTGCGCTGTTCAGCTCATCCGCTTCGACTCGGTTTTCCCAGTCAGTTGGCCACGGAGCGAACTCTCTCGACAAAAGTCATGAGGATCTCTCACCGTAATGGACGTATTCTGATCCGGTGTTTTGGCCGCAAGAGACATCGTTTAGCCGCTCAGCACGACGCGCCGACGAGAAACTTATTGGTTCGTGACTGATTCGAGAGAATGGCTATGGCCATGGCCTGCTAAGCAGCACCGCACACAATGCGTCCGCGAACTCGTATCGAGGAAGACGGAACCGTTTGAGACGGTGAGGGAAGGATGGACAGGATGAAGAAGAAACACTCTCGCACTTGCAAGTAGAAAACACGCCAAGAACATCGGCCCCGGGTAGCAGTTTATCCGAATTCACCGCTTAAAAACCGAGGCTGACCATCCCAGGAGGTGCCAAAGGACGACCTAGGTACACTAACTATTAGGAAACATAATCTGAAGCTGGATCAGGCATAACAATTAATCCGAGAAAGGATGCTTCGCTATGGGGTATTGTGTACTCCTCAGTGACCATGCATCAGGGTAGCATCACACATCAGCTTGGATGCACAATCATACAAAACATCTCTTTTGGCTCATTGACACCCTCATGCGTAGTAAGTCATTCTGTTCATGCCCTAGAACTTCGAGTCTGTCTTGTCGGCCGTGATGCTGGTGGTTCAGCATTCTTCTTTGTCTTCCCGACGGTCTTGGTGTTCGTATCGGCAGGCTTCTTTGCCCGGGTTACACCCTTTCTACCACCACCCGCATTCTTCTTCTCTTTCAGAGGCGGCGAGGATTCTTCTTTGGCGTCCTTCATCTCCGTATCGTCCCCGTTCCCATTCACTTCATCATCAGCATCATCATCCTCGTGCACGTGGACTTCGGCGTCGTCAGCCTTTTCATCTTCTGGCCCCTCCTCGTCTTCGTCACTTAAATCGGGCTCCGAGGCATCCTCGTCTTCCTGCTCGTCATCTTTGGGAGGCGCCTTCTTCTTCCTATTCGAGCTCGGACTACCGGCAGCCCGATCGTTGACTTCCATCTCGACATCATCGTCATCGCTGTCTCCCTCAGCATACGAGACCGCATTAGACATGCGAGCACTTTTGCGTGACGGCATTTCTGAGCTTGGCTGCCCAATGCTTTTCCTCTTCGGTTTAGGTGTCTTTCTGATTCCAAGTGTGGTCTTTCTAGCCTTCTTGACAACCTTCTTTATCTCCTCCCCATCGTCATCTTCGATGTCCGGGCCTACGGCATCGCTCTTTCTCTTCTTGCTGTTGGCCAAAGCCCTCTTTTCGGCCTGACCAGTCTTCTTGAGAGATCTCGTATATGTCCTTACAAGCTTCTCAAGTCCACTGGCCACGTCCTCGGGCAAATAGTTCTTCTCGGCAATCTCTTGAGCCGCCTCATGACTTGGCAAGGCTTTGAACAACGACCGAGGCAAGGTGACGTTGCCGGGCCATGTCTGAAGGAGATTAACACCCTTTGCATGTGCTGGCATCAAATCCGTGTAATTTCTAATAACAGCCTGTGCAAGATCAGAAAGCACATACAGTCGCTCACTGGCCTCCTCCGTGCCAGTGACCGCATCCCTCGTGCCCTTCACGCGTTGTGCAATGTGGAAGATGAGTGACAAGTTATCCTCAGTTGCCACAGCCGAGAGGTAGAAGATAATGTACTTGGAAAAATCCAGCAATTCGCCATCAGGATCAGCACTCTCTTGGGAAGGATAATCAGGATGGTGCGCCAGCAAACTGAGCAACCGGGCAAAGATCGACTCCATCACATTTTGATGCATCTTTTTGTCCCCAGACTTGGATTGGAGTTGCTGCTTCGCGAAGTATTGTACGCGAGCTTTTATCCAGGTCAGCGTCGATGTTCGAAGCTCAACATCGGGCTCGAACGCCAACAGGAAGAAGGAGGTAAACCAGCGATGTGCAAGACGATTCGATCCCAAGTATTTCTTCAGGTAGTTGACAAAACCAGTCCGTACCGCAATCGGAGGATAGATCATGACTATTAAGATAGAGATGAACATGGTCGGCTTGATGAAGTCCTCGCATTTGTGTTTGTGAGCGCAAAGCTTCAAGATGAAATGGATCGCGGTAAGCCTCAAGCGATTTTTCTGTGCAGGTGGTGTATCCCTTGAGGGAGTAATTTCGCCCTCATTTTTGATCACTGACGTGAGAAAGTTGAACGCCTCCTTTGCGGCTTGTTCAAATTCACCACTCTCAGACTTTTCGTCGTAGGATCGGCAGCGATTGACCAAGATCTTCAGCGCAAGTTCCTTCGCCATGGATTCATCATCTATTGATTCGATCCATGCATTGGCATCCTCTTCTGAGCTCGGCGAGCGATTCTTCCGCAGAATGTCCCCCACGGCAAGCTGTTGAATAGCATCGCTTTCCTCGTTTGCTATCGCAGGCACAAGCAGACAGATCTGCGATATCGCCGCAAGCTGGGCCAGAAAATGTGCGGAGTCCGGTTGACACTGTTTGAGAGCCTTCGACAGGATGTCCTTGGCATACATCTCCTTCTTGTCCGCTACCATAACCACAATGGATACTGCATGTTTCGCAGCCCGCGGGGATTTTGAGAACAGCGCAAAGCTAGTAAGCGCAGTCAAGAATCTGCGGTCTTTTGGCACATCAGCAGGATACTTCCTGGCAAATCCTGCACAAGCTTTCAGCGTATCTGCTGAGCCTGACGCTTCAGCTTTTACTGCTGATGGTGCACTCTCCTCGAGCTCTTTGCAGAGCGCTTGAATGTGGGACTTGAGGACCTCCGGATGTCGAGCTGATATCTCTTTGAGTACTTCCTGAGCGGCTTCTCCGAGCCCGCTCTCATCCGTTCTCGATACCTCCATGATGGTGGGGACATGGCTGCGGTTGTAGGTGATTAATGCGCATCGGTAAAGGATACCCTGGATGGTGTCGTTGATAGACTGCACGTTGGTTGGGCCTTCACGAATGCGCTTGATGAGCTCTTTGATTGCTTTCGTGACAGTACGGTAATCGTGCTCAGGCCCTGTGGCAAATCGAATCAGTTGATACGCACGACGATCGTGTTGCTTTGCAAACTTCCACAGATCCGCTGCGACGCCACTCGGATCTGGGAATGACTTGGATATGTGCTCAATGTACCGATTGAGACGATCCTTGATGGCGTCCTCAGATTCGTTGTCCTCGACCACTCCACCATTGTAGTCTTCACAGGCTTGTAGGAAGATGGTCATGCCTTTGCCTAACTGGACCTGGCGATTCTGCAGGCTGAAGAACACTGCGCGAGACTTGACGTCCAGACCTTGAACCAACGTCAAGATGCGTCGTGCCCTGATAACATCTGGATCAGCAGCCGGTGCTTCTTGAGAGCTTGGCTGAGTGTCATTTGTTCGCTGTTTCTGGCTTTCCGAACGTGATGCGTGCGCTTTGATAGGAGGGAAAGACAAGGGTAAGAGGCTCTCGTAGAGCGCCTTATCAATCACAGCATGGACATGTAAGTCGTTCGTATAGAAGGCGCGGAACAATCGGTTGGGGATGTCGCCCACTGCCTCTTTGACAGCTGCCACACCCTCTTCAATGTCTCTTGACGCAACTCCCCAGATCTGAGCCAGCAGTTCAATTGCCTGTTCTCTAGCATTGTGTTTTCGATCGACCACACGTTCCACAAGTACTGAAAGTACGGTCCCCTCTCTTGTCAAGCCGCCATCAGCACAGAGCGTGTTTATGATGGCATGATAATTGAACAGGGAGATGGATTGAACTGCCGCCGAACGAACGTGCTCTTCTGGGTCATGAAGCAGCTGAGAAAACCCAGACAGCAGTGATTGCAGCTCGTCGTCGCTCAGACCAATGGCTCCCGCTGAAGTGAGAAGGATACGCGCAGCTGCCACCGCCCACGACTCACGCACGATAGGCGATTTATCTATGCGGCGTCCATAGAAGGCTTGGTATGCGGATGCGTGAACTGTAGCAAAAGGTTTCGGAGATGCAGGAGTCAACAAAGGACTAGTATTCTGTGGCACTGGTTCCAATTGCTCAATCGATGGCAGAGGGTAAGCGGCAGGATCAAGGCGTCCAGAAGGAGCGAGACCCGCCGTGCCTATGCCGGCCATGATGTCGCCAATAGTCTCGGTGGCAAGTTTGCGCAGTGCTGAAGAGTCAGCATTGAACTCTGCTTCGATCTGTGGAATGACATTGAGGAGGACATCTGGGCAAGCCCGCCAAAGCTCCCGGAGCAAACGATGCGCTTTGCGCAAATCAGCAAGCCCCTCATGTTCATCTTCCGAGTCGTCCGCATCTATAGTCCGTTTGTGATTCGACTTGGAGGGCCCGTTTGGAAGTGTGGCGGACGATGCGTCGACAATGACTGTGCCAAAGTATTGAGTGATTTGAGCAGTCATCTTTTCCGGACAGCTGGTGCATAATGACCTTGCCATGTTGTAGGCCGGAGGATAATCCTTCACCAATAAGGTAGCTTGTTTGGTGTCTTGGGCACCTCGTTTCTTGCCTTTATTGCCAGCATCCTGAATATTACCAGCATCAACCCGCAAGAACTGGGAAATTATAACGTCTGTGACATCTTGTGGAAGGCTGACTTCGTCGACAACGGCAACCAGCAGGTTCTTCAGATGATATTCCACACTTTTCGAGACCTCCACACCGGCTGGATTGTTCCCGGACCCAGTTACAATGTCGAACGCTGTTGTAAAGAGCGACGTTATCAGACTGTCATGGTTGGGGATGTCGGTCACTAGCAGAATGCTTTGCGACTCGGCCAAGGAGCTCAAGATGTAGATATGCTGCGCATTGTAGGCGTTGGTAGGATCGGCAAGAGCAGGCAATATGGAGTTGATCACAACCGTGAATATGTCCTAGATAGCGGTCAGTCATGTCCGGTTGTTTTCTACCTTGCTCTGCTATGCTCACTTTCAATTCGTTTTCGACGAAGGGCGCATCGGGTGCGCAGATCTTGAGGACATCCACTATACAGGAAACGGTCCATGCTCTTACACCTTTATCCTTGTGGCCCAGCAAGTTGGCGTTCGCAAGGTCGTGTGCAAGGACCGTGAAGGCGCGCGAGTCGACTTGATCGAGATCGTAATTGCGCAGTTCAGCAGCGAGCTTTTGTAGTCGCGCAAGAAGATCCGCAACAGGAATAGGTTTGCCAGCGCGCCATGTCAGGCTATCGTCAAACTTGAGACCGGGGATATCATAGTGCTGTTCTTTGAGCGCAGCTCCTGCTGCAGCGGTATTTCGAGATCGAGCGGGCATTCTTTCATTGGGTGGTCACGAGCGTGGACTCATTTCGGCTCCAGTCTGTTTGAGATCGCGGTCGAGAGACTTCGGATGCAGGGACGGGTCTGGATTATTGTAAGCCTCGCAAAGAACAAGCACTCTATAAAAGATGCGCCGAATAGTTGTGATGGTGTTCGGTGGTGGGATTGATCTGGGTGCGCTGGTAATGAATTAATTGTGGGGAAGTTAAAGTCGTGTTGGAACGCGTCTCAGGCAGGTCGCGTCCCCGTCTTTGGATTACTGCTACGTAGGTATTCTGCTCGAGAAAGCCAGAATTGTGATGCGCAGGCCAGCGCAGTTTGGACTTGTGGAAGGAAGTGTCAGTAGCGATGTTACTTCCGAGGAACAGTGACTGAAAGTGACAGTCTGCTTCAAAAGTCCCTCTGACTCATACATGGAAAAGCGCAATTCAGGAAGAAACAGCAAGTGAATTGGGGTATACTGGTCTATACTGCAACGACTGGGGCATCCCTATTCACACATGACCAAAAGCTAAGAGTCAGTCCTCTGCCTCAACTGGTCTGGATATCAAGGCCGTCGAAATGTACCACCAGGTCATCTTTTTCGCCGTGTGGAGCAGGTTTGGCGGCATAAACACCTATATCGCATTCAGTCTGCCCGTCGAGGTCTCCCCACCATGTAACTTCTCGTAGAGGTGAGCGTTGACCATCAGAGCTCAACAGCCACACCCATAGACTACCGTCGTCGGCGCTTTCAATCTCAATGGTTGCCTCCTTGCTCGATTCCGACAGCAGAGGCCTCAGACTCCAATCGGACCATCTGTCCTTGGCGACAGTGCTCACATTGGATTGTCCATTGACAAACTCAATACCCGTCTTCACCCAGCGTACGGTGTCGGATGATTTGATGACCAGGCAGAGACCGCCCTGGTCGTATTTGTCCTTCCAGCTAGCCGAGGCTGTCACTTTGGCTGACTTAAGGGCATCCTTAGTTGTGGTTTGATATATGATAGGGGCATTGAAGGAGTGAGTCGAAGGGGGTTTGTCCCAAATATCGGTTGAGGGTGGGCATGTGATGTCGAAACTGCCCTTCAGATCGGGGATCTTATGCTCAAAATTGATTGAACTGAAATTCGAAGCCATCTTCAAGGATCGGTAGGTGTCAATCTGGTGGTAGTGGTGTCGCCTGTATGAGTACCTAGATTATCCTGTGCTCTGCTTGATCTTACCATTCTTTGACAATGGCGACTAGGTATATAAGTGTTCAACATTATACGGACACTGGTTCTTCTTGGTTGTACTTCCAGATACGGTAAATCCAGAAACGGTAGACTTGCCGCATACTGTGTCGAGTCTATCCCAGAATGGGAGCGGCGCCAGAACCACGAGGAGGTGATGGTTCACCATTATACTTTCCTCGATGCGAACCTTCAAGCAGGAAGAAAAGGTTGAAGTTGCGCATTTCTTGGTCTTCTCATTCGTCCAAGAGTCTGCCACCTGCGCAATCGACACAACCCGAATGCGAATCATCAAAACGCTGCAAGATTTCATCATCGCCTACCCATCCACCATTCTTTTAGCGCCGTTTTGGCCATTACAGCTCCGCGTAGGCCTCAATCAGGTCTAGCCGAAGCCTATAAGGCGCCGTCGAAGTCTTACAACACCAAGGTTTAGGCGACAGCAAGGTTTGCAAGCTATACCAAAAACAGGCCTCCGCGGAGGTCAGGAGTGGAGTTGCAGAACGCCCCTATTGCAAAGGGTGCTCAATGTGCGAGTCTGCAAGGTGACGATGGCCGACTCAAGCGCGGCATCTTGTGACGAGAGTTGAAGAGCACGATGGCGGCGTGTCACCGAACCCACCACACTGGTGACAGCTGCATACGCGGTCCAGGCTGCATTGCGAGGCAGATGCTTTCTTTCTTTCCAGAACAAAATAGTGATAATGTTTACGTGGCCCAGGCGTCCCTTCCTGGGTTTCAGCTTCTTAAAATACTTCGCCGGTGATTACCATGGTACCTGTGCCACCCCACTGCCTCCTGTTTCGGATTGAGATGTGAGTCCGAGTCCGATTACGAGCAGCTGGAAGCCGCTCGCAACATTCCCCCCAAAGGCCTGAGGATCAGACAAGTACATAGTACATGGGGGTCGTGGGCACCGTGGGTCATCAGGCCCGATCTCAGTAGGGCTTACTAGGCGGAAACTAATCCCTCACAGGGCTCGAATAGGCGTACAGCTCGCAATGGTGCAAGGTGATGCAGGTGACGGTGATTTGCCCCTATGGCAATTAAGCAATGACACTGGTGCATGGCCCCAACCGCGACGGGCGTTGTGTTCTAACCGTTTGCGTCGCAGTCGAGGCCCCGAACTCCACAATTCACCGTCGCCCACCGATCCTGCGCAATCAAGACCGCCGGCGATTGGAGGCTGTGCTTAAATAACTTAGGCTACACTAGGCCTAGAGAGTTGCGCACGCATAGCCCAATCTCGCCAGGAACTGGGTGGGATGAGAGTTTATCGAGGCGCCTTACTTTCCAGTGTTCTGGTATGTCTTGAAGGTGTGCTCTGCTGGATCATTTAGTCGTGACTTTCATTCTGAATCTTTTAGGCAGACACCTTCATTTCTTCTTGTGCCAGTTCGACTTCTATACATGCAATACACCACCTTCTTTCATACTCTGCAGGCTGCGGTTCTTCAATTCGAATCATATGGCGGCGCATCTCATTAGATCGCGACGCCTGCCATATCCAAGCGCGATCCCCGCTCCCCGCAAATCATGAATTCTCACTGTTCGCACCATGACGAAAACTATGAGTTAACCAGAACAAATACACAAACCTCTGAAGATCGAGAGCAGGATTTACCCTACTACGAGGAGGGCCAGTCTCAAGATGACCACCTCCTTTCGGGGCAGTCCCTTCAGGGCAAGGCCAAAGCAGACTCTCCCTACCGACTCGTCTCCTTCACACCAGCGTGGCTTCGGAAGCAACATCGACCTCGACGCGTACGTCCACGAACAAAACGTCGCATACGCCACTGCACATGTTCCCCCAAGTCCTTCGCTCGGCGCTTCGCCCTGTTCGTTTATACCTTTTTCACGACAATCCTGTTAATCGTGGTGGTTGGTGGTGTCTTCTTTCCCGGTTATACGCAACTGCCCTCACATTACGAGGCTCTCAAGCAGCAAGTGCTGGTTTCTGATACTCCCGGACGTGGCAACGTGGGAAATCAAAAGGTGTTCATAGCAGCCAGCCTCTTCGACAAGGAAGCCAATCTATTCTCGGGAGATTGGGCGAAGAATGTCTTGGACTTGATACAGGTATTGGGCCCAAAGAATGTCTTCTTGTCCATATATGTCAACGACTCTGGACCTCAGTCGAAAAAGGACCTTGAAGAACTCGGACGGCACGTGCCCTGTGATCATGACCTGGTCTTCGAGGATCACCTGGACTGGGCCCATCTACCTCACGTTACACTTCCCGGAAGCTCAAAGCGTGTCAAACGCATCGAATATTTGGCCGAGGTCCGGAACAGAGCCTTACGTCCTCTCGACACCCTGAATACCACTTTCGACAAGCTACTCTACCTGAATGATGTTTATTTCCATCCTATTGACGCTGCACAACTATTATTCTCAACTCATAGCATGAGCGAAGGACAAACCGATTTCAGAGCGGCATGCGCTGTGGATTTTATTAATCCTTTCAAATTCTACGACACATATGCAACCAGGGACGTTGAAGGGTTCAGCACGGGCTTACCATTCTACCCTTGGTTTACTGCCAACGGAGATGAGAAAAGTCACCAGGACGTGCTTGACGGGAAAGATGCCGTGCGTGTTAAAAGCTGTTGGGGTGGTATGGTGGCATTTGATGCTCGATTCTTTCAGCAACCAAAACCTGGTGCCGAGGTCCCCATAACAGCTGGGAACCAAAGTCCTAGCAACATCACCTCACCTTACCGTTTCCGGGCAGAAAAGGACACATTTTGGGATGCATCTGAGTGCTGCCTCATACATGCAGACATTCAAAGCCCCGAACCTGGCAACTCGGGAATCTACATGAATCCTTTCGTCCGTGTCGCCTACGATACCAAGACACTGTCCTGGCTAGGCTTTACCCGACGATTCGAGCGACTCTATACCCCTGTTCACTGGCTGCTAGATTTGGCGACGGGCGCACCATACTTCAACCCGAGGAGGCACGAAGTGGCGTGGCAGCGTGTGTGGGAGAAGGTGTGGGTTTCGGATAAATCATTATCTCAGGGTGGTTCGTTCCAGCAGGTTTCCAGAATAGCCTCCCACGCAGGCTTCTGTGGCCGTCGGGGACTTGCCTTGATAAAAGAAAACATGTACGAAGGAGAGGTCAACTGGGATTTCGTGCCGGTACCTTCATGACAGCATAGCGATGGCGTTTGGGGTGTCCTTGTGATATGGGCACTCAGGGATGAATTTCAGCGAGGTTACTCTTTGTCGTTATAAGACGGGCTGCTGGGTTTGTCGACCGTCCGACACAACTGTGTGAAAATGGAAAAGCGATCGTCGTTGTCCAGGAAGCTAAATGAACAGCATTTCTTGTCATCCAGGTCGCCGTTGTCTTCTTTTCTGCCGCTTTCTCCGTTGGCTGTGCGAGGCCGCCTCATCACAAACAAACACCGACTACTCGCGATGAGAACCAGGCGTACGTCGTCGATGCCGGCTCACCTTCCTTGTCCATGAATTTGCTCGTTGTTGTTGTGTCCTGTATTGTTGTTTGGTGTTTATAGGTCACTTCCCACTCACTGCACTCTCTTCATTTTTTCACACATTTTCTCAACTTGACTTAACCTGAACACGACGACGACATCATCACGAAATACTGCCCGTCGCGACATCATAACGACTCGTACTTCCACCCAATATGGCCCGTCGCTACGACGACCCCGACACGATCAACGCGTTCCTGCGTTTGATCAAGGCTACGCCCTTGACAGACAGCCCAAATGCGAGAGTGTCTGTCTCCGAACTTCAGGTAACTCCACGTCCACTAATTTATATAAATCAAATCAAACCAGACATAGTTGCTGATTTTGCCGCAGACCTCACTGCCATCCGCATCTGTCGCTCAGTCCAAGCCCGAGTCTAAATCCGCTCCTGAAAGCAACACCAACTCTGTTGAGGCCAGTCCTGCTTCAGGCATCCGTGCTCCACCATCGACTCCAGTTTCCCAAGCCGTCGCTGCCGACAAGATCACTCATCTCGATCCTATCGAGGAAGATGACGATGACTGGTTGAATGAACCTTCAAAGGAAACCACTTCCCAGGAAAACAGTGCTAGGGCTGCTGTCAATGATGGCTCACCAGCCATGATGAACACTCCAACCAGACCGGTACTTGGCCCAGTTTCCAGCAACCTGACTTCGACTCAACACAAGCTTCTGTACATGCAGGAGCCCAGCATTCACGACGATGGCAAACCTGGCATGTTAGCACAATTGGAGAAACAAGCGCAGGGTTATATGGACAATGTCCTTGAGAACTTTCGCAAGGCAAACGCATCACTGTTTGCTGATACTCAAGCTCAGGCTGAGGCGAAGGCTCAGAAGCACCTGACCAAAGCCATTGCAAACCACAGTGCCGCACGTAAGTCTGACGACGACTCGATTCCGATTCACGTCGGCCAACTGCTGACATTCATACTCTAGTCACGCAGGGTGAAGTCGAGACCAAGTCGGACTCTGGTATCATTCCCTTCCCCGATTTCGTCGACTCCCCAATTTCTGCAGGAGGGATGAAACTGTTGGACGAAGACAAGACAATCCAGCACGGTGAATTCCTGCCATCTGCTGGTGAGAATAGACCAGCTGCCAACCCACCATCTGCTTCCGAGGCTGTGGTCAAGGGAGAGCTTCGTGAAAACAACCTCCACTTGACGACCACCATGACCGACAGCGGCAGCGTGCCTTTCGGACAGGCCAATTCTCCAACTATTGTTGTCACTGCCAGCACCGATACGGACAAAAGTATTGGATCCGACGGAAGCAATAAGGGAACGAATCTTAGTCAGGAGGAGCAAATCGAAGACAACAGCGAGGATCAGCAGGATGAAGAGAGTGACGAGGACCGAGAACATCGCACTCACTTCAAGAGCTGGGGAGCACCCGGCATCCGCAACAAGCAGAGTAAGTCTACTCCCTCCAGAGGAAACAGCGTGCTAATGCTTCCAGAATCTCGCATCCGCACCGTCATTCTTCTCGGCCTTCCCAGCACTGCAGACCTGACCCTCGTTCATTCTCTTGTTCATGGCGGTACCATCGAGGTCATAAGGTTGACTCCGGCTAGTCCAGAAAGCAGCACGGTCAATGCGCACGTTACCTTCACCAATGGCGATGCCTGCGACAAATACTTTGATAAGTACCCAAATGGCATGGACGTTCGACAACAAGGCAAGAAATACCCGGTGCTGGTCAAGAAGTCAGACACTGTCGACATCATCAGTTCCATGATGCAAGGCTACCTGGACTGTGGAGCTACACGTGTTCTCAAGGTCACTGGAGCAGACGATGATTGGGGAATCGTGGCGTTGAACAGATTCGCAGAGGGTAAAAACAAAACTCGTGCCATCGAAGCCGTAACTGACACCTATCGCAATGGAGTGAGTGCTGCAGTATTGAGATTCCAATCACTCTTACTGACAATGGCAGGAACGTATCATCCACTTCCGTTTCGCCAATATCACTGATGCTGTGAGATTCAAGGGCATCCTCATCCGAAGCTTCGAATGGGAGGGCTGTCCCGTTGAGTTTGCGGAGGACCCTTGTTCCAGAGCGACCGGCGTTCATTATGACTGAATGTCACTCCCTCGATGTCATTCATCAGAACGGAAACAGGTGTCAAGATCCATGACCGGAAGACGAGATAAGGGGAGATGTATTCAGAGGTGACCCATCCTACGACGGGATCTGGGCCAGACGAAGCGAGACTTGTGTTCCATCACCAGGATAATGCAGGCTTCTTGACAGGAAAGGATATTGTTCCAACGGGTCAGCAATATCTGCACGATCGGGCTGTTAACATGGTGATAAGCGATACCAATGAAGTCGGGAAAGGCATTTTCCTACGAAGGATGGCCGCGAATACCCGACATCCGAGGATTGTAATAATAAAATGAGCTCATTCATTATGCGATACTTTTTTCTTCTTCCGCGACGACCCCCACATCTCCAGCTTCTCTGCGACCTCATTTTTCCTCTCTTCCTTCTACTTTGTCAACAGAGCGACTAAGGTTGTTTTTTTCTCTGTACATCACATTTGCGCAGTTTGTTCCCCGATACGCTGCAACCACCAGCAACATGGGTCAACCTTCGGAGCAGGCGTCCAATGCCTGCATCTACACTACCTACTGTGCCTTTTTGTCCGTTGCGCCAACTGCTTCCTCCGGAATTCCATGGCTGACCTCGTCTTCATAGAGTATTCGGGTGTCTCATCGCATGGCAATTGCGCCACCAGAGCAAAGGCGAATATCTTGCGAGTTTGCGAACACAGAAGGGTTAGACTTGACATCACGCGACACAATTCCCAGGTCCAGCTACCACAGTTCGATACACATACTAATACCTTCTCAGGCGTACCATTGGCCCTTAACTTCATCGCCTCGGGTGAGTGCGCTCGCAGGGCTGTCTCCGTATGAAGGTGCAGCCCAGCGCTCCTCCGAAGAGCGAAGCACAACCAAACGCAAAGAGAAACATCGACGATACATCGAGTTTTGGAGGTCCATTCTCATGGCCGCTATGACAATACAATTCTACCTTTTACCTGAGGTTCGTAAGCATGCATCAACGCCATTGGCTTTGCGCCTCCTGCCGAGAAACATGCGATGGATCTCCGACTCGGATCAAGAGAATGTGAACATTGAATGGCTCGAAGCGGAAGGCGCAGAGCCAATGTGCAGCACTACGGGCGCTTGTGTGAGCTTCCCTCATTCCATCCACCTGAGCCCTTCCAGAGCTCAGAGATGGGATCGAGTGCAAAGCTCGAAAAACACAATGCTGAGATTGTACCGTTAAAACTCGATCAAGTTAATGCTTGCGTGGGAAACGTGCTGCCGCTTCTTCCCCTTCCCCTCTGACAATGAGTGAACATACTAACAGCAAGCTTTCTTGACTGTGTACAGCTCTAGGATCCGGTATTCTATTCACATACCCTCAGATCTCCACGATTGCAGGTGTCCAAGGCCTCGTGGTCTACAGTCTCGCATCGGCACTTCCACTACTGGTATTCGCGTGGCTCGGACCCATCATCAGGCGAAAATGTCCAGAGGGATTTGTCCTTACGGAATGGACACGCCAACGCTATGGACCGATCGCAAGTCTTTATCTCAGTGCCTTGACGTACGTTCACGTTATTTTTAAGCGGACCAGGCTAACACGACTTGTCAGGCTGATTACTATATTCCTGTACATGGTCGCCGAGCTCTCTGCACTCCAGCAGATCATCAACGCTTTGACCGGGCTCGATGGCATCGGCGCCGTCATCATGGAATGTGCTGTGACCACAATCTACACATCCATTGGCGGCTTCAAAGTGTCCTTTATCACCGACAATGTCCAGGGCGCCATGGTTCTTGGGCTCATCATCATTGGATGCATCACCGTCGGTGTTGAAACACATATCTCACACGATCTTATCGAACGCAGCGGTTACCTCGACGCCAGTCTCCTCGGCTGGCAGCTCGTGTATATCCTGCCTGTGGCTATCTTGACCAACGACTTCTTCATTTCAGGTTTCTGGATGCGTACTTTCGCAGCCAAAACCGACAGAGATCTGTACATTGGCGTGGGAATTGCAACGGTAGCAGTTGCAATCATCCTGACCCTCGTCGGCGTCACAGGTCTTCTAGCAGGTTGGTCCGGTGCTCTGGGTGATCCACCCCAGCAATCATCAATTGCTTTCTTCCTGCTCCTAGAACAGCTACCCGCATGGGTTGTCGGAATCGTCATTGTCATGACGGTCGCCCTCTCCACCGCAGCCTTCGACTCCTTCCAGTCCGCCATGGTTTCCACCGGGTCCAACGATATTTTCCGCAACAAATTGAACTTCTGGTGGATCCGTGCCGCAGTCGTGGTGATCATCTTTCCCGTCGTGGTCGTTGCGCTCAAGTCACCGTCCGTCCTGCAAATCTATCTCATCTCAGACTTGATCTCTGCATCGAGCATCCCTGTTTTGGTGATTGGACTGAGCGAGCGCGCGTATGCGTGGCGCGGGTTCGAGGTCGTCGTTGGTGGACTTGGTGGCATTCTCACAGTATTTCTATTCGGCCTGGTCTACTACGACGGCAACGCTCAACAGGCTGCAAACCTTCTTCTTCTGGAGCAGGGTCTGTACGGCAACGACTGGTCCGCATTCGGTGCGTTTGTGGCTGCTCCAGTCGGAGGTCTACTCTGGGCATTTGCAGCGTTCGCGTGCAGAATTGCCGTCCAGTGGATTCTCGCGAAACGTCGCGGTACCCGTTTCGATGCGTTCGATAAGCCTGCTGCCCCGACTGCGACTTTCTATACTGGTCCCCATGATACTGCTGAGGGAGAAAGGGAGGTGTACGCTGATGCCGAGGGCGTGGAAAGGAGCTCAGTGAGCATCAAGGGGAAGTTCTTCTGAGAGGAGCTTAGCGGGGGTAGTGGCAGAGAGGTCGACAAGAGGCTTGTGAGAGTGACTTACAAGTGGTAGGAAAGTTGCCAGGGAGTGGAATGTCATGGGATCACAAAGATGTGATCACTGTCCTGCTTGGAATACAGCAACGCTTGGGTCATATCTTGGTGCTCGATGTTGGTGTTCTACAATTAATGGTAGATCACTCCACGAAAAGAGATGGGATCGTGGAGGAAGGACCCGGAGATGGAGATGGGACAAAGATAATGCCGCTGAGGCCTGGCTCGCAGGATGAGGCCTGGAGTCGTACAGCCAATGAAGCCCTGCGAGCATGCAACCTTTGGGAAAAGCAGTCATTTACAGTCATTCATTACAGCTTAATACATTCATTTTGCACCGAGCGTGTCCGTCTTTGCCCGCTAAACGATACGACCCCAGTTCTTCATAGTTCATATCTCCCGGAGTCATGATAGCCGTGCCCAAGTCTCAAGCGACGCCAATCCCAGAAAGGCATTTCAGAGTAACGATGAACCAAGCCCAATAGCGTCCACCCTATACTCCACACAATGTAGACCAGGAACATAGACGTAATCTAGCCCTCTTACTCGCCAGCTCCCTTCTTATTGCCCCTCCACCCTCCTTTCCACAAGCAACAAACGCCATTCTCCTCACACCAAGCCCGTACCTCAAGAGGAGCGATCTCGCGATCCTCACTAATGGCAGCGAAACCCTTGGTGTTCAACCACACTGTCAGATCTTCGAGTACGATTGGGTCGTACATGAGGATTTTCTCGCGCCAGGTCGGTGCGGCGCCCGTGCTGTCGACAGACTGTCTTTCGATGGCCGCGCGAATCTGGCGTTTGAGGTCCGGAGCCTGTGTTTGTTCCGGCGTCCATGCTCCAGTCTCTGTAACTGCTGCCACTGCCAGGTCGTCATGTTCTTGTACAACATTGGCCGCGCGAGAGGGTGAGTCGAAGCTGGCCCCCACGGGTAGGGTGGGTGGCGGTGTTGCTGGTTTCTCGGTGTTTACTGTTTTGGATTTTGCTTTGGCTTTGGGTGTCCTCTTCTTCGGGGTCTTCTGCTTTGGAACCTGCGCTACATCCTCGGGTGGTTTGCTGATGGTATCCGCATCTTCAATGTCGTCGACGTCCATCACGATTTCTTCGGAAAGGGCAGCCTTCTTCGTAGTCGTCCTCGGCTTCCTGGGCTTTGTCACCTTCTTCACGGGATCTTTGGGCTTGGGTTCAGCTTTTTTCCTCTTCTTTGGTTCTTTTGGCGTAGTGGCGTTGGCGGTCTCTGACTTCCGTTTGGCTCGTGGCTTCTTCACTTTGGGCTCTGGTCGGGCTGCGACGTCATGCACTTTGCTGAGAAAGTCGCCGTGAGTCAGGGCATCGGCGGGTGGTTCATTGGGCTCGCTTTCTGGCATAGTCTGACCACCATGTTGATCCTCCCAACACCGGTTGAGAAGCTCGATCATTTTGTCACGATTCTTCACGGCTTTGAACCCATATGCAGAGATCTGCTTCTGCAGATCGCCTGTAGAGTATCCTGCATAGGATGGTTTGACAGGCGCAGGTCCTGCTCTTTTCCTAGCTGGATTGGGCTTTTTTGCGACAGCAGTTGTTTCTTCGGTGGTGTCCTCGACAGCATTGGCTCTCTTACGAGGTTCTTCCAAAACCCGGGAGGTGTGGAAAGATCTGGCTTGCAACTGAGGCATCACGCCAGCACCACCTCTGAGGCATGGTGTGGCAATGTCATCGATATCGAGCAAAGATCCAGCTTTGTTTATGAGTGGCGTTTCCTGAGTTCGTACATCGGTCTGTGCTTTCGGACCCACCATTGTCGCCACTCCGCCCGGTTGGAGAAGAACGTCTTTCCCAGCTAACGCCTCGCGCACTGCAGGAGAATCAATCAGATCGATGGTGTCGACATGAAGCAGCGCATTATCTTCATCGCGGCCAGCCGCATTCCATAGGTTCTTCCTTCTGACAAAACGACTCGTGCCTCGACTCGCGCTTGGTGACGTCGACTCAACAGAGAATGGCTGTGTACGTGGAGGAGAGATTGGATCAGACGATAAAATGCACTCTGATCGCTTGATAGCTTCCAGTGTATCACGAAGTAGGGTCGGAGACTCGTCACGAGCAAGCTGGCTCGCAGATCCGAACACGAGCTCCTGACTGTCGATTGTTTTCATCACAGACGTTGGGGACTTCAGTCGACTCTTTGAGGGAGCTTTCTTGGTTGCCCTCGGCTTCTTAGTGGATGCTTCCTTTGTCGCTATTTGCTTGCTGACCGGTCCGGAGTCATTATCTGCGTTGACCTGTGTTGCGGTCAGGTATTCAAGCATCGGTGCAACCTTTCGCCCATTGTGATGTCCTTCGCCGTAGTGTGAAGTTGCCAATCCAGTGATCGTGAGCGCTTTCTTAGGTGGAGACTTAATTCTTCTCTTGCCGACAACCTTTGCGGACTCCTGAGGAGGGTCCAACGTTACGGTGGGCAGCGGTAGTCGAGCCTGACTTTCTGTCGTTGTGACAAGGTCAATGCGCCGTCGCTTTGTAGCCTCGCCGTTTACATCTACTTTTGTCGCTACCTTCTGTACCGCGGCCTGAACAGAAGTGTCGGCAAAGACAAAGCCCTGCAGAATGTCTTTGGAGAATTTGATCGCTTGAACATCGGTCTCTGGCGACGATGTCGAATCATCGAACGCGCCTTTTGCCGGTGTCCAGTCCAGTCGCCTTGGTATAGCCTGCTCTAAGTGAAGAGGGCGGCACTCTTTCGCTGTTCTTGTCTTGGGCTTGGCTACCTCTGTTTCAAGTTGTACTTCGCACGGTTCGTCCTCTGGAAAGTCGTAGATATCATTCGCATTGTGCACCTGATGACTGGAAGTGGTTGTCGCATGGTCGCGCAATTCCCCAACTATGGAAGAGACGGCATCCTGGCTCTTCTGAGACGCTTGCTTTGACACCAGCTTCAGCCTCGTGGATGAGTCAGACGCTGTCCTGGATTGAAGCGTCGGGGTTGTCAACTTGAACTTGTCTCTTCCTGGAGACCTCAGTGGGATATTCTCTGCTCCAACTCTGGTCGACAATAACGATCGTGCGCTGGTAAAACTGGAAGAAAACCCATCTCTTGTTTTGTCGACCGACTTGAATCGCTTGACGCAACTTACTCCGCCGCCGAATAATGCACCAGGTGAAGGTAGCGGTGAAGAGGACTCAACTGGGGTCGGCGAGCGGGCAAATGGTCGAGGTGGGGAGGAGGAAACGAGGAGGATGGTTGACATTCTGCGCATGCAGTTGAATGCCCATTGGGACGGCAAATTGAGAGCCAGAAGGGCTGACAATGTTACTTGATATGCACATATACCGGCGCAAAGGGAAGAGTTTGGGACGCTACTGTATGGTCTCCAATGTCAACGAGTCGCCGCAGTCGAAAACAAAGCGCCACAGCCTCGTCTTGGCACAACGCGAGACCACGTGATATTGACGAGGCTGAGTTGCTGGTCATGCCCGATTAGTAGCAACCTGTATCTTCCTAGATACCTGGAGGTAGGTGATTATGATTTATTGTTACAATCATCTTCTCATTGCTAGCCCTTGTATCCCGGAGCCTGCTCCGCTAGAAGCATGCAGTAACGAAGGCACCAACCCAGAACTAAATTTGACCAGTAACTGCTACTTTTTGCGCCCCGAACCATATGACGCCTATTGACAACGTCCAACATAGAAACACACACCAGCAAGAAGTCCAATGTGACTAACATGTAAACGGTATCGTTGAACACATATTATACGATTTCATTTGCCACTTCGACCTGAAATACATCCCCTATGCCGATCGTGTCTCTGTGATCGATAGTATCGAATGGAGGTGGTGACCGTGGTGGTGAGAAGATCCGTATAGATCCATCTGTGGCCCTTGTGATAACACTCGATGGTGATGGCTCAGGAGAAGGGACGACTTGAGTGCCATCTTGAGCAAATATTGGGCCTGGCCTGTGGGCCCGAGTACCTGAGGAAGACTGTAAGCATGACTGATGGTTCAAGGGGATATCTTTGCATGACTTACGACTCAGAAGGCCGGCTAAGAAGCGTCCGCAGACTCCCAAGCCTGTGCGAATAGTCCTGACCAGCGAAACCAGGGCTGTACTGGCATAAGTGAGGAGGGAAAGGATGCATGCAATAATCGTCTGAAAGGAACTCATCTGGGAAGCCTTTGCAAATCAGGTACACAACAAGCACAAACCATGATAGGTATTCACTTCGGACTGACCGAGATGATTTATAAATCATGTTGAACAAGCAACAAGCATTGCTGGTAAAGCAAGCCTGACAGATTCTCCCTACATAAATCACGCACTCTTGATACTTAGCTTGTTGAGTGTCTTGACAATGAACGACTGCGATCGCAGGCAAACTGCCTTAGACGTAAGGAATGTGGCTGTATGACAGTATGGCGTGTACCAAGTTGTAGGATTACCAGTGAGGTTCTCTGAAACGCCGTCATGAACAGGGGTTCAACACGAACGCAGGAGAGCCTGATGTCAGAAGAGGAATAAATGCTAGGCAGAAACGCTTTAAACCTTGACACCGGCGGCGCTGGTTGGGTTATTTCATAGGAATCGTTTGTAGGATTGAGAAATGGTCGAAGAGGATTTGGGCGGGTTCACGATCTGAGGCTGAATCGCCCTTTTGCGCAGGTGGCCTAGGTGGTTTACCATAGACCTTCTGTTTAAGTTGCGGTCGAGCATTGAGCATGGAGTGCAAAACCTGATTTCCAGCCACTGATTAATGTAGTCGTAAGTGGTTCAGCTGAAAATACTTGGAAGGTTGGAACAGCCTGGATCGTGCCCGGGTAAGTTCGCCAATAGTCCGCATAATAATCCCAATATATCAGCCGCACCTCCCCGCTGCTACTATCTTGACGTTTATTGGAGCCGAACAACACTAGCCTGGCAGGTTGCGAAAGAACGAACGACTGGACCCTTTGCGACCAATCCTCACTCACCTGAGGCTGAGACGGCAGTGATAACGTTGCTCTCGACGTCGCTTTCCATCCGAACTTCTTCTCTTACGTCTTAGGTATTCCTGATGTGCAAGATCATTGTTTGAATCATGTTGCGCCGGCCCACCAGGCTTCACTAAACTAGTATCGGTGATTTACTCTGATTAGGCTGAAACTGATAATCTCTGTCGCAATTCGTGTTGCGCAACTTCTGTCGCAAACATGGCATCGGAGGATGAGTCGCAAGCCGGTGACAAACATCACGACGACAAGGATTGGGAGCTTCATAAGGAGCAGTTCCGGGTCTGTTATATTGACAACAACATGACCAGAAAAGATGCCGCACAGTATCTGAAAGACAACTTCGGCTTCGACGCAACGCCCCGGCAATGGGAGCGCAAGATCAAACAATGGGGCTTTTCAAAGTACTCCAGTCGGGAAGATCGACTTCATCAGATTGCCAGTACTGGCAAGTCCATCTATGAGGTTGGCCGGCCTGGCCGTCGACCACGATCGGCACACATGGGTGAAGAAGGGAAGCTCCATCCCTACGAGGATCGAAATCTGCGGCGCTTCGCTCGCCGAGAAGCCAGTCGCTCTAGGTCTAGGTCTAGGTCCGCCTCATTCACCGACAGACCTCGCCCTCGGTTCCAAAATGATCTCGGAGAATCCTCTTCCACTGCAATCATAGACCAGACTTTCAACCTGAACCTCGCTAATCCGACCGCTTTTCACCCACCAAGTCAAGGTTTCACTGTTGCTGCCACTCCGGCTGCAGGGAAACCCGAGCAGCCAGTTCAGTTACACCTACTACACGAGCAGAAGGCCTCTGCTTTCGGCGACCTCGAAGAGCCCGAGCTATTTTTGACCGTCGACGACAGTCAGTACGGCGCCTCTAACAACCAGGACCAATTCCCAGACTTTTCAGGCGGTCTGATGCCAGTCGGAAGTTCACTGGGAACTGACGCACATACACCAGATCTACAATTTTCGATGGGACAGAATGATCCCACGATCAACTATGCCTTCCCCAATGACTCGTCTGCCAACTTCGACACTTATGCGGTCTCTACCAACATAGATAACGGGCTGGTCAACAACGGTATGATGGGGGACCAGCTGTACAACGATGTTCGTTTATCGCAAGGGCAAATGAACCAATCGATCATGGACAATATTCCAACCCTCATCTTTGACGCCGTCGACCCGGATCCGATCGGCATGGTATCTCAACTGGATGAAACAGACTTCAGCCAAATGAGCGACATGGCGGACATAGTCTCACTCACAGCTTCAGAAAATAGTGGTCCTCTGCAAAACGATGTAATGCCGTTGATAGAGGAGTACACCAGAGATATCCAGGCCGCGGCTTGGGGGTGGGTCACGAGTCAACAGTACATTGGCACTTCTGGTGACAAGCTTGCGGCTAGTCTCGATCAGCCTGGTAAGACAGGCTCCTTCATCTGTCTGAATTTCCAGTCTGACTTACGTTTTCTAGGACAAGTCTTCAAAGTCAGAATGACCATAATGTTGGAGAATTTTGCAAGCTCACAACAACGCGCTTTACAGGCCATGAGAGACAGGTGTAACAGGTTAAAGAAAAAGAATGAGACTTTGGAGGAGTTCATCAACACCAGTGAGTCTGTCAAGATTTGTGAGATATGTGGAATACTGATATTATGCAGATGGTGGTGTCCAGCCTGTGTCTACCATATCTCCCCTGTCTCCAACGCCGTCGCACCACCTGCAGCATCCAAATTATGTCGCTCCCTATACCAATTTCTGAAGTGGTATAGGTCTTCGTTGATGCGAAGCATCAATCTATCCATATATCAGCCAAAGAAGGGATCACATGTCAGAATCGCCCTCGGCAAAACAAAAGCCCGAAGTTGAACACGGCAGGAGATCGTCAGCCGCACAAACAATCCATCCCTCGACTCACGAATCCTGTCTGTACCAATCAATGAGTCAATCGACCGCGAGGTTTCGTCTCACGTAGCTCTTATCTATTATGCATTTAGATGATAGGCGGGAGCACACAGCTTATCGAATATGCTGATAACTCTCTATGACCCTGATTGCCTGCTGCACAAGACAGTGGAGTTGCTCGGCTCAAAGCTCATTCCTGCATTAGAATCACCGGCACGGCTTGAGGCGATCCTGGAAGCTTTGCATCTCTCAGAACATGAGTGTCGCAAGATTCAGCTCAGTGCCGGTGGTGATGAAGGGCGAGTATCGAGGTTGACAAAGCTAACTTCAGATACACACAATCACAACTACTTGCAACATCTGCAGAGTGTGTACGAGGAGTGGCTATCTGCAGGCTTGATTGAGAAGGATGGCAACGTCTTACCGGAATGTTTTTACCTGCCCACCTCAACAGGCAAACCGATGCGACCACCAAAGGATGTCTTTGCTCGAGCAGGATATTTTGCATTTGACATGAGCAGTGGAATTATGTTAGACAGCTACCGGGCTATCGTTGCATCTGCAAACCTTGCATATGAAGGAACGGACATGCTTACTGGGTTCGGCACGGACGGTGCAACTGATGTCGACACAGTCTTTGCGCTCTGTCGCCCGCCCGGACATCACTGTGATGGGCGACGGGCGGGAGGTTACTGCTATATCAACAATGCTGCTCTTGCGGTGAGCACATGGCGAGCCTCGAAACCACAAGCACGCGTGGGCATTCTTGACATTGACTTTCACCACGGAAATGGTACCCAGGAGATATTCTACTCTGATCCAAAAGTTCTGTATGTCAGCATTCATGGGGAAGACGAGTTTCCTTATTACACAGGCGCTGAAGATGAGAGAGGTATTGGTGAAGGTGAAGGAACGAACATCAATCTTCCGCTCAAAGTTGGCAGTCCGTTTGAAGAATACATGTCGAAGCTAGAGTACGGCCTTGATCGCCTGCTAGATTTCCGGCCCGAGTTTCTGGTCATTAGTCTTGGTTTCGATACGTTCCATGCAGATCCTCTAGGTCATTTTCAGATCCATACGGAAGACTATGGGACGATCGCAACAAGAATAAGGCAGAACCTGAAGGACATCCCGTGTCTAGTCCTGCTTGAGGGTGGCTATGTTATTGAACATCTGGGTGCTAATGTCTTGTCATTTCTCAAAGGATGGAAGTCTGTCTGATGTGTAGCTGGTGGTCCTGGGTTTCTTGCACCTGTGGCTTTCGGGGACGGGTCTGGCCAGATTTATGGGATTTTAATCGCGTGGGATTCGTCTGCAGATCGAAGAATGCAAACCCATCATCGATCCGCCGTCGCACACCGGCGCATTTTACGAAGCTTCAAGATGCGGTTTCAGCTTTTCGACCCGGATCGCATACTCCAGGAAGCGGCACCACTCCGCGACAGATGGGCAGTCGATCGTATAGTCAAGATCTTGAGATACCGAGATCTGGGCTCGAAGATTCCGGACAGCGGAACAATACCGTTGTCACAGATGCCAGTCCTGCAGGACCGGGTGGATCTGATGCAGATTTGGTGCAGCCACGTTGTGTACTAGGCACGACGGCGTGCTTGACGTCCAGCTACGTGCCCCTGGGTAGAACTGAGGAGCGTCTTCACAATTGATCACCTAAAATCATCCAATTTGGGATAGGATAACAAAGCCATGATTCCAGACTTTACAGCGGGAAGACATCACGGCTCCTTTAGCGAGCCAGTCCTATGGTACTTGATCCGGTGGTGTCGTCTTGAACTGGTCACTTTCTTTTTTGGAAGGAAACTGAGCCAATTACGAGGGCCCTAAAAGCAAGAAGAATGTCCCTGACGACTTTAGATTCGCTCAGAAATGCCGATTCTTCTAGCCGAAGGCACCGGCTGCCCAGTGCATCGGATCGAGTACCAACGAAACCCAGGTTGGTGGAGACGCACATGGACAGACCTCCCAATTCGAGCCTGTCGCCCGGGGTCTGCGCGGGGACCCCAGCGTCATTAAGTCTGAACTTAGGGGGCTTGAGTGCGGAATATTGGAACAAGCCCCCAATTGTCCGCCTATCAGCACCCACCATCCCTCGTCTGGGGGATCTGCTAAGGTTTTCCAATTACTGAGTACCAAGACCTCGGCAGATGGGCTTTTTGTCCAATGTCCACTAGTGCATGGCGACGCAATACAACTATATCATATGTGCTTGGGGCTCGCCATCCCTGGTCTTTGAACGTATCTCACTCTCCATCTATCCATCACTGAAGTGCCACACTTACAGTGCAACATCATCGCCCATCATGGAGATGAACTACGATGACAAGGTATGTCCTCACATGTCCTTTCTTATCTGCCGGTAGCGCTAATCGTGTACGTAGGAGCTCCATCAATTGGAGCAGGAGCTCCATACTGAGATCCTTCCGGGCACTGAGATCATGGCTGATGTCGGTTCCCACCACTTTGTCAAGAGCAGTGGAAAAGACCACCGAGTCTTGGTCCCTCAACCGTCCGACGATCCACATGATCCGTTGAACTGGTCGACTGGCTGGAAACTCGCTGCCATCATTGCCTCAAGCTTCGCATCGTTCATGCAGGGCATGGGTCCTCTATCTCTGGCACCCATGTTTGGCGATTATATCGAAGCTTTCGACTGTTCTTTGGCGGACGCTGTACAATTCACTGGTGTCGCTATTCTTGTCCTAGGCTTCAGCAACTTCATATGGTAAGCCGGTTTTAGTAAAAACGATCACGCGAATTGTGCTTACATGTCCCACAGGGTGCCCCTGAGCACTTCGTTCGGTCGCCGCCCAGTCTACATTGCCTCTCTGTTAGTCTGCCTTGGATCCTCAATCTGGCGCGCCAGGGCCCAGACATATGGCAGTTTCATGGGTGCTTGTGTGTAAGTGAAGATCAATCATGGAATGAAGCCTGATGAAAAGCTGACAATGCTCCAGTCTGAACGGGATAGGAGCCGGTCCTGCAGAAACAATTCAGCCAGCTGTTATCGCCGATATTTTCTTTCTTCATGACCGTAAGTTTGGCTAAAACACAGGTGCTGCGCACCCAGCTGACCCTCGTTCACCAGGTGGCAAATGGAACACACTCTACTGGGTCGTTTACATGGGATCCTTGATGATTGGTCCCATCATCGCAGGCAGCATGTCGGAGCATGTTGGTTGGCGTAATTTCTGGTGGCTCAACACAGGCATGCTTGCTCTCTCGCTTCTCATGATCATCTTCATGTTCCCAGAGACGAAGTGGCACCGACAACATCCTAAGGAGCTCCACCACGAACTCAATAACTCGACTGATGGGAAGCCTACTGTCGAGGCCCGAGAAGGGGTCAAAGGCGAGCCTCTATCCGACGGCAATGACGCTATGGCCATTGCACCACACCCGCTTACGACCGTCGAGACGGCTGCTCGCGATCCATATCTTGGAAAAGGAAAACCCAGCAAGTCCCAATGGGGTCTGTTCACACCCAATCCCACTCCGATCAAGAGCATTCTGCTCGACCTCTGGATTCCGTGGAAGCTGTTCGCCTTTCCTATTGTCGAATTTGCCAGTTTCGTTGTCAGCTGGAGCTGTTCCTCCTTCTTGACGCTAAATCTGACACAGACCCAAGCATTTGCTTCTCCTCCTTACCTTTGGAGCACTCAGAGCATCGGATTCACGAACTTCGCTGTCTTTGCGGGCGCTCTGATCGGTCTATTCACCGCCGGCCCATTCTCTGACTGGATCTCAGCCAGACTCACGGCCCGGAATCGCGGTATTCGTGAGCCGGAGATGCGACTCGTCGCCATGATCCCTTATGTCATCATAATGTACCTTGGAAACATCATTGTCAGTGTGGGATACCAACATCAATGGCCTTGGCAAGCGATTGTCATCATCGGCTATACATGTGCTGGCATTCAAGTCGCTGCTTTGCCCGGTATTGTCTCGACATACGCGGTTGACAGCTACAAGCCAGTTGCGGGCAGTCTGTTCGTCTCGATCACCGTGAACAAGAATGTCTGGGGTTATGGATTCAGCAAGTTCATCACGAACTGGATCGTCGAGGACGGATATATTCCACCAATCATGACAAATGCCTCGTTGATCCTCTTGTGGTGCTTGTTTGGCATTCTCTTCTACTACAAGGGAAAGACATTCAGAAGATGGTCGAAGAACAGCTCTGTGCACATGATGTGAGCGATGTAACAACAGATGGTCGGAAGTCGTCATCCTGAATCAGCAGTTGCTAGCATGAGCACAATGGACTTGAATCGTTTGCTGTTAGTTGTTGAAAGAGTCATCTGTGAGCAGTAGTGCAGGATCAAACAACAGATCAAACTTGCAGGCTAAATGACTACGCTGCACGTGACATTGCTTGCTGTGTTGGAAGGGTACCCTGGGTGTATCTAGACAAATGGTTCAATAGCAGCATGGAGCTATCCAGCCTCAAGATTAGTATTGTACACTGCGTGCCCCTAATACACAACGCATGAATGCCTCACTGCCTGTCCAGAAGCCCTACACAAAAAATGCCGCCGCTTGAACAGCCAAGAAACACCACAACAACAGCGACAGATCTTGCCGCAAGAGGGAATGATCTACACGTTTCCTGCGCCCCCAGGACTGTCCATCGATGCAAGCCGTCCTCCTGGATCAAATCTCATCTCAGCGCGACTCTTGTGAACGATATATCAATACTATAGCGACGTTCGGCACGGCACAGCGGCGTGAAATGACCTCCAAGCCGTGACTATGGCCCCTATAACTGTTGAAAGTGAGTCCACAGTCCTTGGGTACGGTACAACATCGCGACTAACCGCCTTGTTAGATGTGAAAAGGAAAGCGTCTGAGGACGCACCCTCCTCTCGCTCGAAGAAGGCCCGTACAGAGTCTCCCAGCCTCGAAGATGGCGATGTTACGAAACAGGAAGAGGTAATTCCCATTCCATGCCTTCATACCCTATTCTGGGGCGGTTTCCGCCCGATGATCATCTGTACCACGTCCCAAGCAACATCTCTTCTGATTCGGATTCTACGATATGTTTTGCATGTCTGGAACAAGAGTTAGCATACTGTCGTTGCTTGTCGTTGCTTGAAAGGCTCTGCTCTGGGGAACCCGACACTAATCCAGCCTCTACGCAGTCCGACTCGGATCACGCTGATCCTCCCATCACCCCCACCCCTGTCGACTTTCCCGATAAACCTGCCGTGATCGAAGAGAAGGAGGGGGTGATCGAGTTCAGAGTGGTCAACAATGATAATTCACGAGAACACAACATCATCTTGACCGGGCTGAAAGGTATATTCCAAAAACAACTACCTAAGATGCCGAAGGACTACATTGCCCGTTTGGTTTACGACAAGACACATCTGTCGATTGCTATAATAAAGCAACCACTTGAGGTCGTGGGTGGCATCACATACAGGCCGTTCAACTCTCGTAGATTCGCTGAGATAGTGTTCTGCGCAATCTCGTCGGACCAACAGGTCAAAGGCTACGGAGCACACCTGATGGCGCATTTGAAAGATTATGTCAAGGCTACATCTCCTATCATGTACTTTTTGACTTATGCCGACAACTACGCCATTGGATATTTCAAGAAACAAGGCTTCACCAAGGACATCACCCTGGAGAAGTCAATATGGATGGGGTACATCAAAGATTACGAGGGAGGCACGATCATGCAATGCAGTATGCTACCAAAGATACGATACCTCCAGGTTCCACGCATGCTTCAGAAACAGAAAGAGGCGGTCATGGCCAAGATCCGAGCAGTGAGCAAGTCTCACATTGTTCATGCTCCCCCAGCACAGTGGAAGAATGGCATCTGCGAGATCGACCCAATGTTGATTTCAGCGATCAAGGCGTCGGGCTGGTCTCCTTCCATGGACGAACTTTCGCGGCAACCACGACATGGCCCCAATTACAATCAGCTTCTTCACTTGCTTAATGACATGCAGAATCACACATCTGCATGGCCCTTTGCCCAGCCTGTCAATAAGGATGAGGTGCCGGACTACTATGAAGTGATCAAGGAGCCGATGGATCTGTCGACTATGGAAGAACGATTGCAGAATGATCTCTATCCAAGACCCGAAGATTTCATCAAAGAAGCCAAACTCATTTTCGACAACTGCCGGCGTTACAACAATGAAACCACGCCTTATGCTAAGAGTGCCAACAAGCTCGAGAAGTTCATGTGGCAGCAGATCAAAAACATCCCGGAGTGGTCGGTAAGTCTCATGTTGGAGATCCCATTGACAAGAACACATACTGACAAGGCATAGCACCTGGCTGAGTAGAACCCAGAACGGTTGAAGTAAATCTTGCATTAGCATTGGAGCGTGGGAGGGACTGGAACTGGCGTTGGAATGGATGAAGTCCATATCAATGGCAGGGTGGCTGGCTGAGTTTTGTATTACATGATACCCCAAAGGCATGACCTAGCTTTTATGAACATAACGATGAAGACATCAATGAAGAACGTAGATCTTATTGGATTTCAAACGAGGAGTGAGCGGAAATGAGTTTGGTTGATGGCTGTCGGCTTCCTTAGGTAGACGGACCAGTAGCGATTTGCGTTGTTTGTCTACGAGTACCCCCCGGGCGCAACCACTTCCAAGTTTCCGCGTCAAGCCAGCCTCACATCAACATCATCCTTGCATCACCACGACTTTGCTTCCGGACCGTCACTCGACCAGCAGACACGTCGACTTTCTCAAATCTCACTCTCGCTACACGCAAACTTCGTCAAAGTTCACAGCCGAAGGCGCTCAGCTATACCAACCTCGGGCGTCCTGAGTCCGTCCCCCTGGGCAGCTGCATCTCATCTATCAATTCCACGCCTACCAGAGCAAAATATTCAGTGCGACGCGAAGATCGAATTCGCAGGCGCTACTAGGACAAAGTCCGACGACGATTGACCGCGCAGATCCGCACGATTGTATCGAGTCCTCAAGTCCTGTCAGCAGCCGATCCCAGTCCCGACACAGCATTATATTGCTTGCGACCAGCCGATCCGAGGAACAATAACAACAATGGCGCACCACAGCCATGCCGACCAAGAGCTCGAGCAGCGCAACAGGCTCCCCACTTTGATGGAAGTACTGGGAAGAAGGACACTGGCACCAGTTGACCTGTTTTCATTCTATATTTACATGCGCGATCAACAGCGCTCAGTCGACTATCTTGACTTCTGGTTCGTCTGAGTCTCACTCTTGGCTAGTCTCCAACTCTAACAATTCACTGCAGGCTCGATGTATCCCAGCACATGTCCCTTTGCCGACACTATGTCCGAGAACTACGACGATCAATGCTCGTCGATACGCCCGAGATGGAAAAAGCTACGAGTAAGAGGTCGTCGAATTTCTTCGAGTCGTTTGATATTGGTGAGGGTATGGACACACGAAAGAGCGGACAGGAGTCAAGAGTGTCCGCTATCCTGAGGTCAGATAATGGAGGGCGCAAGAAGCCCAGTAGCAGAGACGGCGGCAACGGCATGGAACGTTCACCATCCCATAGTTTGGGATCTGCACATTCGAGGAACTATAGCCGCCCGTCTCCAGGATCGGAAAGACCGTCTCCAGGATCCGAACTGCTGCCCCAGCCGACTTACTCGACGCCCGAAGTGCGAACTGACTCGAATTCCCCGGGCCACAGTGTTGCTAGAGCTGATATCAAGGCCAGTGCCGAGAAGATCTTATACACATTTGTTCTGCCCGGCTCGGAACGCGAGATCGTGCTGCCAGACACGATGCTGAACAAAATCATACGCGCCATTGAGGAGGAGGGACGCGATGATCCGGAGGTCTTTGACGATGCGAAGGACTATGTCTTCCAGGCTATGGAACGAGACGCCTTCCCGGGATTCTTGCAGGCCAAGGCTCTGGGAAATCTGGTGCCGCTCAGTGTCCTCATCAGGCTGATCATCGGCCTGACGAGCTTGATGGCTGGCTTCTGGGGCGGATATTACATGATTCTGCGGAATGAGTCGAGGAGAACGAGGTGTTGGGTACGTTTTTCTTCATCGCACATGTGCCGTATCGTTGCTGACCTTTTTCGGGACAGCTCATCCTACCGTTTGTCATCGGCACGTACTTCCTCGTGTCTTACCAATACAAGCTCGACATCCTGGCCGCGTACCTGGGCTTCTCCGAGTATACGTGGATGAACTGGTCGAGAGTCAAGGAGCCTTTTGTACGTAGGTTGTTGTTGACTCGCGCCACGATGGCGTTGACGATGTTCTTGGCCACGGCGGTAGGGTTGAGCGTGTTGTTCATCTTTGTGCCCGGCACGAACTTTTGAGCTTGAGACAGCCAGACTCTGAAGGCCAGAACGAAGAAGCTTATGTGACGACCGCGATGAACTTGGGTGTAAAGAGCTGGGTTTGACTTGGGTTGGGTTGGACTTAATGCTGGTGCGCTTGTAGACGCAACGGCGCGGTAACGCACAGCGGGTGTCTGGTAGCGGATCGAGCGAAGGAGTCGAATTGGAGGGATATATGTCGCGCTTTTACTTATGGGTTGCCGGGTGGGCGGGCAGGCGGGCAAGCTGGCAAGCTGGCAAGCAGGCGTTTTCGAGGCATTAAGCTGAAATAACAACATGACATGAACTCAATGAATCCGTGTGTATATTCAAGGGATAAACTCTGGCAGTACCGGGCTGATCTTGGATTTCTACTAGAAACTGCTAGTATTTTTCAGTCGTGAGCATTCATGGATTCATTTCTGTGACCCGTGGTCAGGTACTATTCTCGTAGGGAGGCAATTCAAGCTCATACTTGTGACCACGCCTACGTTGCTCGGACTGGGTTATTTCAGGCTCATGATTTCGTTGCCATGGCTGCTTCCTGTAGGACGACATCTCAAGGTCGTGGCTTCGTGGTTGTAACAGCTTCCCTTTGACAGGACAACCTCATGTTGTCTAGGATATGTAGCGCTATTTTGGCTCCCCTTCGCAGTTCCATCTCTGATGGACGACCGCCTTAGACCGGGCAATCGCTATGCTGTCCATTTTGTTGGGTCATCTCTTCATGCAAACATCGTAGCTGATGGCTAGACTCGTCATTTCGAGCCCCTTCCTCTGTTTCTCTTTGTCCCCCTCGCAGAAGCGCCGAGCCCGTATCCTCCGCGTCCGCTACCACCTCCGGCTGTTATACCTTCGCCGATTCCTTCATCCACATCCATTTCGTCGCTGTAGTCCTCGTCCTCGCCTTCCATGTGCTGTTCGATGTCGCGCTTACTGGGCAAACGTTGCGCACCACGAGCTGGGCGAAGACCTCCTGCGGCTTTACGCTCGGCTTCTGGGTCGATGGCGGGCTTGGTGTTTAGGACGGCTGCGTCGACGGTTTCCTGGTGCTTTCGTTCGGTGACGCTGCGCTCAGCGGCTGTACTGCGGATCGCGGTGATCTGGCCTTCCAGCTCGCTGATCATGGATGTGCATCTCGACTCCCATGTCTGTAGGATCTGAAGTAGTGCTGGGAGGGATTGTGGGCGTAGGTCGCGCAGTGGTGCAACTGAGGTGACGTTCACCACGGGCGGGTTGGATGTCGGTGAGAGGCGAGCGGTCAGGAGGCCGGTGTAGATGGATTGGGTGACGAGGGATTCGAGGCTGGCTGCGTTGGAAAGCGAGAGGGATTGAAGGAGGGTTGGGTAGGTTAGGGTGCTTGTTTTGGTGTCGCTGGTCGGGGCGAAGGGTGAGGCAAGTGTCAAGAGACTGAGTTGGCGCAGTTTGAAGGTCTGAGGCTCGTCGAGTGGTGGAAGATTGGAAGTTGCTTTGGGACCAAGTTAGCATCGTCCTGCCCTGTGCCTTGGGCTGAGTCTACCTTTGTATTCTTCGTAGGTGCCCCAGCTGAAGATCTCTAGGAGCGTGAGCCATGGCTGTGAGTCTGTTCCACGCAGGCTCTGGCAGGCTTCGATCTGAAGGAGTTCGGTGAAGATATATGTGCCTGGTGCAGATATGGCACTCTTGATGAGTTCGGCGACGAAGCGAGGAGATGGGCTCTTGGTAGTCGTGGCAAGGTGAACGAACGGCTGGAGTGCCGCGAGGGCTTTCGTCTGTGATTGATCCATGGCTTGAAGTGCTGTGGGATGTCACCAGTGGGATTGTCGTCTGAGGTAGAATGGTGGTGGTGGGAGTTGTTTCTCTATTGCGTACTATCACCATTAGTGGACACGCAGGACAGTGGCAATGGGGCACTGACATTCAACAAGGCCAGCCTATCACGGTGCCCGGGGTATTCCGCTGCTTCACAGGTCCAGGCAGGCAGGCTGGGTCTTGGTGGGTTCAACTGTGCATTTATTATTAGTTACGCCACGCCTGCGGTACTTCTACTCATGCCACTAAGAGGAAATCTCCCCTCTAACTTCAACCAGACTGACCTGATGTGTGGTCTGACTGTTCTGTTGTTAACTTCAGCCTCCAAAATTGAATTCTGTCAGTTAAAACCCCGGGGTAACGATAATAACTTATTGGTGGTGGCCACGCGGTGACATATTCTACTGTTGGTGCCAATTTCGAAACTCCTTTTCGTTTCCGGACGCATGCGCAAAGCCCCCCCCAAGGGTTACTTAGGGTTTCTAAGCAAAACGCATTCTTTAACTCGGGCCTTTTACGTCTCACATTTCCACTCGCTTCTCTTTCTTCGCTTCCTCACTTCTAAAACACCACCACTCCGTACCACTTCCTCGCCTCGGTTTCAAGTCGATCGTTTCCTTTCCCACCGTCACACTCTTTAGGTCTCCTCGGCGTTCCTGGTCAATACACAGTACTTCTCCCTCCCATAAGACCGAAGCATTTCCCACGAAACCTCGAGTCGCCATCCAAACAATGAACTTCTAGTCTGTTATCTTGCACTACGCTTGTCTCGCTCGTCACACCTCTCATATCGACATGGGTGTCATCGAAGGCAGCGGCCTGGCGCCGCAACAATCACAATTGCCGCACATGGCGACCACTACACTAAAGGTGGATGGCATGACATGCGGCGCTTGTACTTCCGCCGTGGAGTCTGGATTTCAAGGAGTTGACGGCGCTGGCGCTGTCTCTGTTAGTTTAATGATGGGAAGAGCCGTGGTACATCATGATCCAGAAAAGTTGTCCGCGGAAAAGATCGCGGAAATCATTGAAGATCGTGGATTCGACGCCGAAGTCCTTACCACCGACGTACCTCTATCAGATAATGCGCCAGCCAAAGCATCGAGCGTCTCAAAATCTCAGACCACGGTCACCACAATATCAGTACAAGGAATGACATGTGGTGCCTGCACTTCCGCTGTGGAGGCCGGGTTCAAAGATGTTCCGGGTGTCAAGAGCATGAGCATATCGCTACTCGCCGAGCGTGCAATTGTCGAGCACGATGCTAGCATAATTGGCGCCGATGCCTTGGCGGAAATTATCGAAGACCGTGGTTTTGATGCCACGATCATGGACTCGAAGGTACAGGAGGCAAAGAAAGATGCAAACAACACTAAAGAGCAAGGGCCAAGCACATGGACAACCACTGTTGCTATCGAAGGCATGACTTGTGGAGCGTGTACTTCCTCGGTGGAAGGCGCTTTCAAGAACGTTCCGGGCTTAGTTCGATTCAACATTAGTCTGCTTGCCGAACGAGCAGTCATTTCTCATGATCCAGAGGCGTTGCCTGCGGAGAAGATTGTGGAACTCATTGAAGACGCAGGTTTTGACGCAAAGGTTGTGTCTTCGCAGGCTGAGGCGGCGTCGCAAGGCGCATCCTCTGCCACGCAACAACTCAAGATCTATGGCCTGCCTGATGGCAAGACTGCCACTGAACTGGAGGATGCGTTGAGGTCCAAAGCCGGCATAAAGAATGCCGTAATCAGCCTGTCCACCTCACGAGCCAATGTCACCTACGATCCCGCACTAATCGGTCTTCGAGCGATCGTCGGAGTCGTTGAAGCGGCCGGCTTCAATGCCCTTGTCGCTGATTCAGAGGACAACAACGCTCAACTGGAGTCTCTGGCAAAGACGAAAGAGATTCAGGAGTGGAGGAGAGCGTTCTTGACGTCCGTGGGCTTTGCAGTTCCGGTCTTCCTAATCAGCATGATTATACCCATGTTTTTGCCTGCGTTGGATTTTGGCTCCTTTCAACTGATACCCGGTTTGTTTTTGGGGGATATTGTTTGCGGCGCATTGACGTTTCCTGTTCAATTCGGCATCGGAAAGCGATTCTATGTTTCGGCCTACAAAAGTTTGAAGCATAGATCCCCGACCATGGACGTTTTGGTGGTTCTGGGCACTTCAGCAGCTTTCTTTTTCAGCTGCTTTGCGGTTATCGTCGCGGTTTTGATACCGCCTCACAACAAGCCTGGCACTGTCTTCGACACAAGTACCATGCTGATCACGTTCATTACACTGGGCAGATGGCTGGAGAACCGCGCCAAAGGTCAAACCTCGAAAGCATTGTCCGCCCTGATGTCTCTGGCTCCAAGTATGGCAACCATTTACGAAGATCCTTTGTATGCAGAAAAGTTGGCCGCTAACTGGAGCGCACCCTCATCGCCCGTCTTGGAGAAGACACCAACGAATGAGAAGTTCAACAGATTGCCTGCTGCACCTTCTGGACCAGCCGCGATTGAGAAAATGATCCCCACTGAATTGATTGAAGTGGGCGATGTGGTCATTCTCCGACCAGGTGATAAAGTGCCTGCGGATGGAATAGTCACCAGAGGCGAAAGTTTTGTTGATGAAAGCATGGTCACCGGTGAAGCCATGCCAATCTCCAAGAAGAAGGGCAGTGTTCTTATGGCGGGAACAGTCAACGGAGCTGGCAAGCTCGATTTCAAGGTCTCTCGTGCTGGTAAGGATACACAACTGAGTCAGATTGTGACACTGGTGCAAGAAGCACAGACGAGTCGAGCACCGATTCAACGTATGGCAGATCTCGTTGCTGGCTATTTCGTCCCAGTCATCATTCTGCTGGGCCTCATCACCTTTATCGGCTGGATGGTGCTCAGCCACACTCTCCCGAACCCGCCAAAGATCTTTATCGACAAGCAAAGCGGAGGAAAGTTTATGGTCTGCCTCAAACTCTGCATCTCAGTCATTGTTTTTGCTTGCCCTTGTGCCCTAGGCTTGGCCACACCCACCGCAGTCATGGTGGGAACGGGTACTGCATCACAACAGGGAATACTCGTCAAGGGTGGCGCTGCTTTGGAGACGGCTACCCGCATCACCCATCTCATCTTTGACAAAACCGGAACACTCACTTTCGGCAAGCTCAAAGTTGCAGACAAGAAGATTGAACCTCTCTGGAGTTCCAATGAGTGGAGGACCAAGGTCTGGTGGACTTTGGTTGGACTGGCTGAGTCAGGTTCTGAACATCCTATTGCTAAGTCAGTCCTCGCGGCAGCTCGGGAACATCTTGATCTTGAGCCCGATGAGCAATTTCCTGGTCAAGTTGGAACCTTTGGCGTGACCGTCGGTCAAGGTGTGTCGGCTGTCATCGAATTGGAGACCCCTGGAGATCAAACAGGATATAAGGTATATGTGGGCAACGCCAAATTTCTCCACAACAAGAAGATCGAGATCCCCTCGGAAGTCGAGAACTCGGTCAGCTCAGCCATGTCTCCCACAACTCGAAAGAAGTCCAAGACTGGTATTACCACGGTTTATGTTGCTATCAATGGTCAGTTTGCCGGTACAATCGGACTTTCGGATACTCTGAAACCTACTGCTCCGGCGGCCGTCGCAGCTCTACACAAGATGGGGATCAGCACGTCTTTGGTCACTGGAGACACATACAACACAGCTCTAAACATCGCGCAACTCGTGGGCATCCCACCAGACTCGATCCGGGCATCTGTCTCGCCCGGTGAAAAACAGTCCATCGTGGCAGAACTACAGTCCCAAGGCGAGATTGTAGCCATGGTTGGCGACGGTATCAACGACTCACCAGCTCTTGCAACTGCTAATGTCGGTGTCGGTCTGGTATCTGGAAGTGACATCGCCGTTGAAGCTGCCGACATTGTCATCATGCGATCTGATGACCTTCTCAACATCCCTGCTGCATTATATCTGTGCAGAGTCATTTTCCGCCGCATCAAGATGAATCTTATTTGGGCTTGCGCGTACAATGTCATTGGTCTGCCTTTTGCCATGGGAATCTTTTTGCCTTTGGGCTATCATATGCCGCCCTTGATGAGCGCGACAGCCATGATGTTCAGCAGTATCAGCGTCACCTTGTCGAGTCTTGCGCTCAGATGGGCGGGTAGGCCGAAGTGGCTGACTGTTGAGTCTATGGAGATGGAGAGTCCAAAGCTCGCTGTGCCGGTCATTGGACAAAGGAAGAGGCCAAACATCGTTGGCAGAGTCGTCGAGGCTGTGTCTTCCTTGTTTGACGGCGCGCTCATCAAGAGGAGAGCTCTTCAGGAGGGCAACAGAGGAAGTTACGTTCCTCTTACAAACGTGGAGCCTGTATAAGCTTCTTGATTGTCTGAATTTAATAGCGTTTGAGTTGTAAACGTATACTATACTATACTGTACTATCTACTATCTATATTCAGCATGGTAAATGTGTCAGATATCATCTTGCAATGTGCAGTTACATGTTTGTTGGTCTCGCCAATTGACAGTTTTTGTTCGGCAAAGTGAGTGAAGTATGGAAAGGAGATAGGCCCCTGACCGGCTCCAGCCTTGCATCGTGATCCACACCGCCCCGTTCTTCCTGTCATCAGCCCCAGCAATACCGTCTATCTTTATTCTTTGTCTATTATGTCTAGATCCCAAGCTACTAATACGATACACTGTCATCCCCACAACAACTTTTTCGCCGAATCATGAACACTTTACGCTACAGCGAAAGTGCTCCTCGCTCTCAACTTCGCGCCAAACACATACAATGACACCATACCTGCGATGCCCACAACAGCCAAACCCGCAAGTAGACTCACTCCACCACCAACGCCGAGCTTGATGAACATGGGCCGCGAGAAGATGACGCACCCTGCGGCAAACAGCGCGCGGAATAGGTCGTTCCCTGCGAACAGTGATGCAGCGTACTGAGGGTACGAGAGCGGCAAGTAGACGAATATGCATTGAAAGATGATGAAGTTGGAGGTCACTAGGATGGTCACGCCGATCATGCTGACTATCCAGTGAACACTGTGACGGGCGGTCCAGCCTGTATCACATTGAGTGTCAGCAAGCGATATTGTCTGGTGGGAGGTTGAGGGTTGGGGTGGCGTTGAACTTACCAAACATGAAGTATCCCATAGGCAATGTACACACGGCGAATAGTGCCGGGACCAATCTGTGTTCTGGAGCGCGAAGACCTCGTTTCTTGATGTCCGGCACGAGATAGAGTAGTAGGTAGCCGTTGAACAGAGCCACGCCGATCAGGCACGCCACTCCGATGGTGAGGAATGTGAGGCCCAACTCGCCGAGGTTGAAGTGGTAGATATCGATGTAGACTAGGGGGAAGACCTCGAAGAAGGAATAGTAGATACCGTAGGTGAGGGCAGTCTGTACATCATACGTTAGCTCGAAGCCTGATTGTAAGGTGGAGGCAGTAAAGACTTACGTAGACGTTCGTAAAGGACACGGCGGGGTCTTTGACCATGATCTCAATTGGTTTGATGATGGCGTCGGCGAAAATGGACGACAGTGTCATGGTTGCCTGCTTGATCTCGCTTTGAGACCTCAAGTCGGTGCGCCCTGTGAGCTGGCGGAGACGTTGGGCCCGGCGGCGGAGGATGGTTTCGGCGGATGTTTCGGGGCAGGCGATGAGATAGAGAACTAGGATAGGGGCTGACATCCAGACTAGGATCCAGAGGGACCATCGCCATCTGAAGGGGGTCCAGTGTGTCAGCTCCGCGACGCGGTGACAATGAAAAAGACCGTGGGTATGGATGTCTTACCCCTCTGCAGAGATGGCGTAGCCACTCACGACAGGACCGATCGCCGGGCCCCAGAAACAAGCGGCGGTCCAGGAGGAGAGATACAGTGGAAGCATGAGGAGGTTGAACTGTGATTAGGACATGTCAGCTTATGGGAGTGTGAAGAGGACAGTTTGTTATACGTACCATATCGCCCACGGATGCGCCTCCGTTGGCCAAGCACGGACTGCTCAATAAGCCCTGCAGGAAGCGCAGAACAAGCAGGCCAGCGTAGTTGTCGACCATGACTGTGGGGATGGATATGATGACGAAGAGGATGAATGTGGGTGTGTAGACCCCGTTCCTGCCGATGGCCGGGATCTCGCATAGCGGTGCAAACAGAAGAGGGCCGATACCGTCTGTTGGTCGGATGGTTAGTAGGGAGAGAGAAGCGGGAGAGACGACTCACATCCGATCACGTAGATTGCAAGACCCATTGCTGCTGCTGCATTGCCGACGTTGAATCTGTCCATGACACCCCTGAGAGCAAGAGTTAGACAGTGTCAATAGTTTGGATTTGCTTGTACCTACTGCTCGCCAAGGACGTAGATGCTCGATCCACCATACATGGCGAAGCTGTATAGGCTTTATGACGAGTTAGCCTGGTTGATTTGAAATGAGTGTAGTCTTCAGTCACCATATCTGGGTCAAGACAAAGATCTTCTTGCCCTGAGACCAGTTCTGTGGATTCTCTGGATCATCCGTGGTGTACCAGTCGACCAGAACAAACCCATCCTTGGACCTTTGAAGAGATATAGGTCTGCTTCTTGTCTTCTCAAGGTCAAGCTCTTCATCTAACTCGAGTCGTTCTCGTGAGTACTCCTGGCTCAGTTGCCGCTCCATGCTCGATTCAACTGGGAGTGTTTCCTCGTCAGTCGCGGCATCTCGCTCGGTGGTCTCTGGCGATGTCTCTAAAGTCTGGTTGATGGCTTCACCTGTTGCCTGCATCGGTTCAGTCTTAGTTCAACCATTATCTGTGGATACGCACGAGTTTTGGAAACTGGAAGCCTTCTCGTTCCTCAGGGTGCAGGAGAACCTTGTTGCGGGTGATCAAACGAATCAATTGGCCCAAAGGCGCGTCCCGAATTGTGTCCAGCATTCCGAGTGATTGTCTCTGTACGCCTGGGGCCCTGAAAACAGCGAGATCCAGGAGGATCCTTAGATGCTTATGAGATCGAGAGTAGACTTAGTACTTATAATGTCCTGGGCATAACGGCGTCGGTCGCCACAAACGCGGTGCGGACCAAGGCACTCGCTCGTCCGTGTCCGCTCGTCTCAACGTGATTAGTTTGTGATATTGACGAGGCTCAACAGCCTGTAACCATTTTCTGGGTGGAGACCCAATCAATCCTCGTTAGAGGGTGGCCTTGTGTAAGATCTGGAACCATCATTGGTTTCCTCTCAACAGCCGAAGGTAGATGCAAGGCTGTCTGAATCAGTTTACTCAGAGCCTGGTGCTGATTATTAATTCCAAATGACGATCAACATCTCCACGTCTTCTCACATCCCGCACGAAGACGCGTCATAGACCTCCATCCTCATGCGGAGATTTCGTATCGAATACAGACAAGCTAGCAGTGCTACTCGAGCAGACTAGGTTGGATGTGCATCCCTTTTCGGTATGTGTTGGAATAGCTTACATATGCCGGATATCCCTTGCCCCTTAATGCTTACTAAACGGCCGCACAGGACGTCCGTACCGCACTCGTGTTCGGATCTCAATTATATTTTTTACTCTCCGACGCCGCAATTCGGTCGAAGCATCAGATCTTCCATGTAAAAGAAGAATTCAACCCGCATCAACGCACATGTTGCGAAGCACGGACGTGGGCGTGCTTCCACGCACTTGAGAGCGACTACGGTCTGTCAGCCCGTGAGTCTTTGAGAGACGGGTTTCGGCGAAAAGCTGCAGAGAGGTCCATTTATCACCGAATATTCTCATACAACCTCGTTGATCAGTCTACCTTGATCACAATCTTGCCGAAGAACTCCTGTTGATCCATGTAGTGGTAAGCCTCCTTCGCGGAGTGAAAATCAAAGATCCTGTCCGAGACAACAGGCTTGATACCTTTGTCTTCGAGGAATGAGTTCATCTCACGGAATAGCTTCCGCGACCCGACGTTGATGCCTCGGACTATGCAAGTCTTTTGCTGGACCAAGCCAAAACTGGTGGGTGAAGCGCTCTTTCCGCCCAGAAAACCGACCAAGGAGATGACTCCCTCAGGCCTGACTGCTGATATGGACTGAGATATCGTAGTCTCCCCGCCAACCTCTACGACATGATGCACTCCGAGTCCATCCTCGCTTAGTGCCTTTGCTGTGTCACCCCAGTTCGAATCGTCTTGGTAATTGATGACATGGTGAACGCCTAATTCTTTCAGCCTTTTCGCTTTCTCCGGACTGGAAGTTGTACTGATCACTGTGGCACCAATGGCGAGTGCAAACTGTATCGCGAACAAGGAAACTCCACCTGTACCTTGGGTGAGCAAAATTTCGCCTTTCTGCAGAGATTTCCCATGCAAGCCGAAAAGACAGTTCCAGGCCGTCACAGCGGCGCATGGTAAGGTGGAGCCTTCAACAGAGGTGAGGTGCTTCGGTAAGCACACAAGGCCAGTCTCTTCGAAAATGCCGTAATGCTGGAGGACTCCATCGCGCTGGCTTCCCAGGCTACTTGCTCGGATCGGCGGTGTAATGATTCCGTCTTGATGATCTTGCATAAATGACATGCAGACCTTGTCTCCGACTTGGAATTCATTGACTTCGTCGCCGATGGCAATGATCTGCCCGCAGCCATCAGAAACCGGTACGAACGACTTCGCGACTTGCCAAATGTATCGGTCCGTGGCCATTGCGATGTCGCGATAGTTCAATGACGCCGCTTCTATGCGGATCAGACATTGTTTCCCACTTATTTCGGGAATAGGTATGTTGTCTTCAAACTGGAGTGCGTCGATGCCGGCATTGGCACGTATAAGCCACCTCGAGTTTCTTCTGGTGGTCATTGCTACCCCTTGATGCTTTTTCGTGACTTTGAACTTTCATGCATATTATCGTAGATGATCAAGTAAGGCATATTGAAGTCACTCCCCACAGGTAAGGCGGCTTGGGGTACAACAGCCCGGAGTGTATATGTGGGGCTTCTCCAGCTTCTCGGAAATCAGAGCATCTCCCGCATGTCAAGCTTCCCCAAGACCATAGCTTTTGGGGGTCGACTTAGTGGCTGATCCCCAAGGACTCCGCAAGACGGCACACGGGAAAGCCTTGGCCAGGCACGCAGCATGGTGACGATGAGGAATGCATTTATTCATCTCTGGAATTGTAGCAAATGAGTGCAATGGAAATAGGAAGATCGCTGCTGGCAGCCCATAGCCGTTCCATACCCTTTCAGTCTTCCCACTGTTTGCAAGCCTGCAAACCGCCCATCAACCGCTTGGTAATGTCATTGTCCTCGCACTTCATGATCCATTCCTCCTTCCCTCCTCCTTTACCGTCAAGACCATAAGTCTTGCCAAACCCGGACACGAAATTCTCAAAGGTAGTCTCCGGCTTCTCACGACAAAGCCCGCAGAGAGTGTTGACGACCTCGTCACTAAAGCCCACGCGAGGAAACGCGCCGACAATCTCCTTGTACTTCTCGACTGTGATGGGATTGCCAGGAAGCGGTAGGTTGGGGCCCATAAAGTCTGCGAAGATGCCCAAAGCCACAGCAACGACTTCGGGTTGTTTGTGCTGCGCAATCGAGGGTGTCGTGTGCAGGGCGATGGCGTCCCACAGCAATTGAATACGGTGGGCATCCCATTCTCCACTGGCACTGTGGTTGACAAAGTCCCTCGCGATGTTGGCGCCATCGACTTCAAAGCGCTTGTCGTTAGAAAGGAGCGATTTGGTCGTTGCCCAGCCCATGTCGTGCATCAGGCTGGAAAGCACCACAGCCTCCAGATCGACATTTGCGGATGCCAAGGGTGGGAATTCGCGGATCAGGAGCAAGGAGAATGACACGCAGCGGAGACAGTGGTTGACAGTGGCTTGGCTGGTGTGCTCTTTTGTGTAGGTGTACGCGGCATTGATGAGCTCGTTGGAAGGAATTGTGATCTGGCAGACTGGCAGGGAGGGAAAAGGGGATGAAGGAGACATGGTTGGATTTGATCTCGCTCCTCAACTATCTTCCCTGGGGATACCTTGACTGCGAATGTTCTTGCTTCGTGGCCGGGTGGCCAACATACCTTATATAGATCACATTGCATTGGGAGATCGTTTCAGGTAAGATGTTGCTCGCACAAATTCCGCATTGTCAGGTCGTGTGGTGGGGCTGAAGTTACGAATAAGGAAGTCTGAACGAGGCTTCCACAAGACGCATCTCGTTTATGCTCCTCTGACAGGAACATCCGGGTATAATCCGCCCTCGATGTAGATGAGCAGAGGCCTCAGGACGGAGAGAGCTGACCATGATTGGTCATGCACTGAGAAAGTACATTCCTCCGACGGACTGCGCCAACGACCCAAAATGGATGTCTTGCCTGTTTGAGCATGAGAGGTTGCAGAGGGGTTTGCATGTGCGAACGGGTCGGCCTCAACGTTAGTGTCAGACTTCGACATATGGTAGTGTAGCGGTACTTCGTGCCGGGAAAGCCTGATATTTTACTTTGTCAGCAGAAAACAGATACTTTCTACACTCCATTGGGCGGGTATACTCCGTCGCCAGTGGGCTCACACATGACTTTTTGCGAAAGCTCCGTGTCTGGGTGTCAGTGAAGGATTGTCATCTTTGGCTGGATTGCCTTTGGGCATGGGCAACAAGTGGTAGACATGATGACTCAGACTTGATTAGTGAACCGCGCGTATGTTGCAGCGCCTATGTTCACACACTCGCGGAAAGTTCTGTTCTGCTTCGTAGTACCAACCCCATATCTCGACAAACTGAGCGACAAGATCAGCACTGCTGCTAGTATCAGCATGCTTTGGCCCTACACACGATCTCTAGGTGATAGAAAGAATTGCAGGATGCGCTGAAGGACAGCCGGGTTCGAATCCTTCGGCAATAGCACAGATCAGACTGAGACGTGGCAATGGAGGCCTCAGTGTGTTGTCGGACACTCAATTGATAGAGACTTTGGCCCATTTCCCGCGAGAGAGAATTCCAGAAAGGTGTTTCCCCGTCTCAGCCGCTCTCCATTGGCATTGACATGAACCAAGAATTGTTGGCTAATGTAGTCAAGACTGTGCACGCCAAAGCAGCTGGGGCTTGGGGAGAGTTTGAAGTCCTACATGACTGCAGTGATCTCACCGACGCCTTGCTTCTCAATGCTGTCGGCAAAAAAACGCCTGTTCTGGCTCGGATCTCCACGGTCGCCGGCGAGAAAGGCTCTAGCGACACAGTACGCGATGTCCGTGGATGGGCCATGAAGTTTTTCACGGAAGAAGGAAATCAAGATTTCGTGTTCAATGACCTGCCAGTATTCTTTATCCGTGACCCTATAAAGTTCCCAAGTATGAACAGAAGTCACAAGCGTCATCCACGGACTAATGTGCCGGACAACAACATGTTCTGGGATTTTCATGTCAATAACCAGGAGGGCATACACGCTCTCATGCACTTATTTGGTCAACGTGGCATCCCAGCGTCTCTACGCCACATCAATGGGTATAGTGTTCACACATATACCATGAACAAAGAAGATGGAAGTTTCAAGTATGTCAAATGGACTCTACGGCCAGAAGATGGCATTGAGACTTTGCCATCAGATGTTGCTCTTCGGCTCGCTGGAGAAGAACCTGACGATCAGATCAAGGACCTCTTTAACGCTATCGAGCGAGGAGAGTATCCGAGATGGATCGTTTATGTTCAGGTCATGAGTTCAGAGGAAGCTGCGTCTGCACCGATCGACATCTTCGACAACACATTCACATGGCCTCACCGCGAGTATCCACTAAGGCCACTTGGACGACTTACTCTGATGCAAAATGTAAGCACTCTCCTCTGACCTAAAACCTCCCACTGATAGACTTGTCAAGCCGAATAACTACTTCCAAGAAATCGAACAAGCAGCGTTCTCGCCCTCGAACATGGTTCCAGGCATTGGACCTTCTGCTGATCTCGGTTCGTTCTCGACACTCCCACAACATGTTGTCGTAAGCGCCACAACTAACAAACACTGATAATCTAGTCCTTCAAGCACGCATCTTTAGCTATCCTGACGCCGCGCGCTATCGTGTCGGCCCGAACTACCAGCAACTTCCCTCCAACAGACCGCGGTCGAAAGTGTATTCCCCCTATGAGCGCGATGGACCCGGAAGAATTGACGGAAACTACGGCGGGGATCCTGACTATGTCCAGTCCTCACTCCAACCCTTGAGAGTGAGCACACGTCATGCAGTGCCTACGCATGAACAATGGAATGGCCATGTGGTGCAACATTCGACCGAGGTGACAGATAAAGATTTCGAGCAACCAAGGGCACTGTGGGAGATTATTTGCAGTGAAAAAGATGGGCAGATGCAATTCCTGGACAATATTGTGCCGACTTTGTTGGGAATCAAGCACGAGCTGCTAGTCAGAGCCTTGGGTACGTGTTTCGCTGTTCCTCCGTGTTTGCGTGACTTTGATAGGACTGATGAGATGCCAGATATGTTTGCTCGTGTCGATCCCGACATAAAGCACCTCCTAGAGGCAGAGATACAAAGAAGGGGCTCGGAGAAGAGTGGCGCTAGCCCCAATCAAACTCAGAAATACTCTGTGGCTACCTAGTGCAGAGATCTCGATCAATACAACAACCCGTGGCGAGAAGAAATCGTGACTGAGGATTTTGATCACTTTTGGACATAATGTGATGCATACTATTGGCTCTGCTGCTATGGCTGGCCCTCCGAAGCCATTCATTTCCCATGTCTCTGGCGGGGAGTAACCATTGAAGAAATGTGACCGAAACATCTGCGTTGATGGCAGATCGTGTATCGTTGTTTTCAGGGGTTCTACCTGCTCAGACGCTGCAGCTCGGCGTTACTTGGGTTTGATACGGAAATATAGTATCTGTATGCCAGAACTGTAGAGTCCAGAAGAGGGTGCGATGGTGATGCATGATGGAAACACCATGTAAGCAGCAACAACTTCCCAACACAAGCACCAAGTCGAATCGCTGATCGTATGTTGGAGATGACATTGCCAGTCAGCCTGGTTTTTGTAAATTCTGGGTGTTTGGGGCGCGGGCTGAACGGCACAGGAAGCCGAATTTCTGAGCTCTGATTAGCGGATCAAACTTCCTCCTCCACGCCCGGACTTGATATCCAGGCCCATAAGCGCCCACAATGAGGCCCCGTGTTGCTTGTGACGACATCATGCGTTTCAAGTCCATCGACGACCCTTATCACACCATACGAGTTTCCTTGTATCTGGAGTTCAATCATATCAATTAAAGCATCAAGACACAGGTTGTCTTGATCTTGTTATCGTCTGGAGGCATCTGCCATCACATCCGGCATCATCTCCTTCCAATTAGCGACTTTCAAATACCCAAAATGCATATGCGTCTCGTCACGGTTCTTGCAGCCTTGACTGCCTTCTCCGCAACAGGTTCTGCGGATCAAGTTCCCATAGAGCCAGCAAAGAAAGACCTCAGTATCCCGCCCATCGGTTTAGGATTATGGAACTCCAAGGATAAAGATGTAAGTCACTCATTGGGATACCCGGTTTGCAGAGTCTCAGACTTAATGATTATGGCATGACAGGCATCCAAAGCAGTCGAATATGCCTTCAAAGCAGGCTACATCCACCTCGACTCAGCCGCCGCCTACGGCAACGAAGACTACGTCGGCGAGAGTCTCAGCGCGTCCAAAGCACCATCCCGCAAATCATACTGGGTAACTTCCAAGCTATGGAACACTGCACACCAGCCCAAACTCGTCGGCGAGGCTCTCAACAAAACCCTCTCCGACCTCTCCATCCCGTACCTGGATCTGTACTTGATGCACTGGCCCGTCGCCTTCTTACCGGACCAAGGTGGCCGCTCCGTAGTCGACCAGGACACCACTATCCTCGACACGTGGCGGGCAATGGAAGATCTCGTCCGCGCTAACTTGACGAAACATATCGGCGTGTCCAACTTCAGCCCACGCCAGCTCGACGAGGTTCTCAAGAACTGCGACATCTGTCCCTACGCGCACGAATTCGAAACACATCCTTACCTCCAACAGCAGGATTTTGTGGACTGGCACCAGAAGAACAACATCACCGTCATTGCGTACAGTCCACTCGCCAATCTCAACCCCACGTACAAAGATAAGTATCCTGACATCGGTTCGATCTTGGACGATCATTTCTGGAAGAAACTCGCCAAGAAGAAGAATGTCACTGTCGCGCAGGCCATTTTGGCTTGGGGCATCCAACGAGGAACCGTGGTGATCCCGAAGAGCGTGCACGAAGTGAGGATCATCGAGAACCTGGGAAGCGTCAACGTGACGTTCTCAAAGAAGGAGATGAAGAAGATTCTGGCGCATGATAAGAGGGCGAGGTTCAACAACCCCTCAGAGGACTGGGGCGTCAAGCTATTTGAAGAACTCGATGATGGGACAACCCGATTGATGTGGGCACAAGACCTATGATTTTGGACTCTTTGAAAATACGAATTGAAAGGATTCTCGGGCAGGGAATCACTCTAGCTGACCGCGTGAACAATGTAGGGGAACAATGTCAGGATATAGATTTGCACCATAGGCAGTACGCCGCGTAATTTGATACCACTAAAAACGCTTGACCCCTAACGCTCAGCCTGTCCTGATGACCATGCCCACCCGATATGTTCAAACACCAGCACCATACCGCCGCCCCATGATGACCTTGAAGCCTCGACAAACGCCAACGCTCCGAGTGAATGCAGCCACACGACCCAATGTTATGTCCCCGACAGCAAAGGCGAGTGTCATGTGTTTCACGATTATTGTTGTTGGGTTGATTAATCGTCGATATCCTGGTGACGGGCCAATACCTTTCTTTGGTATTCTTCGGGGTCTTTTTGATGAAGTTGAGCAGCTTCGTTGTTTAACGGGCTCGCGCTGGTATACCAAGTCAACATTTCGTTCTTCGGAAATTAGAACAATCCTTACTTGTTGGGTTCTCCCAGCAGACTCTGCAAGCTCAGCAATACTGTCTGCACATTGTATACTGCGCTCCACTTGTCCTTCAAGATATCCAGGCATATCCGTCCACTGAAGTCAATGTTGGGATGATAGATCGGTGTCTTGAAGAGGACAGTGGGAGCAGTATAAGGGTAGTTGCCTGGGAATTCAAAGCTGAGCTTGAGGTTGAGGTCTGCGTAAGGAGTGTCTTTGGGGCCGATGATGGTGGCGGTCCAGTGTAGGAGGTTGCCATCTGCGTCAGGGAATGCTGAGATGCCAGGCGTAGGAGACATCATGAGAGCCATAAGTTCTGATTGTAATCTGCCCGATGGTCAATGGATCTTCTTGTGGTGCAGGCTGCTTATCGAACCTCTTCGTTACACTCTGAGTGTCGGCCTTTCGTGGCGCCACGGATAGTTTCTGTTGTTCAGCCATGGTGGACAAACCCGGAACAGCGTTCTGTGTGTCCTCGAGTTGAAAAGCCATGCTCATTGCTGGCAGTGTGAAATAGATCGATGGCGTGGAGACCAGTCCGCTTGCGAGTATGCGAGTATGGTCGGGCAATGGAATGCTGCAACCGGAAAAATGGTCTGGACGACGAAAAGGCCGTGGGCTCGCCCGCTATGACAAGTACACAAAAATGGGAGATGCAACCAAAAGGGAATTTCAAGGGAGTCGGACCAAAGTACTGGGAATAGGAATATGCAAGTGAAAAGGTATTTCTCAGGGATGTGTAGAGTGAAAGGCAAGAACGAACGATCAGACAGTGAAGAGATCCGGTCAGTGAACTGAACTGAACTGAAGTGAACTGTTGACGGGCCGATGGTCGCTGCAGTAACAAAAACACGGGCCTCGAAAAAATGACGTCGCGTCGAGGATGTCTCTCGACCAACGGCTCGCGCAATTCACGCTTTTACTCTAACAACGACGCGTCGATCATACAAGTCCAGGGCAACACGACGATTGATGATGCTGTTCAGTCTCGATTGAAACATGAAGACGCGATCTTGACGCCGCGCAGCTAAACTGCTGCAACCACTACAGTATCATGAACGGCATTCCGCATTCTCAATTGGCACCTCTGCCTGACCAGGTGCCATTCCGGATAGTCTCACCCACAATTGGTTCCGGTGCATATGCATGGTAAATGACTTTTGTCCGCAAAGATTCTCAAGTCGACTGGCTTTGTGCTAAGTCTCCACAGCATAAAGAAAGCCGCTCCTCTGCGAGAAGAAACTCCTGTCTTCGCCGTCAAGTTCATAAACAAGCTGTTCGCACAAAGATATGGCCGGATTAAACAGAAACAGCTGGAGATGGAGATATCCTTACACAAACATCTCGGATTCCACAAAAACATAGTAGAGTTCTTCGATCATGGAGATGATCCTGCTTGGGTGTGGATTGCCATGGAGCTGGCCGAAGGAGGCGATTTGTTTGACAAGATTGAAGCCGACGCAGGCGTATCCCAAGACATTGCTCATGTCTATTTCACGCAGTTGGTCAGTGCAATCGGCTACATGCATGCCAAAGGCGTGGCACATCGCGACATCAAACCGGAAAATGTGCTCTTGTCCGCAGATGGAGACCTCAAAATAGCCGACTTTGGAATGGCGACATTGTTTGAATATCACGGCAAGAGAAAGCTGGCGACTACTCTCTGCGGAAGTCCACCTTATGTCGCTCCAGAGGTTCTGTCGCGTAGTACACAGTCGGGCACAAAAGGAAGCGGCTATGCAGCAGATATGGCAGATATTTGGTCTTGCGGAGTTGTTCTCTTTGTTCTTCTGGCTGGAAATACACCTTGGAGCCGACCTGTCGAAGGACGAGACGAATATGGCAGATGGAACGAATACACCGAATATGTTTTAAGCAACGGAAGACCAGACGACGAGTTATGGGACGCTTTGCCCTTGGACGTGCTTTCGCTTTTGAGGGGAATGATGCGGGTAGATGTCGACACCAGGTTTTCGCTGGAGGATATCCGTCGACATCCTTGGTTCACCAGGCCCAACAAGTTTATGGACCAGAAAGGCCGAGTCAGCGACCCCATCACCATGGCTACGAACATGTTTGAGGCACTCCACGTCAGCTTTGATGCAGATCCGTTTGCCGGAACACAGAGAAGTACACAGTCCGACAGAATGGATGTTGATCAATCTACAGTCAAATTGGCATCAACCCAACCTTCAGTACCAACAGAAGATATGTTGTTCGATTGGGATCGACCTAGGAAATTTGTGGTTGCCAGCACCCAAGTTGGAACGGGTCTGGCTGGTTTGCCGGCTACACAATCAGCATCGAACTTCCTAGCTGACGAACCCTCAACGCAACAGTTTGCGCCAACACCGAGCGTCCCAATGAGCCGAACACAGATGGCTCGGAGGTTCCGTGATATTTTACCTGCTGAGAGTCTCACCAAATTCTATTCTGGCTGGACATTGAATTTGCTTGTTCCCCATGTCTTGGAAGCCCTTCATCGATTAGGAGTGCCAACGCCGAACACTCCTCGTCCTACGGCTCAAGATATGCATTGTGTGGTGAAAGTAAAGACACAGGACAGTCGAGGGTGTCCGATGAGCGGGAACATCGCCATTGTTATGGAGACTTACGAGGATGGGCTGCTCCTAGGAGAGGTCAATTTTGTCAAGGCTTCAGGAGATCCATTGGAATGGCGGAGATTATTCAAGCGAGTGGCCGTCTTGTGTCAGGAAGCAGTCTTCAAGCCGGCATATTGACGTGGAGTCGGGCAACATGACACAGAAAAAGCACTAGACATGTTATATAAGTGATAATGACCGAGATGAAGCCCCGGATTAGGCACGACTGGGGAAATTGATTGAGGCTGTACTCCATGTCTCCGCATTATTGATTGATTGCCTTTGCCTCGGTGGTGCTCGGTCTTTTTGTTGTTTGATTTTCACATGCTTTCTTAATATTGAGCATGCGCGCGCAATGACGTTTTCTATTTCGGTCGCGGGCGTGTTTTGACGCCCATGTGATCAATTCCATCTTGAGTGAAAGGCCAGTATTTCAACAATCATCACTTCTTTCTGCTTGTTTGACACTGTTTCTCGACTCTGTTACTATTCGACTTCTTCGTTGACGTTGACATTGTATTTCCGAGCACAAAACAAAACTATCCATCATGTCTCTCAAGAACGGTGAGTATTCCCCTCCGCAGGCTGACCACGTTCATCTGACTTGATTCTTCCAGACGCATTTCCCTCATCAGCAGCCTTCCAGGCTATCGACGGTGCCCTCTCCAACGACGCCGAACGCAAAGCCGCCATCAAGACCGGAGGCGCTGTGTTCTCTTTCAAGTTGACCAACGACAAAGGTGAAGAGGACGCCTGGTACCTTGATCTTAAAGAGAGCGGAAAGGTCGGCAAGGGAGAGGCTCCGGCTGGGAAGAAGGCTGATGTAACTCTTGTCTTGACTGACGAGAACTTTGGCAAACTGGTCGCCGGCAAGTCAAAAGCACAAACATTGTTTATGAGCGGCAAGCTGAAGATCAAGGGTAACGTGATGAAGGGTATGTATACCACCCGCTTTCACGCACTGGTCTATGGGACAGAACTGACGAACTTGAAGCTACCAAGTTGGAACCTATCCTGGCAAAGGCCAAAACACAGTCGAAGCTATAAGATACAAATTCACACACACCTATCTTACATCCCGGCGCAATCCTCTTGCTGTGGCAGACAAAAAGCTGTACTTATACAAGATCCCTCTTCGGGGTGGACTCAATCAAAATACACACTTTCGGCTTTGTGCGTGGCAGTCTTGCCGCTCTTGCTGCTCTTGACCACGATTCTTGGGTCATCCTTGCTGGCTTTGACTTGTTTACCGTCGACTTCTTTGCCGGATTTCAGTACTTCGACGACTGTACCATCAGTGAAACCCTGCGGGGACTTCCAGTATACTTCTTGCCCTTTCTTCGGAAGCCTCGAACTGGATCCTTGAGGCGCTGGGGCGTCGTCACTGCTTTTGTCGGATCTCGACTTCGCAGCACCAGAGTTACTCTTCTGCTTCTTCTTGGTGTCCTTGTCTTCATCGATCTTGTCGCTCTTGGTGCGACTACGTTTTTGGCCCGGCTGGTCGTCCTTCTTCTCGTCATCTTTCGTGGCCTTGTGGTTCTCGGTGCCATTCTTCTTTCCCTGATCCTCCTTTTTGTCTTCTTTCTTCGTGCTACTCCTGGTGTTCCTCTTGGACGCGTCCTTCTGGTCTTCTCCCTTCTTCTCGTCTTCCTGGTCTCCATCCTCATGGGCGTTTTTCCGTGCCGATTTCGCGCGTGGAGTGTTCTGCACGAACTGGTGGCCTTCCTTGCTACCTTCCTGCTTCTTCTTCTCCGTCTCCTCCTTCTCTTCCTCATTCATCTCCTCCCACGCCTTCTTCGGCAAGTATCTCTTCTGCGTCCCATCTTTTTGTTTGGCATGCGCACTGCCCTCCTTGGTCTGCCACTCTTCCTCAGTCCACTTATCCAGGTGTTTCTGCGACTCGTCCTTATCCTCCTTGGGTGTGGTGTAATCACCACCTCTGGCTTTGTATTCCTTTGCCATCATTTGAGCCTATGACACGACCATGAGCATGCGCGTGAGATGTGACTGAGCGCATTGCATACCTTACGCGCCGACCATTGCCCCGGGGCACCTCCTTTGTCGCCTTGCTGTATCTCCTCCTTGACGTCCTCCCTCAACTTGGGGTCGGTGTACTTCTTGTCTTTGGAAGGCATGTTGAACCTTGTAAGCACGGAAAAACGTGCTCGGTAACAATACCGATTGATCAAAGGACGAGCAATAGTTCTACAGCCTTGCATGTATCAAGCGAAAAACTTACCGCGCGAAACATAAATCTGACGCCATCTGCAAGGGCACGATCGATCGTAAAGTACTCGCATGCCAAAGGCACGGGGCAGATCCATCGTCATCGATTCCAGTCTCATGGCTTACCAGGTATTGCTGGTAGCCAGCCTCACGCGACATGATTGATCAATAAATGATATCACGACTTCATTGAGGGTGATAATCTTGGTGATCGTTGAGGGTTGGCTGACTAAGGAAATCCCCGATACAACCTAGCCTTAGGCTTTCCAGTGGGCTTTCCCTTCCACACTGTCTTCTTTCCGTCTTCCCATATCATCTTATTTAACAATTTCCAAGTTCCTCCCGAGTCTTCTTCTTCTCGTGCTCAGTCATCCCGAAACCTAGCTTTTCGCTGACTTCTAGTTTGGCCTTCCTATCTTCCTCCATGCTCTTCATCTCCTCGTGCCGCTGCGACAGCCAGGCCAACCAGTTGGTGAATCGGACCTTGTCTGATCCCATGGCGTCCTTGCCTCTCAGTACCAGCAGCTGATGCAGCAGGTTGGGCAGCGCTTCTCTTCCACGGTCGGCTCTCTATTGGGCGAGCGTATGACTTCGGAGCAGCCTCGGTTTTCCAGCCAACGAAAAGGTAGATGAAAGTGACAAGAATCTCCTCCACGACAGCCATGACCACAAGCACTGTGACCGAGCCTGAGAGAACGTTGAAGGTGTGGCTGTGATGAAACACGAGCAGCAGAGAATAGACCAGTCGGACCAATATCAATGGCATAGCGGTGACCACTGCCCAGAACAGCCATCTCTCTCCACACGCAATGTTAGAGACATTCGACAGTGACACGAAAGCCACAAAGAGCAGCGCCATGTACGCGATGATGTAGAGGACAATCCCAACCTCTGAGGTTGTCTGCGTCTTGTACACGCCCGTGGACGAGACGCTACTGGTACCACCAGCGATGCTCAGAATCAGACCCACGGTGATGAAGAGCTGGATCACACGGAAATGTACCGCGCCTAACATGGGTTTCGATGTGGAATTGATAGAATCGACACTATGCTTTGATTAGCATTTCAGCACAAGGCATCCAGTGAAGCCAAGTTCCTTACCATCGAGATAGTAAACCAAGGGTGGCAAGCAACAGAGGGGATATGCCGATGGAGTCGAGAATGATGGTTGCCTCTAGCAAGCCTTGGGACTGATCATGATATGTTGCGAGCTGACAGCAGGCGCCGATGATGCGCACCAGGCACAGTATCAAGGTAAACACCCATCCGGATGAACGACCAAAGCCATGACGACTGCAAATGATAGTTGCGATGGCGAGGGAGGGAAGGAAGACTCCAAGCTCAAGGATTGAGACTCCACCTCGTGCGTTGAGCTTCATCTTACTCGGCCAGGTCGTGCTTTGGGACTGTCTTGGTTGGTGAGGTAAGAATGAGGAGAAGTGATGAGGCTATTGAGTTGGCGTGGTAATATACACAGCGCCAGGGAAAGACTTATATATTACTCGACTCTTCACTTGCCAGTCTGCGGGCTCTTGGAAATTTCTCTCGGCCACGAAAGCATTTCCATATCCGGCCTGTCTCGAGCACGCGGTTACTAAGGCTCGCAATTTGCCCCGCGCCTTTCCAATCTCTGAGCCTCGAGTCGCAGTCGCAGTGCCGTCCGAGAATGAAGCATCGCGAAGTCCGCTAGGTAGCATTCAACGATGCTCGCTGCATACGCCACACGGGAACATGTCAACCTCTCAAGGACTTGTCCTTTAACCTCGACATCCCGCCAGTCAGAATTGGCCGGCGCCTTCCCATATCACGATGAACTGATTTTCGAGGCAGGTTGAAATGAAACCTGGAGGATGAGATGTGGGTCCAATTCATATGGAGCTAACTCAGAAGGGTATGGAGATCGTGTGGCGCATCTCGTGTAACATGGTAGCCGACCTCAATGCAGTGTAGGCTCGGCAGGTACCTCGTATCTACCACTCGGAACAACCCGGACAACAGATTCTCCCAAGTCAATCAACGCTATATGGTCTTTGCCTGTGCAATTGAAGTCGGCTCCCGGCTAACAAGCTTGTTTCCCGAATGGACCGAGTTTCTTGACAATCCTGCATGCCATCGTGCCATTCGACGACCAGTGCAACTTCGGAAACCTCGTGGCGCTGGTGGTGTGCGGGCGCAAGCATGACTAATCGGCTAAACTACTACGCCAGGTCGAGAATCTACGACTGCGGTCAGCATCGAAGTCGAGATTCGCCAATGTCCGGATTTCTTTTCCCAAACGGATGACTAACGGTTTGTACGTTGCTTTCTGGTGTTGAGCAGGACCCGGTCGTACGTTCAACATGAGCCTTGAGCATGAAAACCTAACACTCCCTCATACACAGCTGTTGGCGATGGACATCTTCATCACTCGAACCGTTCTAATACTTTGCCCTTTGTTCAAATCTTGATCTGGTTTCCATCAAGTTCCAGATGGTGTACAGCGGCCCTCCAAGTAAAGCTTGTCTTTCCTGCAGGAATAGAAGGATTAAGGTAGGTCATGCTTGTTTCACAAGTTGTCTAGCAGCTCGAAACGTATTCGGATGTTCGATCTTGGCCTGACAAGCAGCAGTGTGATCTAGCGATCCCCGAATGCAAGCAGTGTTCGAGGGCAGGTAGGGTATGCGAAGGCTACCGAAACCAGCTAGATCTGCTATTTCGCGACCAGACCCAGATGATCGCTGGGAAGGCGCAGGGTCTCAAGCAAAGGACGACCCAAACTCTCCACACTCAATCAGGTTGTGTAGGCACCTGCAACAGGCAACGAGTATCTACAACTTCTAGTCGTACAAGGCCTTCTGCAACGTGCCAGCCACAGTGTCCCTTGGCATGGTGTCCATCGACATCGCAAGACGATTATGCTGCGTGCTTCTTTTTCAGCAACTATAGCCGCCAATCATCCGAGCAGCCGCAACGGCTTTATGAGCACCTACCTATGCTGTACACTGATCGAGAAGCGAGCCACTTACCGAATTGTATCATTACAGCCATTGGGCTGGCTGGACTGGCGCACCGCAAGAAGAACCCTGACATGCTCGTAACCGCAGAAACGTGCTATGATTCAGCACTTCGTCAGACCAACCATGCTCTTCAGGATCCCCAGACTGCTTGCTCCGATCAAGTATTGGTAAGTGTTTTACTACTTGGTGTGTATGAGGTAAATGATTTTCCCGGTTCCTCTACCAACCACAATCCAGCTAATGTCTACAAGACAAACAACCGCGGGGAATGCCGGTCGACGACAAATTGGTTGAAACACGTTCAAGGAGCAAGTACATTATTAGGGCTTCGTGGGAAGCAGCAGCTCTCTACCGAGCTCGGTCGTCGACTATTCGAAGACGTGCGCATCCAGATTTTGTCACTATGTTCTCTGACAAGAACACCCATCCCCCAGGCTGTCCTTGATCTGTCGAATGAGTGTTGGTCACATGTCAGGGACCCGGCCGATGAGCTGGTCCTTATCAGTACCGACTTTTGGAAACTCCGTTCGGAAAGGCCGTTCCACCCACGCTCCTCGGACTCGGAGACGGTGGATCGAGAGATCGTGTTTCGTTGTACACCATTATTAGCAGAGCTCATTGCCTGGAGACTTCACCTGGATCCTGGATCTTCGCCACGTCGTGTCAGTATCATCGTCCCTCGATCAGACGTGCTCAGAGGATACTACGATGTCTATGAAGATGCATGGACTGCCGCACTACTCAATCAGTACCACAGACTCTCCTTGCTCGTGCAAGAACTGGCGGTCACTAGGCTCCTCAACCTCCAGCGCAAACACTTGCTCTCGCTGAACGAAACTTTGCAGATAGCGGACCTCCGCATTGACATGATTGCGCACATCGAAGCCATCTGTGCAAGCGTGCCGTATGTACTCGAGACTGGCCGCATCGAAGGTGGAAGAAGCCTTCTCTGGCCTCTGTACATCTGTGGGCAGCTTAACCCGAAGACATTGCCGATGGAAAGCGGCACACGCGACTGGATCGTGGGCAGATTGAGCGCGATCGGATCGGGCATGGGAGTGAGGCAAGCGCTGTTTTTGAAAGATGTGCTTGTGAGTCAGCAGGAAGTTACGGAGGTGTTGACTCAGGAGCAGGATTAGACTGCGCGTTAGACTTGTGTGATTGGGCACACGAATTATATTCCTCATTCGGGCTTTGGAGGACGAGAATGCAACTACAGTAGTCTTGTGGATGATGAGATGGAGTGCCTCGCCCCCATAGAAAGCACAAGCACTTGTTCTGACCAACCTTGGGATCTGGAGACGACCTAGGTAGGGTTCCTTTTTCCAAGGGAAGAATCAGGCCCCCATGGAGCCGCCCACAGCCATCGCTACTGCCAAGCAAGGCTACTAACTTAGGCTTAAAACAATTCAGAAATAAGGGCGCGGGATTGACCGAAAGCCGTCCATACATAAAATATTGAGGAACAGGATCCTTCTTACCAACTTCCTTAGCCATTTGAACTTATATTAAACAAGCTAAGCATGGCCATGGGCAATGAGAAGACTCTCTCCACAGTCATATCAAGGTGAGCAAGATATCGGTAGCGAGATCCACGATGTCATCTTTCACAGGTCAGTATGGGGACGAAAGTCTTGTTTTTCCCGCCTCTGCTAAGCTTACCATCCGTACTACGTACGCGTGCTCAACAACCCCAACACGCAGCTGATCATCAAGATATCAAGAGCGAAAAATGTCGAATCTGCTCTTATGATTCGACAAGTCGGGTAAGAATCGTTTAGACTTACTGCTGTTTCGGGCCGGTCTGCATGCTTGCGAACTTGTTGCGAGAAGCTAATTGCAACGGTGCCGGAATCGACCCAATGATGAACGGAATGGGTACGGAGTACCTCTAGGGAACCCGATATCGACAACAATCCGATAACGAGAGAATGACATGCTCGTGATTACCATCTTACACGAGAACCCTGATGACATGACGTTATTTTGAAGAAAGATATAAGGAGAGTGCGATTGAGACGATCACAATCCAGAAAACCACCAGCTAAGCAGAATCGCTGGGACTGATAATTCTCAATATGGCTTCCACGACAGGAGACAAAGACCAGTATATTCTGCTCAGGGATTCCAGTGCATCGTCAAGGTAATATCGAAATCGCTCCAGCTGAGAATGGTGAAGGCTGAAAGTGAACAAATCCAGGCTCTTCGGGCAACATTTTATAATGACGGCGAAGAACGGAGGATGGCTCTTGCATCCCAACGTGCAGGCCACGGCAGAGAAATCGAGAGCACGGATCGCAGACGTGGCCACTGGGAACGGGTATATTCGATTCCCTGGCAATCCAGGTGAAGGACTGTAAGCTAATCCGAGCCTGGAACCGCAGAGTATGGGCTGGGGAAGCGGCGCTCAAGTATCCCGACGCCCAAATCGTGGCTCTGGACATGTCGGATAAGCAATATCCACCGGGCTGGACAATGCCTAAGAATCTTTCATTCGACACCTACAACGTCTTGCAAGCCGTGCCGGACAAGTACATCGGGTATTTCGATATTGTACACATTCGACTTATTGCCGGCGGCCTGAAAGGGCCAGCAGATTATGCCGTGGTGACCGAGAATGTGTCCAAGATGCTGAGTGCGTTTGTCTTCCGGGCGAGATGCGCGGGTGCTGACAGTAAGGAAAGAACCAGGAGGCTACATTCAATGGCAAGACGTGTACGCGCCAGGCTGGCAGATCATTGACCAGACGCTCAGTTTTGACGTTGACGACGAGACGTTTCCGCCGTTTCTTGCAAAATTCGACGAGGCTGTCAGCGGCGGTATCACCCAGACACTGTCGCGAGGCATAAACCACATATTGAAGGACAACGACGACTTCGCGGACGTGGAGATGATGGTGCCGGGTGTCGTGCCATGGCTGCTGAAGTACGAGACGGATTACTTGGCCATTTCGTTCGCTGAGCTGGTCAAAGGATCCCGAGGGACTCGTGCTGTCGGGGAGGAGAGTCTTAGGTTGCTTGACGAAGCGGAGGGCTTGCTGCAGGAGTATCTTGGCCAAGGTGGGCTTTTGACTTACAAGACTATGTCGGTAGTTGCGAGAAAGGACAATGGGGCATGAGGTACATGTGTTGGGTAAACAGGATGGGGCTGGTTGGACGTTTCCCTGAATGACCTACATGTAGGCAATGGCGTCGTCTTGTAGAACATGCAGCCCCTCTGTGCTGAATCTAGCATCCTCATCCATCAGACTTGTCATGCGGGATCGTTAGATCTCTGTGCCTCCCCGTTCTGCATTTGCATGATGATTTCCGCCCCAGCGATTGGGCAAGATGGGCAAATGGTCTGCTCATGATACGAGGAAAACTCGTATCAACGGGCTTGAATGAGAAGTTCTTCGATGGCCACGTCATGGATATCTTCCCGCCTTCGCAAAAAAGTAATCAACAAGAAGTACAAGGCTGAAGTCTGAGATGTGCAGCCATACAGCCGGATGGCCGGTAGGATGTGTTAGGCTGGGGCCAGGCCTAAATATATATTGCCTATGGCTTGTTAGCTTGACCCCCGGAGGAATGCCGCCCATTAACGCAACCTTCTCTAACCCATTCGAGCCTTCCAGTCAGAGCATTACTCCTCTTCAATTTGATTGTGCTTGGATCTCCGGAGTCAATGGCTACCAACATGCACGCCTGACACGTGCCTGCTGATATGAAAGACATGAGGCTGACTGCCATTGTCTGCCGACGTATCAAATCTCCTAGCGCACCGCTGTCGCGGCGTTGAAACGTCGCTGGGCGACAAGCCGAGGAAAATCTGCTGGAAAAGTGTACCCTTGATCTAACAGGAGTTCTGTGGTCTAGACTCACAGCCTTTCGCGAAGAGAATTGTATGGCCATTCTGTCGCAAGACGAGACGCTGAGATGGTTCCTGACTGCTGCATTCCTCAAGTCGTGCCCAGCAAACGGGGGCACCGTTATCCAGTCAAACCGAAAAATGACAGTCAGCATTTGAATTACTGGCCGAATGTTGATGTGATGTGCGGCGTGCCTGGAAGGATTCCAGGAGGAAGAGCCTAGGCACCGTTACAGAAGCGTTTCGTCAACCCAATTTGCCTGCAAGCGACCAAGAACCCCGGTGTGTCCACTGTCCACGCCCAGCGTCGCGACCCCAAACGAACCCCTGACAGGTCCTGCCCTTTGTGTACCCCGGAAAACTTACGCGGGTATATCCCTACACGAATAATACGAGCAACGGTCTCAAACGTGAGACGTCTCCCATATCCAACGGCGACCGCACTCAATGGTTACAACGCCAATGCAGGATAACCATGCAACCCACGACCCATGACGACCCCAAACAGTTGAGGTTTTGCTAAATATGGCACAGCCTACTACGGTAAAAGCCTGGGCAGGATGATGCCCCCTTTCCCTGTGCAACCTCGTATGACTTGTATATAAGATCCTTCCTCTGCAAGAAAGTAAGTCGACACCACACTCTCAAAACCACAGCACCATCTCACAGCACATATACCACCACACTTCCCTCTTCCGCCCAGATCTCCCATCTATTTCACAGACCAGACCACCAGTCAAAATGCTCTCAACAACCCTCCTCCTAGGCCTCGCCGCCTCCGTCCTCGCCACTCCCCAATACGGCGACTCAGGCGCCGCCTCCACAATGTCCGGCTCATCAACATCCACAGCCTCAGCATCCACATCCTCCGCCTCAGGCGTGCACAGCGTCAAAGTCGGACCCGGCCTAACATTCTCCCCCGACACCGTGACCGCCGCTATGGGAGACTGGGTCGAATTCACCTTCGGCGAAGGCCACTCCGTCGCACAATCCAGCTTCGCCAATCCTTGCCAACCCATGAACGGCAGCTCCTACGTCTACTCGGGCTTCCCCGGTGACGGAGACGTATGGCGCATCCAGGTCAACTCCACCTCCCCTCTGTGGCTGTACTGCTCGCAGACGGGACATTGCCAAGGTGGTATGGCCATGGTCATCAATCAAGCGTATGTTTCCCCGTCCCGTGCCTCCCAGAAGAACCACGTTGCTAACATGTCTGGCGCAACAGATCAAGCGGTGCCAACACCCTTGACGCATACAAATCAGCCGCCGCCAATGCTCAAGGCTCCTCCCCTGCGACTGTACAAGGTGGTGTCTTCGGTGCCGCGTCCAACAGCAGCAGCAGTGGCAGCTCCAGCACCTCGGGAAGCGGGTCGTCGTCGACCGCAAGCTCGACTGGATCGGCCTCAACTTCTTCGTCGTCGGGTACCAGCGCTGGCAGCTCCAACACCGTCAAGAATGGGTTGATGCTCGCTGGTGCCATTGCGGCGGGTGTTGCTGCTGTGTTGTAAATTGGACACTTTTCTTGAAAGATGGTGATGATGGTTGTGCCTAGAAGTTAGCGATGGATATTGTGCACGCAGGATTTAGACATGACAGATGGAAATTCGAGACCGGGGTCTAAAAAGTCATTCGAATTATTTCTTGTCCCCTTACCACGCTCAGCACCTTGATGAAGTGCATAGTCTGCCAATTCGTGCTAGGAGCGTTGCCAATGATCGATGTGTGTCATACGTCCAAGTCCCGTCGCTCGGCGCCGCAAGTATGTGGTCCAGTATGTGCGCCATTCCAGTCGTATGAGCCCAAAGAGTGTGAAACTCGGCTTAGTACTCAAACATTATGACACAATCCAACACGCTGCGGCTCATCACTCTGGCTGTCTATTCTTGCCAACCTTCTGTCGTCCAGCACTCCAAATCTAGCCCGTCTGGTTGTCCACATCCACCCTCGCTCTCTTCTGTCCCCGCGCGCTTCCTGGACCATTCGCCGTGGCAGGAGATGAACCTGCAATTGCTCGTAAAATGACTTTTGCGACATTCTTAGCCAGGACGGGCGGCACTGCTTTGCATAGACTATCATATGCCAGATCGTCAGGGCCGTAGAACACGAAATCATCAGGAAAGCCAATAATCCGAGCAAGCTCTCGAATGCTAAGGAGATCCTGTCGCACTGTTTGATTATGTTAGCAACGCTTACACTCGAATTTGGCTCGATCAACTAACCTGGATGGACCCAATTCTTCGGTCCGTTGAACACAGAAAGACCTTGAGTAGCATCCACAACAACAGCATCCTCGGCGGTCGTTGGACGCTGCGTCGTATTGTGATTCCAGACTCGGCGAGGACTTGCGTCGTCACATCCTTCTGTATCTGGAAGCAAGCACGAAAAGCCAACGCTGCTGCCAGGCATCGCACGAGGATTGGGTGATTGCAAGTCCGCAATAACCTCTCCGACGGTCACCGGGCGTATGTCGTCGACCTTCGGCCAAGCATCCCATGGGAGTGCACTGCATAGTGGTGAAGCAACAATGACAAGAGTAGACCCATCGAGAGGAAGGCCGTTGTCGCGCGACAAGGTAAGACCTATATGTACTGACTTTCGCTTTTCCAAGAGATCGAGGATGCTCGTCGAAAAGGTGCCTACCGCCTTACTGTGCAACACAGCTGGTGGCATCAATAGAGCAAGGTAATCCATATTGAATCTGGGGTGGGATTGAATATCTCTGAGGGGGCGCAAGAACTCGTTCAACGACGGCATTTGGGTGTTTTCCCCGTTCCGTCGGAAACATTTGGTGCCACCAGCGACAATACCCACCACTGCTTTCGAAGGCATTGGATGTGTAAGCTCAGGGAGTTTCGCGGAGTTTACGTCGGCCCGGATCTGCGCGAGCGAACCATCATACAATTCAGCGGAGGGATATCGTACCTATAATTCTCGATTCAGTTTGTATGTAAGCTTCGCAGACGTGGGCGACTTACCTTCCAGGTACTGTGGTGATCCTTGTCAAAACCTAGAGCTGCCAGTACCTTGAATCCTGCTTGAGAAAATCCTTCCGAAGTACCCAAAACATTTGGCGAACCATCCAGTACCACAGGCTCAATTGCATCCGAGTATCTCGGACGAGGCCAGCGTTGTTGATAGCCTAGAAGGTCAGTCGATACAGGTGTAAGACAAGCTGCACCCATAGTTCTCTTGGTGCTAATTGCAAATCGGCAGAAAAATGGTCCTGCATCAACATCTAGGTAATTGGTCAGCGCCGTATGGTATGAGCAGGTGGCACATACTAACCTTCAGGAGTTTCGACAATGTAATCAACGGCTGCGTTGTCCGGTAGCTCGTGAGCTCTTGAGATGTTGGAGATTGGTATGATTTGCGCATCTGGTCCTGTGCCCATGCTGTTGAAGTTTCCAAAATGCAGAATCAACTCATTTTGATGAATTCTTGTATGCGCTTCGCGATTGCCAGCACAGAATGGGTAGGTGGAACGCAAGAAAGAGTACTTGGTGACCACCAGATAGTCGTCTTCACCATCGTTGTCGTCGGCCTGCCAGATATCACGGACGAGGACAACATAGTCGCCATCGACCGTGGAAATGTGGGCGTATTCGTTCTTTCGGAACGCATATCCCGGATCCGTCTCCGGATTTGCAAACTCATAAGCATAGCAGGGTGAACCGACCTGCTGTTAATGTTAGCAAAGATATGATCCCAGGACCAGTAATTAAACATACCGCATCTCTCCAGAGATGTCCCGGGATGAGTTGAGAGAACAATCGAGGTAACTTTTCAGTGTGCCATTCATGCCAATCGGCCTCGTCGTGATGCCGCAATCTTCGTCTGACAATTTCGTCCCCAATTATGATGCACTCGCGATGTCTTGTTGGCAATGTTGCCGAGGACTGTGCAGGAGCAAGAGCTGAAACTGGTGTCCGCAGTGTCGCTACAGTGTTCTGTGCGTCGATGTTGTCTTCTGGGAGGTCATCACATCTAGGGGTAGACATGTCCATCTCATCGTCGGAGTCAACCTCTGCCTCTGCGACGAAAGTATTCGCATTAGCTGGTTCCGAAGTCGGAGTATATGCTTCTGGTGTGATTGTTGCTGCTTCGGCTGGCGAAATGGCTACTGGAGGCACACCGAAGAAAGCCATGTTCTCGGCTCTCGAGACCATAGCGAAGTAGTGTTCGGCCGGATTTAAGTCGGAGAACACAGCCTCAAGCTTCCTTCCGCATATCCTCTGAGTTGGACATTGGCATGTCATCTCAGGTTCGGCCATATTCTCAGGACAACCTGTCATGTGTGTCAGCAACGGAAGACTGAGATCCGACTTGCCTATCCAACTCACCAATGTTGTTCAGAAGATCGCTTCGCTTGAGCGCGCATGTGCTCATGTTATGCAGGATGACATGGTAGGTGAAGTTGCCTCCATATTTCTCGGAGAATAGGCCGCTGTGTGTCACAGCCCAAGTAACCACGATACCTAAGCCTGAGTCAGGTGCAGACAACTGAATATGGCGTGGTAGCCGTTGAAGTTTCATGGCGGCTGTGTTTCGCAGGCCTGAACAGCTGCTGGGGTGCAGTCCCAACGGGCCGCTCAACTCATCAAGCGCCAGCCTCAGCAGGTCTTGTATGATATGGTCGCAGAAGAATATGTTTTCTTCTTCTTCTTTCAGCTGCCCATCTATGGCATGAAAGAAATCACATGCCGCACCCTCATGGATTCTAGCAAAGTCGAGCCACTTGTCATGGATTTGGAGTACCTTCTCTTCGTTGTCGACCAGAACATCGACTGTGGATAATCCGCCTTTCACGAATCCTACCTCATATCCTTGCAGGGCTTGATGCAGCTTGAGCGAGCTGCGAAGCGCGCGCACAATGGTCGCACAGAACGGAGTATCCGGGATCGAGATCGGTGGTGACGTTGAGAAGTTGAAGACCTTCTGCTCGTAAGCTGTACGAGCCAACGAATACTTCCTCAGTATGCGCCATAAGGTCTTTGCGAGTTTAAAAGGCTCCTGTTGGAGGTCCTTAGTGATAATGTCTTCCTATAGTGCCTGTTAATCTTCCCGCCACGAGTTCGAGGGAGTAGTTCATACATATCTGTCTGTCACACCTTGCTCGTCGGCCTCCTTCTCCGAGTAGAAAAACGACTGATTGTATCGAGCTTTCAATCGCAACCAGATTGTCTTCGCGAGAGTTGGTGATACATATTGGTCTGCCAATGAGATATCAGGGGCTTTCTCAGCGTGTTGGAACAGGTCGATGTAGAGGTCTGTTATGTGACCACGGTCATTGGACTGTTCACCTGCTATCCGGATTGCCTCTTCCCAAAGCTTTGTCAACATCAGAGCTTCATCGCGTCGGCTTGTCAGTCTTTCCCGATCACGACCGATTTTGCCTGCAAGGAAATTATAGCCAAATGCATAGTCCCTGCCGTCTAAGCCGTAATGAGACACTAGCAAGCCTTTCAGGTAGACTCGTCCCTTGAAGTCATGTGCCAGAAGAAGATCACCGTAGCGGGTGCGCAAGATCTCGTTGTTGACTGGTGCGTGTAGATCGAGTATGACTTTTAGCCATCTGCGAAACTCTTCTTCAGGTATCGCCTTGCCAACCCTATCTGTCCTTGACATTCCAATTCTTACCGTCGTGTCTTCCCAAATGTTGGCTTTGAGTTCCCTTCGGAGTCCTGGCACACTAGTCCTCCGAGTGAATGCAGCCTTTTCTCTCTCCACACCTTTCACTCCCGCGGCTGTAATGTTGCATCGAAGACTTTCGTGACGTCCGCGGCCACAAAATCCGAACTTAAGATAGTGCGAGCTCGAATCTATCTCGAGAGAGTATTTGGCACGACTCATGACAAGTGCTCCAAGCTTGAACCCTTCACCATGGCAGCCAGCGAAGGCCTTGTTGTCTCCTTTATCGCTCTCTCCTATGATGAGATGTCTTCGTAGTAATTTGGCTTTGAAGTTTGACATGAGAAGAGTTCCGGTGGTTCTGTTGAACTTGATGAAGCCGAGCGGCTGGAGACCAGTCCTCGCCCGAAAGGTAATGGCGATCAGGCCTGTGCTCTCCGAAACATCAGCTCTGAAATCGCTCGGCTCGATGTCAAAGGATGCAATGATCCCATCCTTCCTGTATCGCAAATTAATCTTTGTAGGCCGGCCGCAGCTCACTCACTTACAGATTTTGATAGAATTCTCGGAACGCATCTTTCGGCGTCCACCAACGACAATATTTCGGGCTCAACCCAAGATTGATGCGTTCAGGTCTCAAGCACTCCGGAATATCCTCGACTTCGTGGTGGTTGGAGACATCCTCTCCTGAATATACCTCCATCGCGCGACGATCGAAAGATTGAGGCTGTGTGGTCTGAGGACTGGTGGTATTGTTGAGAATTTGGGCATGGACCCAATCTCCGCGTCGTAACAATGTAAAAGGAGCTAGAAAACCTGGGAAGCAAGGCGCAAGTCCTGAGAAGCACGGATCTGTGAGGGTGAAAGTAGGGAAGGTGAAGAAGGCGAGGAAGGACGCGAAACTAGTAGCCTTCCAAGCCAGAACGTGGCTGTGAAGTGAAGTAAGGCTAGGGTTGTGAAACGCTGTGCTGGACATGTGCCATGCAGGTTGTAAGAAGCTGCGAGTTTCACTTCAACCTCAGCGTGGGTGAATAGTCTATTCTCGTGACCCTGTCACTCTCACGTGAAGCTGATGGGCGATTCAGAAGTTGACGAAAGGTACACCTGTCGACTGAGGAGAGGTATTTCAACAGGGCAACAACTATCACGGTCGTGGTAGATAGGTGGGAAAAGCAATCTGACACTAGATCAATGGAAATAGTTGTCAGCCTCGTCACATGTTGTCCAAGAAGGTCGTTGACTTACCCACGCTTTGATCCTTCGTTGCCAAGCGTAGCCCAGGCCGCATAATTTCCACTACTCTTCCTGGGTGAGTGACAAATGAGATCGTTATAAGATAAAATGCACTGACTGGAAAGCAATGTTGTGATGGGGAGGTCAGTGGCAGAAAGGCCGGGTGAGTCGTTTTGTAGGCAGGATACAGGCCGGCACTCAAAACCGCTCGCGATATGCAACCGCCCGCGATATGCAACCGCCCGCGCAACCGAGACAGGGGGTTGACGCCTGGGTTCGCTAGCGTCGCTTGCAGCGCCCTGCCTTCCGGCCTCATTTCGCAGCTGCAGCAGGTGATGCTGGTCTTGAAAGGCGACAGCCCGGCTCAGGTAGGGATGGCTATGAGATACTAAACTCCGCCATCAACACAGCCATGGTATTGTTTCCAGATACGGACCGAAGCAGGTGTCCCTTGAGTCATCAGTTATCGTTGAAAGGCTTCACTCCCAGTCAAGAAATTTATGTCATCGAAATTGTACATCTCCAGATCATCAAATCCAAAGCCTTGGTCAAAGTATTGAAGGACATCAACGTCGGACATAGCAGCATTGTTTGCATCTGTCTGAAGCCACAGAGGGAAGTCCAGCTGTTGTCCAGGATTGATCGTTGGCATAGTTTGTTGTCCGAGTGCGGCACTTTCGTGACTTATCGACTGATCTCCAACAGTACGTGATGTCATGTCAATCGGCATGTTTGCTCTAGTCGAGAGCAGATCCGTGCCGACAGGATTGGCCGACCTAGGTGCAGACGAAGAAGCACCAGACCCGGCTGCCAGTGTTGCAGTGACCGTAGAAGAAAGGTCTTGATGCTCGTCGTTTCCAGACATGGGGAAACAGTGGGTAGTCAACGTCTTCGAGCTTTGTAATTTGATCTGCGAAAAGAGCAAACAAAATGCTCGAGACACCGGTGAGTTGTTCTCTTCGTGCGTCTTGAGAAACAGCTGTACAATGGCCGCTGTGTACTCGTCGAACTTCAAGTCATCGATGTCAATGAGGAAGTCCCCAGTTGAGTTGGTCTGAGTCTCACAAATACTCAAAAGCTTGCGCAGAGCCCTGCCTGCGTACCCGGTACGGACGAAGAAGAAATTCGGTAACGCGCAGACTGTGGTAAGGTCCATAGAAAGCATGGCATCGAAATAAGCGTGGATAGCGGTAAGACAGGCGAAGAGCGATTCGACTCTTGATGGGACGAACTGAACGTCCTGATCTGAGGTCATGGAAGGATATCCTCCTCCTTTTTCTGTGAGTGGGCGTTGCGGCGACCGCAGCTCGTCTATGTCGTGCGCCGAATGTATGGCAACCTCGTGCACAAACAGTGTGACATTGGCTTCCACGCACCGTACGAAAGCTTGTCATCAATCATGTCAGCTCGCCGCCGACTTCACAATCAATGGTGAAGACATACCTTGTTGGAGATCACTACGAGCAAAGCGGCGCCAATGCTCCAGTTGCTGACGGAAATTTCCGATCTGGTACTGAGTTTTCACATCCTTGAAACTGATGACCGAACCAGGATCGTCCATGGCAAACACAATCGAGGCATCTTCAGCGATATGCTGGATGCGTATCAGATCACAAAGCCATGGATCACTAGGCAAGATGCTCGGCGTCGACGAGAGCACGTCAAGACACTCTTCAATGTATATGGACCATCGTACAAAGTTGGGATGGCGCAGGGACATGGACATACTGTGGGCAACTCAGCAAACTTGAACAACCACGAGCCACACCTCTTACCTTGTTGCCATGTAGTAACATCCTAACCAGGCTCTCCTTCCCGCGAGGGACTCCAGCTCATGGGCTTCAATGCCTTTTGATGACGCAGATTTGTGAGAACGTCTTCCCAGACCAATATCCACCGCCATTGTGCAAGCCATATGGCATATCTGGTTGAAATTTAGCTCTCGCATTTCCTTCGTCCGATGCCACCACGTCACGTGGACCAAGAGAGTTTGAACCAGCTCAAGGGATCTCTCCCCGCGGAAGATGATCCTCAATGCAAGCTCCTTCGTCAACATGTCCCACAGCTCCAGGCTGGTTGGTCCACGCGAAGTTCCCAGGGCTACGATGACGATGCTGAAGAACAAGAGTGGTTGTCGTTCTCTAACCTTGTTGGCATCGCTTATAGCTGGAAATACCACGAAAGGGAAGTAGTGGCTCATCTCACTCCTGTAGCAATCAAAAGCCTGGCAAGCGGTGGGCCAGTCAAAGAAGTCTCGATTTAGAGCTTCTGTGATAAGGTCCTGTGGTTGCGCTAGAGGGTCGTCGACTTCTGAGGCTTTCACCCGGCCAGAAGCAGTCTCGCGTAACGAATTTGGGGTCGTCTTTTCAGCTGTGCTGTTGTCATTGCTGGCTAGAAGGGCGGTAAGCGCATTGATCTTTTTCTCAAGGTCGGCGACCCGGTCGGTCGTCTTTCGCTTTCTTCGCCGAGGGAGGGTCTGCATAACACATTGTCTTCGGGCTCTGATGCACAACTTGCATGCAGTTCCCAGGGCTTCGTCGAATTCACAGCGAGTTTTCATGCGACGACAGGCCACACATGCTCTGCTTGAGCGTTGCTTTTTGACGTTTTGCGGAGTGTTACTCTGGTGCTGTTCGCCATTATCGCTTTCGTCGCTGCTATCGCTGTGCCCATCGACATCAAAATCATTGTTGGATGACATGTTGGCTTCATCTGTGTACAATCCGATGTCTAGATGCGTTGGAAGAAGGTGGGATACAAGGTGCGAGCATTGAATGTAGTGGAAGTCATGTCATTGATTAATTGGTAAGGCAGCTGCCTTCGGTAGAAAATTCTTCCGGTCCCGTCCGTGTCGTAGCCGATCTCCAGGAAGTAACCACCAGATCATGTAGGTTATTGCAGGAGGACGAGAGATGATTATGCTCGTAATTCTGATCTATGTAGGATTTGGAGACAGAACTATGAAAACCTCCAACCTGTCTGGCCTTGCATGGTGTCCGTCATACTTCTACTGCCGTCCTCACACTTCACCTTCGGGCGTCGTTGCTTGCTCGATGCTTCCCTCGGCGTCCCTATGTCCAGCAGTATTTCGTGGTACGTGGACCATCAGGATGAGCACCGTGACCCCAGAGATGATCATAATCAAGGCGAACAACGTGAACGCCCATCCAACATTGATCGCTCTGATGAGCGGCCCAACAACTGCCGTCCCGCCAGCGCCCATCAAGCACCGAATAAGGTTAAGCGAGGCTGTTGCTGAAGCACTTTGACTGTGATGGATGTCCACGAGGTATGTTGAGACCGCACATTGGATGGATATGGCTGCCCAACCGAGGAAAAACAGGCTGATAATTGGGACAGAGATGTGCACATTCTGGTCCACTGTCCAGCCGAAGATCAAAATAGAAGCGCACTCCAGTCCACTCCATATCCAGGCAGTCTTCAAGCGCGTCTTTTCTATAGGGATGAGCTGTTCATCACCGCCAACCTTCTTCAGACTTTTGCGGTACTCCAAATCAAGGAGCTTGCCGGTGAGAAGAGTTCCGAAGACAGATCCGACCCCATTCGCAAGGAAGATCAGGCCTATCTGCGTTTCCGTCACATGATACCTATCACTGACCAGCGTCGACAGGGCAGTGAGCACCATCTGCCATACCGTGTAATGTATGCCAACCAGCATTATGGCGGAGAAGGTCTTCAAGTGAAATAGAATCTTGATCGGTCCGAAGAAGTCGATGGCCCGCGCCTTGTGTGATCGGTCCTCTGAATCGGGTAGCTCTGCCTTTGTTTGCAAGTACCGTTTCCTCTGGTAAGTACCTAGGATCGATTTGGCAATGCCTTTAGCTTGCAGAGACCCATTGCCTGCAATTGATCTCAATGTCTCGGGCAATATCAGAAGGATGAGAAGGAGGCAGGCAGCTCCATGAATAGCCAGAAACCAGAAGACTGACTTCCATCCCAGTTGGCCGGCGAGCAGTCCACCAATGACTGGTCCAATAGCCACAGGCATCAAAACACCTCCTTGGTAAAATCCCATGTAACCTCCACGTTCGCCACGCCTTGTGATGTCTCCAATGACGCCCGCTCCAAGTGCAATCGTGCTGGCGCTCCCAGTGCTTTGGACACACCGGAGAACGATCAGTTGTACAAAGTCTCGGGTCTCGGCAAGGCCAATGCAGGCTCCGAGAAACACGACCATTGTGCAACAATAGGTTATCCTTCGTCCTAGAGCATCCGAAACGGCGCCCCATAATGTTGGAGAAAGACCCTGAAAGATCATGTAACAGGTAACAGTAAGATTGACACGATTTGTTGATACGGAGAGATCATGTGCAATTTGAGGAAGACTGGGAAAGTAGATATTTGAAGCAAACCCCGAAAGAGTGGCTGCGACAGAAACGATGGTGACGATGACGGCTTTTTGTGAAGTGTTGAATATGGTGTATGGGTCCGTCGAGTCAGCTCCGTGATCGTTGATTTGAGACATGTTGACGCTGTTGTGTAGATTAGTTTGGGAATACTCAGACGGTGGCATATGGACCGCGCATTATATGCTCGTCGAAAAGGCGAGGACTTTCGGAGTACCGTTGTACATTTCGGTACTCCGACCATTGATCGGTGGCGTCAGAAGAAACATCTCGTGCAGCAGATTCGATAGGGCCAAGGAGGCGACCTAGGTAGAGGCATCTGCTTTACCTTGAGGCATATGGCTCATGCTGATCCGGAAGACGCGTCTTGAAATTGGCTTCTTCGACTCACCTGGTCACTGACGGCACCCTCTTACGCGACTCTCGTCCGCGTGGAAGAAAACGTGACACGCTGCGGTTATGGCGCTGACTTCTGCCAGGGCATGATGAGGATTGCATCCTCCAAGGTAACAACATTCGATCGTCTCCGTCACTGGTATAGAATTGTAAAGAATGTTGTCAAGGGTTGCATACGTGTTTGAAGCTGTGTTGTGCTCGGAGAACCTTCCCTCCGAGGTTTATTGCTTCGATTGATTTGCCTCGTCTTCACCTTTCGTCCTCAGCTCTTCGGAGCTCCGAAACTTTGCTACTACGTCTTTTGTCAGCACAATTGCTAAGATGTGACCAGTATCATCTTCTGGACGGTACACAGTGGCAGATTCGAGCCGATATAATGACCCCTAGAACTCCTGTCCCGCGGAAGAAATCTTGCAACAATTGTTCCAAGGCCAAGGTACGATGCGACCTAGGAAGACCGGCGTGCACAAGATGTAAGAAGCGCGGTGGGTATTGTGAGTACGTCGACGCGAAAGACTCAGAGCAAGAGGTGTCGTCGTCTACCACTCAAGATGAATATAATTCCATTAATGGATCGACATCCGTGCTCAATCAGGCTCAGTACAATGCGGTTCCGTTGATGCTGGGTACGGTCCTTTCAACTCCCGCGCCAGCAGAAATTCTGGACTTCGAAAATGTACAGCTGGTTCGCACTGTGGATGACTACAGAATCCGTGCCCGCTGGCTTGAAAGTGTCTTGCCTTCTGCACATCAAACACCGAAAGATTTCGCACCTACCACCATGGCTTTCGTATCTGATGTTTTCAAGTCTTACCCTGGTATATTCCTTGCCGAAAATAGTCTTCCTCCTTTCATACATTGGGCTCAGGTTTCAGGCAAAATGTGTGAAGCACTGGCAAACTGCATGAATTTAGCGCGTATGTGGGAAACTCAAGCAGGTGGGACCGAAGCTATGGTATGCGGTATCATTGAGAAGGAAATGGCAAGGTTATTCCAGCAGGAAAGTGCTTTGCCACCCTTCATTGAGATATCCATGACTAACAAACATGAAGCGAGCGCATTGCAGTGACCTTGAGCTCCTAGCGACGCTACAGGCATATCTCCTACTCACCATCATGCTCTTCTTCACTTCGAGGTCTGGCACCAATTTTATCGAGCAGGACACCATCATCAGACTCCAAGAATTGGCCGGGGATGTGGCCAATAAGGGAACGTTATGCCTGGCCGAAACGAATGGTGCCCGTCCTGACTGGGAGTCCTGGATCATCGCATCCGCAAAACGACGCACACTGTTTGCAACGTACCTGTTTGACAACCTTGTCAATTTTACCCTGGGCTCCCCATCATTCATTGCCACCGAGCTTGCGAGCCTCCCAGCGCCTGCAAGTAAACGGTTGTGGAACGCACAAACCCGTCTATCGTGGAACGCTACTTACAACCAGCAATTGAGCCAATGCGCCGATGGTGAACTTCTCATCAGCCATCTCTGGCCGAGTCCCGACTCGGGAACGCCCGAGCAGCAGAGGAAAGTCCGTCGATGGCTTTCCTCGGTAGATGAATTTGGGATCATGTTGTACTCGGTAACGTCTCATACTTATGGCAAACAAGCTTGAAGCTCGGATTGGTGTGGAGTATGGCCACATTCAACCTCCAACAATACACACAATGAAGCGGCGAGGGATATTCATTGATCTCCTGGTCATTAAGTGCCACCAGGATCCACGTTGCAACTCTTTCAGCGATTCGCGGCGGAACCCCATACACAATGACGCATCAATTGAATTCGTACGGACCACAATGCACCTTGACCGCACTAACTAATGGATATCACGGGCCAGCTGGCACTGATACATCTGAAGACGATCCAAAGTCCATCGGCCAGGATGTCGTCTTACAGATAGGCGACTTTCCGTTCGATACGCAAACTCGCAGCTGATTCGCTGTCGGGTCAATGTGATTACCAGCATCAGTAATCATCCATAAAGGGCCATCTGTACAAAACAATAGCGTCAGTATCTTGCAAATACTAATGCTAGCTAATTGACGAGCAATGCATCCGTACTCAAGAGAACTGTTGTAACGGACCACCCCGGAAACCCTTTGGCACCCACGGATGGCAGGAATAAATGCATGCAGTGTCTGAACAAGAATTCGAACTGTGTTGCAACAGACCAAGGAATCTTCCATTATGACGGCCACCACAACAGAGCACGAGAAGCCGCAGCTCTCCAAAAGTCGCGAGCTGATCGTTGCAGTTGCGATCGTCTTGACTCAGTTTGTTCAGGTGAGCACAAGACCTTGAATGAAGGAAGGGCAGATCTAACTATCGTAGATGATACCATTCGGAGCAGGAATCACCGCGGCAGTCGCAATTGGGAAAGACCTTGGTGCAGATCAATATGCTTCCGCCTGGATCGCAGCAAGTTACCCCCTAACGCAAGGAGCATATGTCCTGATGGGTGGCCGGTTGGGACAGATATACGGTCACAAAAATGTGCTCATGGTAGCTGGTGTCTGGTGGGTGATACTTACGCTAGTTTCAGGTTTCACGAGGAACTTGATCGCTCTGTGCACGCTGAGAGGTTTAACCGGCATCGGAGGAGCTTTCATGTTGCCAAATTCGCTGGCACTTCTCACCATTACATTTCCTCCTGGACGTATGAGGTATGCTTCTAGAAACGGCTGATGGTGCACGGGCAAGTGAAGTGTGCTGATTGTATGCTAGAAACATCACGGTTTCTCTGTTCGGAGCCATGGCACCTGTTGGTGCGGCTGGCGGGTCCATATGGCCGGGACTTTTCGTCCAGTTGACCCCGTGGAAATACCTCTTCATCTTCCTGTACGCAATATCTTTCAGACTACAACGGTCGGCTGACTTGAACCAGGAGCCTTCTCGGCGCAGTTATCTTTACGGTTTTCTTCTTCGTCGTACCTTCAGAAGGAGAGCCTTTTGACAAAGGTGCAGCTCTGGACTGGGTTGGCGCGTATCTGGGTACAACTGGACTTGTCTTATTCAACTTTGTGTGGAAGTAAGTCGACACCAGACGCTGAATCCTTGTGTACTTACAGGACTACAGCCAAGCACCTAGCGTTGGTTGGGATGAGCCATATGAATATGCCCTCCTCTTCGTGTCCGTTTTGCACCTCGCTGGCTTCATTATCTGGGAGAGAAACATTGCCAAAGTCCCAATCTTACCCTTCGACATCTGGACCGCACCGTCATTTGCGCCAATGATTGCAGCAGCGTTCATCACGTTCATGGCCGTGGGCGTTGTCATCTGGTACATCAGTATCTGGGAGTACCAAATCCGGGGTTACACGCTCTTACTGCTGGGAGCTAGCTACTCGACTCTCGCAGTGTGCGGAGCAGGAGCTGCTTTTGCCAGTGGTAAAGCCATTCGTATCCTTCCAGCACAATACATCATGGTGATTGGAGCCGTCGCTACAGCGGTGTCGAACATTCTGCTCGCAACCATGCCAGCACATCAAACCTATTGGGCGCAGGTGTTCCCTGCGCTCATATGCCTGGCATTTGGACCAGATTTTATTTTCACGGCTGCTCAGATAATTGCCAGCAACGCAGTGAAGAGGAGGCATCAGGGCATTGCAGGTTCATTGGTGGGGACTGTAGCCTCGTATGGGATGAGCACAGGTCTGGGAGTGGCGTCCACGGTCGAGGTTTACACAAATGGTCATGGTAAAAAGCAAATCCAAGGGTTCCGACATGCCCTCTACCTTGGTGTAGGTATGGCAAGCCTCGCGGCGATCATCGCTTTGATGTCTGTGAGGATACCCAAGGACACTCGAGAAGGCTGGGACGAGGACGATGATCCTGATCCCAGGCCTGAGGAAACGAGAGCTGAAGTCACACAATAATGATCGGAGCGCCCTGGCCAAGCATTGAGACAAATAGGGATATACCTGTAGGTATGTAAACATAGCGATGATGATCAGGAACTCGACTGTCGCTGATCACGCCATGCACATGTACTGTGGTAAGAGGAGCACGAATCTGAGACCTGCTGGCAAATGAGAATCGGCATAATGTGCATGAGTATAGAGCCGCTTAAGTTGCCGGTTATGGCTTATCCTTATCAGCGACCAGAGCGGCGGGTCAATTTTTCCGTGGCACTCACTCACTCACCTGAAGATCCCCGCGCATTGAGTCACTTGTTGAACATCTTCTGTACCTGCACTACTTTTTCCCCATTCATCAAATCCAGCTTCAGACAGTCGAACAACCAGAATGGGTGTCGGCCTGCTGGTGTACGTTGATCCAGAGGAGATTCTTGGGTCGAACCCCAAAGGTCTCACTCTCGACCAAGTCGCTTATTTCGGACAATGCCTCGTCGAGATCACTCCAGAGAACTTCGATTCGAACCTCGCTTTCCTCCGTCAGAACTTCTCAAAGCTATCAATAGATTTTGACGTGCGGAAATTGAAGGCATGGGATCAGGTTGTTGATGTATTGAACAACGGCGCCTCCAAGATCTTTGTCACCTTCGAACAATTGAAAGCCCTTTCGCAGGAACCGACTATTTCTTCAGACCGCCTCGTCCTCACAATCTCTCTCGTTAACCCGAAAACCGACATTGAAAAGCTGAAGGCTTTTTTGGAAGAGAAACCAGAGTGGAAGACGAGAGACTGGGCCTTTGATGGTGGTAGCGGTAATGAGCATTTGGACGAAGTCTTGAAAGAGCTTGGAAATTATCCTCCAAGCCATGACCAGACTATCTTTGTCAGAGTAGCAAGTGAAACAGAAGGCAAGACTCTGCTCCATGACTATCCAGGAAACTCCTTGGTTGTCTCGTCGAAGCTATTGACGTTCGATGCGACGAAAGAGGAGCACAAGAACCTGATTCCAGCCGTTGATCTGGTGCTGGCTGGCGCAACTCCTGATAGGAAGACCGGACTCTACGCCACTGTTGTCGTCGACGAACGCGATGTTGCACTGGGCCTCGTGTGGAGTAACAAGGAAAGCGTTGCGGAAGCACTCAAGACCGGCACAGGTGTCTATCACAGCCGCAAACGTGGACTTTGGCACAAGGGAGCTTCTAGCGGAGACACGCAGGAGCTTATCAACATTGGATTCGATTGTGACAGAGACTGCCTTCTTTTCAGAGTCCACCAAAAAGGACGAGGTTTCTGCCACCTGGGTACGATGTCGTGCTGGGGTAAAACGTCGGGCTTGTCTAGATTACAACGTACTCTTCAGGACCGGAAAGTGAATGCGCCTGAAGGATCATATACGGCTCGACTGTTTAACGATCCCAAGCTTGTCAATGCGAAGATCAAGGAAGAAGCAGACGAACTTTGTGAAGCCACATCGAAAGAGGAGATTGCTTCAGAAGCTGCCGACCTGTTATATTTCGCGTTGGCCCGATGCATTGCGGCTGATGTTACGCTGGAAGACATTGAGAGAAACCTTGACTTGAAGAATTTGAAGGTCAAAAGAAGGAAGGGTGATGCCAAACCTCAATACGTCGAGGAGAAGCCCGTCAACGAGGAACAAAAACACAAGACCAATGGTGTCAATGGCAGTCAAGACGAAGAGGTCAAAGAAGCCGCATCCGTACCGAAGTCATCAGAAGATCCTGCTGGAAAGAACGACTTCGGCAGAATACAGCTCAAGAGGTTTTCCACATCACAAGCATTTTCGGACGATCTTCTCAAGTCCACGTTGCAGCGACCGTCGCAAAGATCAAACGAGAAGATTATGGGTCTGGTGAATCCTATTATTGCAGATGTCCGAGCGCACGGCGACTCTGCTGTACTGAAGTATACTCACAAGTTTGAAAAAGCCACCTCCCTGAAGTCGCCCGTTCTAAAAGCACCTTTCCCTGAATCACTCATGCAACTCCCCGAAGAGACCATCAAAGCCATCAACACATCCTACGATAACATTCTTAAATTCCACGCAGCTCAAAAACCAAAGTCTGACTTGGTGGTCGAGACAATGCCGGGTGTCACCTGCTCCCGGTTCTCAAGGCCGATCGAAAAGGTCGGTCTCTACATTCCAGGGGGTACAGCTGTCTTGCCCTCAACGGCTTTGATGCTGGGTGTGCCTGCCATGGCTGCAGGTTGTAAGAACATCGTGCTCGCCTCACCTCCAAGATCTGACGGTACCATCACCCCTGAAATTGTGTACATTGCTCACAAGGTCGGAGCGGAAGCCATCGTGCTGGCGGGCGGAGCACAAGCGATAGCCGCAATGGCATACGGCACGGAGTCAATCACCAAGGTCGATAAGGTTCTAGGACCTGGTAATCAATTCGTTACTGCAGCGAAGATGATTGTCAGTAATGATACATCTGCTGCAGTATCGATTGATATGCCAGCGGGCCCTTCTGAGGTGCTTGTTGTTGCCGACAAGACCTCGGATCCGGCATTCGTGGCGAGTGATCTCCTCAGTCAGGCTGAGCATGGCACGGACAGCCAGGTTGTACTCATCGCCATTGATCTGAACGAGGAAGGACTGCAAGCTATTGAAGATGAGGTTCACAAGCAGGCGCATGAACTTCCGCGGGTGGACATCGTTCGTGGTGCTATTGAGCACAGTGTCACGATATCGGTCGGTGACCTTGAGGAAGCTCTCAAATGGTCCAATTACTATGCTCCAGAGCATCTGATTCTGCAGATATCTGATCCTCACTCTGCACTACCTCTTGTGCAAAACGCTGGCTCAGTGTTCATTGGCGGCTGGACTCCAGAATCTGTGGGCGACTACTCGGCTGGTGTCAACCACAGCTTGCCAACATATGGATATGCACGCCAATACAGTGGTGTCAACCTTGGAAGTTTCATGAAAAACATCACCAGCAGCGAAGTCACTGAACAAGGTGTCGGACAAGTGGGCCCTGCTGTCGTGGAGCTTGCAAGGTGTGAAGGTCTTGATGCGCATAAACGTGCAATGGAGCTTCGAATGGAAAAATTGGGTATACTTGAGAAAAGGAAGGCCGCGACAACTGCTTAGCTGGAGGTACTCGAATCGAAATGCCTGAGCCGGCAGATGGTATGATGTCTCCTTCTGAGTTCCTTTTTCTACGCATTTCCTGTACCACTGCCTATTATGAGCGATGAGGGTAGAGGATAGACAATTAGACTAGAAAGAGATGGACATTTGATCACTTCAAAGGAGCTGAGAGCACAAAAATCTCCTCGTATATCCTACGAGCCTACTATCCTACGATCCTATGTAAAGCGGCGCGCCCTTACTCGCCAATAAAGTTGACGCCGCTTTCACAACCTTTTGCAGAATCGCGGAGTCGGGCACTTTCCACCAGAATTGGAGTCACATTTGTGAATTTATGAGCACGCCGTGATACTTCGACGAGGGACTGGTACTCGGCCCATACCTGTCTTGAGGCCTCTTGAACCTCCCTTTGGCTTTCCAGCCACCTCAAGACGCAGCCATGGCAGAGGATCTCACATCGAAAGTGCTACAAGTGCTGGACTCCGCAGATGGATCCGTGCTCACCTCCGAAGCCTTTCCTAATGCCAGCTTTGTCTCTGTCAAGTCTGCAGTTGACAAACTACGATCACGAGAATACCTCTTAGCAGAACAGATCGACAAGATCGAGCTGGCACTTACGAAAGAGGGGGAGGATATTGCGGAGAAAGGAAGTAATGGTGCGAGAGTCTTTGAGGCCGTCCGAGCAGCACTAGAAGGTCTGAAAATCAAGGACCTGCCAGCTGCGGTTGGTGATGCGAACGTTGCCAAATTCGGCTCGGGAGACGCCTTCAAACAGAAATGGGTCAAGAAGGATGGAGACGTCCTCCGAGCTACAGCGGACAGTATTCAGGATGAAGTACAGCAGCACCTACGGCACATTCGAGAGAACAAATCCCTGGACAATGCAAAAGTCGTGGCAGATTTCAAGAAGAGGAAATACGTCGTGGACCAGAAGTCGTTCGCTTTCAAAATATCGAAAGGACCCAAATTCTCGACGGAGTTCGTGAAAGAAGAAACAGATCTTACTGCTGAGATGCTGGCATCAGGAGCATGGAAGACAGTGCAGCTGAAACCATACAACTTCAAGGCCAAGGGCGCAGCCACACCCTCAGGAGCCCTACACCCGCTCAACAAAGTGCGACAAGAGTTCCGCGACATTTTCTTCGAGATGGGCTTCGAAGAGATGCCGACGAATCGGTATGTCGAGACTGGCTTCTGGAACTTTGATGCCCTGTTCGTCCCTCAACAGCATCCCGCTCGCGATCTGCAAGATACCTTCTACATCTCCGACCCACTCAAAGCCGACCCTCCACGAGAAGACCCCGTACCACAAACACCTGGCTCGAAAGAACTGCCCACACACAAGCGGACGAAGTCACGGGAAAAGACCCTGAACTACAAGCAATACTGGGACGATGTGAAGGCCGTGCACGAACAAGGCAAATTCGGCTCTATTGGGTATAGATACCCCTGGTCAGCCGATGAGTCGTTACGACTGGTGCTCCGGACGCACACCACCGCCATTTCGACGTACATGCTGCACAAGTTGGCCTTGAACCCGAGACCAGTGCGATACTTCTCGATCGACCGCGTGTTCCGCAACGAGTCCGTCGACCAAACACATCTTGCTGAGTTCCACCAAGTAGAAGGTGTGATCGCAGATTGGGGTCTAACGCTAGGTGGTCTGATTGGCTTCATGGAAGTCTTCTTCGGCAAGATGGGCATCAGAAATTTACGCTTCAAACCTGCTTACAACCCGTACACGGAGCCCAGTATGGAGATCTTCAGTTACCATGAAGGCCTAAAGAAGTGGGTTGAGATTGGGAACAGTGGTATGTTCAGACCGGAGATGCTGGAGCCGATGGGTCTACCTAAAGACATGCGAATATATGGATGGGGTTTGAGTCTGGAGAGGCCGACTATGATCAAGTAAGTTTTTCCCGCGGAAGACAGTGCGAGAATGCTAATGCTGGTCTTAGGTATGGTGTCAACAATATCCGCGAACTCCTCGGTCATAAAGTCGATCTCAACTTTATCGAGACCAATCCTGCTGTACGACTGGACAAGGAGTGATCGATTCAGAAGTACCACTGTTCAGCTCGGCCATGTAGGATTCTATGCAAAAAGAGGCAGGCAGACAAAAAGGCAGGATCTAGAAATGATACCCACCCTTGCTTTCCCGTCCCAGTGATGTGAGGCAAGAGGCTGTTCCCAAAGAGCTCGTACAGGACCTTTCCTTTCTCTTCTGTTCGTTTGTGTTGCTGCATTTTTTACGCATGGAAAACATGTGGGCAACCTCACCGGCACAATCAAGACTCTCCCAGACCACTGTTCTATGACTGGGGGAGTAGAGAAAACAAATTCGTACATACAATCAGCCGAATATCGAGGACGTTGCGAAACGTAGCCGCCTTCTGAAGAGCTGTGATTTTGCTGAGATTAAGAGTCAGAGCACAGATACGGGCAGCACATCTTTCCTCTTTCCTGCAGGTATGCACAGTAGGTGGTCCACGTAGTAGTGATCCAGGTAACGATAGAGGCATTCATGCAGAAACATTGTGGAAGCCAGTTTTGATGAACTTTCGTTTTTGATATTCCCTAGCATGAATTCCTCCCGCTTGGGGGATCTTGTCTAGAATTTTCTAGCAAGCCAGCGCCTTCAGCATACTGATTTTTGCGGTGCTGTCCTATCATAGGACATAGCACATTGACGCCGTATTTCTGCCTCCTTCGCGCTCGACATCCTAGATTTCTGACTTCTCATTTCGATTGCCATGCCGCCGCTTCGATATCACGACCACAACCTCTTCTCTCCCACAACTTCGATATCCGAACGTCTGGAAAATTGAAGTGACGTGGTGGTGGGTGATTTATCTCGTAGGCTGCGCACTCCAGACGTTCTTGAGGAACCCATCACGCTGGGCAAGTCTGTTCAAGGCATCGTCGCCCTCGGCTCTCGATCGCACAAACCCACAAAGAGCATAGACCTGGTTCTCGCCGGTGTATCTGCCGTTCTCGTCGACCTTGCCGACGCTGAGTTGCACGCTGGCGTGGTCCTTGGCTCGGATGATGCGGTTGGTCGCGCTGCACTTGCGGGGGACGTAGCTGTTCAAGATCACATATTAGCATATCATTGTCTTCCTTTCATCGTCTCACGAATTTTCCCGATCCGCCGCCGCAGACGAATTCGGCGTCGTCTGGCGGGGACAGGCTTGGGCGGTGGGTGGTGCTTACAGATCGACGATCTCTCCCTTTTCGTTCTCCATCTTTGCGTAAGTGATAGAAACTGTAGGTGGACTGGTGAAGGTGTCTCGGCGACTTGAGTGAGCGTCTGAGTGTTGTTGAACGGATTGAAACGTCGTCGTCTAGGGCTTGAGCGCAGTTTCGACGAAAAATGTGTGCCCCGAATGTCGGCGTTGGGAAATGGCCGATGCTTGGCGCGTGAAATCTTGGCATTGGTCAAAGTCAATGTCGACTGCGACAGCCTCGTTAGAAACGACTGGCCTGGCCAATGCAAATGTTGTTGCATTGATGCACGCGACGTGAAAAAATCATGATCAAGACGGAAGAGCTGAGCATCGTTATGTCCTATTACTTCGTGCTGTGAGCGGTGTTAACACACAATGTTCCACTTGAAGAACAACATTCGAACCAGCTCCGCTAAAATGAACTGGCTTGCCCGCTTCCCTATTTATGCACTTTGCTGAAATGCGTTCGTGACTGCCAAACCGGCTATTATATGACACAAGCCTCGATAGGAGACAACGCTTGCCCGCTATGACCTTGTATATTGCTAATGACCATCACAGCACCGCGCAAACCCTTCGTAAAATCTCTAATGGCTGTTTCACCTCCTAATCACGCTTAGCCCAGTCATCCGCCCACCACCAGCAAGCAGACTTTGTCTCACAATCATCTCTGCAGCCGCAGCGGCAGCAAGACGCTCCTTCTGTCGTGACCGATCCCTGAGATACCCTCCTGCTTCTAGCCTCATCCTGAGAATCCTAAGAATCATGTCATCACTTGGCTCGGCCTGAGCAGCCTTCCACTTCTCCTCTTTGGCTTTTCGCATCGTACCCAGATTCCGGCTGAGCATGATGCTCTTAGCACGCCTTGCGCCAGCCATGGTCCCTGGGTTCAGCAAGCCTCCACCGCCGACAGCTCCGAGACTCGGTGGTGCGGAGACCCTCGACCGGTGCATCTGCTGGGTTGCAGCTGTTGCGGAAGCCATTCTTTCGGACTCCCGAATCAGACTTTCCGTAGGCTCAAAATAGAAGAAATTGAGCATCTGGAGTTCATGGTATTTAGGATTCTTCAAGACGTTGATAGGCACGCCGTTAGCTTCACCTGTCTCCTCGTCGACAGCATTGAAAAACTCGAACAAGCTTTGCAGCCACTTGTAGACGATATCCAGTTCCTGCTGCGTGAGGGCTTTCTGTTGGGATGGCTTGTCGGACAGAGGAGGGACGAGAAGCCCCTCGATAGTAGCGAGAACTTCTTTCCATATTCGCGTCATGACTGCAATCATTGCTTCCGGGGTGAGAGTCTTCTGCATGATGGCGAAGTTGTCGTCGAAGTAGTCAAAAAGTGGTTTGAGAGCATTGACTATTTCTGCATCCGTCGGCATAGTTGAAGTTGGAATCACAGATGCACGATTTCGATTGAAATAAGAGGACATGGTCGAAGACACAGCCGAGATCGATATGCCTTTATTGAGTAGAGTCCGCAGGGCTCTTCGGGAGAGACAATGACTGATGTAGGCAGAAAGCTTGTCGGTGATCTTCCTGGTCATGTCTCGTTGCGTCCTCTGGAGGTTTCTGAAAGCTTTGCCAAAGTAGAACTGGATGTCGTCGCGCTCTCCCTCCATGCTAACGCGAACCATGACTCTTCCCTGGCTGTCAAGATCGAGCCAATACTCTCGAGGCAAAAAGTCACTGAAATGAGATGGGTCCAATTTGAGCGAGGTCCTCCCAACATAATCGTGATCGCCAACAGCATCCCAGTCCCAGATTGTTGCGATGAGATTCAGTGGCCCTTGGGTCGTGATATCCACCGATTCATCCCATCGAGGATTCAAGTTTCTGTAGACGATCCTGCTTTTGAACAGTCTTTTCTGGTACTCATCCGTCAACACAACATATGGATCACTATATCCATTGACATCACACGCCTTGAGATCTTCGGCTTCCACAATCTTAATGGTGAAGACATAGTTCGACGTTTTTCGTTGCTTCTGAGCAGCAGGCGGAGCATACTTCTTCACTACTTCTGCACAGGCGTCAACATTCACCTCCTGCTCCAGCTTGTCCCATTGTTGGATTGCAAACGATATGTCGTTCAACTTGACAAAGGATTCGGGATAGAACTGGAAAGGCTCGACCCTCTCCTTGTTGTTCCAGGTATCCTTTGCCAGTTGCACCCACTTCTCTTGTCTTGTCATATTGGCCGCAGCTTCTTGCTCGGGGGTTAGTCTGTCCATCTCCTTACTGAACATTTGGTCGAGGAGCTCGCAGTATCTTGCAACGCCATTGCCAATGGCTTTGGACAAAGCCGTCATGAATTTGGCATAGCTTAGGTCATCATCCCAGTTCAACTGACTGATTTGATCAATAACCTGATTGAACGACTGGAAGATATCGAGTACAGATGTCGAATGTCGTTCATCTTCGGTCGGGACATGCTCTGCGCCTTCTGTTCTTACGGTGAACTTGTCATGTTTGACCGCATTTTCAACCCATCCAATGACTTGTTCTTCTGTCGTTCGAATCCATCTCCACACAAAATCGGCCAAAAGATCTTCAAGCTTGTATGGAAATGTGACATGGGGCAAAGCATCAGCCTGAACTCGACGGAATTCGCTAAGCTCCTTGTAGAGATCAAACCCGTCCTGGATGGGAATTTCCTGGTCGTCTGTTTGACCATCCAAGATCTGCTCCACCATAGCCTTCGAGTCCTGAGCAAATGCCGGTAGTGTGCAGTTGAGCAAGATCATCAATGGATTGACGCCCAGGATTTCAGGATTCTTTCGAAACCTCTTTTGGACTTTCTCTGCGAGCTTCAACACAGCTTTTGCAACTTGCTGAATATGGTAGGTCTCCCAGCTTTCGCTTTGTTGAGGCAATTCCCGGTCTAGAAGCTCATCGTATATCCGTCGAGCTTCAGCCGCTAGGCCATCAATAACAGCATTCTTGAAGTTTTCCGTGTCATTGTGGTTTTGGGTGAAATTTGGATCATTCTTTATGTGTTCGTCCAATATGGCCAAGATCATACCCAGCTTCGGTAACTGAGGCTTCTCGGCATATGAAGTCATTATAGCGCCGTAAAGATCCCGCAGCAGCGCCTCGTATAGCGCACTGAGGATCTTGCCCATAAGCGCGAAATCAGTAATCGTCCAATTGTACCTGTCGTATAGAGCCGAGCTCATGATGAAAGAGCTTCTCTTGTTCTTTGGATCCTCCGGCTGAGGTTCTTTCACGTAGTTGAAGGCTGCATCCAGCATTTCCAGGCTGATAGCTTGCTCAACAAATTTCTCTCGTACAACATCCAGGAAAAGCACAATTCGAGTAAATTTGGGTATCCGCCACCTCACGGCGATTTCGTTGAGTAATTCCGTGGTCTTTTTCGTAAACAAGTGACCGCTTGCTCCATCATTCGTGTTATCATTAAGGTCGTGAGAGAGCGCTTGAAGCATTATATAGCGAAACATTGCCCTGGTATCAGCAGGGATAAAAGTATAAACATGCGAGGCTTCACCATCGCGTGGAGACGAGTCTCCTGAACTGAGGTCAAGTGAGTTCAGATCTGCCGGCAGATCTAAGACGTAAGAGGAGGAATCTTGAGCAAGAGACCGGGAGATGTCCGCATAATGTTCTGTCGAAGCAACATTGGATTGAGAATTGAATTGTGGGAGACTCCCACCTGGTGTACTTTTGGTCAGTTCAGGATTTGACTGCATTATCGCAAGCATCATTTGAGACAGATCGGGTCCTTCGTTCTTCTTCCATGCCTCATATGCTTCTTGCGTGTCGAAATCGCGGGCACTCAGTGTTGATTTTGTCCCAAGCATGAGATGTTGTTGATACGTTTTCAAGTCCTGGAGTGCCGCTTTCTCTGTCCAGACAGGCTTGTGTTTGGAGAGGTCTGACTGCATCATGGTGGCGCTCAAACCAAATATCTGGCCGACAACCAGGACCAAGGGCATGTCTTTGACATGATAGCTCACCGGTACGACCTCCTCGACGACTGTGGTTTGTCCATTTGTTTGTGTCGCAGCCAGATTTTCGTCTCCTTTCAGTAATTTGGATTCGAGTGTCTGTAATCGAGTTGCTAATTCAGGCTTGTCCTTCACCTTGTCCATGTCTTTCAAGATAAGGCTTAAGAGTCGGACAAAGAGAGCCACATGACGGTCGGTCGTGCGCTTCACACTGTCATCCCCAGGCGGACTTCCTTTCAGCAATTCCTTGGTAGTGCTGGAAAAAAACATGAGTACCAGATCTTCCGCCCTCCGGTCTCCCTCCATTCGCTTCTTGAATGAAGGGTCTGACAAAGTGTTGAGGAAGATGGCAAATGTTCGCTTGACCAAAGCATCTTGATATTCTGGTCGTTTCTCCTTGCCAATAAGTATGCCCTGCAACCTCTTCTCGAGTTCTTTGATAAAGTCATGGGGGAATCTTTGACTTTTGGGATCTCGAACCACCGTGAAGTCATTCATCAAATCGTGAAAGGAGTGAGATGTGCCGGTACGATTTATTGGAGGTTTTGACTCGACGTGTCTCTTTCGGGTTGCGCGAGGCTGAAGGAGATGTGAGAGGTATGCCACTCGGAGGGCGTGGAGGTAGGCATCGTTTGCACTGATGGACTTCCTTCGTACTCTAGAAGAGTCCCTCGACGCCCGTCTTCCATTTCGCAAACCGTGTACGCTCCTGCCGGGCGCATGCGACCGGGCAGAGGATTGTGACATATGGCGCGCATTAACCGTGGTATAAGTCAAGACGAGGTGACTGAAGAAATGGAGGAAGACGAAGTCAAGGAAGACGTCAGGTGCGCGTCCTGTGGCTTCGCTGTGTACGGTGGTTGGACAGGATCAGGCTGATCCTGTCGCCTGTGGCTCCGTCTGCGCCTAAGGCTGGGGGCGGGGAATCCTTGAGATGGGTTTTCGGATTCTGGTAGAGGTGACGCAGTCGGTATTTCATGTCCTTGGTACTGGTTTGTGGAGAGACAGGGTCATCGCGAGGGTAAAGGGCTAAAGAAGTGTCCTCTACCCACAACTTGGAAATGTTTCGGTGCATGTCATGGAGTGACCACTGTGACCGTGACGATCATCGTGTCCCAGTGTTTCAGAATCGTCGGCGCAGAAATGACGAGGGTGGCCGACCTCCGAGACCCATCACGCATAAGGCATAAACACACACTATCAAGTATCAACCATGATTACTTCTACAAACTTCGCTGCACGGCTGCGAGCACTCTCTCTCTTCTGTGACCCAGTGCTATAGGCTACATCTCAGGTCCTAGACAACGGGAGCAATGATATCGTCCCCACGACCTCCGGGCCATGGGGAGTAACACTTCGACTGACAGTGCACATGGGAATGTCACGCGGCGAACCGAGGTAGGTCCGTTTATTTACTGTCCGTGTTCCTCATCTACAGACCATTCGATTCCTGCCCTCCATTCTTCACGAACCTGCAAATCCCTTCCTCAGTATGCAGCTCAAAGATCGCACGTTCATCGTGAGCGGAGGTTCGAGCGGCCTCGGGCTTGCAACCACTCTCATCTTCTTGCAGAATGGCGCCGACGTTTCAATCTTTGACCTCAACCCTCCACCTTCCGATTCCTCTTCTTCGATCGACTCCAGTAGAATCCTCTTTAGTAAGACCAACGTCTCCTCCACCGAGTCTCTACAACAGGCTTTGAAGAGCACATTGAAATGGACTCAGGAAACAAACAAACCGCTGTCGGGCGTGATCTGTTGTGCAGGTATCGGAACGGCCGCAGTATCGCTACCCAGACAAGACCCGTCGGCGACACATGACAACCTCAAGTACATGGACATGGCACTATTTGACAGGACATTGGCGATCAACCTACGAGGAACAGTAGATCTCATTCGTCTCACAATCCCTCACATGGCCCTTAACGAACCTTGGGGCCCTGACGGCGAGCGCGGAATAATTATCGTGGTCTCCTCAGTCGCCGCATACGAGGGTCAAGTTGGGCAGTTGGCCTATAGTGCCAGCAAAGGAGCTGTACGCAGCATTGTTCTTCCATTGGCCCGAGAATTGGGTCAGAAGGCGGGCATTCGAGCAATGGGCATCGCGCCGGGTGTCTTCCAAACAGGCATGACAGTACCGCCGAAGAAGAAAGCGCCAGCACCGGCAAAGAAGGAGGGAGCAGAAACCAAGCCGAAAGGAAGTGCCGGCTCGCGAGCGTCGCTCAATACTGAGATGATCCAGTATCCCACGCGGATGGGTCGTGGAGAAGAGTTTGCCCGGTTGGTTAAGGAAATCGCCGAGAATCCTATGCTCAATGGCGGAGTGATAAGGCTTGACGGGGCAGTCAGGATGCCGAGCCGGTTATAATGAAGATATGTACATGTGGTCATCAAGAGGCGCTGAAAATGCAATCAACTTCTAAACAATGTTCTCCTGCTTCACTTCAATTCTGGCAACCGCCGAACAAAATGCGCAGGGCAATGGTAGCCACCCGTGTTCACAAGGAGGTACTTCTGGTGGTTGGGCTCAGCGTCATACCACTCTGTCGCTCGCTTGATCTCGGTCGTGATAGGCTTGCCCTTGTACCACTGCTCTGCCACTTTCTCTTTGATCTCTTGGGCTTGTTGCATCTGCTCGTCATTCTCGGCGTAGACGGCTGAACGGTACTGTGTTCCGCTATCTGCACCCTGGCGGTTGAGGGTTGTAGGATCGTGCATCTTGAAGAAGTACTCGCAGAGTTGACGGTAAGTGACCCGTTCAGGGTCGAAGACAATCAAGAGGGATTCGGCGTGTCCAGTGCGACCGGAGCAGACATCGTAATAGCTGGGCGCTTTGGTGTGACCTCCAGTATATCCTACTCTGCAGTCGAGAAGACCCTTGCCGTTACCCCAGTCTTTGCGATATAGTTCTTCGAGACCCCAGAAACAACCACCGGCGAAGATGGCTCTCTGGGAGGTTGGGGGAAATTGAGCAGCGGCAAGAGCATCTGGCTGGAGGGGCATAGAGGCTGAGGAGGCGAAGGGTCGGAGGAACCGTGATAGAAATGAGGGCATTTGGAAAGCCATGGCGACAAGAAGGGCGATAAGGGCGATGGAGGAAAAGTTGCTGGTAGTGAATTGCAGTTTGACGGTGTCGCGATATGCGAAGATGTGTTCAGGTTATTTGACGACTTTTATGGATAAGATGAGGGTGTGGCTGTAGAGGCGGCGACCCTCGTTTATAGACCTCGGGAATCTTTCGTTCGTATAGCGATTCAATGACGACATTTGACAATTCCAATTTGTTCGTCGCTCTTTTCGCTCATCACCCTTTGATTGGCGAACGATATCTGTCATCCTACCAACCATCCCCAGGTACTCTTTGCTTCGCCACTGAACCCGCTGCATGATTACCCTAAGTTATCTCGACGATGCCATCCGTGCAGCTCCTGCAGCTCGACAATGTCAAATCGCTCAACGCGGAAAGTGCCTGCATTGCTGGAGACCTGCCCGTTGCCTGACTAGCCAGACTTTGCTTCATCCTCGCAGCGTGCTTTGTTGGCCGTTCCATATGGCAACCCAGTTTGCAAACGAAGCGGCACTGTCTGAACGAGGGATCATGAGGGTCCAAGGGGCCACCCACCTGATATGCTCCAGGTCCTTTAAATGCGTCCGGGATGAGTACCTACTCACGTTCCCAAGGCCGTCATTTCCAACGGCATATGTATGAGATTGAAGCCCTAGTCACCTCCGTCCATACCCATTGGGAGTGCGCATTATGAGGAACCTGTGCTCGCTGCCTCTTTGTGCTGCCTTTCCTGGAAACCGGCTTTGTTGATAGTGTTCACTGAATGTTCGAATGCATTCATTCCAGCACTGCCTTGATGGCAAGAGTGAAGCAGTCTTTCACAATGCGACTGCGGCGTCTGTCACTGTTTTCTCTTTGTATGCAATTTCGAAATGTGCAGAGAAGAACAACTGTCTAACAATAGCAAGGTAACGACTGCCTTACGCTGTCTCTTTTATTATTCCTCCATGCTGCTTCCGTTTCATCTTCCATAAATCCTACCCTTGAGCAACAAGTCCCCAGCAATCCCCTATCTCCACCAAACACGAGACCTTGCGCAAACATGCCTGAAACTTGGAGCAAACTGTCGTCTGAGGTGATCAGCAACATTATGAGTCATCTCAACAGAGAAGAACTCAAAGCTTGCAGACTGATAAATCATCTTACCGGCAATCAAGCTACACGAGAGTTGTTCCACGAGCTATGCTTCAGTCCTACTTGGAACAGCGTCGAGCATCTCATCAAGATTGCGCACGAACCGCCTTTTCATATCACGTCTCCAATCACGGGAACCCGGTTATCAAATGTCAAGACATTGCGAATCAGGCTTCGAGATTGGCCCTGTGTAAGCCAGGAGTTGCCAGAGATGCCGGAATTGTTGAAAAACTTGTCGAGCATATTCCCAGCCCTGGAGAACTTATCCTTCGGCTTTAAATTCCTGCCACTGGAACCGAGAGGGCAGTCCTGCTGCGCGTCTGACTTCAAGAAGACTCTTGATACCTTTGCCGCTCCCACAGCTGTCATCAAATCCTTCTTGTCATGCACTTATCCTCGCCTCGTCAATTTGACTCTCAAATGGACAACAGTCACGAGCGCAGACCTATACGAATTCATCAGACGTCACCGCGGCACACTGAAGTCCCTACACATCAAGAACATGCGGTTAGACGGCTGGAAACCTGGCGCCCTAGGCGATGAAAGAATCACAAGTTCGATGCTGCGTCTGATACACTTCCTCCGCGATGAAGCACAACTCGAGACGATGAAACTGGAGGGTTGCTTCTTCGATCAGCACTATATGACAATCTGGCATTGTGTCCTTGAAGACAAGTCCTGCATTCTTCGTCGAGTCGAGGACTACATCTGTCACAGAGGGAATTACCCTTTCAAGCACCTTGAACCATTTCTCAACGGGTTGAGGTCAGGTCGCCTTAGTATGGCCGCATCGTCGGACCTCAGGTACTTCATTCAAGGACCGTACCCTCACGTCATAGAGGTGATGCCGGAGACTGACCAGACGTGGTGGTATGAGTCGCAGATGATCCCGGGCACCATTTACAGAAAAATAATTCAATCGCCCGGCAGAATTGGAGTAATTCATAGGCGATGGAGGTTGCATAATTGAGGTTGTGGACTGTGGACATGGGGATGGAGGAGAGATTGATATCAAAAGTCTCGGTATCAGAGATCTGGGCGGTTGTGTTTGTCCAAATCCGTGCGCCAGCTCCATTCACCAGGATGTCCACGTATTATTTTCAAGGATACGAACCCACGTCGGCACCAGAAATTCGAAGAAGGTGAGGCAGAACTCATACAACTCTCACAAGTCCCGACACCTCAAAAGACAAGATCCAAAAAAGAATAGCAAAAACTCTGCCATGAACCCGGGTTTGAAGAGGTCATGGTAAGTGAAACCCTTATATGGGGTTTTTTCGAAACTACGAATTCCCAATCCAACTTGTTATTTTTTCTCAACCCCCCAGTATGGTTATTTTTGCGGGTTCTTTGTTTGTCAACCTTATCGGCCGGATGGAGGATCGTGAGGGAGAGAGGTAGGACTTGGATCTTAGCTAGAATGCTAGTCTTGAGTCCGGCGAGGAAGGGCAATTCGTCGCGTCTTGCTACCTAGCCCACGGTATTGGCTAGCCTGACCTGAGACGACGAGGAATTGTGGTTGAAATTCGGGGAGTTTATCATAAAAGGTTTGAGAAGAGAGGGTGTGGTAGAATGAGAAAACGGAATAGGTGGTCAGCGGCGGTATTGGTATCATGGTGTTATATGGCATGGAGGAAGCGCAAAAAGATTCAAGAAAGCAGCGGACGGTTGTTCAGTGCTTGAGTGGTGGTGGACAATAATGGCAATTGTTACCATGCTCGCCGCGGACCCTTTGATACTGTGTTCTCGATACAGGCTGACAACGCCAGGTTGTTTTGTTCTCTCAGAATCCCAATCCTAGCGTTACAGCGAACGACATCAACACTACCAGGACCACCCTGCTCAGCCATAAGACACCACCTCAGCGAGTGACTTCTGCCCCTTCCCCAGCGAACTCATTTGCCGTGGGTTTGTCAACATCGCCTCCTTCGGCCGATGAGCCAAGACCCTTTAACGGATTCGAAGTCTGTGTTGTCTCGGATGAAGACTCGTCGCGGGATGTCTGTCAGGAGATAAGTCAGCTCAACTCACCCAGGTCTGTTCATGAATATTATGGTCTGCTTTGCCAAGTATCCGAGTTGCTTTTCGACATGAGTCCGACGCCGACCAGGCCGGCCACGAAAGGGCTCAAGCCTGGAGACTACACCCTTTGTTGTTGAAGACCTCTCTTATCCTTCATGCATCACCTCTCGTGGACACCATAGCCAGACATCATAGATGGAAATTTGGGAGTAAGGGCGACACACCTTATCAGATCCAGATCCCGATTCTTCACTGCCTCCAGAAGCGCCTTCTCCATAGCGCTCGTTGACTTTACTCGTAGCCTCGCCCGAAGCACTTTTCCCAGGCGGATTGTCCTTCGATCCAGCACCTTGTTGACCCGAGAGCGATGCCATTGTAAATAGTGTTTGGAGGTCTCGTTGCAGTGTGTATCAGACTTTCAGACACTCTCGAAGATGATTGATACTCCCATAAAACAAGGTATGAAGTAATGTCAAGATCAGACAGGAGCAAGCTACGTCAGACCCTCCTGCTCCCAATCTCGTGGTTCCACCCGCAAGGCTGAATCTCAGGGTCCTCGGATTTGGACTTCCGAACATTCAATCCACTCCACTACTGAGGAGTCCATGGACACAACAACCATAGCACAGCTCGTATTGAATCAGAACACAATTTCATCATGATTCATTATGGCCTGCTCGGATTCAAACTCGAGTCTAAGACCGATATCTCATTACAAGCCCGCCTCGAACGCAGCTCAATACGCTCAGGCTGTCGAGCAACCAAATTTTGGTGAAGAAGTGTACAATTGTACAGAGAAGCCCGAACTCCAGTCATACCATGGCATCCTAGTCAGTCCTTGTCCCAGCCATCCTGTTGATTTCGATCCGTTGACACCATACAATGCAAGCGAAAATTTTTGGTCCTTGACTCACGACCTTCAACGCCAAACCGCCTTGCCATTCGGCACTAAGCTCCCCCTCGAAGCCGAATGTCCCTGGCCATGCGAAGGTGTAATCGAACTCATCCTGATGGGACCTCGATCACCAGTACTAGGTGTCGACCTCACATCTCCACTCATGGTTGTCCGTCGTGCCGCGCCTATTCCCGATCCCTTCGAATGACTGACGACCCCTTGAACTCGTGGACTCAACACTCCAGCCTTCCAGTCATTCTCTTTATCGCTCTTGCCCATGACCATTCTCCTAACGTGGCCGGCAGCGAACATGCTGTCATTGGGTGGCGAGCCTGCCATCGCTGTAGCAGCGGTTGGAGAGCGTCGTCGCTGAGTGCGTGATCCGTTGGCATTGGAACGACGGAAAGAACTGGACCGCTTGACAGCATCACGAATCTTCATCGCATCGTCTCTGTCTGGATTGGCCTGGTTCTCGGCATCGGAGTTGGCAGCTGAAGAATTGCTAGCACTGTCGATGCAGATTTCTACGGTTGTCTTGTCAGCGGTTGCTGCCAAAGATCGTCGATTCGCAGCTCTGCTCGGATCGACCTCCCTCAAGGGTGACGTCTCACTGTCTGAGGATGAGAACGCCGTCGTCCTTGGAGGCGGCATCAAAGACGACGGCGAATCATCATTCTTCTTGGACAGAAATCCTGCTTGGAATCGACTGCTCTTTGCTGGTACAGCAAGTGTTGATTCTGGTGGTGGTGGTATCGGTGAAGATCCTGGAGACTGGGTGCGGAGCTGTGCAAGTGAAGTCGTGAGCTCAGAGACCTGAGGAATTGTGATTTCGGTCGTTGATTCGTCTGGTGATGAGGAGGCAAACTTCTGTGGTGTCTTCTCGAATTCGGCCAAAGTGCCGTCTTCAGTATCATCCCGCCACCTCACGGCTCGCTTGGCCTTGACAGGAGACTTCCTCTTCTTGGGAGTGAAGGATACTTGAAAACCTTTCTTCGAGCTACCCAGCAGCGCGCGTCGTCTTGGAGAAGGTCTGGCTGCCGGAGAAAGAATCGGAATCTTGGCTCGGATCGGGCTCGTATCCAATAGAGAGCTGTTCATATTCTGCTTGCGTCTCTTTGGTGTTCCTGTTTTTGTAGGTGCGAAGGACTCAACGGGCGCAAGGCTCCCATCAGGTTTGACAATATACGAGGCCGCACTAGATGCTGAGGCGAGCATCTTGCCAAGGATCTGAGTGGCTGCCTCGACCGCTTCATCGACACTCATGGCATTCAGACTCTCAATCGCAGAAATGGTTTCGAAATGCGCTTGCAGCAGAACTTGTATGGTCGCGGCGTCTCCCATTTTTTCTTGTTCATTGACAGCGGCAAGTGCTTCTCTCTCGGCATTGGACTTGAGCAATTCGACTTCTCGGCGTACCATCTCCGAATCGACCATGTCCCCAGTATCGACTTCCTGGAGTTGTCGCAGAGTATGGTCCAGTGCTGTGGTCATTGCCCTGTCCCACGTGCTCTTGGACACTTTCTGCTGACAATGGTGCCGGCCACTCTCGAGTTCCATCATAATGCCTTGCGCAGCTTTTCTCACAACTTGCATGTTCTTCATGGGCTCTTCCTCCTCGAGGGTATCACAGACAGTGTCGAATGCTGTCATCCACGCGGACAACATTGCGATACGACGACCGATCTGTTTCAACTTGATCATGTTGCTGGTACGTTCTTGTCTCTCAGCCGCAGAATGTTCATACGCACTCCTAAGTCTCTGTACACCTTCTCGAGCAATAACCTCCTTCTTCTCGTTCTGTTTCTTGAACTTGGCAAATGCCACTGCTTCGTAGTCCTTCTGCTGAGCCTTCAGTTCATTGATGAGGGCCATCTGCTCGTCAATCTTGACCAGGAAGTCCTTGACATGACGATTGACATTGTAAACATTCCGGGTGACTTTGGTCTGTATGTTTTTCGCTCGATTGGCATATCTTAGGGTATTCTGTGTCTCATCAAAGTGCGCACTGGAAGGACTGACACAAACAATCATCACAGTCTTGCAGTTGCCTCCGAGGGAGAACTTTAGGAGACGGGTAAGCTTGGAGTTTCGGTATGGGACATGATTCCGTTTTCGCACGTCGCAGAGAGCATTGATGCAGCTGCCGAGGGCGAGAAGAGATTTGTTGATGTTGGCTCCTTCAAGCAATCGCTCGCCACGGTTCTTCGTGGCACTAGCCCGTTCACTGCCAGCCAGATCGATGATGCTCAAGGTGGCCATGGTATGAGGTTCCTCCACACTAGCATTTCTGTCTTTCTGAGCAACGTTGATCTGAAGGACAGCATGAGACCGCGACGAGGTGGCATTGGCTTCTGTGGGGGACATTGTCCGCATCTCGTTCCCTTTCATTATCATGTCCATGACCTCTTGTACGTTCTGAGGGTGATGACTTGAAAGACCAGCCACGGATACTGTTTGGTTTGCATCCTCCCTCAGCATGAGACCTCCTCTCACGGTGCCCGGCACCAGTAAATCACGTATCATTTCATTGTAGATTTCGAGGTAGGATAATGAGATTTCGGTGACTTTCTCGGATGCGCAGTCGGTGAGTCTTTCGAAGAGCTCTTGCATGGTAAGGAAGATGATACCCGGTTGTTGGACGGTGCCTGTGATAGTGTGTGTCTTTCCGCATCCCGTTGCACCATAGGCGAAGACTGTAGCGTTGTATCCATCCAAGACACTGTCCAGCAGTGGTCTGGTAGTAGACTCGTATACTTCGCCCTGAGATGCATTTTCATCGAAGATGCGGTCGAAACCGAAAGTCTGATCTTTGACTCGTTTGCCAGAAGGAACCACGGATCGGGAGAACTTTTGTATAGGATTGTCTTCAGGAGGATCGAATACTCTGTCTTTCGTCAGCGGAAGTACTTCAAACTTGCGCTGACACATACAAGCACTTGTCGTCGACGACTTTGATTACCGGTCTAATACCTTTCTGCGAGAGTTTCGGTGTAGGGGCAGCTGCCAGGGAGCCATCGCCGAGGAAGATTGTGGTATCATCGCATTTGGTCAGTTGTGCGGCTTCTCGTATCGTAAATGGTCTGACTCGAACTGTGACTGAAATTGAAGATGCGCCATCAGAGGCCATTGCTATGTTTACCTCCTGGCGAGTAGTGGTAGGTGGGAACTGGAAATCATGAGAAAGTAATGCAGGTCCCGAAAGACTATCTAAGGAAACAATTGAAGACTGAACAGATAACAAGCGCAAAAAGAGCCGACGTCAGATGCATTCGAGGCCGTTTACAACCTGGAAGTCTGAAGTGTATGGCTTCTGCGATGAAACCAATCGAGCGTGTTTTTTCCGACCGCGTTGTTCGTTGCCCGAGCAACCACAAAAAACGCCTGCAAAATGAAATGAAGTTGTACTTTTCTCTGGTTCACGAATCAATCTAGTTCTATCTGTACACTCGTTGATGTTTGGGATCCGATCAGCCCATTGCCTCCGTGACATTATGCAGGTAAAGATGTTCATGTGTTTACGGGCAGAGTGACGGTAGGCGCAGTCGCAACAATTCCACCAAGCCACCCTTCCAAATGACCTTGGAGATCACTTCCATCACGTTTCGAGGTCAATAGGCGATAGAGAAAACCAACAAACAAGTACACTGGCTTATGAAACAGACCGCATATGAGTATAGGTGGCCAGGCAATGTACTGAAATACTTTTCCATTATCAATTATGTTGACTATTTCGATATCATGGTACTGAAAGTACTCATACTCCTCCCAAGTCTGATACAAGCTACCGCACCAGAATATGCAGACGTAGCCAAAAGTGCCGCCTTAATGATGATACAATCCAGAGAAAGCTCTTAACCCTTCCAGCTCCCCGGAGGTCTGTTCTACACCGTCTTCCGATCCCACCTCCGCACCACACTCCCCAAACAAATCTTTAACAGACCCTGCGCCGTAAGCTCTTGGCCTTCCTCTCCATTCCATGGCACCGTGTCCACCATATCGCGAATTTGGTACTGCTCAGACAACGAATCGTCCAGCTCCCTCAAATTCTCCGCCGCCTCGGGCTCCCTACCCACCTGGAAGAACTGGACACCAACCTGCCATGGCTCTGCGCCGAACTTGTCAAGTTTCTTCGCGGCGTTAACAATGACCATCTCAACATCGTCACTGGGCACGCCATCGGTGATGACAATGATGTTCAACGGCTTAACCGTGGCTTCGTGGCCGTGCGCCTGTCGTTCCAGTGACTCGGCCACCTCCACCAAGTACGGCTTGAGGATCTGGTTAAGTCTCGTGCCCGTAGGCGTTCCGCCGAGAGGCCGAACGGTCTGGAACAGACCCTGCACTCCTTGTGTGGTTGTGACGTTGGTGTAACCGCCTAGATGGCTATTTGGGTTGCGATGGTTGAGGAAGTAAATGTCAATTCCGTCAGCGTCGTGGGCTGTGCAAACAGGCGCAATGGCACTTAGTGCTGCAGATGTTCCCCGCCAGCTGCGACCTGCCATGCTGCCGCTGTCATCGATCAGAAACACCGTATCAAATTCCCGAAGGAAAGCATATGGTGAGTCATCGCCGACTTGCATCGGAGACGCTACGTCTGCTGGGCTGTACGGTGCGGCTGTGTATGGAGGAGGTGCGCCTGGATTCTCGGCTGGTCGGGGTCTCCGAGTCGGCGTGGTGATGACATGTGGACTGCTGGGATCGACGTTGTTGCGTCTGCCTAATGGTGCAGAGGGTAGCTTTGGCACTGACCGAGGTGTTACTGATGCATTGCTGCTCGATCGTTTCGATCCGAGTCTCTTGAAGATGTCCATAGGATTATGGCGTGCTCGTGAGAAAGTGGATGAAGTTGATGAGTGAGAGTGGAAGGAGTCGCGCGACAGGAAGATTGGAGCGTCCATTTCGGGAGGCGAATCTGATAGACTCAAGGTGCACAATAAATGTTTGGTTCTGGTAGTGAAGGAAGGTGCTGTCGCGATCGTCACCTTCACTGATGTGGAATCTGTTTGTCAGTGAGTCACTGTGGTTTACGAAGAGATTCTCGGTAGCTTTTAGTTTGCTTTCTGATGATCACAAACAATTGACTGGCACCTCAACTTTATATTAACTTGAGTGAAATCGAGATCTCGTGTCTTACAGCTTGTGGCAAGGAGTTTGATCAAAGTCCGATGTGCAAAAACGCCTGGGAGTTCGCCTGAGTTTCGACCAAACAGCGGCCTATCAGACGTGTATCAGACGTTGAGGTAGGCGAAGGGCGGAGTTTTACACTTTAGGATGGTTGTATCTCCTGCTCTTGTATGAGTATGCTTGCTTCAGGCGATTGTTTGTTGTCAGGGGACAGGGTCCTGAGGCTGTGAAAGGCAAAGTTACTGGCTAGGCCAATCTGAAGATCTTCTCTATGGCCAATCAGATCCAGATCCAATGCATGGTACCTGGGGCGCAAGGCTATCCACGCCCCTTGCACAGCCTCCACGACCAAATCCCTCCACACTTTTCTCAGTCACACACAAGCCCACGGAATGGTTTCCTTCTTATGACGAGTGTCGGTCATGCAAGTCCGTCTGGCGCCACCGTCTCGGTACCTGCGTCTCTATGTGTGACAGGGTTCAGACCAGAGCTAAGCCTGAAGGCGATGGCCCAGGATTTGGAACCCTTCAAACGTACCGTGCCCACTTCAGGTCAAGGCATACTGGAGGGTTGGCCTCCGTGAATCTGTCGACAACATACTTCGAGGTCGTGCGACATAGCTCTCCGGGTGGGCCATGGCTATGTAGGCTCGGCTTGGTCAAGGCAGACATAGAGTAATTCCACAAGTCACGCAATCTTGCAATAGGTTTCAGCGGTTTGAGGCAAACTAGCACTGCCCTGCGTCATGCAGAGTACGTCTCCAAGGTGCTGTGTGGTCGACATTCGTGTCTGTCTGCAGAGAAGCCTTGGTGGTGTGCGATTCTTGAGGAATTGTCTCAGAGCCCCCTTGCCACCTACCATGACCATGGCGTGGAGTTTGTAACGAGTGTTTGATACAGACTGTCTATCAGAGGTGGTCGAGTGACGACGTAGTGACCACGTGGTCATCGAATCAAGATACTTCTCAGGGGACGACATGTTATGCCAAATGCTGAAAAGCGTTGTATCTCATCGTCTGACCTGTTCGCGTAGTCTTCCACCTTCCCCAAACGCCATGCTTATATGCGATTGTGATAAACATGAATGTGCGCCTGGCCATTCGACTCGTCGATGCAATCTCAATACTCATACCATTCCTTTCGTTTCGTTTCGCATCACTCATAACCGGTGTGTAGTTAACACATCAAATAACAAAACTCCCCAGTCCGGCTATGCAATTTCAAATTCAACTTGCCCAGACGCCTTGATGCATCATCTGCCTTCGAATGCGCATACACGCAACGTGCGAAGGTAAAGGCAATCATTGTGGGCAAGCCAGAGACGTAGCCTGTCACAACAAAATGCGAATGAGAGTGAGATGCAGCGCTAATGTCGTTTGTATTTCTGGTCAAGGTCAGTATGACGGTGGCATGCATCCTCAGACACGCTGTAAGACTTACCTCATCGACTCTTCTCAGATTCTGCTTGTCCAGCGTATTGCCCGCGCCCATCAGTGTCTGTCCGACGGCCTTTGTGGCTCCTATGGCAGGACGTAGGATGATCGTCGGACTCTGCTTCAGGATTGCTCGAGCTGCCCCTTTGGCACTGCTGCTGGCCATCACTTCTCCAGGTATGGCCACAATTGCATCCTTAGCGATCAACAAGTCCCGTTCCAGACTACCGTAAGCTGTCCTCAAACCCTGCCTGATCCCGACTGGTTGATCTGCGTACAGCGAGATTTGTTTCTTTGTCTCGTCATCGACATCGACGTCTTCCCCTTGCTCCCCTTGTACGAAAAGACCTTCTGTGTTCTGCAGGACTTGTTGCGTGCCGATGGCCATCTTCGCTCCCAGATTGACCAATTCGGTTGCGGTCGTCTTAGCAAAAGCGAGAGCACCCTTCTGAATGCTTCGCACGATTCGGCCGTCTTTGCGGTATTCCCGAATGGGTACTGCAATTAGGTCTCGAACTCCGCTTCCCACATCGACCAGTGGCCGGATGGGGGCCAGTCCTGCAAGTACACCAGGAAGTTGATTGCTCCTCACATCCGGCGTCCATATATTGTTGAGCATGATACCCAGTCGCTCAAGGCCGGAGACTCCATACAAAATGACCCTGCGTAGTACCATGTCTGCACGGTCAAGCACAAAGAAGTTCATCATTTCCGTGGTCCGACCAGAACGAAGTCCTGCATAATCCACTCTCTTTGGCTTGAAATCGAGCTTGACTTGGACAGCGTTGACCTCCACACGCTGCAGAAACAACGGCGTCGAAGGCGTACTCGATTCTGTTGCACTATCATCCTTGAACTCGAAGAATCTGCTCATAAAGTCTAGCGCATCTTGGTCGACATGCAACCTCAATGGTAGGATCGTTATCTTGACCACCATCTCTGACGCGGCGAGTTCTGCAACTGGTTTGACGTTGAGAATCTCAATATGAACCATGTTGGTGCCAACTTCTCGTTCACCCGCATCTTGCATATACGTGGCAAACTTCTTCCAGGTTGATGTAGGGATGTGGTCAAAGACTTCTACTTTCTTCACGCGGATGTCGATTGAGCTCTCCACTTCACCGCTTCCTGGAGGAAAGGCTAAAAAGTCCGCAGACACGCCTTCAAGTTCGAAAGCCATTTTGTGGTGTTTGCTGCGGTTTAGCCTGAGCCTTTTCTGTCGTGGAACGGGTCCTGGATGGCGGCGCGTCGTGGCTGCCGTCACAGTAGTTCTAGTAGCATAGCTGCCCGTCTCGCTGACCATGTCATCAATATCATGGTTGATGGCATTTGTCAGCTCTCTGGGATCTCTGTTGGCCGGGATGCCAATGTATATCGAATTGAACAAGAAGTCGCCGATTACCGATTCGTCCTCTTCCTCAGCTGCCGCTGCCCGACTGCTGCTTCGTGGCCGTCGGGCCAGCGCTTTGGCCTCGATGTCCTTGACTGTCTGTGAAATCTTGTCTCTTGTAGCTTGCCAATCATAGCCATCAAAGAGGTTCCAGATGATGTGGACATCTCTAATCCGTACTTTCACCGGAGAACGATCAAAGATTGTGTCACTCGCCAAGCCATATGTGTTTTGTGCCGAGTTCCAACGATGTGCCGTTCCATCCACCGAGGCCTTGGGTGCGAAGTGGTCGGTTCTGAAGTCTAAGAGGCTGTGCATCATGATGCTATCGCTCACATCTGCACTTTCAGCACTTGTTGCCTCCACAGGGGCGATGTGAATAGACTCTGACATGGCGGACCGGCCCAGATCTGACTCCACGTGGCTTGCGGTCATTTCATCGTCCGCATCATCGGCATCACGATACATGTCCGTCATGAAACCGTGATCGTCTTCCTCCTCATCCTCGTCATCCATATCAGATTGTGACTCTTGTCTTCGAGGGCGTCCAGTAACCGTCGTTCGGGATGCTTGAAGGCCAAGGTCCGGTCCAGTCTCAGACACAAAGGCATTTCCAGTGAAGGAAGCCAGCATATCCTGGATAGGAACTATTTCAGTACGATATTTGGCCACCTTGGAAGGCGGGCTAGGCGGTGTCAGGCCACCCAGAATTTGGAACAATGTTTGTGTAGAATCCGCACACGTCTCGAGGAAGAGAAGGTTGTTTCGAAACTCAACATCGAGTTGGGTCTGCTGGGTGGCCTTTTCTTCAACGACTTTCACAATGGCAGAAGCTGAAGACATCGAGCCTACTGGAACAAAGCCCGCCTTGGTAAGATGTTGTACTTGGTCATTTTCTTCGAAATAGAGCTTGTGGTCAACATTGGCCGAGTCCTGTCCTATGGTTGATGAATCGTTGATGATTAGCAGTGAGGCCTTTCTAATTTCCAAAGTATTTGTTGATCCTCTCTTGTGGTTTTCATGCCGTATAACGGCGTCGGTCAACACAAACAGGCCCCTTGCCGGACTTCGATCAGGATTGAGTGCTATGGCTGAGTCTCTGAATGCGAGGGAGACCCGAATCTTTCTCGAGAAGCCGTTGCCATCCCCACTACTTGAGGTAGAAGGACTGGATGGCTGTAAGGCTGGACTTTGTGCATTGATGGACGGATCGGTTTGAAGGCGCTGCGCCAACGAGGAGATGGCCTCAATCGTCGCAACCTTGTATTCGAGGCAGGTGTTCGACAGTTTCATGCGGACAGTAGGCTCCATCTCGTCTGCAATAAATCTACACATGAACATAGGGGGGCCCAGTACAGACGCTTGAGAAGTGACTTCGCCAATCAGCACGTCGTTCTCATTACGCGAGAGGTTCCACGATGCGATCTGAGCGGCTGCAAGTGCGGGAACGTTGATGTGTGCACCCTCAAGGAGGTCAGCCTTGAGCTTGATGGGACCAAATTTTTCGTCAACGTCGAATTTCACGTCGAGTGACTTGACCAAAGCAAACGTGAGTACGCCGGGCCGATCATCTTCTGGGAGGTATTTCGTGACCGATGAGAGTTTAGATATTTCATCCGCAACCTTGGTCAAATGAGGCATCCAACGGAGGCCAGTGGCACCAGCCTGCAGTTCGCCAACAGATAGCCGCAACACACCGCCCTTTCGACGCTGTCTCAATAGCGTATCAACCATAATATCATCGTCTTGATCGTATTTGTCGCTTGACGGTGTGATGAGTGACAGCAGTCTATCCAGATCATCGTCGTCTGGGGCGTCTGAATAGTGCAACTCGATATTGCGAAGTTTAGCATATATCTCAGCACGCGAACCGGTAGCTGCCAGTACAGGCCCTTCTATGGCCGCACCGTCGATTACCAGTCGCATGTTACTCTGCCGGTAGACAGTTTTGATCGCCGAAGTCTTGACCTGAACCGTGGACTCGGATCCGATAAGATCAAGGCGAGCGCCTGAGATGCGAAGATCAACCTTCGGAGCGGGTGACGAAGTATCGCTCTCAGCTCGTGGTCGCCTTTGTGGATCGTTGAACCTTACTGTTCGTTGTTTGCGGGCATCGAGCGCTGGGGGCGTCGATGGACCTTTCACAGTGTGCGTCGAAACGATTGAATTCCCAAGGTCAAGCAGGGAGCTCAAACCACCGCTTTTCGTGAGAACATCATCGATAACCAGGAGATCCAGAACGATATGGACAGGTTTGATTTGCACCTCGAAACGGTTTCCTGTCATGGTCGCTGCAATGTCGTGAGGCCTAAGCATGGAACTCGTGGCTATTGAGTCTCGGACATTGATTGAATCGAGAAATGACAGCACCACTCTATCCCCATGTGTCATGACTACCTTCGAGATCGAGACCCGTTGGGCTCTGCTATGTCCCGCAGCTGCACCGAAGGAGATAGCAGACGAGGACAGTTGGAGGAGAGCTGAGTCGTGCGCCATCATGGTCTCTATCGTCTGGAGTCCCAGTTTACTCGGCGGTGTCTTTCGTACCGCTTCACACAGGTTCAAGGCCACCTTTTGCACAAGAACTTCGGGAGGAGCTGCTCCGGAACCCGTTGTAGACGGCTTCATCGATTTTTCGTCAACCTTGGGCAAAGCTTCTGATACGGCTTGCGAGGCCATCACGAGAATCTTGGTGACCGTAATGTCCAGATCCAAGAAAACTTCGCCAACATCTATTCGTAGCCCATTACTCGTGTGGTCAGGGACTGGAGGTTGGCCTTGTGAACGTAGGTTTGAGAGCCGAGGATCGTTCAGAAATGTACTTTCAACCATACTTGAAGAGCCAGGGCGCATTTGACGCTGTGGACGGGGATCCGAGGTGCTCGAGGTCCTCGCTTGCTGTGCCTCAGTTGATGCGTTGTGGTCAGGCTGTGGTATTGAAAGTCGTAGCGTATCAAGACGTAATATTCTCGAACGATAGAAAGGAGAAAGGGTGCTGTTGAGTATGCTTTCGCCACTTGAAGCTCTGGCTTCGTTGCTGGCATGACTTCCTGCGTTCTTCTCGTGATGTTCGTTAGTATTGGGTACGTCAAGGTGGGACTCGGAAGACGACAGGTCTTTCTTTTCAGGCTCGTCAAAGTCGGGATTTGGCCATCCCCAACCACCGGGCATGTCTAGCCGACCACTGACAGCGCTCATATACATGCTGGCTGCCTCGTCATGGGTAAAAACTTTGGACTCGGCTAGATTTTCGGAATCTGCAACCTCTGCCTCCTGCTCTCCCTCATATGGAGCCGGAAGAGTTTCGAGTATTCCCTGCGCATGAGCCTTGTTGTCGATCGGGTTTGATTCGTTTGACGATTCCTCTCGCAGGGGAATTGTTCTCGACCTCCGCTCAAATATACCAGAATCTGCAAGCAGGGCGTTGTCAAGCCCAAGTCCGAGACGAGAGCTGCTGGGAGAGTTTGAAGAAACCTTTGACTGGACTGAATGCTCGCTGAGACTAGCGTTGCTTGACGGTGCTGCGTCGTTGATGCCTCCGTGGTCTTCAGGGTGAGCCAATCTATGGCGAGATCTGCTCAGCTTGGGCGAACTAAACCCTGAGAACTCTGAAAAGGTCTCGGACTCTGACAGCACGAAGAATTGTAGCTCCTGTAGCCTTATCGACCGCCTCGGATCTTGCTCGACATTGATAGCTCCTGCTTGTCGGAATGGATCAACGGCGATGTTTCCGATAGCGAGCATGAACTTCGTATTTTCTGCAGCAAGTCCGCCAGATGCAGAACGGTCCATCTCCACAACAACATTAACATCCTTGACATTGACGGACAAGCGATCACCCACGCCTTTCAGGAAGTCGGCAACAAAGGACGGAAGAGATAGACCACCCGGCATTCCCAGTCCGACATCCTCACCCTGCGAAGAGGCTACGGACTCGTGCATGTATTGGGATTGGGACTCCAGAGCCGCTTGCAGTTCGTCTCGCTCTCCAGGTGACTCTCCTTCCAAGAAGGAATTCGCCAGATCTTCGGAAGTCGGGAGGACCTGAGATAGTTCCAGAGAACCCCCATGCCGACCAAGGGAACGGCGGCCGCCCGGATCGTGTATGGGTGGTGAGGATATCCTGGGCAAGTTTGCACGTTCCGACTTGTTCAGTGGTCTTCCTCCTCTTGACTGGGGCTTATCTGCAGTCTCTTGCCGTACACCTAGCACTATTTCTACTCCCTCCACTTCGACTTCGATGCCACTGACATGCAGGTCTGCAGGCAGGGTGAGTCGTAACAGCCGGATCGAGGCATGAGTAAGCGTAAAGGAGGGTGGCAGTTGTAAGGTATCTGTGATCCTCTTAACTTTGATGCCGACATTCTTTAGTTCGAGTACTGTCCGTTGCCCCCAAGTGAGGCCAAGGTTATCGAGGTCGAACTCGTCCGAGTCGATGAAGTCGAGGCGATTAAGGGCATACCGAAGCAGGCGCTTCTGGAAGTAGGATGGAAGGAAGTAAGACATGATGTCGACGTTCGGAGGAAGCGCCTTCCCCAAACACTATGAAGATGCTGTGGTCATGATGGCCACACTTAGACGTCGCGATAGACGGCCACTTCGAGAGATAGGCCGAACAGAAGCGAACGACATGCGGATTTCCACTATTGTAGAGGGTGTGTCTAAACCTGACACATGGAAATCTTTGTGAGTAGATCAACCGGCAGCCTACTGGAGAGTGTCGTATCAGAAAGAGGACCGATACACTGTTGAGAGAATATGTCTATCGTTCGTTCGGTCAAACGCAGGGACAGATGTTGAGGGTCGGGGTAAATCGTAAACAGGCAGATGGCAGATGTTAATGGTCTAAGGGTCTCCCGGCCACGAAACAAGCAGAATGACGGCGGTGGACATCTGGACTTAGGCGTCTGAAACACCTCATTGGCGGTGCATCTGTGCACGCGACGCCTGGATCATGACTGAATCGAGCAGATGACAGGGATGCCGATTTGGCCAACTCCCCCTCTATCTTATCGGTATCACCCCACTAACAACTTATCATTTCTCCCAATTCTAACGTGCTCGCAGATGCTGAATAGGGTTGAACTACAGCATCATCTACTCTATCCGACTTTCCTTCAAGACAGCAACGGACATTCACTCATCATCCTCTTCATCATCGTCCTCGTCCTCGTCGTCATCTTCCTCATCTTCGTCCTCTTCATCCTCCTCATCATCAGCTTCCAGGGGATACTCCATAACGATAAATTGACACCACTTCTCGAACTCGGATCTCCACTCCCGCAGCAATTTCGACTTGGTGCCTTTGCCCATGTATCCATCAGTGATGCTCTTTGTCCATTCCGCGGACTTCTGATCTTCAATAGCACACCATTTCAATGAATTCTCTGCCATCGTGCCAAGACCTTCGAGCCCGAGATTCTCAAAGGCCATATATGCTTGCCAAAAGTCGTGGCTCAACCCGTTCTTGCCGTGACCCAGAATCGCCGGATCGTCGTTGTTCAAGGAGACAGATACGCCCCTTGAGAGTAACGCTGGTAGGGAATGCGATAGGATGGAGCTTGATAATCGTAGGATTTCGTTTGATATCGGACAGCTTTCGACCAAGATCTTCTTCTCTTTCACCATGTCGATGAGTAGAGGGTGTTTGTACAAGGAATATCCATGTCCGATGCGCCGTGTACCCAGCAGAATTGCATCGAAGAGGTTGTTGTCTGTGCTATCACCATCGCCCAAGCACTCTCCCGCATGGAAGAAGAATGGTAAATCCACACCAGCTTCGGCACATTTTTTCCTGAACCAGAAGATCATCGGCGTGAGGTCTTTGAGAGTCCTGCCTGTATCTTCCTGCGATACGAAGTCAAAACCACAGACCAGATGCGGATATTTCTTTTTCATGCGTATACACTCCGTCATCGCGTTGGCAACCGAGCGATTGTCCAGCCTTCGGATGACGGTCCAGATCATTCGGGCACCCTTGAAGTTCTTGCCTGCCTCAGTCTGCTTGAATTTCTCAATCTCTTCTCCCAGGACCACAAAGAATTCGTCGAAGCGCTCAATCGGCCCGTTGGTCTGACCCTCCTGTCTAAACTCAAACTTGAAAGCCGCCCTTAGATCGACATAGTTGACGCCGTCATCTGCTAATTGTCCAAAAAGTCGTTGCATAGCTCGTCGGAAGATAGGTTCGTAAAATAACATCTGCCCGATTACCAAGAATGTGCTCTGGAATTTGCGCCAGATCGCGTCCAGGCCATGATGATGGCATAACGATTCTTCTGCGGTGATAGTGCATCGGCTGGTCAACCATTTCTTGAACGTGGTGTCATCCGGAAACGTTCTCTGCGCCTCCCTGATAGGGATAGGTGTGTTGGCTTGGTAGTTTGTGGTCCAGATACTGCCGGAACCTTGATGCTTCTTAATCTCCTCTTCAGGATAGAATCTGAATTGCATTGCACCGAAATCCCTCTTCTTAGAGTCACTGAGACCTTCTGGTGCCAGGATACAGAGTCCCTTCTCAGCCAAAGCCTGGTCAATTAGCCAGTCAATGTCGACCATGGCGTCCAGATGAGCATGGAGCAGAGCGCCTTTGGGCATCTTCTCAAGGATCTTCCATAGATCAGTCCGTTCTATGCGGTCCCGAGCCAGCGTGAACATCATACCAGGATACAAATTGCCCCCATTTTTGTCCATCAGGCTCTCTTCGAACTCTGATGTCCAGACTTCCTTCAGCTCTCGTCGACGGATTGAAGCCATAATTTTGGCAGCCTCCTTTGCCATGGGCGACATTGTGCGCTTGAAAATGTAGTCATGACGTTGCTTTTTTTCCTGCGCAATCAGAGCTTCCCGGCCAGAGATGTATCGTTGGATGAAAGGATCCTCAACCTGTGGGATTCCCTCGTCCAACTCCCACTCGAGATCCGAGTCAATGGAACCATTCTCGGATGCCGGGTCCTCGGACGCCATGCTGTTTAGATATGCTAGTGACTAGTTAGGTCAATCGGCCTGATTGCACTCGACTTATGATTTGTGTAGTAACGTCTTGTGTGCCACTAGCAGTTAGAGAGTGTATATCGGTATCCCAAAGACCATTCCTTGGCGGCGGATATATGCGGTGACGAGGCTGCCGCAAGGCTGCCGCACGCGCCTCATCAGACGGAACGCGGCCTATATTTTGGACATCTACTACAAATGAATGGTCATTGCCATGATTTGGTACACGATTCGCATCGCTGCATGTGTAGTCCATGTTCAGCGTTTATTATGACAAAAATGCCTGTCTCCTCCCGAGGCACTCTTCAACCAGTGCTACGCTCTCTAATGCGCCCATGACTTTGGAATTTGAACTCTTTAGGCGCCGTACGCCTTAGCAGAACCCCCACACCACAGGAAGGCTATCGCTGAATGTGCATCCATCTAGCCAGAAACTTTAGATGCCACGATTGAATTCGACCAGACCGCCTTGTCCACCTTTGTCCCAGAACTCTTTCTCCAGACTTCTGGCACTTACCGCCTGTCGCTGTGGGAATGCTGCGAGAGCCAGTGGCAAGGCAAAAATACTCGTGGTCAGAATCAGACCTAGATTGATGGGTAGTACCATCCTTGGCCGCTGTTTGAGCCAGTCCGTCTTCTGTAGCTGAACAAGAACGAGAGGTGGAATCGCCATTACTGGCGTCGCGTTGAGAACGCGTGAGATGGCCGTTTCACCGACCGCCAATGTCGCTGCTTTTTTGGACTTCCCGAGGCTTTCAACTTGCTTTCCATTCTTTTCTCGTTCGGCCTTTTCGGCCTCTGACTGGATGGGGAAGACATCAATGCCTCGGCGTATTTCTTCGCCACGCATGAGGAAGACGTTCAACGCCCCGGCGGAAGCCACAGCTGCAAAAGGGACCAATCGTCCCAGAATGAGTTTTGCATTGGGCGACACTCTTTTGAGGCGGGGCACTATGGACTTCAACCCGACAGCAACCGAGCAAGATGCTGATACGGCTAGCAGGTAGCTCTGAACCAAGGTCTGGGTAGATAGTGGCGAGGACTTGTTAGCGTTGGAACTATTTATCGCAACATTGAGAGACTGGTTAATGATCTGCCATGCAACCGTGCCTGTGGTCTACCCTCGTCAGCAAACCGCTTGCAGCGGTGACAGGAAGAAAACATACACCCATGTTAGGTGTCAGCATACCAGCCGTCACGATCAAGTTCGAGATGACGAAGCATGACATGCGGAATGGGAGGAATACAGGCTGTCCGGTATCTGGACAAGAGTCAGCCCACTGCCGTACAGTCGTCGCGGTCCATGCGAACCTGGATGAAGCGTAGAGTCCACGATCTTCTTTGCATTCCATATTTCGGGTGTCATGATTTTCGTCTCCCCCGTCTTGTACGATGTCACCAATCGCTTCGCATGTTCGAGGCCCGAAGAAGAGACAAACAGTGTGCTAGAACCATGAGTCAGTCGCTGCCAGTTAACATCGTTGCAGTGTCTTCGCTGCCTTGTGCTACAGTACTTTCAGTACCATTGCACAGCACATTGCGAGTCGGCCCATACACAACAACGTGCCAATTCCTTGTTTCTTTCTCACCTCGGATCTGCTATCTGCGCCGATTGCTTGACACGACCCCAGTAGGTGGACAGATCATACTGTGAGGCCGGCAGGTCACGATTGCCAGGCAATGACGCAGACATGTTGGGCAAGAGCGCCCGAAGGAGAGAATGAGAGCACCAAGGCTCGAAGAAACGAGTGTATGCAAGGCTGATTAAATGTAGGTACCTGGCAAGTAAGTCCTGTGCAGGTCAAACGGTGAACATCCAAACGCGCTGCGACCTCGGCCGCAAACGAAAGTATATGGGGAAAGTCAGCCGAGAACAATAGCCGTTAATAACCGACAAGGCTAATAGGACCTCATGCCAGGACTCAACTGGCTCTCCAGGGTCTTCTCTGAGGCGATCTTCAACGCTCGACCTTACTGATGCTTCTGTGACCGATATAGCGTATGTGCTCTCACGAAGGTATGATCTCCGTTGCTATGTCAGAGACGGTAAGCCGATACATTTTGCATTGATATGGCGTGACGAATCACGATGGACATTACAGAGTGATCATTCCAAGGCAAGAGATGCTGGCGCAGGAAAGAAAATGAAATCGTCTGATGGATGAAGAGCAAATGTTTGCCTTTCATCGTGGTCGACCCTCATGGTGCTTCGGAGCGAGAAAGGTGGGCTGGAAGGAAGAAAATGTCGGGACAGGGTAGGCACAGAGCAAAGGACAATGACGCTTCGGAACTTCTTCTCATGCTCCGCGGACAAGCCGCACAAGCACATGAAAAAACAATGAAGGGGACGAGGAATTGGCCTCGTCGCCTTGTATAAGAACAAAAAAGCATGGGGCAAGGGAAAGGAGAAGGGGGCAAGGGGTAGTTGGTTGATGGTAGTTGTTTGGAGAGGTCTTGGTTTCTCTCAATGCATGAAGGCACTGAGATACTGACACCCTGCACCACGGGAAGGTGCCTCTCCTGCGCAGGGCGGGGGCAGGGGTAGGGGAAGGGGAAGGGCACGATGGGAAAAGGGCTCACTGGGCATGATGGGAAAAGGGCTCACTGGGCACGATGGGAAAAGGGCTCACTGGGCACGATGGGAAAAGGGCTCACTGGGCACGATGGGAAAAGGGCTCACTG